TTATCACGGTGCATATCCATATCGGTACCCTCTTTGCGAAATCTGCTGAAACGGTACCCTCTCTGAACATGCACAGGTCATTCTCTGCTAAAAACAAACCAGCGATGGATACCAATCCAGTAAAATTCCATTGTTATAAGGAAAGGAGGTATGTCACGTAGAAAAGATGTATACCACGGAACACTAGGATGTTTTATTTATGTGCTGATTTGTCATGACTGTGCCCGATTTTCATGTACTGCAACTTCACAATAAGCTACAAAAAATCGACATGTCTTGCTTCGCCCATCACCTCGACATATTTTTCGGGCTGAAATGAACCTGTGGCTTGATTATATATGCATCATACATATTTAATATGTTCATATACATATCATCTTCGGACAAATGGCAGTATATTGTCAAAAATAAATGTAAAATTCATAAAAAGACCCTATTTTCGGTTTTGCAACGGCACGGGCTACCTCTCTTCATTTGAATTTTTATATTAGCTTTATTTATTTTTTGTAGCTTATTGTGAAGTTGCAGTACATGAAAATCGGGCACATGACAAACCAGCACATAAATAAAACATCCTAGTGTTCCGTGGTATACATCTTTTCTACGTGACATACCTCCTTTCCTTATTACAATGAAATTTTACTGGATTGGTATCCATCGCTGGTTTGCGAGGGTACCGTTTCAGCGGATTTCGCAAAGAGGGTACCGATATGGATATGCACCGTGTTTATGTAATAGGAAAAACTCCTCGTTTCAAGTGTCTATCTTAGTTTCGTTTGATAACATTTCGACACTTTTGAATAACTGATCAATATAAAAGAAACTATACTTAACTGACGATACCTTTATATTTACTTACCTACTTTTCTAAACCGTAATAACTAAAATGTCACAGATTTTAACACATATGAAACAATGAAATAAAAATTATAAAACGTTCAAAATTCTTTATAAAGAAACATATATATACCTACACATCTTTATTCACATATATTTTTGAACCTGACAAATGTGAACAAAACGCTGAAAACGAAATCTCCTGATTTATTAACAGTATATTATAAAATACATAAGGTTATTATAGGGGTATCTTATTTTGGCACCTTATTTGACTTGAGTGTATCTAACTAGGCTTGGATATCGTGAAGCGTGGGTATGCCGAATGTGGGAACCGTTTAAGCAAAATCCATGAGAGCCAAGTGTCATGGATAGCCTTAAAGTGGTTAAAAGACCGTTATCTCAAGCTTCTAATCTTGACGAGATACATTAAAATTGAAATGCAGAGTACACATGTGAGCTATGTACGACATAACATTTAGACTAAGTGCCCAGCACACAATTTATATTTTGCATACCATATATACTAATACTGTTACACTGGGGCTTTCCAAACCCTTTTGTACCTATGACGGGGTTAATAGTACCCAGAGGTTCAAAAGATACATAGAGGTGACAGATTTGCTTGTTCACACCTCATTCTTTACATAAATTTTAAAGGCACTGCAGAGATTTCAGTTCAATAAGTAAATGTCTACAAGGAACCCCAGTTCAAAATTTCTAGATCCAAAAAGCTATAAGAAACTTAACTGATCGAAGCATGTTTGGTATTACTCGTTAAAAAACAAGTAACTGCGTAACTATTGTTGTTGTTTTTTCATTTTGATTTAGATAAAATTATTTATAACAATATTATCATACGTCGAGCATGAGTACCTTACTTGCTGATGGCAACAACTTTTATTAACCTTCGCAAAGTAACATCAAACTTGAAACTTGTATTCATCGAATGTCACAGAGGTTTCGAATTTATTTTCTTGATAAGGATCTTCAAAAATCCGGCAAACACAGGATTTCACAGTCTTGTTTATCATTAAACGTGAGAAGGTTAATCTTAATAAAGCTTGTCTAATGTCCTGACAACAACACATACGCAGATATACTACATAATAACGAAAAGATAAAATAAAATGTTATATATGTTTTATAACTATTGGCATACATCCAAATAATATAGATCGAAAAAAAACAGGAAGGCTAAAAATCTAATCTCATTCGATTGCCCTGTGTTTGGAGTGTTTTATTCAATATTAATATATATTTATACAATCACATATTTATACTGAAATGAAAATATTATCATAACATATATATCTTTACCCTAGATTTAAATCAGAGTTAAAGAAGTAGAAGCTTTATTATCTAATAAATCACATGATCCATGGAATTTTTCTTTTTTTGATCACTTTCCTTTAAATGCACATTATGCCTCAGAGACAATTAAATTGTTTCTTCTTTAGAAAAGGCAAACATGAGTTTTAAAATAGTTTTAGGACATGATAGATCTTCATCGCCTGAAGAAATTAGCGCTGAATATGTGATTATCTGTCATTAAAGTAGCAAAATGTAAACAAAGTCGTATTTTGACTTCCATACAAAATACTATATCACTATAGCTGTAGTATTTACTAAACACAACAGTAGTAATAATTAGTAACTTTTTAAAACTATAACAGAACAAAAATAAAGACCTTTTGAGAAATAAAAATAAAGGCATTTCTTTGACATGATGGGCCTTTAAAAACTTAAATGTCAACATAGATAAAATAATTGATGGCCTATATTGCATTACCTGTTTTTTGTGACATGACTCACTGTCATTGGTTATTGACGCATAGTTTAAATAGCTCTCATAAAATTCAATACAGTATGTGAAAATTGAAACATAATACATAAACATGTTTTATGCACATTAAAACCACATCATTAATGCATGGCGTGAGCTGAAACATTCTTTCTTTATAGTTACTCGCTCCAAAAATGTACTGAAATTTAAAAACAAATTTAATTCTGAACTGATTTGTTAAGGAATTTAAATTATGAATTGAAAAGGAATTCAATGATGTCGATATTCTCTTAAGCATGTAAAAACTTTTGTTTAAGGTTAAACGTCAGTCTGATTTAATCATATAATATATAATTCTCCACATGAAATGCCTCGTTCTCTATCTCTAACGTTCTATTATTGAAAAATACCTGACAAATGAGCTTCAGTTTGATAATAAATCATCTGTATTTTCTTAGGTAAAACATAGACAATATCAGTTTGATCTAAACTAAGGTGAAAGTCAGGTGCAAATGTCAATGTCACTTAAAATGGAACTGATGTACAGTCAATCTCTATAGAGGAAAATACAATACAATAAATGCAATAGAGTACAGTGTATTTGCTTTAAAAATTATGTATTCAACATTTCTAGCATAATATATAGTTGATAGGAACATTATGCAAAAACAAAATGTAATCAATTTTGGTTTAGCGGAGGGATATCTAGGTGCTACACTTTTTCAGTATCTGGTGATTCTTTATGGCATTTCTGTTGCTCAAGATTGAAATACGTTATCAACTAATGAACGTTTTGGCCATGGCTCTTGTCCAATGTTATTTTGATTATTCATGTCGGTTTGGGTTTCATGGTCTTACTAATTACTGGAAAGATAAACTCTAGCTCAGGAATAATAAATTAATTATGTTCGTACTTAATCTTTGCTATAGGTCACATTTTGATAATGAATACTTAAAGGGTTTTTATTGGTTTTGGTTGATTCAGAAAAAATTGGATCAAATTACCTTCTGTAACGGTAGGGTGGAAACTTTATTCCCTTATACTCTATCCCTTCTATATTAGGTCAAGTGAAAGCGGGAGTAAAACTGTAAAATGCTGTTGGTGCAAAATCAATTGCATATAACAAATATAGCTATATGTACATGTATTCTATGGAACAAAACTACTCTTTTCTATAACCAAAACGTCATTTTCATAACATGTTCTTGTCTCATTTTATGATGCTTATCCTTTTATTTATGAGTTAAAAAAGTGTTTCTTTGTGAATTTGTTGTATACTATTGTCATTCTTATAGGCCCATCATGCCCAAGAAATATTTTTATTTTTATTTCTAAAAGACTTTTTAGTTGTTATACAGTTAGTTTCCAAAAAGTTACTCAATGGTCAACAGCCTTAACCATATTTTGCTTCTATTACTTTTTTGGAAATCAGTACAGCTATAGTTGATATAGTATTTTGTATGGAAGACATTATACTACTTTGATTATATTTTACTACTTTTATGATTAATGATTTCACATTTAGCACAACGTTTTTCGGGCAATAAGCATCTAACATGCTTTTAAACCATCGATTTACTGTGACGGGACTCATGTTTGCCCTTTCTAAAGAATGAAAATTTAATTCTTATCCAAGGCATAATGTGCCTTTAAATGAATAAAATTAATATTAAAGATTCTTCCGAAGATGGCAATGTTTGTGTGCCGCCCTGGGAGACATTTCACCAATCATGCATACAGTTTGTTGAATTGAGATACACATGGCAGGAAGCTCGGACCTGGTGTTTGAATATGGATTCAGACCTTTTGAGCATAATAATCAGACAAGAAGATGTGAGTACAATATTTCATATATTTATAGAAGAAATTGATCCTTTTTGAAAAATTTTCACTTTTTATTTAAACCAAAACTGGTGGGCCATTATTTTACAAAGGATTAAATTGCATTTTTTGTGTCGCCTTTTACAGAGTAGCGGCGACAAATAGGGATAACGCCAACGTCGCCTGTCAGTCCGTCTATCTGCATGTCCGTCAGTCTGTCTGTCACAAAACTTGTCCGGACTTCTCAAAAACTACATATGCAAATTCGGTATCTCAGGTACCTGTGCATATATAAGGGTTTTTTTGACTGAATGATTTTGCGATGTATGATGGCTTTTGAATAAAAAAGCGTGCATGCCCTATAACGATTTTTGAGTAATTCTTACTTTCTCCATAATACAGAAAGCACTTAATTGAATTGAATTGAATTGAACTTAAATATACATACAGTCAATTTACATTTATAATAAACTGTTCAATCACCCCTCAATACAACTGCTCAAATGACTATCGGGACACATGTGATCACTGTTCGCTCTTGTTTTATATACAATGTAACAAAGATCTATGGCAGGTTAGAGTTTTTATATTACAAATAGGCATGGCTTTATGATTAAATAAAGATAAGTTTTAGATGTCATATAGAATTGCAGATATGTAAAGTATTTTAACTCACTATAGTGGCATTCATTTTTTATTATTACTTTATAAATGATGATTCGCATGCAATGTAACATTGCTAGAAAGGTAAAATATAGTTACATGTGTCTATCTAAATAAAAGATATGCTTTATCAGACGATTCTAACTTAACAATCTTTATTTAATCATTTACAGGTGAAAATTGATCCCTTTTTATATCACTACTTGAATTATACTACTATAAACTGGTGGATTGGCTTATATAAAGTTGAAGAAACCTGGATATGGACATATAATAATGAGAGCTATTCTGGAATACCGTAAGTAAACCTTATAAAAAAGGGGATTTAGAACTTTCTTGTTGTTTTTTTTCTACATGAGAAAACTTATTGACTGAAAGATCGATTATTTAGTTTTGTTTGATTGAGTTTTACGTCACACCGATACAGTGTATGTCATATGGCGACGTTTCAGCTTTACTGGTGGAGACAGATTTCAGAAAACCTTCCGTGCATTATTTCAGACTCGAACGAACACCTGAGTAAACCACAGACGTTTCATAAGCTAGCTGGATAGCTTCCTCACATAAAAGAATCCGAAGTCCCTGTCGGGATTCGAACCCACAGCGGAGAGTGGCAAGTGGTCTGAAGTCAATGATCTTAAAGGTCGCTACATTAAATGCTGTTTTATCAAGTTTTGTCAAAAAATTGCATTTCTTTCAGCGAGTCTAAAATATTCAAGTGATTAGATAATCTTAAACTTGATCCCGCCATAATATTTGACTGGATACTATTAAATCTGCAATCATAAGAATAATATCTTTATCAGTAAGTTATACATTAAAAATATCTTTTCATGGATATTCATTTATTCACTAAATACTCAAAAAACAAAACGTCGTGAAGACATGTTAGTCTGTGAGAGGTTCTTAATAACACAGTTCTGATTAATTTCTAATGATTATTAACAGAAAGTGGGCACCAGATTCACAATGGAATAACACATTTTCAGTGGATAAATGTGGCCTCATCGAATACCAGGGATATTTAAAAAATATGAACTGTAACGTTCGACGACACTTCATTTGTGAACGAAACAAAAGTGAGTACTATTTAAAAGCCGATGTGTTAGACACATTAATCATTGTTAGTGCTTGAGCTATATGTTTTTTATGGGTTTTAATTGTTATATTTTCTGGCCCTTTGGGATCTTAGATTCCAGCACTTTCATCCCTCATGTAGACATGTACCGACTCAGTCAAACCGAGTCTGAATTTTTTGTGATTAATTCTTCCGAGGGATCACTCTTTCTTCAGATATTTTTATTTTGATATTAACGATATATTAAGGCTAACACATGATAACAATGATAAATTGTGTTCTCAAATGTTAAATCTTTGGTCTTATCATCAAATATATACGTCACAAAATGATTTTTGTACAAACAATTTATTTAAAAGATAACACCTGTTTACTGATTTCTTGATTGTTTTTTTTTTGAAAAGCAATACAGCTGACAACACTGACGCATTCATCTCCCACTACCCGAGTTTCAACAGCACCAACAACTTCAACAAATTCAACAGCATCACCAACCACAACAAGATCAACAACATACGCTATACCAACACCAGATATAAGAACACCATCTACGAGGATTACAGAAAGTCATGAAGAGACGCCCACCACGAGAAAAACAACCACCATACTTCCATCATCATTCACAAACACTACAACAAGCGGCATTACTACACAGTCTACAACTCAAGCTCCCGTTAAGTCGACTACCACAACTGGCACAAATCAAACAGAAATGAGCAGTCCAAGTCAGTCTACCACTGAAAAAACCATTACTGGAATCACGTCAGAAAGCACAGCTATTCCAACAACTGAGAGTATCACAACTGAAAAAGAATTGAGCAGTCCTAGTAAGTCTACCACTGACTACACAATAACTGAGAAAACGTCAGAAAGCACAGTTGTTCCAACAACTGAGAGTAACACAACAGAGGACCACACTGTACACAAGACTGAAACATCTACTGTTATCCCTATAACAAGAACTTCGTCAAAAAGTACGAGTGTCTATACAACTGATTCACATACCACTGTTAATCATACAGAAAGTTCCACACCCTCGACACACATGCCATTTACCGATGAACAAACTACACAAAATACATCAACAGAATCTCAAATAGAAGAAAGGGACTTGTTTCGGGTAATTAAAGCAGACCTTAAAAATATGATATAGTTGTTTAGTTTACAAATACTTTTATATGACACTTGTGTCATATACAAAAAAAATGTAAATATCACTAAGCTTTTAACACATTACCATAAAAAGTGCGTAAATTATTCCCATTCATTTACAGATCATCATTGTCTTACTATTTTTAAATATGTTCCATACTAAATTTATGGAACAAGTTGAATAAAAGATATCTTATGAGAACTTCTGCCTATTGTATAATTTTCTTTGTGTTTACCTTTAGGGATGCTTCAAAATAAACTACGAAAGCACGTGTCCACCAGTTGAAGCATTTGGGTTTTCTTGGCCTCGCTCTGCAGCTGATACATTGGTTAGAGTTCGTTGCAATTCAGGTAAGATATAGATAAAATAGATGCTTTAACAAGAAAATGACAAGCAAAGCATAACAAACATGAAGTGATTGCTATTAATTAATAGTATACTTGTTTAAAGTTATGTCATTATTGCACTGTCATTATTTGAAATGAAAATTGTTATGAAAATAGCGTATCTTTTAATGATAAGCGATGCAACTGTTAATTCCAAAATTTATTTTAAAAATTTAAAACTATTGAATAACTTTGCAATATCTAAAATTCGCAAAATTACAATTGACAAATTTTTGTTACCTCATGTAGGTTTTGCAAATTGGAAATGTGACACGAATCCTACATGTTGGAGGGGTGAACCGGATGTCAAACAATGCACTTCAGAGAGCGTACAAGAACTTACAAATCAGGTATTACACGATATTTGTTAAAGAATAAGTAACAGTATGTAATTGTTACTTATTTTGATTTGTTAAATATTTGTGAAAATTTTAAGAAACTTTATTAAACTAACCGCTGCTACTGATATAAAAATATTGACTAGAATTCCATTTCTGTTTATCAGAGCCCAGAGGTGTAGCGAGGAGAAGGCTATTGGTGTCTAAGTTTATGCTCATTGTTGAAACAGTCGTTTATCGTTATTTATAAAATGCGTTTTAAGTGTAATATATCATACATATGTATACTGATCTTTCAAGCATCTTATTTATGTTTTACTCACATAAGAAATTTATCCCTTCTCCATGACACAAATCAAATATTCATTAAAATAATCAAATATCACTCCTCAGATGGAAGAATTTCTAACAAATACAAGCAACTCAGAAAAAGCACTTGAGTTTACAGTTAATTTAGCGGCATCTGTAGAAACAGAGAGTGTGATGTCAGAACAAGATTTATTCCAGTCAACAAAATTAATGGACGCGGCTTCAAAAGCCAAGCCAAAGAACTCGACTGAAGCAACCAGTATCATCCGGGTAACAAATTCACTTTATTTACAATCATTTAATCGAAAATACGTGTATAATTCAACCAATGAATGCTTTAATGTTATCTTTAATGAAATAATTCTAATAAATTTTGTTGGAAGAAATAAGCAATCATAACTATACTCTCGTACTTGCTTAGTTTGAATACTTAAGTAAAAACATTTTATTGCACATCTGTTATATTTTTTTTTCTTCATAAGAACGTTGCTAAATGTGGAAGCGGTTTGGTCGGAAAGACTGATACATGGACGTCTATGAACAAAGAAAGTCAGAGGTCAGTAGCATCGTCATTGCTTACATCCATGGAATCTGTTACCAATAATATGATTGAAAGCTTTGAGAAGCCAATAGTGGAAACTATACAGGAGGAAAACATGGGTAACTACTTTCTATTTATTCCAAATAACATTCTGAATGTCATTGCTGAATCTTGTTATTCCTTTCAATTCCCTTTAGTTTATTTAGTGTTGTTTTTGTTTTTTGTTTGTTTTGTGTGTGTGTGGGGGGGGGGGGGTTGCCATTTAATGTCCTGTCTGGGCGTGAACTGTTACTTGCAATTTTCAGTATCGTGCATGGACAAGCTCAATTAAACCGAGGCTGCAACAGTTTTTATGCATTCTTTAGGGATTCCGTTTTTCTCTATTTTACAATATGTTAGGTATGCATTGTTTATAAGAACAAAACTTTTTAGGACTTCTTTACAAGCATTTATTTTATTTCTGTTTTCATTGTGTTAAAATGTGGCAAAGAAATGTGATATTTAAAGGTTGATACTAGCATATGGAGCTGTCAGACAGGTTTGGTTGTATGGCTACACTGAACAGAATTTCAAAAAGATAAATGAATAGGTTTGTAATTAAAATCAACACGGAAATTATATCATTTTCCAGCAATACAGCTACAAGTTATCGATGTTGTCAAAAATGGATCAGAAGCAGTTGACACTATCTTTAAAGCAGACGAAAACGATTTTGCAATACCGCAGGAAAATTTAAAGAGTTTTAGCACAGGTATATTATTTCTAAATATCTTTACTTGAAAAAAATTGAAGCAAATATAAAGGATTTGTATAAACATTTATTAGCTTAGTTAAAGATGTTAAAGATGTCCTACCGTTTTATTTACCAGAAGATTTAACGTCTGATATGTATAATTGTTACAAACTATGTAAAATATTTATTAAAAATATGTTATGTCTCTCTCTGCTGTTTCGGAAATCACGTTAAGGCGAAAGGACCAGAAATAAAAACGAGCAGAAAATTTCTAACTATGCCATCAATTGTATTTACAGGTGGTTTGGCGAGATTGGTGTTCATCAACTATAAGTCAGTGGGAGATTATATGGTTCCAACTGACTACAATACAGACGACTCTACAGAACGCCAAATGATAAGTCAAGTGATTAGCGCGTCTCTCAGCCAAAAACCTGCGAACGAACCGCTGCTTCAACCTGTCGTGTTCACTTTGAAAGTCGAGAAGGTAGATGCACTTACAATCAGACTAAGTAAAATTTTAAGCTGCATTTTAAATTTTACAGATATGCATGTCTATTGAATATCACCCTCTAATTTTGATTTTAAGTACAAACACTTAATTAATATAACACTTACTACAAAATTGTTTATTTGTTTGCGTTAAGTATGATAATATAATAAGATAAAATTATGTAATTATGTTTCTATTGTAGATGAAGCCATACCAAAACATAACACAGCTTTGCTCCTTTTGGAATTTTAGTCTTGGGTAGTAGATATTTTTCGATAATTACAAGCTTTTAACTATTTAACAAATATGAGGTAACAACGTTCGCATATATTATTCTTTGAACAGTTATATCTTCAATGTGCAAGATTGATATATTCTTCCTGTTAGAAATAGAGTAAGAGAACGGCGATACTGTACATAAGTATGATTGATCAGTATTCCTTTCACGCCATAATTATAGAAAAAAATGACCATCATGTCGAAATGGATCATATATAGTAATGTTATTCGACTGACTGTAATAATTTTCGTGAAATGAATTCTAGTAACTTAGTCATTCTCACATTTTTCATTCCAGACATACTGGAGCATGGTCGCAGGAAGGCTGTTCACTTAAAGAGAATAACAATTCACATGTGACGTGTCAGTGTGATCATCTTACCAACTTTGCTATCTTGATGGATGTCCATAGTACTAAGGTCAGTTTGAAAATATCCATGTCTTCATATATCTGTTTTCACTGAACTTGAATACTATATTTTTAACAAAAACATCGGTTATAAGAATTCAATTACAAAAATTAAAAAGATGGTATTTCTTAGAGAATAAACATGTTTTAATAGTCTAGTTTCTTGTAAGTGTTTGCTAATTTGATTATGCCCATGAACGTGTTTGTATTGTCAGTATACGACTATTATTGTTGTATGTTTTCAGGTGGCAGATGTCCATTCTATTGTTCTGTCATATATAACATATGTGGGAATTATCATATCCATTATTTGTCTGGTGATGTCTTGGATAACATTTGTGTGTCTCAGGTACTTTCTTAGCTTACGTTTTGAATAGATAAATAGAATATAGTCCCTTTGCTTGTCGGCTTTATTAAAGAAAATTAAAATGACTGAAAAATAAGATACTGACAAACATGACTAAATTGCAAAATATTGCAGATTCGATCTGTTTCATCAAAATTCAAAATAACATATTCGTTCAAACAAGCATTGGTTTTTGTTGGCAGCTTTAATCTATGGGTCGTTCATGATTACATTTCAAAGTTAAACAAGATGGCTTAAATATAACTGATTACATTCCAAAGTTAAACAGAATAAGTTAAATATGACTTTATTCCGTGTAGACTTAGTTGTATACAAAACCATATGTCTTGCATAATTAGAACAAAGTTTTCTATTACAGCGTTCTCTACATTTTAATTAAAACTCATCTCTTTCGATGTTTTTCAAAGTCCATATTAACTTTACATATGATTACAGTATAAGATGTATACGCGGATCACGGAGTAGTTATGGATACGGTGAAGGCAAAGAGTATTATGGAAATAGCAGTAGTTATTCTGGGTCTACTGCCAGTTCACGGTATAAATAATGTTCACAATATGACTAACGCATGCTCACAATATCGTTAATATTTACCCAAACGTAACTCGGTTTTGAGAAAACTTGCATAGTTCTCAATTTTAGTCTACTTTACTCTGCTTTCGGGATAAATAAACATGCCTTTTCGTCACATTTTCACTGTATTTTCACTTTGATATATATCATTTCACTATTAACACATATTATGGTATAAAGAACGCATCCTCCCGTCAATGGTAAACATGGTAAATATAGAACAAACTCGCGATACAAATATTACGTCCTTTCTGTTTGGAAAAATGGCTCTGTCAAATTATGATTTATACAGCAATAGTAGCACAAGCCTTTGGTGTAAAAACATGCGATTATTGTGGTTTAATAACATTTAGGGCATTTTAGATGCTTTCAACCTGAAAAAAAGTAATGCTGAATTTGAAATTATTTGTCATAAAAGTAGCAAAATGTAAACAAAGTAGTTTTTTGACTCTATAACTTTAACAAAACTTATTGCAAAAAAGTAACAGATGCAAAAATTGTCCAGGCAACTGGTTAATTAGTAATTTAAGTAGTAGTTGAAGCTGACACAGGACACTAAAAAAAAAAAATATTAGCATTTTTAGGCATAACGGACCTTTTAAAAAACACACATTTTCACGGATACGGATATAAACGATGAATAGAAATAGAGACACAATACTTCGTTGACGATGTAAAGAAATATGATGAAATGTTTGCAGCTATTTTCACGTTAGATTTGAAGATTTAGTGAGAGTCTTTTTAAAAAGTAAAAGAAGTTCACTGTTTTGCATAGCAAGCAAAATCTGTACAACTATACATACTATCCAACATATACTGACATATGAGTTTGGAATTATGTTTAGTGTTTTAGAATAGCCGTTTAACAATCAATACAGAAAAATAAAACTTCAGCTTTTAAAAATGTTTATGTAGTGTCAAATGTGTAAATACTAACTTAGATATTAACAACTCTGAGATGGTGATAGGGTTGTTCTCAATTGATTTGCTCTTATCTGTTGTATACATGTTTATCTTTTTAACGTTTAAATGTTCATAACATTGGCAATATTAACTAAATGTAATCCATATACTCTTTTTTCTATAAGCTATTTCTGAAACTGTTTTGACGGTTTTGTGAACTTATCAACTAACTAACTAACTAACTAACTAATAACTAACTAACTAACTAACTAACTAACTAACTAACTAACTAACTAACTAACTTATAATGTTGATACATTTCAACTTTTTATCGAATATACTTATAGCTAAATTCAAACAATTTTGATTATTGCTAGTTCTATATTTTCAGTTGTATATGCTGTTTAAATTGTAACTGTTGGATTTGTTTCTTTAGATTTGCTTTTAAACAAAGCTATGATAGTTTGTAGTATATGATAGTTTTATAGTCAGTGTCATATATTAGTATGTAGTCTGTGCACGTACTTACATGTATATACTTTTTCTTGTGATTTGTTTAAGGCGTTTTCTTCAATTAATGATGAATTCACCTCATAATGTAACATAACAATGTTTTCTTATATTAAACAAAATAAAGATAGTTAATACATACAGTCTGTACGACCTTCAAACGTAAAAGGCAATGTAGAAAATGGTTTCTTAACCATAGTGGTCTCCATCAGAGCAATGCGATGGACTGACATATTTTCAAACTCTTTACTTAAATGGAATGTGGTTTGGAATTGCTAAATATACTTTATATAAGATATTTTCTTTAAGTTTTTGTTTTAGGTTTTAATGTATATGATATAAAAGCATGGAAATGTTTTTTAAAATGTCTAAATTTGTTTTACCGATGTGTTTTAATTGTTTCATATCTTTCATTTTCTCTTGAAACATTTACTTTAGTTGGATCACAAGCTTCCACTTTGAAATTAAATTGTTTCATATATATTTTCTTAATTGCACTTCCATATGACATATTTTGTTAATTTCGCAGATAACAGGCATCTTATGGTATAACTTGGCCCGCAACAATCCAGCTAGCTTACAGAATGTCAATGGTTCTACTTAGGTGCCCATTCGTGCTTTAAATAATGCACAAAGGGGCACGTGATATCTTTTTCCACCAGTCAAGCTTTATAATCGCCATATGACCTATACTAAGTTGATGCAACTAAATCCAATCAAACAAAAATAAGGCATGTAAACTTTTATTTACAATTTACATGTACATACATGTATATAAAAAAATAATGTCGAGTTTTTATTCTGAGATGAAAAACTATATAGATTCTTATTACTAGTATATTTATATATATTTTCAAACGAGGATATACATTTTTATGGTCATTCAATAGGTAAGTAGTAAACATGTGGTTTCATAAAACTATTTTGACAAACAAAATAATAAATAATTTTGATAAATGTGATCTTACTCTTACTTTAGATCCATTCAAGGAGAGAGAAATTCCATACATAAGAACTTGGCATTTTGCCTTTTTATAGCAGAAGTTCTATTTCTGTTTGGAATAGAAAGAACGGATAATAAGGTACGTTCTGATATCTAACTGTGTAGGATTAGATAAAAATCTTGTACTTTTGACATTTTTAATAAGGTTTTCTTTATTATTTTTCTTTTATACAGTATGAGTTTTTTTTCCGTAATATTAAAAAAAACCACTCATCTCCGTGTGTAACGCTTCCTATATTCTAAATGAGATTTTGAACAGAACTATTGTCATTAAGTGCCTAAGTGCATATTATAGAGGTTTTGTGATATAATCAATTTGGAGGAAGTTATAAACCCTTTTGCTGTTTTGGGGATTTTAATGTTAAAAGGAAAGAATACGCCCCTGTGCAAAGATCTTTACATTACTTGAGAGATTAACGTTTTATGATGGGCTTACTTTTAACATTGCCATATAACATTTTTTGTATTGTTATGCTAAATCTATATAAAACATGAATGTAATATAATTGTACATTTTTAAATTGTGTGGCTGTATTTTTTATCTCTAATTAATTCGCAATTATTCACATCATTTTAATTTTAACTTATTTACATTATTTCATTTGTATTATTTCAGATTGCCTGTGCTGTCATAGCCGGATTTTTACATTATTTCTTTCTGTCGAGTTTTACATGGATGTTTGTTGAGGGTATCCATATAGTATTTATGTTGGTACAAGTGTTTGACGCCGCCAGATCTCGACTTAAATACTACTATATCATAGGATATGGTATGTTTACTTTAGTATTTGTAAAGTGTAATGGTCATTTGTCTCTGAACGTTGATTCAAAAATAATGTGGCTCGCCGTTGATTCAGAAATCGCCGTTGATTCAGAAACAATGCGGCTCGCCGTTGATTCAGAAACAATGCGGCTCGCCGTTGATTCAGAAACAATGTGGCTCGCCGTTGATTCAGAAACTATGTGGCTCGCCGTTGATTCAGAAACAATGTGGCTCGCCGTTGATTCAGAAACTATGTGGCTCGCCGTTGATTCAGAAACAATGTGGCTCGCCGTTGATTCAGAAACAATGTGAAATGATTACTCAGTAATTGTTACTTACTGGTTAGTTATCCAGGAAAGCCGTTTAGTTGGATCGACCGCAGACATTTACCAAATGTGTTAAAATTGGCGTAAAAAGCAAGCATATAGTCCAGAATACACCTAGTCTTAACTTTATTTTATTTTTAAAATGATTAATTGAATTGGCTGATTTAAAGAACAAGATGAATTTATTTTTTTAAAGACGAAGAAACAAATCGGCATCAAAATTTTCTTTAAAGATATAAGCAACATCTTTGAAAAATCTATTGAAATAAGTATGTGTTTACATTTCTAGATTTTTGCTTTATTCAAATTCATAATAAAACAAATTATTATAGATATATATCATTTAAACATCAGCATGTTCATTGGTATGTTAAGGCTAAGAAATTGCATAATAAAGTTTACAGTTGGCGTATCTTTAGATTTATGTCATTCCGAAAAAAATGACTGGCTGACACAGCGTGATAATTGTTTTTGGGGGTTTTTTTTGTTACTTTAGTTGAAGCTTCAAATAAATTTAAACATAGTTTTAACTAAAGCTTTCTTTCATTTAACGCTTGAAAAATTTAAAAATATAATAATATTACCATAAATATTCATCACATTTTTTCAGGTGCTCCTTTACTAGTAATTGCTATTTCTACATTAGTATATTATGAAGGTTATGGGACAGATAAATAGTAAGTATATCCGCAAAATGCTTTTCCTGAAAAATAAACTGAAAATGTTCATTAAATTTGTTATTTAAAAAGTGGCAATATGATGAGAGTGCATGACCTTTTTTCTATTTTTTCCTCCATTTAATTTATAGTTGCTAGTGTAATGGAAAAAATCAAAATTGTGCCTTATGGATTCAAATAACGCCATCAGTCTGTACACATGTGCTATGTTCTAAATTGTGGCAGCTGATTCGTGTCATGTCGTACTTTAATTGGCTCCGCAGGGCGCCAGATGAAAAATACGACGACAAAGTAACGACTTTGTCGTATTTCCTTGTTTTTACTTGGCGCACGAAAATAATACAAAGAGTTCACTTTGTTGTAATTTTATGTTTTTGACGCGGGGCGAAGCAATTTTTCGACATGACACACAGCATAGCACCATAGATATTAGATTTTGTTAGTATCTCTTACTATATATTCAGGATGTAAAAAAAGGACAAAAGTAGGAGTGTTTTAAATGTTTTAAATATAATTACAGTTGTTGGCTGACATCAGAAAGAATGTTTATTTGGAGCTTTGCTGGTCCTATTGTTTTCATTCTGCTTGTAAGTAAAATTTAATGCAGTTTACATTTATTTTTCTCATAATGATTCTTCACAAACTATTTATCAATTAAGCTTCTTTCCTCATGATAATATGTGGTCATATATAAACATTTACTTATTTACTTTTTCTATCCATAAAAATATTAGAAGCGCACGTGTTCAATATAGAAACTAGTTAGTTTTTGCTTTGGTACTGTTGTTTTTGAAGCTATAAACATATCAAAACACTTTCGAATCCGGTTCTGGAACCAACCAGTACTAAGCAATGAGTGTTTAATTTCTTGCTTATAGAATCAACGGCGTGTCCCAGACATATTTTACATCCACGCGGCCAGCAATTATTAGAATACTAGTCTGACTCGGCTATACCGCCATTACATTAAAGTATAATTATCATATCTTATATTTCAGGTGAACCTTGTCGTCCTCGTTTATGCTATGTTTGCTGTATGTAAACATTCCGAGTATGTGTTTACTAAAGACAAGTCCACGTCCTACAACATCAAGTAAGTAAACTGGATAAACACGTGCATTTATTTGCACATATTTTTATATATTTTATAAGGGGGCTCTGTCTCTTTTCACAGAAAGAAGCATGTCTATTATCAATTTTGGGATATCAATGTAAAAAATCAAAAGTAATTCAGCAACCTGCTCTGACTGCAGAGTGCTCATGTATGCCGACTAGCCTGGCTCTATATTGTTGATAAAGGTTAAAGGTTAAATCACTTGGTTCTAGTAGATTATGGGTCAGCGTTCTTCTTCTCCATCATTGAAGTCATTAATCAATTTTGTTTCGGGATTTTGAAAGTGTCTAAAGTACCCAGTAAACCAAATATATTGGATTTTTTTGTATTTTGGAAAATACTGTTAAATTACACACATATATCTTGTAATTAATGTAATGCGGAAGACATAGTCTATATCAGGTAATTAATATAATAATAATATCATTCTCAAAACCATTTAAGATTGTTTTACTTTGAAATTCATTAAAAATTAAAACGTACATTTTTTCAGGTCATGGATACAGGGGGCGTTGGCGATGGAAGTTCTGTTGGGACTTACATGGGTGTTTGGATATTTCTATATCAGTGAAGAAGCGATACCTATTGCATACTTATTTACAATTTTCAACAGTCTCCAGGGACTATTCATCTTTGTTTTCCATTGCCTGCTCAACAAGAAGGTTATCTTTTAACTTATAAATATTGTTTGATTTATTTTCTTATACTAATATATAGAATGGTTATGCACATTAGATTGGACATACACTATTTCACTATTCCTGTCACAACGTAAATATAAAATTACGTATTATTATTGCATTTAGGCTTTATTATGTAATTCTTCTTATTCAATTACAGATAGTGGTTACGAAATTGCTCATAATTTAGTATGGAAATTTTGAACACAAAAGTGTCAGAATTAAACACAGACTTTTGGCCATCCACGATAGTTCAGTGATAAAATAAAATCGACCAATTTATATTTCCTTGATAATTTACTTCTAATAATTTTATGAGTTACCTACCTCCCTTGCTTGGATGCTTGTTCTTCAATAATACTTTTCTCTTTTTTATCATTTATTTACGTGCACTGGATGAGGTTTTTAAGAAATTAATTGAGGAAAATTTTACTTGAATGTTTAATTTGGACCGCTTTAAGATGACCAACTGTTAACATTTTTAGGGAAAGCATGATAAATCCGAGGAACCTTAAACACCTTCAAAAATATCTATACTAGAAAAATGATTTGTATCGATTTTTTTTATGAAAACCAATCGGATATTGGTTTTATCATTTGAGTAAACTGTGCGTCATTTGTTACAATTACTAAACAAGTCTAAGGAGATCTTATCGGAACGTAAAGCAGTGTTTCCTCAATTATTAAGTGCGTAAAACTCGTGACTCATACAATTATCGCTGTTAAACGTGAAACAAGTTCTGAAATATAGGTTCGTTACTGACACTCCTTAGTATTCTTTTGCAAGTTCTAGAGAATTCGATTCAGAATTGTCCTTTATTTTATTTTTCCAGGTTTATAATGAGCTTCCGAGATTTCAGTTTGAAAATTTTTAATGAACATTGTAAATCGTACTTTTTTCCGTTTGAATTTGACAGAAAGTCAAGAAAAAAAGACTACAGTCGAAAAAGAAATCTTAAGACAACAATGTTATACCTTGATAAAACTTCAAGATATTTGACCAGTAGTTCTAAAGTTGAACTTTTCGATATTAAATGGACATTTAACATATCTTATCTAAATGTTTTTATTGAAAATAAGCATTCATGTTTAAGTGAAACTATGTATCATTCCTTCTTTGATAATTTTGTGTATTTTAGCAGGACAATCATACAGTTTACTCATAAGAAGACTTATAATCTTGGTTTAATACATTAGCTTTTTATCTTCTCAGGTCCGGAAGGCATATTCTCGGTTCATAGATTATCCAGGGAGACTTACGTCAAGCGGGACTCATTCAACGAAAGCTGACCAGCAGAATGGATCAGGTCCAACATTTGCATCTTATCACATGCGTGGAACGAGAAAACATTCAAAATTTTTAGATCTCACAGATGACAGACGTCCATCATCTATGTCTACAACATCTGCTTAAAACCAAATTTACAAGAGACTATATCAAATAATTTGCTAAATACTACAAAACTACAAAGTGTATGCTACTACAAAATGAAAAAGTATACACAAGATAGTCTAGAAAGACGAAAGTGTTTCGTAAGATTGCCATATATATTAGATGAATAGCGCTCAAATGGCTAGAACATAGACGTATCTGCTGAAAAGGTGTAAAGACCAATGTGTTCGTTGCATTGAAAACTGTAATACCGCAAGAAATCAATACATTAAAACCTTATTTAATTGCTTATGTTGCTTTTAATTGTTGAATTATTTTTTTGTTTTATATGTTGCATTTACTTACCATAGGAAGTAAATCATAATTATGTATCATTTAAGTATTACTTGGTGCTATTTATATCATTTTGCTGCAATTCTCGGTGATGTTTTTTCAGTGTTTTTTATATGTTGTATATTTTTTTTCAAGGTCTTGACTTGCTTGCCAAGTGTGAGTTGTCGTAAATTAATTTTTTTTCTATAAATTGTAAAGTAGAACATACGTCAGTATTATAAATTCTACAAAAACATAACTTTTTGTTTATTGATTTATACTATTAGTTTTTACTGGACCAATCCACGTTTAATATATAAAAAGACTCTTTTGTTATTTGTCTTATTGTCTTTGGCAATTTGAAAGAGGCTTTCAAATGAAATATATAGATAATGTGTAGAATTCTTTCAATAATGTGCAGGAGAAACCATTGTACATGTATATTCATATCATATTATTTGTTGTATATGTATAAGTTTTTAAATCATGTGATAGATGAGAATGAAATACGTTCATGTATTTACAGTATGCCCGCAATAGTCATCACAAAGTATTCCATTTAATAAAAAGTGATACATGGATCTTCTCTTTATTTTTTTTTATTACCTTTTAAACAGTTTGCAATACAAATAATACTTCCCAGTTTTAATCCGCACACAACCGGCAACACTTTGAGATAAACATTTATATCCGTTTTGTATGATTTTCGTGCGCACAATGCATTTTCATCATAATGAAAAGCAATCATTTTTACGATACATTCAAAGGAAATATACTGAATACAGAAATTAATTTTGTGCAACATGCCTCCTGGAAAGTCAACAAAGTTTTAGATTATTTAAAAATATGTATATTTAAAGTAAGAATAATATGTAAACAGTCATTGTAAAGCCTTGAACGTTTAACCCCATAAATTTTAGGAAAAAAATAAAAAAAAACATATTGATGGAATAACAAAAATGCACGTCGTAATCAGCCGGCATAGATCTTGGTCTGCAGTGGTCGCATGGATAGTCTCTGTCGGCGCCAGCAAGGCTAATGGTTGATATACAAATTAAAACTGAATGTAATTTTAATCCAGTTTCTATAAACGGGATTATAGTTACTTAAAGGCCCATTATGCCATCAAACATGCTATCATAAACCTTTTAATGATCTGGTGTCTTGTCACAGTTTCAAAAAAAAATTATTAGTGATATTCATGAACTCTCTCCTGCTACATTTGCTATGTTGGCAATTGGTATAATTATAATGTATAAGTGTTTTGTATGGAAGTAAAAATACTACTTTGCTTATATTTTATGACATATTACTTCACATATTTCTGCTTTAAGGTACTGACTTCGGGTCTTATGGTGACTTTTCTGCATGCTTTTTTGGTGAAAGAAGATCGAGCCCATAGTGGTAAGGAGCAAAGGATTGACTAAAGAGGCCACCTGCTGCATAAATGGCGTAATTTTAACAAGGTTAGCTTTTAAAAAAGCTAGTAGCGACTCGCTTCGTAATTTTTTTCAAGGGGTGTGTTTAAATGTAAAAATGACAGTTCTGTTAGCTGAAGAGACTTCAGCGAACACCAAAATAAAAGTGAAGTCAACACTGGCCCGGTGCCCGATGGCCAGTGTATATAAGTTCAGGCCTGTGTAAATTTAAGAAAATTTTGTTAATTATTTCGTAGAATAAATTCAAAACTTGAATTCGGGCCAGTAAATTCAAAATCTTAAACTCATTGACTGAAAGTGACATATAAAGTTCTCTCAGTTTAACCAAGATGAGTATGAGTATATATGAAGGTGCATGTAAACAGATTGAATGAAGAACCTATGTCTATGCACATTTACTATATGGCCTGTTGACCTTGACCACAAAATGTTAGATAGGTAGATTTCATAAAGATGTCTCTTTATACAAAATTAAGTTGTAATACATGTATGTTATTTAGTATTGGAATGAGAGGCACAAGTCCTAAAGTAAACACAAGTTGTCAATCAATTCAGCCAGAAAAGCCGGGATCCTATTAAAAAATATAGGGATCCCGGAAATTGACCAGTCTAAGAAGATGTTTTTCAGATAAGCCTGGATCCTATTAAAACATATAGGGATCCCGGGAATTGACCAGTTCAAGAATATAGTTTTCAGAAAAGCCGGGATCGTATTAAAATGTAAATAGATCTCACGGATTGGCCAGTTCAAGTATATAGTTTTCAGAAAAGCTGGGATCGTTTTAAAACATATAGGGATCCCGGGATTCGACAAATTCAAGAAAATAGTCTTTGATTTTTCCAATTAATTAGGCATATAATTATAAGTATTGTGATTTCCGCATTTTAAGTTTGTTAATAAATAGCTCTAAATATATCTATATTATAAGTTAAATTAATTTAACGTTCATTATATACAATAAATAATTAACGTTTAATGGCCTTTCATTACGACAACAATCAACACAAATATAGTTCATTAGGTTTTTCCTCCATATTTTATACGATCCCGGATCCCGGGCGTCCCGGATCCCGGCCAGTAAATACATACACTAAATACCGGAAAGGATAAAATGACCGGAAAAAAAGGAAAAATAAAAAATGCACAGAACCAGATGTACACTTATGTTAATTAACCAAACGAAAACTTACTACAGAGAAAACAGGTGAAATCGCTAAATCAGAGGTCAGTGTAAATATGATTTATTGAAAAGAATTCATAAAGACAAACATTTTAATCATCAATATATCTTTGCGCTCAAAACAATACTTGCTGATTTTTAAAAATGGCGTGAAAATTGAAGGTTTTTTGACGCTATGTAAGATTAAATTTGATTGGCTAAATAATTTTGGATCCTAGCCCTGATAGATAAATTTTGTAGAAAGCTGGAAGCCAAGCTTCGATTAAATTTTTGGATAGCTTCGGAGTTTTAGGTTGTTTCTTAGTAAAATCCTACCGTAATACCGGCTCGCCGTGGCGAGCCGGCATAAAGTGATAATGTGTGTGCATGTAAAGCTGATATATTACAACAAAACAATTATTTAAAGAAAAAACGAAAATATTTCAAAACATTATAAAAGTGTCATAAATTATGGTTTAAGTATAATGTGAAAATAACGGCCGGGGCGTGCCCATTTTCTATTTTACATGTTTTACCGCGTATGAAAATCAATTTACATGTCCATACAAAAATAAACTACACCGTACAGCTGCCGGTGTATGAAACCGCGACTCGATTACTAAGTACACGGTCCAATAATCAGATTGTAAACATGTGACGGAATAAACAAGACGTATAATTTTATACATATATTTATACATTCATCGACATAACTTATCGACCATATTTACTTCTATAACGAAAAGTGGATTATGTTAAAGTGACTGCATCCTATGTGATAAACACAAATCTTATATTTTAAAAATTCTGGATGTTTTTAGATGTTTTTAGATTAAGCATGTTAAAATATTCACATATTTTGAGGATACTTAGTTTGTTATTGATCAGTCACTGTCTAAGCGGTAAGCTACGTTTATCTTCTTAAAAAATATGTTTCAAATTATGATATTTTATGTTACAGTAATTATATGTATCAGGTAGTAACTCACACCTTAATTTAAAGGTTGTTCACCTTTATCTAATTCAAATCAAACGTTTTAAAGTTTGTCTTACATTAATACATATATAAATATATTATGAGTTATATTTTTACAAATGTAATATCATTATATATAACGTATACTTCTTGTCCTTTGCTCCGTTTTCATATATTTTTAAAACTCACCTAGAATGACAACTTCATTAAACATATGAAAAGGTAAAAAGACTTGAATAATGCGAAACATGCAACAGACTGCACATATTCTAACAATCGATTGAAATATCATTTGTATAATATACATTCTAAATCAAAATATTGTCAGTGGTCTAGCTCTTTCTTGCTTTGTTTAAAAAACCATTTGTTCATAATCACAATCCTCTGAAAAACCTTCTTTTGAAAGCCTTCTTCTTTTAAAGTGAAATTGTCTATTATGGTAGGTCTGTAATACAATAAATGATTATGTTGATAGAATTGAGTATCAGACATAACAACAAACCATTACATAATTATATGTATGTTGTTGACAGGTGTTAGATACGTCATCCGATATAACACATATGTATATAGCAGATAATAAAATGTTGTAGAACATATTATTATTATTATTCATATAGATGTATACTTAATTATTTAGAACTTTAATATTAATATTTTTTCAAGAATTTCTGAATTTCTATTGTTATTTATCAATATATGAAATACTTTTGGAAAATGTGTCCATTGTAGGCCAACCCGCTTTCAATGTATATTAAATTAAATTTTACTTTGTTATATATCATTATAATTATGTTGCTATTTATGTTCTGTTTTTCTTCTCTTTCTTTTATTATCTTTCAGGGAGTTTCAATTTAATAATACTTTTGTTAAGTCATGCAGCGCTGTTACTTCGTGCATTTAAATTCAAGATATAATACATAAAAATAATGTTCTTTTATTTTTTTCCCGGTAAATCTTATGATTCAATATGAAGTTTGCAGACAAATACCGGCATAATACTTTCAGATAAAATATATGATTTTTATAGAATGGGGTTTAATATCAAATTGAAATAAAAATCATTTTATTATCCATATATCAATTTAATAGTTTGTGTTTTACCCAACCCGTAACACTTCATTTAACTGTGTGTTTTTTTATGGATTTTATATGTGTTATCAGTATTGCTTAAATAAAAAATTATTGTTTTATAGCTACTCTTAAAAAGCTAATGTAAACATGTCAAAACAACTGAGTAGGATTTAACCACAGCTTAAAGACACATAAAGCTTAAGCAAAAAAATGTTTTTTCTTCTTAGAAGGAAACAAACTTTGCTTTAAGTTTGTAATATAAAATTTTTTTTTATTTTGATTTCCCAGAAAAATGGTTTTTTCATTCCCATGATATTACTATATCAAACATATCTTTTTTAAAGTTTCGAACAAACTGTCAAAATTTCCAAACCCAAAGGGTCTTTTTTTGGAATGGAAAACTTTGGGAAATGTTTTCAAAAAAATACTTAATCTGGAGGGTCTTTTTAAAAACGGTTTGACAGCTTCGGTTATAACCTTTTTGAAGTTTAACCAAAAATTTTTTATAAGTGACGTAATTTTTCGTGACTAAGCCCCCATATATTTCCGCAGCATAGCAAAAAATTTTTTTAATTTAAATAGGGAAAATAAAATCGATTATAAAAGAGTTATTTTATAGGCAAAATCTTATTAATGTATACGATTTAAAATTTAGCGTTACTTTTTTTAAAATATTTGATATTAATAAATACGGAAGAGCATTAGTGGCAGGTGTATGTTTTTTATTAACTCGAAATTTCGAGTTACTAACTCGAAATTTCGACTAACTTACCCGAAATTTCGACATACTCATCTTGAAACTTCGATTTACTGACTCGAAATTTCGAGTTACTTACTTGAAACTTCGAGTTAATTAACTCGAAATTTCGGCTTACTAACCCGAAATTTCGACTTATTAACTCGAAAACTCGACATATTAATTCGAAATTTCGAGTGATTAATCTCGAAGTTTCGACTTCATAACTCGAAATTTCGACTTAGTAACTCAAAATTTTGACTTGGTAACTCGAAACTTCGACTTATTAACATTACTAGAAAGTTATGAGTTACCAAGGGTTAAGATAATATAATATATAGTAGGGAGTGTGGGTGAACGATGGAGATGGAGAAACAGGTGTTAAAGTTAAACTTAACTACGTAATGGCATGTATACGCCCGACCTAAAAAAACACAAGGCTTCCTTTAATTTTTACGTTCAGGCGTTCTTCAGACGTTGTATTGTATCCCACATGTTCGAACAAATCGTTTCACTAATCCTATTCTTCTCATCACTATGAATAAAACGATCCTAAGTTACTAAGTTTCGAGTTAGTTAGTCGAAATTTCGAGTTAGTAAGTCGAAATTTCGAGATAAGCAAGTCGAAATTTCGAGTTAATAAAACACATACACCTGGCACTTATGCTCTTCCGTAAATAAAGGCAAACGGGTTTATATTCTTATATTTAAATTCCTCATATTAAAAAGTATATATCCTACGTAGCATTGAAATATCATTTATGTTTACACTAGAATATTGTAAGTTTTGTTGTTGTTTTTGTTTGCTACTGTTGTTTTGGTGGGGGTTCGGGGGTTTTTTTTTTTTTTTTACATTTTTATATAGATGGAAGTATATAACAACTTTGTATTACTCAGAAAATCACTGTTTAAAATAAAGGGAACATTAATTTAAATTAAACAAATCCTTTTCCGGAGATAAAATCCCATTCATCAAATTAGATATTACTCAAAACGTAGGTGGTAGTTATATTTCTACGCATACGTCTTTCCTACGTATATAATAAATTCATAATTTCATATCATATACAAATGTGCACAGAAACCGACAGGTGGTTGACATGGTGTGATAAAGTTATTTATAATTATGTTATAAATATATACAAAACATCAAGCCTTCAGCAAAATGCGTGTGTAATAAGTAATATGTGTTATATTATAAGTTTAATTTCCTCTGTTCATCTACGTATGTTGAGTGTACTATATAATTATGTTGTTTAGTCTAACGTGAGAATGTTTTGGGTAAAGACGTATTTGGAGGTGGTTTATATTGTTATCCTAAAATGATGTCAATGTTTGTCTAACATTTTTTTCTAAAATACCGTTTTGCTTTGATAGATAATTAGATTTTTTATCAAAAGTTATAATTTTATATATTAATTGGTATATCATGCTATATAATAATGAGTTTTAGTAACTGAAACCACAGACAAGTTATATTGTAATGTAATATAACTGTTTGCCATTGGTATATTGTAAATGATTTATTGCCATTGTTATATTGTACATGATTTATTGCCATTGGTATATTGTACATGATTTATTGCCATTGTTATATTGTACATGATTTATTGCCATTGTTATATTGTACATGATTTATTGCCATTGGTATATTGTACATGATTTATTGCCATTGGTATACTGTACATGATTTATTGCCATCGGTATACTGTACATGATTTATTGCCATCGGTATATTGAACGTATGCCAGTATATTATACATAAATGATTGCCATGGGTAACTTTTGCCATTTGTAAAGTGTACATGGATGAGTGCCTTTTATATATCGTACATGAATTATTGCCATGGGTTATGAATATATCTTTTGCGGTTATTATAAAAAATATCAAACGTGAATAATTCCCAGGTTTTTTGTCTAAATGATTTATGGTCTTGTAATTTGGGGTTAATATTTTAAAATTCCCAAGAGTTATCCTTTCTGCAAAAAAAGGTTATAAAATCGTACTAATGATTGCTTGTAATTTTACTAAATGATTCCATTGGTAATTTTACATAAATGATTGCCTTTTGGTATTTGTAATAAAGATTCCCATGGGAAATATTATTTAAGTTTTTGATCAAAACTTAAAAATCGAAATATTTAAATGCTTTCTCATTGGTGAGCCTGTAACTCAGTAGATAAAAAAGGTTTTAATTTCCCGCAATCCATTTTCAGCTCAGATCTGATAAGCCCCTTTAATTGATAAGTAGTTCCGCCCAAAGTATAAAATTGAAAAGACACAAACATGATCTTACATGCACCAGGATGCATTTTTTTATCAGTACTACAATGTTTTCTAAATAAAAGTTTATTTTCAAATAAAGTACAAGTACAGATAAACTGATTTGATACTATGTAAATAAAGGATTTATATTTTATTATTAGTTTATAAATAGTATGAAGATATCAAATTTGGTTACTACATCAGGCAAAACTTAGGCGGAGAAATCTTATTGATCCAATCTGAGTTGTTTTTTGATCTAATGTAAATAGATACACATGGCGTGAAGCAAAATCACTATAGCAGATATCCATTGATTTTCCAGGATATTTAAATAAATGATATATTATTGCGTAGATAATTATGTATTAAAACTCGAAAGCAATCATACTATTGTATTGTTATAACTAAAAATATTTTGAGCACTGGTTATCGAAAGAAAATAACACTTAAATAAAAGAATAGCTTAACTGAATGTAATAGACAAAATAACACCATCAAACTGTTTAACAATTGTCAAATGATTAAATGCAATTGGCCAAAAATTATCAAATATTTTCATACACATTTCACAGCAAAAAAGAGAAAAGAAATATAATCTACGAAAACATGATGAATCGAATTTAAGAGATCAGAAACATAAATTTGTTTATCTGTGATATTTTGATTATTATAAATTATTGAAGGCCTCTTCAACGTTATATTGTTATATTGTTGTTATTGTTGTTGTTGTTGTTGATGATGATGATGATGATGATGATGATGATGATGATGATGATGATGATGATGATGATGATTATGATGATGATGACACATCATTTTATGCAACACATTCCTTTTACAAAAATACTTATTTTTACAATGTTTTAACTTACAAATTGTCTCTTAAAAATTCGAGAAATACCCTTTTTTTCTTTCAAACTACGACTGGATGGTTTGACTCTAAAAAAGATTATGTGACCAAGCGAAGAAATAGGCCTGAAAATTGTTTGATACCTCAAGAAAAGAAAATGAATTTCTATTTATTCACTTTATAAATTAGGTAAAAAATAAAGAACAAAATATACTAGTAAAATATCAGGTATTTGAACACCAGGCATTTTCAATGTTAAGTTTATACTTAAAGACTGTGTCATATCCAATTTAAATCAAGCCAATTATTAATCAATATCTAATTGCAATCAAGCCATTCATCAACATCTAATTGCAATCAAGCCATCCGTTAATCAATATCTAATTGCAATCAAGCCATCCACAAATCAATATCTAATTGCAATCAAGCCATCCACAAATCGATATCTAATTGCAATCAAACCATCCACAAATCAATATCTAATTGCAATCAAGCCATCCATTAATCAATATCTAATTGCAATCAAGCCATCCGCAAATCAATATCTAATTGCAATCAAGCCATCCACAAATCAATATCTAATTGCAATCAAGCCATCCATTAATCAATATCTAATTGCAATCAAGCCATTCACAAATCAATATCTTATTGCAATTAAGCCATTCATTAATCAATATCTAATTGCAATTAAGCCATCCACAAATCAATATCTAATTGCAATCAAGCCATTCATTGATCAATATGTAATTGCAATCAAGCCATTCAATAATCAATATCTAATTGCAATCATGCCATTCATTGATCAATATGTAATTGCAATCAAGCCATTCATTAATCAATATCTAATTGCAATCAAGCCATTCATTAATCAATACTTCTTTTTATTTGACTATTTTAGTATCTGCCGACGGATATGGTTGTGAGTTACAATGGCAGCAGCTTCACAGATCATGTGTTCATTTTATAACAGACAGACCTGGTCTAAATTGGCAGGAGGCTCGAGATCATTGCAAAAATATAACATCTGACCTTTTGAGCATTGACAGCAGGCAGGAAAATGTAAGTTTTCTAGTTAATTATTTTCAAGATACTAGCCAAAAGTAAGACATGCGATCGTGTATTGTTTTATTGCCTTTTTTACAAATATCATAGTCTGTTAAGGCATGATTTGAGCTTGACACAGAGTTGTAAATTTCCTACACTCCACTTAGGAAGTATTTGATTTCGGATCTAAAAGCATACTTCCTGTACATAATTGCATATACTTCTGTAATCTATAAGTGTATCAATTTTGTGATCTTAAATTTGTATGTTTTTTTTTCTCTCAACGGCCGCAAAATGTGAGTCAATAATATTGTATTTCATGTATTATGTAAGTTTACCACATGAAAATAAATGGCTTTGCATTTTTGTTGCAGAAACAGATCAAAGAGTTAGTGAAATATTATGTTGAAAACTTTGGCTTCCTAGAATGGTGGATTGGTATACGACAGGTCAATGGAACCTGGCAATGGGTCGATGGCGAAGAAGAATACGCAAAAATTCCGTAAGTTGTTACTAGCTACTCCTTTCACTGACATAACCTAGCTGTAATTAATCAAATTGTAATACATGTACTCTAAATTAAATTTATTGGAGTTTCATCAGAAACATAGAACTAGCAGTACCTCAATTTTATCGTTGCTTTTGAAGTCTTTGAACGACGATCATTAGCTTTAAGTATTGATTTGCGAAAAGAGGACATAAAGCCGGTGGCTAGGGGCCAGGAACGAAGTAGGCTTCATATCACTTGGCAGTATCGCCCGTTTACGGTCATTCAAAGTTAACAAGCCTGCAACATTTTCAGTTATTGCTGTTTGGACATTCTTTATGGATTTTTTTTCTCCTACTTCAAAGATTTCAATTCGAATTTATTTTTTTTTTAACCTAGGCCATGGGCGCCAGCATCAGATAGCTATTCTGACTCAAGAGAAGACAGTAACGTCTTAAGTGATGATAAATGTGCGGTTATTGACGATAAAGGAAAACTCAGAGAAAAGTCGTGCATCAGAGAAAAAAGACCTTTTATTTGTGAAAAACTCCCAAGTAGGTTAAAGGGTCTAAATTCACAAAGTTTGTAAAAGAAACAACTTATAATTTCTTATTTAATTAAAAGGCACATTATGCCTCAGAAATCCACATTTTTTATTCTTAAAAATGTTAAAAATGTGTTGAATAGTGGACTCAGAGCATGTTAATATTTTACAATTCAAGAAAATAGCGCTGAATATGCAGTAATGTGTCATAAAGGTAGCAACACGTAAACAAAATAGTATTTTTCTTCCATACAAAATACTAATTCAATATATTTATACCAATTGCCAACAGAGCATAAGGATTAAAAGATGGCTCATCTATACGGCAAATAAGAATTTTTTTAAACTGTAACAAGGTACCAAAAATAAAATGTTTTGAGAAATAAGAAATGATATTTTTTTAGGCAAATGGCCCTTTAGAATAAAGATTACTCATGATTGAAAGTATAAAAATGATTATTTACTACACTTATATTACAAACTGACAACTAGGGCCTTTAAGATGAGAAATTCCTATCTCTTTCATTAAATTTTTTATTATTTTTATGTTTTTTTAAAAAAACGTTCGGAAAATTTTTGATAAAAAATTTTCTTTCTAAAATTGAAATTAAGAATATTTTGTTTTTTCTTGAAAATTTTCCCCGTGTTAAAAAAGATACAACTGATTTAAAAAAGGGGGGCAAAGGAAAAACCAATTTTGGGGAAAAACCAAAATGAATGATATGTAAAGGCATCCTCCAACGCAACCAAAAAATAAACCAGAAATGAAGTCCCAAAAGATTCTAAGAAACAACTACAAAATGTAAGCAGATGCCCTTTGGGGGTAACAGATTTTATTTCTAAAAAACTAAGAAAAGACGTCTAACCCTTTTGTACATGAAATTTAAACTTCTAAAAAATCCCCCGTTGCTTTTTTGGGTTTTTAAAAGGGAAAAAGTATTAAATATTAAATTTAAAAGTTTTATTTTGTTTTCAATCCTAAAAAATTACATAAGGCATCGGAATGGAAGAGACTCATTGCATAGCAAACAGTGCCGACTATAATAAGACGGGGAACGGTAAAATTAGTAAAATTTACAGGAAAAGTGTTAAAGGACACGGATCATTTTTGTGTCCTCTTTATATAATGCTTTTTTTTTATATAACATAATAATTAATCTTACAATTGTGTTTTAGGGTTGTTATAGCGTCAATTATGAAAGTACATGCCCTCCTGTGAACGCATTTGGAATATCATGGCCTCGTACAGAACCAGGAAGAATGGCTAAAGTTGCATGCGGCAAAGGTGATTGTTTTATAGCACCTTTCTTTGTTTTACGTATAACACCTTTTAAACTCTCAGAAATTCAACAAGATGATAACAAAATATCGTTTAAGGCAGTAGTAACCATATTATGAAAATTTTTATTCGCTACAAGTTCTTCCTTGATATTGTACATTTCAAATAATATTTCTTAATTCTATACAGGCCATGCCAAATGGAAATGTAACAAGAAACCAACATGTTGGAAAGAAGAACCAGACATAAAACACTGTACATCTGAGAGTATACAAGAGCTAACTTCACAGGTAGCATTGCCAATGATATTAAAATTGTATGACCATCTTTAAAGAATCCCAGAATACAAAGTACAGTAGTACGTTAAACGTCCATTCTCCATACAATTAAGTTAAAATGATATTAATTTTATGATGTATAAGCAGAAACTAACTCACATATAAACTTCATTTTGCATAATATACCGCTAGATATATAAGAGAGCGTGCCCATCTTTCAATTTGCACAAAAACTGCATCATCATTCTAGGGGACATTTCAAAATAAGGCATACCTAGTGCAAACAGTGCAGATCATGAGCAGACGGCGCGGATGTGCCTGCTAATCTTGATCTACAATTGTTGCATCGGTAGATTCAGTTGCCACTAGCAAGCTAAGGCTAATATAAATATTTTCTATCAAAGGCTGATGAATTCTTAGCCGACCCAGAAGATTCTGAAAAAGCAATGACATTTACTGGTAATTTAGCAGCAATGGTAAACGAATCAGAGGAAATGTCAGAACAAGATGTCTACCAGACGACAAAATTAATGAACGCTGCTTCAAATGCTAAACCAAAGAATTCGAAGGAAGCAAAAGGCATAATTAAGGTATATCATCATGAATAGCTTTGAAAAGAATATTAAATTTAAGACAAACTGATGAGGAAGGTGTTTCTTGTGATATTAAATATAAGAATTTAAAGTTTAGCCAAAAAAATACCCATAAATTTCGTATCATAATAATTGAAAGTAAATGTTTGTAGACTCTGTAATAGACTCTGTAATATTTAATATTTTTGTGACTTATCATACTTTTTACATTGAAGAATTAATATTTATACTAGAATGTTGCTAAGTGTGGAAGCGGGTTGGTTAGAAATGATAAGGATAAAACATGGTCCAAGATGAGCAAGGAAAGTCAGCGAACTATAGCCTCATCTCTACTGAACTCGATGGAAGCTGTTACCAATAAACTAATGAAAGCATTCGATAAACCTACAGTGGAGAATATCGTTGAAGACAATATGGGTACTTATTCTTCAATTCATTGATCGTGTGTTTGTGATTAATGTTGCGGTTGCATCAATTTCGAATGCATTAAGTAACTGTAGAACGTTTTATACGTGAAGCAAAACATTAACCTTTCCTTCGAAGACCTTTATTTGTTTCTGTTATTACAGAAATCGAGTTACAAGTTATAAATGTAACTGCCATACCTGGAAGCGAAGGTCCCATGTTTCATGGTGAATCCAACAGTTTTACAATACCTTCGGACATTCTGAAACAATTCAACACAGGTAAATGTACATGTATTATATTTCTAAATAAATTGTTTGATTGTTTTCAAATTAACAACTCAAGTATATGACAAGGGTCTGTCCTTTTTCAATTGAAAAAATGGGGAAAAAGTTATTTGTATTTGCATATTTGTTCTAATGATGATCAGAATATTTCAACTTCTAAATAAATTTATATAACTTCGTAAGAACAGTGTCAGGAATCGTTTAACGAAACCAACAAAAATGTAACGAAATCAATTTGAACACTGTGATACATTTGATATAAAGTATGCAAAAATTATGATTACTTGGAGTTTTAACAATGATACTGATATATCTATGTCTAATTATCATATACTTATCACCTTAAGGAGATTTAGCACGATTGGTGTTCATAAACTACAATAATGTTGGACCTCTGTTAAGTCCGGTTGATGACGAAGCAGACGATAAATCAGAACGCCGTGTAATGAGTCAAGTGCTAAGTGCATCTCTTGATGAGGAGCTTGGAGACAAGACACTGGAAAAACCTGTTACATTTTCATTGAAAATCAAACATGTGAGCTATACAAAATTTGTAAAATTCATACTTGTTAAAAGATTCTTTTGTAAGGTTGTTTGTCACGATTTTGATGATATCGGTTTTAACTTTTATAAAATTATCGTTTAATAACATCCTGTTTATAAAGATCTTGTTTCAAAGGGAAGACATAATTATTTTGAAAAGTTGTCGGTTGAGCTATTCTGTAAACAGTCATATATTTTATAACTGCTTGAAAGCAATAAATCCTGTCCTGTAATAATGTATTAAACATCGGTAATGTTTTAAACTTTGTATTTCATTTATATATCAACGAATATTTATAAGTGCGTTAAAATTGAAGAAAAGTTGTCAAATAAATCAATACGTTTTCAAAAGTATGTCTTTCATCTTTTTCAGCAAACTCCAAACCAAGATATGATTGATCAGTTATGTTCATTTTGGAATTTCAGTCTTGGGTAAGTGAAAAAAATAAAAAGATTTCTTATGTCATTGCAGTAAAAGCAGCAACAAATATAATAACCTCCTAAAAGGGAAACGAATATATAATATAACATTATCTATGATTTATAACAATATATTGTTATCATTATCTTAATAGAATACCTGATTAACGACTTAAACGGCAATATTGAAAATTTTGCGGCTGGTTTGATTGAGCCTGAAGTCATACAATTACAATCAAAACATACGACAAGTTTTTTCAAGACGGTATCTTACCTTTTTCAGGTTCTCGGGAGCATGGTCTCAGGAAGGCTGCTCTCTGAAAGAAAAGAACAACACGCATGTCACGTGCCAATGTAACCATTTAACCAATTTTGCTGTCTTAATGGATGTCCATAGTACTAAGGTTGTTATCAGTTTAAAGTTTGTAATAGAAAGTAAGAATATGAACAAAATTTGCTCCGAATTCAAGATAGAATTATAACATTAAACATGTATTCTGATATACGTGCATTGACAGGCTAAAATATCTTGATAAATGTTTTATTATTTCTATATTAAGTAAACATTTTCTATTATTATTCACCCTGAATAAATAACAATTAAACGTTGACTTAAAGTAAAGTGTTATGAGCATGAATATTTCCTAATTCAACAATTAAAGATGCAAATTATTGTCAGTCCACCTCAACCTAATGTTTCTCTACGTCAGTAGATACTCCTTTACTGTTATTATGTACAGCTGGCTGTTGATTTAAAGTAACACAAGTCTGGGTATTATTTATAACATCCATGCAAACGACCTTACTAAATTATATAAAACATTCAAATCAAGCATTGACTGAATAACTTTCACACTAATGTGTTGCATCTTCAAGTACTGATTTTGATTTATTCTGAGATAAGTTTTTTCATATCAATCTATTGATAATTTTAATGAATTTTTACCCAAAATTTTTTTATCAAGAAAAGCACAAATGCCTTTCCGTTACTTTTTATATTTAACGATAATCTTAAAAAGCAAGATGGATGTGTAAGATTGCAAAGGCATGCTTGCAAAATGAAAATTAATACAAGTACAAGTACAAAAAAATCTTACCAACAACTCATGTCCAACATTTAAGTTGTTCAACGCAAAAGGAATAGTTAAAGCAACAATTAGTGATGAAAAATTTTTGCTCTAATTTACACTAAAAACCTTATTGCTTACAAAAGGTAAGTCCGATAGAATCTAATTTTGTCTTGATTTCTTTTTTAGATAGAGGCACCTTTCCACACCTTGTTTAATCCTTTGTTGTATAATTATTCCTCGTTTGCTTTTTTCTTACTGGGTAAATTTCGTTTGCCCAGGTATTTTAATTATTTTTGTTTTACATTTTTTGTTTATTTCCCCGTTACTTATGATGTTAATAGTAGTTTAAATAAAATTTCAAATCCATCGGTGTCATAAACACGTTTTTCCCGCTTCTTTATTTACTTTGTATTTTCGGGGGTTGAAAATAGAAAATAAAAGGGTTTTTAATTTTATTATTTTATTATTATAAATTTTTTATTATTATTATAATTTTCGTAGATTAAAAAATAAAAGAATTGTTAGTGATATAGATTTTTGATTCTTTGATTGAAAATAAAGTACAAATGTATGTATTTATTTTACTATGTGTTGGTATTTGATTGCTTCATATGGTATGGCTTTATATGTATTAGCATACGTTGTATACGTGGCAGTAGAAGTAGTTACGGACACGCCGAGGGTAACGAATATTACGGCCAAAGTGGAAGTTATACTGGATCTACAGCAGGTTCACGGTAAACTATGCTTCTCCTGTTTCCCTCTGTGATAAATTATTGTATCAACCTATTTGTTAACTTTACAAAATGTTTGGTCATTTCGACTTTAGATTCAAAATTCAAAATGGTGCGCTTGTTTACCAAAGCAAAAAAAATCTAAATAGTAAATAGTTTTTAATCAAGCTGACTTCAGTTCAAGATATTCATATTAAGGAGATCGAATTATTAGTACCAGAACAGAAAAGCCTGCAACTTGTTATAATACGACAGTTTAATGAAACGTGTAAATGCAGTCCTAGTCATATGATCAATGTATATTCTTTTTATAACAACCATTTAACGGATGATTTCTCATAACGGCCAGTAGCCTTAGGACGAATATATTTCAATATTTTTTATGATTGTAACACATTACTAAGATAGCTTGCAGTATAGTTCATATCATTATATTTTTTTTATTTTATGCTTTTCAGTGGATTACTGATTTATCCGTAAAAATTATATTTGATAATTTCACAGTGAAAATTATCAAAATATAATTTCACTTTTTTCAATGACGAAACTACTTTTTTAAGATTTTCCCCATGTGGTACCTCAATTTTATTTTTACTGACAATTCTGACAATGTCAGGCTGTTAAAAGAAATAGCAAAGCTGAAATAGATAAATAACTTAAATGTCAAAAGTAATAAAGAGAGAAAACTTACTTCTATTTATTCAAATTCCAACCACCAAATTTTCGTCTCTAAATTTTTTTGTTTCGTTTTTACAGTCTGAAAAATACATTCCTTCCCCATGCAAAACTGCTCTTGATGACATTTGGGCATATTAAAGTATCCTACGAGCAATAACTGCCGTATGCTTTATGAAAAATTGAAAAGCATTGACAGCCATTACTCGTAGAATAAGTAAAAAAAAAACCAGCGTTCCTTTGCAAGCTTCCAAGTTTTCCATTTTCCTAGCTCCTTTTCTGAATGTTTTCACATCTGTCATCACTTATTTTTTGTCTGTTACAATCCTCAAATAAGTTTTCTTTCTTTTAAAAAGGTGTATGACTAACAAATCCAAATTATATCCCTCTGAATCTTACACAATTATTTTCCTCCCATGAAATACACAACTTTAAAAAATGGCTGCCGCTTACATTTTACAAAGCCAGGTCTAATATAAATTCGCAATAAGTAACAGAAATATGGATGGATGGTTGGACTTTTTCTCCTACAAGAATTGTTTGTTTTTATTATTAAAACAAGCAATCATTCATATTTTTTTAATAAAATGAATAAATATCACCGTCATTTAACCTTGATTGACGGACTTATTTTTCAGCTCAAGACTTCTTGTTTTTAATGAGAAATTCCGTCTAAATGGGGCTCTCAATGGGGGAAACAGATTTTAATATTAACGTTAAAATTATGGAAATTTCGTTTTAACTTGTTTTTAAGCATAAAATAAAAAGAAAATTTGTCTGTTTGTTGTGTAAGATGTAATATTATTTCATCTCGTGAACTTTAAAAACAGTATTCTCACTCGTGGCTACGCCACTCGTGAGAATACTGTTTTTAAAGCCCAGTCGATGAAATAAAATTTCATCTTACACACAAACAAACAAATATCCTCTATGTATTATAAATAATATGTTTAACATAAACTGCCTGATACATTAAGGTTTGCTTTATAATGACACGTTATTTTTCAGTTCTGCCCAAGGAGAAAGAAATTCTATCCACAAAAATCTTGCTTTCTGTTTGTTTATTGCTGAATTACTATTCATTTCCGGGATAGACAGGACAGACAATATGGTATAATAAATATAAACTGTTCATTTGTAGTTTATTTTTATGTGATGTTGTTAAACTCGTTATTTGTCTTTTATTCAATTTGGAACATATATGATTTCTAATGCTTTTTAAACAATCCCCGTGATAACTAAGATATAAGGGACAAAATCAGGATTAAAAAAAATACTCTAATGTTTTCCATCGCTTATCCTCATTTTTTTAATATGATAAAATTGGGCTTGAAAAAGAATGTTTTCTAATTCTAAGATTAAGTACAAGATATGGGCATTTTATACTAAGTCAAAATATTGATTTTGATCCTAAAAACCGATCCTTATTTTGATCTGATTATTTTAGTATTTTAATTGTTTTTCCTCAATATCCAAAATAGGATTGTTTCTTTGCGAATCAGTCATCTTTTACATATTGTTAATGTACCATTTATGAAAGCCAAATACAATCAATTTAAGTTTCATAAAGCAATGAATCGTGATCGTTTGATGCTGATTAACGAACCTTCATTCAGCCTGTACCTTCTTTTAAATATTTCAGGTTGCATGTGCTATAATAGCAGGATTTCTACACTACTTCTTCTTGTCCAGCTTCACATGGATGTTTGTAGAAGGAATCCAAATACTGTTTATGTTGGTACAAGTCTTCGACGCTGCCAAATCGAGGCTCAGATATTATTATGCCATTGGCTACGGTATGAATAACTCAGATGTTATAAAACGACCTAAAGTCATTGCACCAAGCTTGATATCCTTTTTCATTACTGTAATAATCATTATAATAATAATAGAAATAACTTTATTTTAAGAGATATAGCATCGTAAAAATGCAAATTTAAATGTGGACTCAGGAACACTAAAAAAACGTATACAATAAGCCATTTTGAAAAACAAAACAAATAATTTGATTTATGTCACATTCATTCTTTGACCATTACTTTTAATTTCATTTAACGAAACTTGACATACATCAACAATATGTATTTTCAAACCAACATATTAATTTCCTACACACGTAAAATTTATTACCATGTTTTTATATATGCTTTTTCAGGTGCCCCATTACTAGTGGTTGGCATATCAGCTTTAGTTTATTATGAAGGTTACGGAACAGAAAGATAGTGAGTTCAAAAAATTATACAATATGCAAATACAGAACATCTTAGTATATTTTTCTCAATGTTGACTTTCTTGGATATTATGGCTCATCTCAAGGCATGCAGATTAGAAGATAAACCTTCTATTGCTATTTGGACCCGCTATTCGGTATTTTATTGGTGTTCCCATTTTAACTATCGTATGAAAAGTAAATTTCATATGGGTAAGTTGCAGAATCAATCTAAAATAATGGCATTTCAATGGCACCAATGATGTATTACTATAAAACTATTTATATCGGTAAAGAAATAAAAATGTTGTTAACATGACAAATTGTTGTCCTTTTCCTACAGTTGTTGGTTGACTACAGACAGAATGTTTATTTGGAGTTTTGCTGGTCCTGTTGCATTTATTTTATTGGTAAGAAAAACATATATTTGAATGTATTTTCAATGTGACAAGAATCGTGAATAATTTTTGTTTCCTTCTCTATCTCTTTTTTATATGAGGCGAGACTTATTTGTCCCGTTCTTCACTTCAGTGTTGTTATATTTTTCTGGTCCTTTGGGATCATTGAATCCAGTACTATTGAGTGTTGTTGAGAATTGAGTACCGCTCAAGCCGGTGCTAGGGGGCGTGAGGGATGCTGCATTTTTTCAATATCCCTCATGTGCGGACTCAATCAAACAGAGTCTGCAATTTTCATGTAATTTTGCTGTTTTTAATGCTTCCAATGGATTACTTTTTCCAGATACTGATATTACATTTAATTATAGCTCTGTGATTTGAGTAAATTAAGGTCAAGGCGTATATGTATGGTACTCATAACTGCTAGAAAGGTTATACATTGTATTATTAATTTGCAATTTTTGTGGACACAAAGTCCTAAATAAGATGAACAATATGTTCAAAGTATTTTGTGTTTATTCAACAGGTGAATCTAGTGGTCCTTATTTACGCTATGTCTACTGTATGTAAGCATTCCGAATACGTGTTTGACAAAGATAAATCAATGTTTGGAAGTTTTAAGTAAGTACAAAACCTTCTTACATCATGTATACATGTATACAAAATTACAATTGTGCAAATAACCTGAAAAAATGTTTACAAGAGCAACGCAAATCTTCTCCGGATGGTATTTTCAGTCCAGTTAATATACATGTATATGTACTGTTATTGTTTTCGCTTTGATTTGTTGGAATTTTTTAACCATTTTATTTTCTTCAATCTAATCATCTTCCCTGTCTTGTTTCGGTGTCATATATGACCTAAACTGTGTTAGTGCGCTGTAAAACCAAAAGAAATCGTCAATCTAACACGATGACATATATACCACAATGTGTAGACAGTATAATCATCTGTTTATCATACTTCACATTTCTCTTTAATAACTAAAGTACAACTTCAACCTAATCCAAAGTGGATCAATGTCCTAATTAAGTAGATAATAGGTTAAAGACATCATATCGGCTCAATAACTGAAGTACCAGTTGACCTAAAACCTATTTGCTTTGACGTTATATGATGGTCTTATTGAGAAGATGACCTCTGTCTTTCCGGCGGTCTTGTTGCCTCATCATGCAATAAAAAGTGAAGAAAATAAATATCTAAATATCTCATTCGGCCCAAATTTAATATTGCTATGGCGGTAGGCCAAAGCTACAAGATGATGGCTTTGGGTCACTTTGACAACGTATAGGTCACTATTACTTTACGGTTTAACGTACATGCATGCTTTTTTGAAAGTATAGGATTTTATTTAAGTTTGATGGAAATGTAAATATGATGACATGTTTTATAGAGCATGGATACAAGGAGCGTTGGCGATGGAAGTTCTGCTGGGACTTACTTGGGTGTTTGGATATTTCTATATCAGTGAAGGAGCTATACCAGTTGCATACTTCTTTACAATTTTCAACAGTCTTCAAGGCCTATTCATTTTCATATTCCACTGTATATTAAATAAAAAGGTAACTTATTTAAATTACATTTCCTTTAACAATTATTGTTATTACAATACTAACATATCACTATCAAACTAAGGGATGCATATAGTTTTGAGTTGACACGTTGGTGCCCAAAATGCATAGCTGTATTTGCTTACAAAAGCAAATATAATATATTGTGTGGCTGCCTTAGAAAGTTTCCCATTCTTCATCTCAGTATTGGTATGCATATTATTTTTGTGTTTCGGCTTCATTGATTCTAATTATTTTTAAATGATTTTTAAGGATTGTACACCGCTATAAGCCGGTGCTGGGGTGGGGTGAGAGATGTTGCTCTTAACATTATCTCTCGTAAACAGAATTAACAAAACCAAATCTGCAATGTTTTCTATTGAGGGGTCTCCTCTCCCCAGAATGAACATGCCTAGAAAACGTTCAAAAGCTAAGATAACGCTATATATGATCAAAATAGAACAATATCAATACTGCTTTGTTGCTAAATTTGTTCTTTTAACACCAAAGTTGCAAAACAGTACTAAGTTCATCATGTTTTAAAAGAATGCATTTTTCTTCTTAATTACAGGTTCGTATTGAATACTCGCGCTTTCTTGATATTCCAAGAAGATATTCTTTAGGTTGGACCAACTCTTCTAAAGGGACAAATCCGGGAGCATCAGATCATCGGAAGAATACAATCCCAATTAATGGGACAAGAGAGCAACCCGAATGCATTGATTTGGAAAAAGACAGACGACCTTCGACCAGGTCGACTACATCTGCGTAGAAAATGTTATTCAAGTTTTTGTGTGCATGGTTATTTTAAGTTGAACATAATTATGTACAAGGACTAGCAAGGGCTTTTATTGTTGTGAATTCAACTATCACCGGTGAAATGTGTTTTGTTTATGGTGCTATTTATATCATTTTATTCTGTTATTATTTACGAGTTTTGACATAATATATGACTTTGGTATTTCATTCATGACGCATTGTGCCAAATCATGCGTTTTGCCATAAACAGGGTCATAAAGACCCTTAGTGTATATAATACATGTACATGTATAAAAAAATTGAATCTCAAAGAGAAGTTTAATTACAATTAAGTCTGTAAAAAGGCTGAAGTTTTAAGTCTTTTGATAAGACTATTTGTGAACTTCAAATATCTCAAATAATTCAATATTTTAAAATTTCTTTGAATATTATTGTTTTCTGATGAGATCATATCTTCTCATATTAATTCATTTAATTTTTAAAGAGTTGTTATTATAATTTACTCTCTGCAATGTACTGTGTTCATTAATTCTATTTTCTATGTTAGTAAAAGCTTCAGTGATTAAATTGTAAATGCAATATAGTATTAAATGTGTGTATTTTACAAAACTATACGATGTTCTTTGTCAGTTTATTCACTCCCGGTTTACACGTTTTTAGTGGGCTTCCTTTATTAACAAATCAGTCCTGCCAGCTATAGACTACAATACTAGTATAATGCTCCAGGTCCTCTTGAGAATGTATATACTCTAAAACAGAAACCATGATCATTTTGCTCACTGCCATCATTAATTCAAGCTAAAACTCAGGAACTTATATCATTACTGAAGAAGCATGCAGTACAATTTACAATTTATTCTTAACTCCAATGGACTGTCTTATCAACCAATCAGCAAACTGTCCTTGACTTTTTGTAACCGAAACTCCTCAATCAGTTCTTCCAGAGGAGTAACTTGCACATCGATGTGAACTAAATTGACAATGTGTTAACAGAACCACTGCATCCTTTATTGTAATCTATAAAGATCAATGTGTATGGGTTACTGCGAGCACAAGCACCCGTTACTTCCGATTACTGTATGATTTACTGCAAGCTTATCTTATAATTTAACTTTTATCATTTCTGGTGAGCGCAGGAAGTACAGTACAATCTTTGCATAGCAACACTCATTTAGAGACAATGATTCTGATTGTTAATTTTGAGGTGTTGCCCAATAGAGATGTTATACCTATTGAGAAGTATTTGCTGGGGAATAACCTGATGTTGTATTGTTAGACTGTAGATCTATGCTTTTATCAACCGACAAAGAAGAAAGACCAAAAACAGTCTGGTCTAATTACCAGTCTAAATCTGGATTTCTTTTCTTTAAAAAAATCAAGAACAAAAAAATGAGATGTCATTACCTTTTTTTTTATTATTTTTTGAATGCCATATCACAGAACAGGATCAATAAATATGAATATTATAATTATAATATAAAAAAACTGTGTTCACATGAGATTTTTGTATGAATATTAACATGCAGCAGTATATAATTTATAAATGAAAAATCACTTATATATACATGGAAATGTTTCTTAAAACAATAACAAAAACAGTGAGCAGTTGCAAAAAAATATTAAGTGTTCTCAGCACAGAAAAAAAAGAGGAAAGAATATATGATAGATTAAGGAACAAAGCTTCATGTTTCTTTGGGAAAATGTTTTGTGATCTTGTAAGGTTTTTACAGCTGTATGCATCCAGATGAGCCAAAATATTTCTAGAAAAACAAACTTGAGAAAAATGAAATTTTTTAGAAAAGTTAAATTATTCAAGAATCCAGTATTAATTTACATGTTGTATGTGATTAATGACTGATATTGCAGCATTGATCATCATATTTCTGCTTCATGACTTACACAGAAAGGGCTATTTTTGCTTACTATGTCCTCTATGTGGATTGTGTCATTTGCAATGTGTAAATAACTATCTTTGTTCACTTCACAACATAATAATTCTGCATACATTTTCAAAAATTTCATGCAAATTAGCACAAATCTGGAGGCTTGCTGCTTTAAAAGTTAAAATTCCAATCTCCAAGTATAGAGAGGGGAAAAAAGAACTCAAATTTTGTACAGCAAACAGCATATCATTGAAATTATCCAGCAATTCAGTAACATTTGAGAACACTACACTATCATTTGCAAAATTTAGTGTTAAAGTTCTTTAGTAATCCTTAGCAATTCCTCTTTGATATTCAGTTCACCATTGTAATATTCAAAGTAACACATTGTTATTAATCTATGTATCACAAGCTCCAAAATTAACAATTCACTTTTAATATATGTTGAAATGCTCTTCTACTATTTGATCAGTCTCTACATCATCACATGGGCCACACAAAAAAGTGTGTTATTTTTCTTTGTTATCAACACTGATCAGGTTAGCTGATAGTAGTCAACAATTGACAGTTTTTGTACAATAGTCAGAAAAGTTCCACAACATCGAAAAAAATTGTATATCTAAGATGTAGCGTTTTATAAAAGTCATTTAGTCCATATCTGGTGGTAAATCATCTTCAAGCTGAGTTTCCTCCCTTTCCACTTTGTCTGGTTCCGTAGGTGACTGGTTCTGTAACTGAGATGCTAGACTGGTATTGATTATTTTCATCAAACAATCAGCCTGGAAAATAAATATACAAACCAGTCAAAAACAAACTGATGTACAGTGATTCATTTTTGTCAGTGTAAGATGAAAAATTTTAATACAGGCATTTTTGGCTGTACATTTTTTTGTAATTGTTTTATCTGTCATTTTGAGAACTTTAACACATTTACAACTATCTTTAATAAATTTATAGACCTGATTGATCATCTAATTTTTCTAAGTTAAGCGGTCTTTAAAAATTTACAGTTATCATTTAACAAAAGATGAAACAAAGAGAACAATCAAAAATAAATTAAAGTTCTTTATTAATATCAGGACAGGAAAAAAACATAACTTTCCAACTTTTTGGCAGTACTAAAGATGCAAGTGGATGAAGAGAAACATGAAAATATGAACAGAAATTTCTGAGTTGAAAAGTATAGAAAAAACCAACAATATGAAGTTAATCCCGTAAGTTACAAAGATGATAGGAGTAAAAATACTATTTTCAAGTAAAAATATTGATGGCAAGTAACAATATTTCACTCAAACATTTCTATCTCCCTTCAACTGATCCTAAATAGTCATCAATCAACTTTGAAACAATTATAACACCTAACAACTGTAATATAAACAGTTATATAACAGCCTAACAGCTCCAACATTATCTTACCACGAACAGTTTACTCCCCAATCAAATCATTTATTTCTTGGAGATTTATATTTATCCTTTTTTCACCCTTTTCACCTTCTAATTCTACATCTATTACATCTATGTCTTTACCAAGATCATTCTTATCCTCGGAAGCTGAATGTTTGATCACTTCAAGAAGCCTGTCACGCTAAAATTCATTATTTACTCTCATATAGCTTTCATATCAACAATCATCAATCTCCCTTCTCAATTTTCCTAAACTTTCCAAATCATATGTCTCCCCTTTTACAATCACCCTATTATATCAAAACCTTCTCTCCTCTTAGCAATCTTTCTAAAATCATAATTTCCAAATTATCTGTATTCTTTTTTTTCATTCCCCTTTCAAAAATCATCTGGATTCTCTCCCCTTTACAATCTATCTAAAGGTTTCAAATTTTTTGTCTACCCTTATTCAATCTCTCTTTAATATCATCTGATTATCTCCCCTTTTCTAAAATTCTAAAATAACTTGTCCCCTTTTTTTCCAATCTCCCTTAAACATCATCACTATTGGGTATTCATTCCCCTAAGCAAACTTATAATTTCCAAAAAAAATTCCAATAACTTGTCCTGTTTTGTTTTTTTTCAATATCATCACAATTCTTTCCCCTTAACAATCTTAAAATTTCCTCATTTTTTCTTTCCCACACCAGAATCATCAGGATTCTCTCCCCTTAACTATCTTCCTAAAAGTTCCAAATTATTTGTCTCCCCTTATTTAATCTATGTTCAATATCATTACCATTCTCCACCCTTAACAATCTTCCCTTAAATTTTCACACTGTCTTTCATTACAATCTTTAAAAAATAACACAATTATTCACCATCCATATTCAATCTTTTAAAAATATCATAATCATTTCTCTCCCACTTGCAAACAATTAAAATTTTCAGAAAAAATCCAGTCACTCAAAAAATGAAAGACCAATCACCTGACATAAAAACCTGATTATTCTATGCTTAAAATAAAAGCATGGTAAATGTTGGACGTGTCTTAGAATGGATTTAGTTAGCAAACCTGTTTGTCTTGTGGCAAAGGCGCAGGCATTGATCTAAGCTGTAACACTGTAACCTGACCCTCACTATCCCCAACTAATAAACACTGGAAATATATATTAATGAAAACTTATCAACAACTATATTACACAAACAGAGAAAAATGATAAAATGTAAAGATTCTATATTGATCAAACTTGCAAAATTACTTAAAAGTTGACATATAATGCTGTCAACTTTTTTTGTTTATTGGTTGGTTTTACATCACACCAACATTGTTTATATGGAGACAACTTTCCACTAGCGGAGGAAGACCTTATGTGCCCCTCTGTGCATTATTTCAGGCTAGGACAGGCACCTGAGTAGAACCACCAATGTTCAATGAGCCAGCTGGGTAGCTTCCTCACAAGGAAGAATCCAAAGTCCTAAGAAGATTCAAAACCACAGCTGTGAGGGACAAATGGTTTAGAGGTAACAACCTTAGCAACTAAGCCATGGAGACCCATTTTATATACAAAGTTCAGTTGTAGTTAGGTTTTTTACTGAAAATAACACAAATGATTTGTTATATTCATTTGAAATGTGCACCCCCATCCCCCCACTGGAAACAATGTTTTGCTAGATAATAGATTATCAAGTTAAATATAGTATATATGTTACTGTAAACAAAAATACTTTGAATTTTTTTTTTTTTTTTTTTTTTTTACATTTGATCTACCTAACAAACTTTCCAGGATATCTATAGTAATTATGAGTTAAATATATTTATGTATATAATAACAATACTGCGATACTTACATCCGAGTTCTTTGAGAATGTGACAGAGGTCTGTTTGGCACCAGAAGTTGGGTTATTTACTATGATTGGATCCAAACTAAATAAAGATAAATGATTTTTTAAAAACCAATTCTTCCTTTATAAATATAGCATAAAATGAATGTGTTAAAAAGTTGCATATTTGGAAACAATGAAGAAAAACAACAATAAATATTTTAAGAATTGACAAATTTATCTTGTCTTTATTCTTTTCTGGTTTGCTTATGTTTGTTAACTTCCACCATCATAACAATTTTGTTGATGTTAGATTTTAAAGTATTACCATCCTAATGCATTACGTCCGCATTGAAGAGTATTCAAAAAGGCTAGAACTACTGTTAACTACATTGAAAAAGAGGGCCGTGGGTTCAATCCCCAGAAGGGTCAACTTTTTTTTTCTTTCTTTTTTTCTTTTAACATTTTTTATGTATCTCTCATGTCCCACTTGGAAAGAAAAAATTGTTTAATTTTGATTTCTTTTAATTTATATAGGTAATTTATTGGCTAAATTATGCTAAATCTAGTAATAAATACATGTATGGTACCTGATATTTTCAAAGTGTAATAAAATCAAAACTAGACGGTAAAAGTATTTCATATTTTACAAGATCAACCAATATACTTCTTTAAAATTTAGGGAAACTTTGCAAACAGGCACTCATTTGGGTAAATTTTAAGGTTTTTTTTAAATTAGGCTCCCTAAGTAGGAAAATGGTCAGACACATGGTAAAAAATGGGTGGGGTAAGGGTAACATTTTTATACAGATTTCATAAATTTTAAGTAGAAACCATAATTTTGTTAAGTGGATTGTTAGCTGAATGGTACTATTTGTTTCTTACCAAAAATTAATGGGAAAACATTAACAGATTATTTAAAGGTTCCTCATTTCTAAAAAAGGGCCCTCATAACATACTAGCTTGACTTCAGAAAAGTGGCCATAACTTGATTTCCGTACGGTAAACTTTGTTTAAATTGTGCATACAGGTGTACTTTAAGGTATATATCTGACCTATGATGTCAATTTTTTAGTTCCTTATAGTGCCCATTAGGGTAATAATAATACTTTAAACCGCATCAACATTTGAATGGACATGTTGCAACTTTCCAGCTTTACTGATTAGAACCACAGATGTTATGTGAAAGAATTCAAAGTTCCTGGTAAGTTTCAATTCCACAGCAGTTAGGGGAAACTTCTTTGATGGCTGATATCCAACCAAGCTGTTGTTTCCTTGAGCAAGAAATTTTGCATTCGTTGCTCAGTACTGGTTGATTCCAGGAACGGATTAGACAGCGTTTCTACAAGTTTTAAGCTTCCAACACAATCAAACTAAAATATATAATAACAACTTACGTGCTAATATTAAGATCCCAGACTTCTACAGAGCCTTCATTAACACAGGCAAACACTGTTGAAGAATTTGGTGACCAGGCAATATCATAGACTGGTTTCTGAAAAATATTCCAACTCAATATATACAATGTACCAGGTATTGTTTTTTCTACAAACAATATTTATTATAAAATTATGAAGTTATTTGTTACCACCTTCTTACAACTTTGGCTGACTTTTGTTATTTCTAGTACAATATGGATTTGATACAGATTTTTTGGACTTTGAAAAGATTTGATAGATTTTTTGGACTAAAAATAAAAATGAGGCTTGACAGAGTACAATATGGATTTGATATGGACTTTTTCGGACATGGTGCAAATGCTGGATGGTCATCTTGTAAAATGTGAACACAATATTGTTATGTACATTGAATGAATCAAGTACAAAAATTATGATATAAATACTGGTACCTACCGTGGAAGAGAAGAAGTTCAATACAGGTCTAGGTTTGTCCTGATGCCATAATCTGATGCTCCAATCTGCACTACAACTTAAAAATACATCGGGTACAAATGGTGACCATACAATACCATATACAGGTCCCTGTCAATTAGAAAATATACAATGTATTGTGTATCAGGTATCATAGGAGAGTTATAACGCTACAGACTTTATTTGGTATAACACTGGACATATACTAAATTTATCAAGTGAAATAACAATTTATCAATCATGGTAAGAAATCTTAGACAAGATTATACATTTATGTTTATAACTAAAAAATATACAAATTCATATAAATATACTGTCAGAAGATTACTTTAGATTGAACAGAAAAAAATGTCAGCATCAAATAAATTGATTAATACTGATCAGTAAGAGGAAAATAATTATAATTAAATTAATTAAAAGTTAGTTTTACAAAAAAAATGAAAAACCCAAAAAGTGATAAACAGTTATTCAAACTTTACACTTACAGTGTGTCCAAAATAACTTTCAAGAAACTGTTCATTATATGAACATGAACATCTGTGTATGTGACCATCTTCAGTTCCAGCTAAATAACTGAAATAATAATAAAAACATACAAGATATACATTGTAATAGGAGAATTCATAACAATACGAAGAATTCATAACAATTAGAAGAATTCATTAAAATACGAAGAATTCACAACAATTCAAGATATGCATATACATTATAATCTAAGTCTTTATCTATTTGGTTTGGTTTTAAGTTGCCAACAACACTGTAAAGATCAAATGCTTAACTAGAGGAGGAGGACTTCAGGGTGTCATTCTGTACATTATTTCAGGCATAACCAGGTAGTTATCTATGTAGAACCATGCACTTTTCCTAAGCTACCTTTAGAGCTTCATCACATGAAAGAATTCAAATAAACCAATAGGCTCTATCTTAAAGAGATACATTTTGTGATTTTTAATTCATATTCAATTAGTTTTATATATATAATATATACTATAACTAATTTTTTTACCCTCTGTAGTATCAAGTACATATACATAACAGGTATCACATGAAGATTTGAACTTACATGTTAGCATCGCGTGTATTAAAGTCAAAACTAAGACCTCCTGCATGGCGTGAAATAAATGCTTCCCCTTTCTTCTCCTTCTTACCACCCATTCTTGTAGGCATTTTCTTTAGTCTCATTAAATCTATAATAGGTACAAGACATGTATAACAAAAGTACCAATTATATTAATATAAAGTTTCTCAATCACATGAATAAAGTTTTAATTAAATGTCTTTGACAAAAAAAATGTGCCTTTTTCACAATATGTCCATGGTATGGGTACTAATACTGCAAAATCATTATTATTCATGGGGCACTAACTTTCATGGGTTTTTTTTGTATGTCAATCAACAAATTTAAGATCCAACTAAATTTTATCTCCACAAATATGTCATACATTGTCATATTTTTTTATCTTGAGGAATTAAAGCAAATTCTCATATATTCCAAAGGGAAAATAAGAGAAATATATTAACCTTCATGTTGTTTTTAAAAGAGAAGATTTATATCAACAAAATCACAAAAGTTACCCAAATTAATTATTAAACATAAATTTAAAGCAAAATTTACCATAACATTCAAAGCCTTTCCTAATAGACCACTGACACACTCTGCCGTCAGTAGAGATGGAGACTAACACCTCAGCTGATTCTTCTCCTGAACCTCTTTCTTTCTCTATCCACTTGATCTGCCATACTGGTGCCGTATGCTTACCAGGTGATAAACTGTATAGAAAGATATAAAATGTACCATACTTACAAAATACCAAGTCACCAATGAAAATTAACTTTAAATATCTGGAAAAAGTGATCCCTCGAAAGCATTAAAATCAGCAAAATAACATGGAAATTGCAGACTAATTTTGATTGGGTCTGTACAATAGGGATAATGAAAAAAGTGCAACATCCAGAACGCCCCCCTAGCACTAGCTTGAGCGTTTACTCAATTTTTAACACTTACAGTGCTAGACATTCTCAAAGTTTTGTAATTTGAATTAATAACTTCATAGATAATACAAATAAACAACATCATATGGTCTGACGATAAATATCTTTACTACATTGTATTTACAATCAAATTTGTTATTTACTTACAAGTTATCTAAGATAGGTTCATCTGTTGAATGTCTAACATTGTACACGGCTACACCTCCATCATATAGACCAACCTGTAGTCAACATAAAACATGTAAATTTCACTGGATAGTAAAAATCAACAAATAACTGTCATTTTACATGTACAATAATTCATTTGATATATAGCACCCACAACTGCAGACAAACATGTGTTTCACAGGAAAGTTTAAAATAATTAATTTTGGTGAAAAAATAAAATCAATAACCCAAAAACATGTTAAAATGCTATTTACAGAAATGAGCTACATGTAAACTTGTCTCTGGACTGTAACTTAATTAAGATCTGTAATTTCACTTTGTTTCATTGTTTTTGAAAATGATTTAAAACTAGAAATGTGTCATCATGCCACGGATGCCCCCCGCATGCAGCCACAATTTCAGATGGTGCATTAATTATTTTTTTCATTTTAAGTTCAAAGCCCTTAAAACTTTTCAATGTTAACACAAACCATTTTCATACAATGTTCAAGGCACTGAAATTATTCAGTCTTAACCTTTTAAAAATAGCATATTGAATATTTGTAGCCAAAATAATGGCTAAAAGTATGAGTGCTGAAACTGCCAAAAAATCATCAAACCATGACCAAATTCCAACTTGACCTGTCTATTCCTTTGACATATCCATATGTCAAATTTAAGTTAGATAATGAACAGAAAATGTAAATTTCATATTATTTTCAAAGTGAATGGGGCATTACTTTGCCAAAAATCATTGAACCATGACCAAATTCGAACTTGGCCTGGGAATTCCAAAAACATATCCATATGACAAATTTGAGTTGAATGTGTTGTACCATCGGCGAGATAATAAACGGAAACTGAAAATTTCATATTACTTTCAAATTGAAAGGGGCATAACTCTGCCAAAAATCATTGAACCATGACCAAATTTGAACTTGACCTGTATTTTCTCATGACATATCCATGTCAAGTTTGAGTTGAATGTATTGTACCGTTGGGGAGATAATGAACGGAAACTGAAAATTTCATATTATTTTCAAAGTAAAAGGGGCATAACTCTGCCAAAAATCATCAAACCATGACCAAATTCGAACTTGACCTGTATTTTCTCATGACATATCCATATGTCAAGTTTGAGTTTAATGTGTTGTACTGTTGGGGAGATAATGAACGGAAACTGAAATCTCATATTATTTTCAAAGTAAAAGGGGCATAACTCTGCCAAAAATCATCGAACCATGACCAAATTCAAACTTGACCTGTATTTTCTCATGACATATACATATCTGAAATTTTAATTGAATGTGTGCAACCGTTCTTAAGATAATGAACGGAAACTGATGATGACGGAATGACAGAATGACGGAAGGACGGAAGGATGGAAGGACGGAAGGACGGAAGGATGGAAGGACGGAATGACGGAACAGGGTAACACTATATGCCCCGGCCATTACATGGCGGGGGCATAAAAATAGCTTTGACAAATATATATATTTCCTAAGAGGCATATATTATGTACTACAATCGTAGATTCCTCGAGTTGCAAGAGTCAAATCTGCATTGAAATCGTACATAATTATATATGTCTTTAATAGATTAAGTTTTATAACACAGTGCATTTCTAGAATCTTCATGTGTGTAGCCTTCCCTTTTACAGCTCTAACAAAATGTCTTATATCAAGCATTTTTTTCAAAATTTGATTATATTCTTTTGTTTTACAATTGCACACATATCAAATTAACCTCCCAAAATCAAAGGTCTTATAACAAAATTTAAAAAAAAAAAGTATTATACATACAGCAAGAAGGCTTGGATTAACCCTGGAGAAGTCTGCTGCCGTCACACCTTCCTTACATGTGTACACACGTTCTGGAAACTGTAAACAAAGAAATATATGATAAACTTGTACTATACATGTATCTTATAATGAACTTTCTAAAATGCTTAGAATTATTTAATTTTAATTGTGCTTAGTAAAGTTTTATAACAATATGAACATAAAGGTGTGTCAAGAGTTGATGAATAAGACGTGTTCAAAATCAAGCAATCAAATGCTAAAAATTTAGACAGAAATCCATTATTTGTGCTAAAAATAGACACAAAAGCATGACAACCCTTATATCATTGACATGGTAGAAGGTTACCACTTTTTTGATCTCAAAATTGGGCAAATACTAGCATAGCTCCATAAAATAAGTAAGAACTGTCCAGGGAGCAGTGGAAGAGCGTTTTGAACAAATTAGAGTCTGAGATTAGAATAATTAAGACCAGATCTGACAGTACAAAACAGCGCAATTACTGAAATTCTTTTATCCCCTTTTCTCCTCTACACATGATGGAACAGGGAAAACTGGCCTGTATATAAAGAAAAATTTCACATAAATAGCCTGCCCAGGAATGATGCGGTGTCTGAACTGTGCTCTGGTAAATTTCAATGTGGCTTACTGCTGTTATCAAGAGTGGAAACTATCAACACCACCACAAAAATATATAAAGTGATAACGCACCTCTGGATTTTTGAGAGACCAACACATCAGCAACCCTTCCTTCTGATTGGAGAACTCAAACTGGCCATATCCTACTGCTACCAAATCCTGAAATACATATGCACAGTTTTTTTTATATACATTTTATTAGACTTATACTGTAAAAAAACAAACCTTCTTCTCAAAGATAAAACATATCCTGTATGAGTTTTATACATCCTCTATTAACAGGCAATGACCATTATTGTTATTCAGAACTCTAATGGAAAAAAATGAGTTTCAAGTTTGTAATGATAAGTAAAAAAATAATAACTTTATTAAATAATAATCTGCAGTATGCGAGTAAGAGAAAACATTCTTAAACATAAGCCATAATAATGTCACATTTAGTCATGAAATATTTAACAAGTTATAAAGCAAAAACAAAACAAATTGCCATACAAACAGTTTTCAACCATAACAAGCTTATTGAACGTATAAAGTTCATTCTGTTATCCATATAGATTGGAGTTTGTGTTCTTCAGCATAGTATAAAATTTTAAAAAGAATTATTAAATTATATTTATGCTATTTCATATTAACAAATGTTACGCTTAAAAGAAAATCAAAGAACTGACGGGATTGGACTTGTTCCAGGACAGGCAGCTGACATTTCTACCTTGTGTTCCTTTACAGGTGTACGACCAAAGACGATCAAAATTTGGTCCTACATCACCAGATACCGCTAACTGCTGTGTCGCGGCACTCAAATCTTGATCAATATCTGTAATATAACATTTATAAGATAAAGTTTTATTCTTAAACTGCAATAAATATATACACATATTTATAGAACACTAAAGCATAGCAGCATAATAGTTGGTATAATATATGCAAGTATGTCCATGCTAACGCATACCAACAGAACGAATGCACTAAATTGGTACGTAAAAAGAGGCCTGAAGTTCCTGTTACTAGCACCTTTAATATTAGCAACAGATGATCAGGTGCCAATTTAAAAGTCTATTCATGTTTGTTTATTAATCCAATTGATTATCTGAATCAATTTGGTGGCTATAGCCCCTGGACACCCGATACAAGGACCCCCATTTGCTTCAATCCCTAAAGGCTGCCATTTTTGATTTTCAGACATGCGCAATAAGCGCACACCAGTTAAGTGCATCCTTCCACATTTAACATATGTATATTTTTATCTGGAATATACAAAATAATAAAGCACTTTTATTAATTATAAAACACTCATGATTGATAGCTTATGTAAATATGCTATGAAAAAGCAAAGTATTAAAATATTGAAGCATACAATTTTATATATAAAAAGCTATATACATGTATTCAGTTTCATAAACATATCAAAATGTGGAGTTGTGATCCTACATGGATAAAAACAGTAATTCTCTTGCCAGATATCTGAGGTTATTAACCCTTACCACCCTAAATATCTCATATAAAATTGTCATTCTTTCAGTCTGGACAAGACCATTATTCATTTTTAGGGAAATTTTCAATATCTACAGATTAAATAGCAAACAGTTCATAATCAGACGGCAAAATGACAGATGATATCAACATTTTAAAATACTGCACATTTGGAGTGCCTCTTTTCATTGGATAATCATGATGTTCATAAAAACTATGTAAGCTGCTGTCAGTTTATTATGAAATTTCTTTCTTTTTTTTAATGAAGGAAGTTTCCTGTTTCTCAAATTCACCTAACAGATTCTCCTGACAGGTTCTTGGCTGTATATAAATGCAGCAGTTCAGGTTATATATGCAAAAAAGCTTTAAATACCCTTCAAAAATCTTTATAGATTATAGTATACATGTGTTTTCACAAATAAATTCAAATTACACTCTTACCAAGAAATCTTTATTTGCCCATATAATTAATTTACTGGTAGGCAGGTGGCAAATGTTTGAATGATAATTCATGTCATTTATTTTTACTAATATATACATGTATATTAAATAATTGTTATGCACAAAGTTAAATACTTCATAAGTATGAAGTTAATTAAAACATGCATTTGTAACTGTAAAATCATTATTATTCGTGGAGAACTAATTTTCGTGCTTTTGCGTGGATTTAGGTCATTTCAAAAAATTTAAGATCCAAAGAAATTTCATTTCGGCTGCTGTAAGATTATTTTTCATCACAATTTAACATTCAACTTTTTGGAAAAATAAACAGTCCACAAATTTAAGAACTTATGAAAATGTTCTTTGTGACAAAACCACGAAATTTCATGCCCATGAAATTAAGTGAATTCACACAATATCATATGTCTACTACCTAAAGAAAGTAATGGAGAAAAGAACATATCATGCAGTGCTGAGATTATCAGTGAAAGATTGAAGATTACAGGGCTGGAAAATTCCACTAATGTCCGCAAATTATGGCAAGAAGGACTAAGGAATTTTTGCATATGGCTGTCATGCAGGACGTGCAAGATTTTTGTAATCAACAAGAAATCCAAATAAAATTTCTATTAACGAAACCTGTCAAATATGTCATCTGATATAAGTTTATTTGAAATTGTAAAATAAATGTACACGAAAAGTCTTAATCATTATGTTGTCTGTGCTTATCAAGTATCTATCATACAAAAGTTTTCATAATTAAGATAACCTTTGTTTGAGCACAAGACAGGACAGGAAGCAACCTTACAGGACAAGCAAGTTTTTTGCTAACTAAACTTGCCCTGCAAGACAAGTCAATTTCTGAAAATTTTCCAGCCCTTGATTATTTTACACAAGGTAGAAAATAAAACGTACATGTATAATCACTTAGTTACAATCTATAAGAATGGTACTACTCCAGTGGTACAACCTTCTTTCTATACATACTTATCAAAACTAGATCTAGGTGCATGCAAATATTAATTTCATATATACATTGTATATTCAAGTTTTTCTTTCTCACATTAATTAATGATCTGATTTGCCTTTTTTCTTTCTTTTTTTTATTGCGTTTTACGTCACACCTGAGTAGAACCACAGATGTTCCGTTCCCTAAGTTTAAGCTGGATAGCTTTCTCATATGAAAGAATCACAAGACCCTTTCAAGGCTCAAACCTGTAGTGGTGAGTGGCAAGTGGTTTAGAGTAAACAACATTAACCGCTTGGCCATGGATGCGGCTCTCATTTGCCTTTAGTTTATGATAACTTATAGCTGTTTTGAAAATATTCATTGAACACTTTAAATTCACGGTGACTAAAAAAATAGTGCTACATCAGTAAACTTTAAATAAAAGATGTCAAAATGAGGATGGTAAAAAGGGTCACGCTATTTATAAATTTAAAGGAAGACAACTCCTCCGGAGTAACTCCTGGAAAAAAGAGCTAAGGGAGAATACTCACAATTAAAGATTAAATTAGGTAATATATTTTAAACAAAAAGTAACAGTAAGCACACAACAACACAAGATAAACACACAGTTGCTAAGTGAAGTGGGTGGGGTATGTGTCAAAATCTAAAGTGGCACACAATATTACCCGGCACTGAAATCGGGGCGCTCTCCTCCGATTCATTTCCTAGCAAGTTGACAAACAGACATGTGAACATACACATGCATCAGCAGTGATATATACATTTAGGTGTGGTACAATATAATAATACATGCGTGTAGCATAATATATATACGGTAAGGGAAAAAAGTGTTTGTTTATGTAATTATATATTGTGACAATGGTAAAGATAAACAAAAAAAATTTATTTACAATGTGATAAAGCCTAAGTTGTAAGCATTAATTAGTCAACGCAGTATAAGGTATAAATAAAATCTTATAACTAATAATTTTCTCCTTAAACAAAATAAAATATAACAATGTTTTAAATTATTTTACACAAAATAGGACTTCAGTATTTCAAATTAATCGTAACACATTTACTTTTGTAAATCTGCTATTAATCAGCCTAGTAAATCTACTATTTATAAAAATAAACTGGTTACAGTCATAGATAAGCATAATATAAAAAAATTTAAAGCTATGATGAAAGATTATGGTTAATTTGAACCATTTAAAGCGACAAGTGAAGTTTTGATCATATATTTTAAGTAATTTTCTTTTAAATAATCTTTAGCATGTGTTTAGATAAAAAATGCCTTATAAACTAGCAATAAATTACGTCTAATTAGTTCTAATAGTTACTTCTAATAGTATGAATTGATTAAATATTAACAAATTTTGTTTAATATATCATTTTGATGCTTAAGATTCATTTTCAGCAGTACTTCAGTCACAATACAAGTGGCTATTTTATGTTTTCCTGAAATCTTTACAACATCTAACCTGTTAATGATTGTTGTTTCTAAACTTAACAAAAGTGAATCTCTTATAATCCTAAATAACATAACACTTTTTGTAAAAATTGTCAAGTAGAAAATGGCTGAATAGGGTTTTCAACAGAACCTTATGATCTTAAAAACCATATATAAAGACATAAGCCATTAGTGGCTTAGGGTACGGTAATTACTATAATTACTTATATCACTAAAAACTGAAAAAATAACATCTATTTTTCTGTATGTATTTAAAAAAGTATTGTATAAAAGTTATTTTCAAGTTCATGGTCAAATGTGAAATATATATGGGTACAACACTGTTACTATAAAAGTGAAATCTTAAATAATAAAACCATCATATCCGTAGACTAGCAGTAACGATATATTGACACAATAATATTTACCATTGACAATGTTGAATCCTCTATATAAAGCCTGTTTGCCCTGGTAACTGTTCAGGTTAATAACTCTCTCCATAACAAACAGATCTGTCTTAAAACTCTCCGACTGTAAAAGTAAAACAGTGAATGAAAACAATTATCAAGTTACATGCACTTTCAAGTTGAAAAGGAAGTTACTTTATAGAATTATTACATAGACACAGTGAAAAAAGTACTTTTTTGAATTTATTTTGTAAATTTACTTAATATTCACTAGAAATGTGTCCACAGGACACGGATTCCCCCATTTTATGGACAGTCGACAGTGCTGACAGCAGTCAAAGCCTGGTTGAAGACCAGACAATGACAAAACTAAGCAGAAGCATAAACACGGAGAAAAAAACAACCTTCATTGTCAACGTGCTAAAATGCAATATAAATCAAATTCTAAATGTATGCTGGTGGCTTGGCCAAGTGGTTACAAGTCAGTCTAGTAATCTCAAGATTGCTGGCTATTCGGGTTAAAACCCCAAGTTGTTGTTTTCATGAGCAAGAAACTTACAGTTAGTACTTGTTGGTTCCAGGAACAGATTCAATAGTGTTTTAATTAGCTTATAGCCTCCAACCCAATTAATCTAAAGTGAAATTAACTGTATGATGAATAACTTTTACAAAAATTACAATGATCCTGTAAGTGAAAAACAATGATTCACAATCAACAACTTATACATTTATATGATAAATTTAAATAATCAACAGACATAGTAACCTTATTTATTGCCCAAGTTTTCTGGGAGAATGTTGCTGATTATCGGATCTTTGTACTTAAATCATCAACTTTTACTCCTTAAAATGGGCAAATAACCTAAATACACGTATTGTGGTTAATTATACCTGAAGTATTTTGTCTTCATCTATTGCAGTGGCTTCAGTAGGAACAGATGACACTCCAGTCTCTCTGCTTGCAAAGACACTTTCTGATCCAGCAAACGAGGAGGTAAATGTGGCTCTACTATCTATAAATAGTAACAAGAAAATATGATCAAAAACTAATTTGGAACGCTCAGTTATTTGTTAGAACAATCAGCTAAACCTACTTAAAATTCAAATAAATAGTTGTGAATTGTGATCCCACATAAATTGTCTACATATAGAATAGTGGATTCAGAATCACTATAGAATAGTGGATTCAGAAACACAATAAAGGTCCCAAACACTGTGCAACTATATATGATTTTAAAAAAACTTTGAAACAAACATGAAATAAATGGCATACTAAATCACAAGAAGATTATATTGCCATAGAAATACACTGTTTACAAACCAATCAAAGATGTTGTCCGTCAATAGTCACCGATATATTAACATGTCATTGTAAAATACCTTGTTTGAAAGAAATAAAGAAAATTGGGCAATTCATACCAGCTCATAATTTTTATTAATATGTTTATGTGTTAAGAATTCACTTGTCCATGTAGTTCATTTTCACACCAACACAAACAAATCTGACATGTTCAGTTTCACAAAAACACTAAATAATTCATCATACATTTTCAATTTTACATGGACACACAATGCTCGTTGTTACACACATTCAGATTCACACCAACATATAAATGTTGACAATGTTCTACTTCACACCAACCCAAAAATATCAGACTTGTTCAGTTTTACAGCAACACAAAATGTCAAACATGTTCAGTTCTTCAAGCAAGACTTAAATGTTATTTTTTTATTCTGTGATAACATAAATTCCACAACCTTTTATAGGCAAAATATAGTGCTTTTCTGTAATATAGAGCATCGAAATACAAGGTTATCTGATTTAGCATTGCCGCAGAGAACAAATCAGGCTGCAGAGTGTTTTGATATTCTTTCTAATTTGTATCATAGCCAAAATGAAAACATTTTCACTGTCACCCTAGAAAAAGTGTCACCTATCTAAGAGCATTTTCCATTTTTATCCCTGACGGACACTGCGTAACTGGAGTGTGAGTAACTAATACCTAAATTCCAGTTGCACTGTGGGTACATGATTTTTCTTTAACATATTTCCAAGGAAAAGGTCTCCAAACTAAGATACAATAACATATAACTTTTGGTATAAAACAATTCTTTAGTACTGTTACACATATAATTATACAAAATTAGGTACTACATCTATACGCATATAAAACAAATACATTTTTCAACACAAACTTTGTAAACAGTCACTTAAGTTTGAAGTTATGGTACAGCCTTCTTGCAGTTTTAATCAAACATTTTAAACATGTTAAAACAATATTCAACGAAGACACTATCACCATGTGTAAAGGTTATACAGTTACAAAAAGCTCATGCAAGTTTGATAGTGCATTCAACATACCTTTCGCTACCTTACCCTTGGCTAATATAGAGAAATAAAAACGATTTCAAACTTTACAATAAACGCATTCATCATGCATAATACAGAGTACGTAAAAACCGCGTCTACATGTTGAGGGTTGACTGCAAAACTGTCTTTTTTATTTCATGTAAGTAAAAAAGTTATGCGGTCAACCCTCGATGTATGTCTTTCATTTCCATTTGTGTTATAAGAAAGCAAGTTTTGATAAATTCTTAAAATTCACTAACATGTAGTGAATGTCTTCATTTTTACAAAGTAAAGGGTAATAACTCAGCTGGTTTAGTTTTAACTAAATAAAGGGCTATAACTCTTTTTGATGTTACAATGAAAACAAAGATGCACAACATCTCCTCCCAATTAATATTTGTGTAAAGTATTGTAATATTTTCTCTCATTTACTTATGGCATACTCTGGCTTTTCTTATCCAATATAAAAATGTTAGCTTGACAGTTATAGCTCAATTATTCTTTTAAAAGTAAAATTGAAAACTAAGAAAAAATTTATAGATAAAAAAAGTTCAGAAAACTTATTTTAAGAACATCATACAAAAATTGATTCATATCAACTTAGGGAGATATTCTTATTATTCGTACTTGACTTTATATGTTAACATTTGATTCTATACATTAACATTTGATTCTATATGTAAACATTTGACTTGATACATTTTTATAACTTACAGAAATGTTCTTTTTGTTCACATTTGATTGTATATGTATACATATGATTCTTTATGGTTTTATAAAGAAATAATAAAAATATATAATACAAAAACAGAGAAATTATATATATATGACATAATGCTACATGCTATAATGCCTATATACATGCATAATGAAAAATACTTATAAACATTACTTAATATGCAAGTTACAGAATTTGTAATATATTAATTTTTATTTCATACAAGTTATATAATAAGTTTTAACTGTGTTACCTATGTATAAGTGACTTTCAAAAATGTTAGTGTTGCGATATCCTATTAAAAGTTAAATAAAATAGATACATGTAACTTTTTTCAAATGAAATGAACAATGATATAAAGTACAACATTTTTGCATAAAAAACCCTACTCTACAGTTTATGACATAATTACACAACATCATGAGTACCTGGAGTTGTCTCCCTTGTTATGCAATCTTGTAAAACACATTAATGTTACATAATTATTGTTTATTTGGCTTTAATAACCCCGATTTTTAACACACATCTTGTCAAATTTCAGCAATCGATCCATCTAACCAGCTTAATGATATATATATATATATAATAATTGGTATGAAACAATGGTCTGGTCCCTTGTGGCTAAGGGGTATTCTTAAACGGATGAGGCATATGAATTGCAGTCTTCGTTTTTCCCTGCGTGATCGTTAGAGGCGACTAAATGGGTTCGATATAACTAAAGTCATAGCAAGTGAGGTAGTTTTTACCCCTTGTGTTTTGATCCCTTGTGTTACTTTGAAGTTCATAACATCATCTTTCCTGTTTCCGCACAGTATGACTTATACTGTGTTGGTGCACCATAAAATCAAACAAACCAAACCAAACCATATGGTCTGCATCTAGATTAATATACCTTTAATTAACTTAAATTAAAAAATATGGCAACAATATTCAAAGAGAAAGTATTGAGATAACAATTTTCATCTTTCCGTATGCAAAAATAACAATAACAAGATAAAACTGAGAAAATATAATACCTATTCTAACAGAGGCAGCGCTTTTTTCTCTGACAGTAGTATCTAGAGGATCAGTAGTATCAGGTTTGGCCTCTTCTGCCCCTTCTTTAGGACTTCCTGGCCGAGAGATAGTACCTTCTTCATCATTTTCATCTGATTTACCTTTAGGAATGTATAAATAAAGCTCAAACAAAATTTGAATATACATTGTCCATTTCTTTGTATTGGTTTTAATGCCAATTTTATTTAAACACATTTCCATCATATCTCAGTGGTGGATCTACCGCACTGGCATTTTTTACACAATCAGGAAAATACTTCATTCATCTTTTGAGTTTAATTCAATATTCATTAAAAAACAAACTAGCATTTGAGCCGTGTCACGACAAAACCAACATAATGGGTTTGCGACCAGCATGGATCCAGACCAGCCTGCGCATCCGCGCAGTCTGATCAGGATCCATGCTGTTCGCTATCAGTTTCTCTTCTTGTAAAAGGGTTGGTAAGCGAACAGCATGGATCCTGATCAGACTGCGCGGATGTGCAGGCTGGTCTGGATCCATGCTGGTCGCAAAAGCACTATGTTGGTTTTGTCGTGACAAGGCTCATTTTTGTCTTTCAATCTAATGTTTTTAATTTCACCAAAAGAAATATGAGGAAAACATACCCTTAGTATCTTTGTCAATCTGTTCATAAGTATCATACATGTCCCAAGTTGTAGCATTTATTCCCATCTCCTGTAAAATAAAACAAAATTCCATATAACCTTTTTCCATATTAATTAATATGCAGATCTTTCATATAAATGTCTGAGTTGTAGTTGTTATTGACCCATGAACAAAACATAAATGGGAAAGATATTTAGCAATGTTTTTTTAAACAGTAAAAAACTCATAAATTTTCTTGTTGATTTCTTTACATTTGTGTCAATTTCTTTACAATTTCTTTGCATTTGTATCAATTTCTTTACAATTTCTTTGTTTTCTTTACAACTTCTTTACATTTTTGTCAATTTCTTTTCATTTTAACATAATTATAATAGAAAATAAATGTTTTCGAAATTTCAGCCAAATCATTAATTTCCCTTCGGAAGTAAAGTTTGGTTCATAACTTTCTATCCAAACAGATTTATTAAGATCTACCGAAATCATTTTCATTTTGCATAAATTATATCTTAAATGGACTTGTCCCATCCTTCAATCTGGACAAAACCATTCATTATTTTTGAGGAAAAGGTCAAAATAAAAAGACTTCAATAAGCATTAGGTTGCTTCCAGTCTAATCCTTTTCTTGTTTTGATTGTAAATATCATGTATGTAAATATGCTTATGTGAGAAAGAATAAAATATGTTTAAACCAAAATAAAAACTGAATTAATAGCAAACAGTGACGACCATGTACAGCTGATCTTGGGCTGCACTGGTTGCGTGTGTATATAATATGTTTCAATGGCCTGTACATGAAATTACTTACAGTATATCCAATCTTGCTTGTCTGTACAAGTTTACATTTCTGTGGTTCATTAAAAGTGTTCATACCCCTCTCAGCATACCTGTCATTGCCTTGTTTGTTCTTCACAAGCTGAAATATGTAAGATAGATTAAACATTTAACCTATACCACATTTAACCTTTAAGTGGCGGCATGGCCGAGTGGTTAACACGTCAGACTAGTAATCTAATGATTGCTAGCGGCAGGAGTTCAAACCCCATCAGGGGCAAGTCGTTGTTTCCTTGAGCAAGAAACTTTACACTCATTGCCTCACTGTATTTGTCATTTTTTTCAGAATATTAGAATATATTTCAAAATTGTACTGACTGAATAGCTACCAGTGCAGACCATGATCAGATGGCACAGATGTGTGGGCTGATCTTGGTCTGCACTGGATGGGTAGATTCTGTAGCCATCAGCTGATAAACAGTTGAACACATGATTATGGGCATTCAGTAGGATCACTGTCTGTTTCTTTCCATGGACAAAAGGGGAAGAGAAACTTGAATGTTTGAAATCTATAGGCAGAGTAAACTGAGCAAATACATTAAGAATCTATTTGTGCTTTTAGCAAAAATAATAAGACACTAGGAGCAGACTTTTTCCATGATATAGGCACTTCCTATAGCAATTATTACCTCCCTTGGCCACGATTTTGGGGGTCATTTCCAATACATCAAATGCTTAAGATATAAAGATAAAAATCCCTTAAGAAATAAAAATTAATCTGAAATTTGGACGTGAACACCAGGGTGAGTAGAACCGCTCTCCATATACTTTGTATTGTCAAACCAAAAGCTACGGACAATAGATGACAATGGTTAAAAGAAAGAAGGAAAGAGGATTCACATTTTATCTTGCAGATAAGATAAACTTTTATCAGAAATAAGAAAGAAAAGTATTGAAACACAAAATATAAAACATGTACAATAATTTGACAAGATTTCTTTATGTATCACAACACTTTCATGAATAGGTCATAAATGTTTCAGATTTAAAAGTATACAGAATAAAGGTAAAATAAAATATCATGGATAATTTTCAATAATATTCTATCTAAGTTTATAAAATCATAGAACAAAGTTTGTTTTGAATGGACTATTTTAAAATAATCTGAAATCAAGGCAAAAAACTATTACATGTATTACAAGGCAGGCTTATTATAAAACTTACATATTTCCTTAGAAAAAAATATCCATTTTCTAAAGATATGAAATACTTGTTTAATAGTACATAATGTCACCTTAGTGGAGTAACTTGTTAACTACTTATATTATTCAAAAAGGAGTAAAGGCGTTACTGCACTGAGGTGAAGATGTATTGCATTTTTGGTTTAAATATTATTTAAATACCATTTAGACATGAAGAAAAAATATACATGTACTGACATAAATACAAAAAATACAATATCTGTACAGATTCATTACAACTTTGTTTATAAATAGCTTACATCTTTCCTTTCCCTTATACCCTGTCATAAATCACAAAATAATATCATAATCATTATGCACAATAGTGAAATAAATATGAAATATACAAAAGTATAGAAATTTGGCCATATGAATTTAAAATCAAACTAGAACTATCACTAAATGTGATTAATACTCCCACAAGACTGCTTCGGAAATGAGGATGTTACTAGTAACAGAATGCCTTGTAAAAGAATTAAAATATAAAGTTTTATTACCCTTCCAGATTTTTTCCGCCTTTTTGATTGGATATTGATCACCCGAAAAAAATTGATATAACCGAGCCAGACGGGTAATATACACACTAAATTTCCCCGTTTGGTACCCAACGTTGTAAACAATATGCGCTGAGGTGATGCGCGTACGGTTCGATTTTACGCGGTGTAAATTCCGATTTAAAAGCACTTTTTAACTGTCAAATGATAAATATTTACCAAAGTAGAGTAATGATACATATAACCATCAGTATCGAAAACAAATATGACCTTGTAAAAGCTTGATATTAATTACAAAAAAGTGCGTTCAACAGACTACTCCTTTTCTCTTGTTTACTTTCGTAAGGTACGGGGAAAATACGTCATGTATTTATGTGACATCATGTTGTGACGAAGAGGTATCCTAAAGGGAATCTTATTTCGACGTTTCATTTGAAACAGCAATGATTTTTTTAAAAATCGTCTAAACTCGGCAGGGGAAGGGTAATAAAATTATTATTTTGGTTTTGAAGTGATATATGTGGATATATTACCTGCCAAGATAAAATATCACCCGAGCCGTTATAAAATCTTAACAGGTAATATATCCACATATATCACTCCAAAACCAAAATAACATATAATGTTTGTGGGCAATTAAAGATAGTTGTGGTTCTTATATGTTGCATTTCCTTTCAATGTGGTTGGCCATTGATGAAGTTTAATTGAATTACTCTGTAATAAGTCCAGAAAGACAAAGAAAAGGAACAAAGGGCAATAACTCTATAAATACTGAAGATAGAGTTATAGTTCTTGTGCACTGCACTTCCTCTTATTGTGCTTGACCATTGTATGAAGTTGTTTTGAATTCCAACCAGTATGTTTTAAGTTATGCTCCTGACAAGGAAAAGTATCAAAGGGCAGTAACTCTGTATTTTGTCAAAATGGAGTTATGGCTCTTGTGCACTGCACTTCCTTTTAATGTCCTTGACAACTGTATGAAGTTGTATTGAATTCCAAACAGTAGTTTCCAAGTAATGCTCTGGACAAGGAAAAGTAACAAAGGGCAATAACTCTGTAATTAGTCAAGATGGAGTTATGGTTCTTGTGCACTGCACTTTCTCTCAATGTGCTTGACCATTGTATGAAGTTATATTGAATTCCAACCATTAGTCTTCAAGTTATGGTCCGGACAAAAAAGGCAATGGAAAAGTAACAAAGGGCAATAACTCTGTAATTACTTTAGATAGAGTTATGGTTCTTGTGCACTGCACTTCCCCTTATTGTGTTTGACAATTGTATGAAGTTGTTTTGAATTCCAACCAGTTGTTTTCAAGTTATGCCCCGGACAAGGAAAAGTAACAAAGGGCAATAACTCTGTAATTAGTCAAGATAGAGTTATGGTTCTTGTGCACTGCACTTCCTCTCAATGTGCTTGACCATTGTATGTAGTTATATTGAATTCAAACTATTAGTCTTCAAGTTATGGTCCGGACAAAAAAAAGCAATGGAAAAGTAACAAAGGGCAATAACTCTGTAATTACTTTAGATAGAGTTATGGTTCTTGTGCACTGCACTTCCCCTTATTGTGTTTGACAATTGTATGAAGTTGTTTTGAATTCCAACCAGTAGTTTTCAAGTTATGCCCCGGACAAGGAAAAGTAACAAAGGGCAATAACTCTGTAATTAGTCAAGATAGAGTTATGGTTCTTGTGCACTGCACTTCCTCTCAATGTGCTTGACCATTGTATGTAGTTATATTGAATTCCAACCATTAGTCTTCAAGTTATGCTCCGGACAAGGAAAATGCAACAGACGTCTGGACCGACCGACCAACCGACCGCCCGACCCACCACCGGGTGACTCCTATATACCCCCCCAAACTTCGTTTTTGGGGGTATAAGAATTAGATTAATAGAATAAGAACAAGAGGGATCAAAACTAGTCATCAAAAATAGGCATCTTATGTCAGTTGAATTTGTTGAATTCTCAGACTTTTGAGCAAATTTGTTCCCAAGAAAGGACCCGAGTTTTAGCTTTATTTGAGTTATGACTATAAAGGATCATTCCAGTTAAGTTTATAAAAAACAACAACAGCAAAGCAGTTGAGGAGGATTATGGACATGTCATTAAAAGCTTATTTTTATTTTAAACTCCTGTGACCATCTTTTTCAGTGGATTGGACAATTTTAGGACTTTTTTTTTCAAATAATACTACCAAATAAATTATTCTACTTATAGTGCCATCAAAATCAGCCCTAAAGTTAAGGATGAAATGACAAATGAAGTTTTTTTCTATTCAAAGCTCCCCTCTTCCATTGTTCCGAATAGAAATGGCTAGACTGTTTAATTTACATTATGTCTTTGCTTATTTATTCTGATGCACTGCATTTCCAGAACAAGAGCTATATTTGGTGTCCCTTAACTTAATATATTTTTTCACAGTGTTTTTTTTTGCAATTTTCAAAACAATCTTTGGCTTTCTGATGAGAAAAAATATATTACGATAATTTAGAAAAGGGTGGAAACCTGAAATCAAATTCCAACAACTGAGAATGGAATTTACCCAGCTGCTGTTAAGAATGTGCACAGGACATTTCAGGGGGAAAATAAAACATTTTTAAGGGAAAATATACCTATTCTGGGCTAGGGAAAACAGCCTTTATTTGGCTGTAAAACATTGGTGGAAAAATACCACCGTTTCCACTTTACTTACGTCTTGATAGGCCTCATTCTTCTTCCTTACACTATCAGCCTCATCACTTTCTGTTGAAACACACACACCAGGCATGTCAAGCAGCCATATTGTTTCTGTTTCTGTCAGAGTCAGGTCAACAATCTTATCTAAATCATCTTCCTTTAAATCCTCCTCAACGTCAACTCTCTTATGCTTGATTTCTTGAAATAAAAAAAAACATGATTTACAATATTAGATACAAGTTTCATACACATCCATGACAAAATAAAACTTGCAATCAAACTTAATGTACATCTAACAGGATATATATATGAATAGTTCAATCAAGTATCCTTAAATAATTCATTTTATAAATATTAATTATAGAAATCAATAACATACCCATACATAGGCATGCTCGACTTGATTTAGCTTTTTAAAATATTACTGGCAACTCATTCACATCTTAATCCAACAAATCAGTCACTCACAACACTGGCTGTATGTCCTGCTGTATATTTGTGAGACTTATACCATTCGTTCCATTTTGGGGAGCCTTAAAGACGAAGTGGTTAAGGTTGCTGATTTCAATTCACTTGCCTCAAACTGTTATGAGTTTGAATCCCTTCAGGGATTTTTCAACTCTTTCATGTGAGGAAGCTATCCACCTAGTTGACATAAGTGGTTCTACTCATCTTCTGCTAATGAAACTGCCGTGAAAACTCACCATAAGACCTCTACAGTGACAGTGTGCTTTCATACCCGACCAAATAAAAGATTATATGCCATAGTGTACTTAGGTACAGTTTGTCAGTGTACGTAATGATTTGGCTTTATATACAGAGTATTACACAGTATTATTGTGAAAGAGTTGTTCCCCTTTGTTTCAAGTACACCATTTATTGTCTAATCTTTAGGCAATATAAATAAACTATAAAACTTGTAAATTTGTGTGTTTCTATACCGTTACACTTTCTATACTGTAATACCTTCTAGTGACATGTTTTAGTTTATTTGATGTGATTTACCTCCCCATGCTGTAGAGATCTCCTGTGACTGGTCGGGTTCATCAGGTTCTGCCATAGATTCTGATCCTGTATCATAAGACTGACTAAACACTGATCTGTAATAGTGAAACAACTGTATATTATCAAAAATGAATATTTAAAATTTTAAATTACTGTTGATAAAAAATTAGGATGAAAAATTAATTATACAGTTTAAATTCAGTTTAAGTTCAACAAACAAGAGCTGTCTGTAGGACAGCATGCTCGACTATTCTAAGTGCTTGATAGTAAAAGAGCCTTGATATTGTTAAATTTTTTAAGTCCACAAAAGGGCTACTTTTTTTTATAAATTCATGTTATAGGCCTTACAGAGAGTCTAATTATACAGAATTGGCTTGACTATTCGGAAGGTAATGTCACAAGGTTTTTTTATTGAGTATAATAATACTAATTACCTATGAATACATAAAGTTGACAGAAAAGGTACAAAGGCTTGTTATTAAGATGTTTTATCAAGTAAATCACTGCTTTATTATTATGAATGCATAAAATTGTCCCAAAAAATGCGCAAACCCTTCAGTAGTTATTGAGATAACAGCTTACAAGCAAAACTTTACCATGAATTTCTAAGTTGAAAAAGGGGAGAAAAATCAGCCTAAATGCAAGATCGAATTATGGTTCTTTGTCAGTGACCTACAATTATGACCCTAAATGCATATGTGAAGTTTTAGATAAATATCTTTAATAGTTATTGAGCTATGTAAAACTTGCATGTAAACATTAACCAAGAGACTAAGTAGAAAAGGGGATATGAATCAGCCTTAATGCAAGATAGAGTTATGGAACTTGGTCAGTGACATACAATTATGACCCTCCAATTATGACCCTAAGTGCATGTGTAAAGTTTCAAGTAAATATCTTTGAAGACCGTTAACCTTTAACCAAAATTTCTAAGTTTCAAAGGGGCAAATAATTCTGCAAATATTGCAGACAAGGTTATGCAATTTTGCAAACTGATGTACATTGTTACTATAAATAAGTATTTTAAATTTCAATTGAATATGTCAAGCAATAATTGAGATATTTGACTTTACAAAAAACTTTAACCAAAATTTCTAAGTTCCAAAGGGGGCATAATTCTGTCAATATGGTAGGCAGAGTTATCCAACTTGTCAATCTGATGTACATTGTTACTATAAATAAGTATTGTAAGTTTCAATTGAATATCTCCAGCAATAATTGAGATATTTGACTTTACAAAAAACTTTAACCAAAATTTCTAAGTTTAAAAAGGGGCATTATTCTGTCAATATTGTAGGCAGAGTTATCCAACTTGTCAATCTGATGTACATTGTTACTATAAATAAGTATTGTAAGTTTCAATTGAATATCTCAAGCAATAATTGAGATATTTGACTTTACAAAAAACTTTAACCAACGCAGACGCCGACGCGGACGCCGACGCCGGGGCGACTACAATAGCTCTCATATTCTTCGAATAGTCGAGCTAAAAATGCAGTTTGTATAGAGATTCTGTATATCTGTATATACTGTAAATTTGTTCATATACATGAATTCACACAGAAAAAAAATTATTGATGTACTTAATATATAAATGGAAATGAAATTAACTTTACTATAGATAGAAAATCAAATTCTTAGTAACCTTATACATAAACATTTATTGCCATACAATATATGCATAATTATCTCTCCTGAAAATGACATTGCTTTAAAACATACTGTTGGTATCTTGGTATGATGTAACAGTAAAATTTTGAAAACAAATTATTCATATCTGAAAATTTATTTATTTACAGTTTTGATTTTTGTTTTGTTTTTTTGGTTGTTTTTTTTTGTACAAAAAAAAATCCTGTTCTTTTAAGACATACATTTGTCACCTTAGCTCAATAACTGGTTCACTCCCATTACATTTAGAATGACTTTACCCATTACTGCACTAACATGACGTTTTGTGAAGTGTTAATTTACAAATCCACTCAAGTATAAAATAAATCAATAAATGTTCAGCTACATTCTGTCGCTATAATAAATTTTCTTGAAGTACATTTTGTATTACCTTGTAAAAGGTCCACCACCAAACGTACTTGCTGTCACAGTACCAGTGTTATAAATAGATGCTTGTGACATCAAATCTGTTGGCTGTAATGATACAGATATTTAAAATTATCACATGCCTAAAATAACATTTTTTATCTTACTACACAAATTGATTGATATTAATTGCTTGGCGTATTATACTTTAAAGATGGTCTTTCATCAAAGATAATAAAATGTTATCATTACTAAAGCATGAAAAAATAATGGAATCTTTAGCTGTTTTGTTTGTGTAAAATGAATTCATTTTCTATATTTGTAGTTGTTCATGCAACTTAAATTTCAAATTTCAATCATTTCAAAAATAGAAGATATACAAAATTTCACTTGGGCACAAGATTTACTGGAATTAATGGATATTACTCTGGCACTTGGAGTAAAATAATGTATAAAATGTGACAGCACACCACTGAAAGGTTACTAAGAAGATTTGCTGAGGAATTTATTATCAATATCAAAAATTCAGTTATATTTCTTCAACAGTAGATTTTCTCTCACCGTGCCTCCTGAACTTTCTGCTAGAAGATTGCTCTGTTTCTGTTTAACCTGGTTTGGGTCAGCCAAATGTAGAGGCTGAGGTGTGACATCATTGCCAGTTTCATCAAATATCTATAACAAATGAAATATAAATCATCAATTTAAGATGAACATATAGAGCTCATTTATAAAATATATTTTAAAATTGAAACACTTTTTCCCCCTATTTTATACACTTGTATTACTTTTACTTGTGTTAAACAAAGTTGGACAAAGGACAGATTTTTTCTTTGTCCTCAATTTATATCAATGTCAATATTGTACGGGAGCAAACCTGTGAAATGAGCATTAATTTCTTAAAACAAAATGAAATATTCAATGTATATTTGATGGGGCTAAGTTTTTATCATTAATGATATTAAATCGAGACTTGACAATAATATATGGCTATATCCTGGATTAGACCCTGGGGTTTAAACCAGGAGTATATATAAGGTTCATTCTGTTTTCTTTAGTGTATTATATACAAGTTTTAGACCTGAAAAATACATAGGGGTCTTATCCTTGAGATTGCCTAATATATACCTGTACAGGAGCTTTGTGTGGCTTTCCACCATCTTGTGCATTGACAAGACTGCGGGTCTTACTGGCAGATGACGGAATATTAGTTCTGGAGCTGCCATATGTAGTGCCTCTTATAGTACCATATTTACTCTTCATTGTTGATGCTCCATGACTCTTCTTAGATGTTGTGCTTGCTCCAACATTATTGCTGAAAGTTTAACAAAAGTTAGCATTAATGAACAACAACTATCAAACTTAAATCATTTTACTTTGTTTAAAAAAAATGGGGGGGGGAGCAATTTGAAATAGCAGTATGGCACTTTGAGTTTTAACCGGTTCAGAAAAATAACAAAGGCCCTTTTAATATAAAAATATCTCCAGGATTGTAAAATAAAACGTCAAATTGAAATTTGTCTCTATCCTGGCAAGACATAAACCATGGTCCCCAAAGGGGGCGCGATAGCTCAGTTGGTTAGACCACTGACTGTCACTCCTGAGGTCTCGAGTTCCATCATGGGTAACACGTACCCCTGTGATTTTTCAAGAAACGCTTTCAGTGTTTCCAATCTACCTAGAGGTGCACTGGTAAGAAATCCGGTTAATCGTCATAGCATCAGTGCTATAAACTGGGCATGTAAAAAACCAAGGGGTCTTTTCAATAAGATGGGCATGTAAAAAACCAAGGGGTCTTTTCAATAAAAGCTAGGGACTGGTTCCCATATTCCCTTGTATCTCATAGCTGTCTCAGATATCTAGATTATGTCTACGTCCTTGCGAGGCGTTTAAAATTAATGGAAGATACATGTTATGATGTAGATAGATAGATAGGGCCAAACAGTTTAGGGGTGCCTAATGCATGACTGACTAAGTAATGGAAGGTCAGCTTTTCTTAACATTTATCAAAAGAACACTCATTTTATCAATTAAAAAAGTTAACCCTGAAACTATCGTATAATTTAAATTAATGTCATATTTACCCTGGAGCAAGCATATGCTGAGACTTCTTATTTCGACTAGTAGACATGGTTAAACTTTGTCCACCATTTTAGATTTTTTAGCTTCCTCTGTTGTCATTAGAAACATGAGATTGGTGCTAAGTGTCATTTCATTGGTCGTTACAAAAAGGTCTGAATTGATAATGTTCCCTATAGTTTTAATATTACCAAAAATATGAAAGAAAAAAATATAACAGGATATGCTTTAAGAGTATATTTGAAATAATTATACTTCATATCGCTTCTTTTAAATGTGACTGAGAATTTATTTCTAAAATTCTTATTAAGAAAAGGATGGAATTATTGACCAATCAAAACTTTCAAGAGAAACGCGCACCGACTCCAGCGGGAATCACACAGCCTCGATTTGAACCAATCATTACGTATCCCATAATGTTAGAAAAAATGGCGACGGTAAGAGAAAATTATGTTTATATCTGAGTTTAAACGCCGATTAAATTATCATTTGGACAATTGTAGTAAAATCGCTTAGCTGTTAAGAAAACAAATATTTGATCCATTTTTTCTTTAATTCTTGACACATATTTTTAGGTCTGGGTTGAGAAATTTGGTTCTGAAGGAAATAGCGCCTTCCAAATTTTGAAAGGGCTTTTTCAACAGCGGTGCCTCGTTTTGAAACGCAAGGAACAAATTTATACATCAATTTATTTATATATTTTCAGAACGGGACAGATCAAACTACACCAAGTAATGGCAGCAGCCCAGGTAATTTGATTGTTGCATTTCAATGTTTAAATTGTCCTTCATATAGGATAATGTTATTGTATATTTTTACTTACAAATTTAGTGGGAAAAGGGAGGTAATTCAGTTGATAATATTTAGGATCTAGACTCCTTGAAAACTCGGACTTCCCGAAAGTAAAAGTGTCAGACATTCGGTCTGACAAACCATGAAAATCTGTCAGACCGAAAGAAATTAATCAAAATCAAAGAAAAACTTGTGTTTGTAGATCTATTTCTAAGACACTTTTCGGTTTTATTTTTTTCGCCGTAAAAATCGCACAGTCCGTACAGCGCATTTTTATCTCCTCCCTGTCTTAAACCAACGATTCACGATCCTTTTCCACAGTTATATGCAAAAAAAATGGTATTCATTGCAGACAAATTTTTGGGGGGGGGGGAAATTTCAGTCTTTGACGTTTGAGGGGGGAATCATGCCCCGGAATGGGGCCGAATTTTGCCGAATATTTTGGTGAAAAAAACACTGTCATTAAAGAATGAACCTTAATTTATTACCTTGTATGTCAGTAAAAATTAATCTTAAACTGCAGATAATAATCTAAATATGCTAATAATCTAAATTATAGGTGGCTCGATAGCTCAGTTGGTTAAACCACTGATTATCACTCCTGAGGTCACGGGTTCGATCCAGGGTTACACCCTTGGGATTTTTCAGAGACACTTTCAGTGTTTCCCACCTACCTAGAGGTGTACTGGTAAGAAATCCAGGTAATCCTCGCATGTATCAGTGCTATACACTGGGCATGTAAAAGAACCATGGAGTCTCTTCAATAAGAGCTAGGGACTGGTTCCCGGATTCCCTTGTATCTTATAGCTGTCTCTTAAATGTATATAATGTATACCTGCTTAGAGTGATGGAAAACGATTTTAAAGCAGTATGATGTAGAAAAAATGCAACATCAATACTTATCAGAAAATTTATGGATTGAAAAATATATATGACTTCACTACTGGTTGGAGAGATAAGACACTAAATCACTGCATTTTGAAAAAAATTAAAAGTTACAAAAATACCTTATAAAATACTTACATTTATCAACAGGTGATTTAATTCACTTGTATCATAGTTTGGAGACCTTTCTGTTGAAAATGTGTCTGGGTTAAATCGTATACATATACATGCACAGTGCGTTAACTGGAGTGCGGGTATTAGTTACCCGCACTCCAGAGCATGCCCATTGATTGGCTCATTTTTGCTGGGGTTTACATATTGTGACAGCAGAGAAAGGGAAAGCGACAGAAATGTCATATTCAGATGTTCGTTCATTGGTTCAGTTTTGCCGGGGTTTCATATTGTGACAACAGGGAACGTGCTTTTATGTTTGACTATGATACAAAAGAGAAAGAACACCAAAACACTTGGCAATCTGATTAATACTCGGGGGCTACGCCCCCTCGTACAAATCAGATAGCCTTGTGTTTGGTGCTCTTTCTATTACATGTATCACCTGTTGATAAATGTATCATCTTATAATTATAAATTATATTTCAGAGACTGATCAAGACTTTGACCCATCTGCAGATATGATGGTACATGATTATGATGATGAAAGGACACTTGAAGAGGAAGAAAACCTCAGTGGTGCTGAAAGTGTTGCTGCTGAACTTAATGATTTAGAAAAGGTTGTTCATTTTGTTGTTGCAAAATTATGTTACACATTTCAAGTAAAATACTAGTCTATATTTTGTGTGTTATATGAAAGGTGGGAGTTATCCTGTCACATGTTCTTCTGATAAATGTCGCTAAGGTCTTCTGTTAATTTTAGTGTCAAAGAGGTAATAGTTTATGTTTAAAAATAGAAATAAAGGTGATATATCAAACTTTTAAAATCAAAATATTGCCTTTTGTGTTGTGTTAGATAGTAATATTTAGTCTAAATTTTTTTCTATGCCTGCTTTGAAATTCTGATTAGAAACTGTAAAAGATAATTGTTATACAAAATATAGTGAGGACAGACATTATTGTAGGGTGCAGATCAAGATCAAAGAATTTTACCAAATTATTTTCATTTGTCAACTTTGAAAAATGACCAAAACCGCAAGTATTTTCTTTAAACTTTTCCAAAGTCTGCTTTTTTTAACAGCATTCATATTTCCAATAAGTATATATTTTCCCCCTCTCTTTAACAGGCTGTTCACTTGCCATGAAATCCTAAGGGTCATTTTGACCAGTATTGACTAAGTTTTACCAAATACAAGGCCAAATCCACATGATTTTAACAAAATTTGACCCTCCAAGTTAATCTGGTCTTTAAAAAATTTCAAGGGTCAAACGGACACCCTGCTCATTAGACTGAAAAGTGAGAAATTGCACTGACAGTTGTGTGTAACAAGATATTAACACATTATTGATTTTTGAAACATAAATAAACATTTTATAAAGGTTCATGCTTCAATTATCTGTAGGAAGGAGATATGCCAATAGAACAGTTACTAGCAATGTATGGCTATGGTGGTGGACAGTCGGGAGGTGATGGCAGCAGTAGTAGTTCAATGTCATCCGACTCTTCTCAAGGTCAGGACACAAGGTCAAGTAGTGAGGAGGAGATTCTGAGTAACCAGGATCTAACATTAGATAAGGAAGAAATTGCTAGGGATTTGCTATCGAACTCCGATGAGGGAGAGGATAAAGAAACAGATGTTCACGATCTACTTAATAGTGTGTCATCTTCACAAACAGCTCGCCTTTTAAGATGTAAGTGCTAAATGCTTTTTACCATCCAATACTGGCTGTTAACCCTAGCCAAGAAGAATAATATAACCAAAAAAGACATACCTTATTTTTCTAAGAATCTTTTTATTCCCCTAAGAATCATTAAAAATAATGGCTGTTATTTCAGTGGGTATGTGCTGTTTTTATTTTCCTTTTCTGAAACACATGCTTAAGTTATGAATGAAATACCTAACGATATCATTAAATGTTATATTTTGTATGAATTTTCTAGCTCAAAGTCAACCAGGTAGTGAAGATAGTGAATCTGAGGATGACATTGATTATAAACCGGAGGAAGAATGGAAAAAGGTAACTTTATTCCTTACTTTCATTGAGGTAACAACAGGAATGTTTCCTATGGTGTCAAAGTAAAGAAATTACAATACCCTTCCTTGCAGGGCCATTTTTCACACAAAAGAGAAAGGGTATTTCCCTTTAAATTATGGGAAATTTTCTCTGTATTTAACTGCAAATAGTGAAGTAAAATAAAAAAAGATTTGAATTGAATATAAGGTGAAAGAGCCTTGCATTTAAGTGATAAATGTCATTGTCATGATTTATGAAATAATTCTCCATTTCAAAAAAATTTTAATAAATGTAGCTTTCACTGAAAAATGGAATGTTTAAATATATTTATTTTAAAGACCTTGAAGTTCATCAGAATTAGTCTAAACTTTACATCAATTTTATTTTATAGACAATATCAGTTGGGTCATCGTATCAGGCGGTTGTACCTGATGGTCTCTGTAAATATGGTGATGCCCCTGCTTACGAGAATGAGGATAGATTACTATGGGATCCTACAAAGATGGTGGATAGTGAAGGTAAGCTGTTAGGTGCTGTGTAATTTGTTCTTACAAAATGTGTCATAATATTGGCTTTTGAAAAAAGTATATTTTGCAAAATGTTGTTGCCTGGACACAGGTTCCAATAGGGAGAGTAATGAATTTGTAATTAAGGATCAATGGTTTGTTTCTTTGGCGAGGTGAAATTTCTCTGTGACATTGAAATTCGGAAATTGAGTCTAATGACAGCTGATTCAGAAAAGCATGTGTGATCAGTGGAAATTTACTATATAACCTTGTGTGTCTCTGTAACATAAAACTTGTCACTTGTCATCCATTACAACTTTTGGTTCAAACCCCACCATGGACCCTTGAACAGTCATCTCGAGAAGTTATTTAACTTCACTTAATGACTCTGCCTTGCACTTTCCTGCACCAATAAATTTTGGAAATTAATATTGAACTTTACAATATTTGTGTCATTAACTTAAAAAGTGAAAGTAATCAATTAAAAAGAAAAACAGTATTTATTTTATGCTTTTCAGTGGATTACTGATTTATCTGTGAAAATTATATTTGGTAATTTCACAGTGAAAATTATCAAAATATAATTTCACTCTTTTCAATGACGAAACTACTTTTTTAAGATTTTCCCCATGTGGTACCTCAATTTTATTTTTGCTGACAATTCTGACAATGTCAGGCTGTTTAAAGAAAAAGCAAAACTGAAATTGATAAATAACTTAAATGTCAAAAGTAATAAAAAGAAGAAAACTTACTTCTATTCATTCAAATTCATGAAATTCCAATCACCAAATTTCGTTTTTTTGTTTCATTTTGACAGTCTCAAAAATACATTCCTTCCCCATGCAAAACTGCTCTTGATGACATTTGGGCATATTAAAGTATCCTACGAGCAATAACTGCCGTATGCTTTATGAAAAATTGAAAGCATTGACAGCCATAACTCGAAGAATAAGTTAAATCAACCCAGCGTTCTTGAGCAGGTTTCCAAGTTTTCCATTTTCCTAGCTCCTTTTCTGAATGTTTTCACATCTGTCAACACTTATTTTTTGTCTGTTACAATCCTCAAATAAGTTTTCTTTCTTTTAAAAATGTGTATGACTAACAAATCCAAATTATATCCCTCTGAATCTTACACAATTATTTTCCTCCCATGAAATACACAACTTTAAAAAATGGCTGCCGCTTACAATTTACAAAGCCAGGTCAAATATAAATTCGCACTAAGTAACAGAAATTTGGATGGATGGTTGGACTTTTCTCCTACAAGAATTGTTTGTTTTTATTATCAAAACAAGCGATCATTCATATTTTTTTAATAAAATTAATAAATATCACCGTCATTTAATGTTGATTGGCGGACTTATTTTTCAGCTCAAGACTTCTTTTTTTTAATGAGAAATTCCGAATAAATGGGGCTCTCAATGGGGGAAACAGTTTTAATATTAATGTTAAAATTATGAAAATTTCGTTTTAACTTGTTTTTAAGCATAAAATAAAAAGAAAATTTGTCTGTTTGTTGTGTAAGATGTAATTTTATTTCATCTCGTGAACTTTAAAAACAGTATTCTCACTCGTGGCTTCGCCACTCGTGAGAATACTGTTTTTAAAGCCCACTCGATGAAATAAAATTTCATCTTACACACAAACAAACAAATATCCTCTATATATCCAACAGAAGAACAAAAAGTCATTAATAAAAACTTTTTTTTCAGTGGAGAAATACTTGCAGGAGATTCACTTACAGGGTTTACAGACAGCTGTTGGTGTTCATGCCATCCCAACAGGTGCTCATGTTAGAGATGATGAACAGGTAACTAACATTAAAAGTTATAGTTTGAGGTTTTATGAATATATAAATGTCAAGAAAATATTTAAACTACTAGTATACAGGACCATAGCAAAGCTTTATTAGAGCTGTGTTGTTTCAGACCAGGCAGAATTAGCTAAAAATGTTGTTCTTGCAACTCTTTTGTCAGTCATGCAGTACTTTATTAAACATTCTTGAATAGTGTTTTAGTAAGATATCTGATTTCTTAACATTTTTTAACCAGTAAGTAATCTATTGTAATTTATTTTACAGGCATTATATTTGTTATTGCAATGTGGTCATAATAAAGATGAAGCTTTACGTAGAAGAAAAATGCAAGCTATACCTCCAACAGGTGAGTTTATTCATTATGCATGAACAGTTATTTTGTTGTTTGATTGTTGGACTTCAGTTGTTTTATATTTTAAAGATTCAAACTTCATTTATTTGTAAAATATTTCAGATATATAGCCACTTTCCAACAGATTCAGAAATGCATGTGAGTTTATTTAGAATGAACATCAGTTTTTAATGAATTCATTTTAAAATTTCATCGATCTGTTTAGTTTGGTCCTCGAGCAATGTGAAATTTCTCCATGACAAATTTATCTCAGACATTTAGTCTAAAGTCATTATGGCTGCTGATTCAGAAATAAGTCATTGGAGAGAAGTTTTGTAATTACTGGTTAGTTATCCCAGAAGGCCAGTTAGCAGGATTTATGACAAAAAATATGTTCAAATCAGAGTAAACAGTATTAAAACAAACAAAATTTAGCCTGCCCCATTTTTACTCAACCACAATTGAATATTTCAATTAAATTTCTTACAAAGATATGACCCTTAAAACGCTATTACTTTGTTTTGCACACTCTCTGAGTTGTAGTAGAAATTTTAGCACAAATTAGGAGTCTTTTAAACAATACTTAATATTTCATTTAGCTTTTATCGTTGATTATTTCTTGTATATTTAGTATATCAACGAGAACATATACGTAAAAAGTATTTTGAATGATATTTTCCGATCTAGTTTATGTTTCTTTACTCTATACCTTCTCACTTATTTACCCTACATCTCTGAGAAAGCTAAGAACTGTTAATTACAATATCCTTTTAAAAATTAATATGGATTTTACAAAAAGAAATGCGTGAATCCCAAAATGTTAGATGTTGAACATGTTAAAAAAACTTTTGTTATGATTTATTTGTCATGGTTATGCCTTTCAGAATTCTCTCACTATTAACTTGATATCCTTGCATTGCTTCTTAAATGGTATGAAAATAGTTGAGCATGATGTTTTAAGTGACAGGGCTGTAATTGTGTTATACATTTGAACTCTTTGTGATTTATCATTTAATAATGACAAGTATTGTTTTATTGCAGATCCAATGAGTTTATGGTCTGAAGAAGAATGCAGCAATTTTGAAACTGGTCTCAGATTCTATGGAAAGGACTTTTATCTTATTCACCAAAACAAGGTAATTATATTACGTAGTTTGTTACAAAAGTTTCATTTCTTTTCACTTACATCTTTATAATACAGGAGTGTTATTAGCTAATATATTCTTTGGTTAAGTTGAACATGCAAATTGGTATCTCCAGAACTATTAAAGGGATCGTGTTGACTTCAATACACTTGTAATGTGAGAGTATAATAAGTCACTGTCCAGGGGCCATAACTCTTACATGGATTTTGACAGAATTATGGCCCTTTTTTATACACAGAATTTTCCACATTTTCTATGCTCTTGTTTAACTATAAAGAACTGAGAATTGTCAAGCACACTGTCATGTGGACAGCTGTTGTTTATTTTAAGTTCTTATATAAATGGCCATAATAAAGTGTCTGGTCCTAACATTTTCAAGTTGCTTGATTTAGGTTAATTTCTAAAATGATGAATATAATTCACTAAATTGCTCAAACAAAAATAAATTATTCTTAAGACTTAGAAGACTTGTGTAAAAAGGGTCATGACAAGGTCTGGGGACATATTTGTTATATTGTCTTCATTGAAATTTGGTGTTTGAATTTTGTCTATTACTCCCTCATGCTTGATGGGATTCAAATATAAATTGGTTTAGACAAAGGCCTATTAGTTGCAAGTCGAGATTACAGCGGGGATTGAACCTAGTGTATTCATCATAATTTTCAATGCAGTTGGAATATGTGTCTGCTCTTCAACAGGTATTTACTGGAGTTTTGCAAATGTATAATGTTTTCAGGTGAAGACAAGATCTGTCGGTGAGCTTGTACAGTTTTATTATTTGTGGAAGAAAACAGAACGTCATGATATATTTGCCAACAAGACCAGATTAGAGAAGCGAAGATATACTTTACATCCAGGGGTCACGTAAGTCTTAAATTCATGTACAATAACGACTCAGTTTTAGAAGATTTGTATTGTACCTTAGAGGTGTTCTCCTGTTAACAAGCTGGTCTTAATTTTGTCTAAAATTCATGACTTAGTTTCATTGTATTTTAAATTTGCTGGGATAAAAATTAGCTCTATCCTAGTTTACTCAGGCTTGCTTAAAAAAATTGAAACTGTCTTGTGTCAAACTACTTGGCTTTGATTGTGCCTGATGAACTGCCACAACAGGTTTATACTTTTGCATTAAAGATTGACTCCAGTAATTAATCTCAATTGAGTAGTCATCTTAATTGGTTTAAATATAATATGGTTATTATTTTAAAAAGATTATGGAATAGAAAAAAAATGTTTAAGGCTGTAAGATACACTGTTTTACATAGTGTGTGTTATGTTATTCTTTTACATCAAATACATGTATAAGCATAGTGTGGGTTTTACAGAAAGAAATAAAATTGGGAACCCCAGTAGTTCTTATTTGTATTTTAAATTTGATAAACAATGTTTTATGCAAAAGAAATAACTGTCACAATTTATATGTAGGGATTACATGGAGAGGTTTTTAGATGACCAGGAAACGCCTCCACCTCCGCCGCCTCCTAGAGATCGTTCAGCAAGTCCAGTGCATTCTCTATTGTTTGGTGATCCGAAAAGAAACCATCTCAAACCTCACACTGAAACGGGAATGGGTGATGCCCCGTCGAGTCATTTGAAACCTCATTCTGATACTGGTATAGGTGAAAGTTCATCAAGCCACCTCAAACCTCATTCAAACTCTGGTGTCGGAGATGTTACAAACAGTCATGTGAAAACTCATACAGAAGTCAGTATGAATGATTCATTTACTGGATTTAAGCCTATTCAAACTGAATTTGATATAAACACAGCCTCACCTACTGTGCAGTGCCCAGATACTAAAGTTCATAATCCTGCGGAAGGTGACAATGTATGCATTCAAAATGGCCTCCCGGAGGAGGGCTACGTACCTCCGTTTAAAAAATTAAAAACGGACAATGCTGACAATATAAGTGAATTACCAAGTGACCTCCATTCATCAACAGCATCTACAGAAACACAGAATCACATAGACTCTTTATCAATTTCATCAGTATCCTCTGTAGAAAAAATAAGTGACAAATTTAGTGACGTTAGTTCAGCAACTAACAGTAAATCTGTAGGTATGCCTAGTGTAGCTTTAGGACATGTGCGAAGTGCTGAAGCATTGAGTCAGTGACATTCCGTCATTATTTTCAAATATTTTTTTTCCGGTTCATAATTATCATCCAAATCAGGTTTTTATTCCACCCTGATATATCAGACGTGGGATATTGAATAGCAATTTTCTGTCCTTGTTTTTAAGGATCCATATTTTTAGATTATAATGAAGCTTGGCATGAATGTACATATCATTTAGAAAATGATTTTCTTGAAATGCCATCATAATCAACTTGTGCATAAATGAGTCGTGGCCCTTTGTTACCTGAAAATGGACAACTTCAAAGGAAACTGTCTCTAGCTGATTAATCCAGATAGCTCATTAAATATGAGCCGCGACATGACAAAACCAACATAATGGGTTTGCGACCAGCATGGATCCTGATCAGACTGCGCGGATGTGCAGGCTGATCAGGATCCATGCTATTCGCTATCACTTTCTCTACTTGTAATTGGGATTGTAAGCGAACAGCATGGATCCTGATCAGACGGCGCGGATTCATGCTGGTCGCAAACGCATTATGTTGGTTTTGTCATGGCGCAGCTCATATATATTTTAATGTTCAGTCTAAATTAGCATACAATACTCTTGAAGCAGATAGCTGACTTCTAAATAATGTATTGTTAATGAATGATAGAATATTGTAATTATTGATTATTTCTCAATCATCATCAACTATAACATTGATAAATAATGTCAGTAGATTTTTTTTATGATTTTTGTGTCGCCTCTACGGAGTAGTGGCGACATATAGGGATCACTTCTCCGTCGTCTGTCTGTCCGTCTGTCTGTCTGTCTGTCTGTCTGTCCGTGCGTCCGTCACAAAACTTGTCCGGACTACTCCTCATAAACTACTGGTGCAATTTCATCCAAACTTTACAGGAATGATCAGTACCAAGTCTAGTTGTGCATATTGTCAGCATTTTCCGGTTCAATGATTTTTGTCAGAGTTATGGCCCTTTAATAATTTTTAATTTTAAAGTTTGTCCGGACTACTTCTCTTATACCACTAATGCAATTTCAATGAAACTTTACAGGATTGATCTGTAGCTCAAGTCCTTGCGCATATTGCACGGGTTTTCCGGTTGAATGATTTTTGGCCGAGTTATGGCCCTTTGATAAAAAGGTTTCTTTTTCTGTGTGTTGCCAGATACACAAAAGCTTGTCCGGACTACTTCTCATAAACTACTGGTGCAATTTCATCCAAACTTTACAAGAATGATCAGTACCAAGTCTAGTTGTGCATATTGTCAGCTTTTTCCGGTTCAATGATTTTTGTCAGAGTTATGGCCCTTTAATAATTTTATTTTTAAAGTTTGTCCGGACTACTTCTCTTATACCACTAATGCAATTTCAATGAAACTTTACAGGATTGATCTGTAGCTCAAGTCCTTGCGCATATTGCACGGGTTTTCCGGTTGAATGATTTTTGGCCGAGTTATGGCCCTTTGATAAAAAGGTGTTTTTTTCTGTGTGTTGCCAGATACGCAAAAGCTTGTCCGGACTACTACTCATAAACTACTGGTGCAATTTTATCCAAACTTTACAGGAATGATCAGTACCAAGTCTAGTTGTGCACTGTCCGTCTGTCTGTCTGTCTGTCACAAAATTTGTCCCAACATGAAATTTGCCTTCATGAGGCGACACATGTGATTACTGATCGCTCTTGTTGTTATTAAGCAGAGGATGATATCATGTCAGATAATTTCCTAGTTCATTCAAATATATTAAATATCATTACAACTTAACATAAATCAAGTATGTGCAATATTCAGAGACATTTTTATTAAAGAATTAAATCAATCTTTAGAAAAAAAAAGTTGTGCTTTTTATTTTTTGTGTGTGTGCTAAGGTCTGAGGTATTGTGATCAGCCTTTGTCCGTTGAGAGTTATTCTATTACACTTTCAACATTAATTTACCTATAACAGTATTATTCTGGTCAAGTAAATAAGCTAAAATTGCTCAGGTCCAGGAACAAACAACTGCAAGAAATGAAAGTAAAAACATCTGTATACAGTTACAGTATATAACACTTGGCAGATCTGAAACTATAGGGGAGTGATTTTTGCTATAGTGCTGTACAAATTGAAATATGACTATGAACAACTTAAGCTTCGCCTTTAGATCATAGATGACAGTAAGGGACAAAACATGTGTGTATATGGTAACTGTAGATGGCATACCGTAAAAATCCTAATAAACGCCCCTGGGGGCTAAACATTTTCCAAAAGCTGGGCTATTAATACAACACAGTTTTTCCTAAATAAAAAAATCACTGTAAATACATTTAGTGGTAGCAAGTTTTGGTAATAACATTAAAAGTGTTAAGGTTTTAAAGTTCATATTATACATATTTGTGTTTACTATAAAATACTATGGATTCTTAATGATTTGAATAAAATTATGGCTTTAATTATGAGTTCAGCACTGATGAGTAGATTGTTTTCCTTATCAAAAGGCCTGGGGGGGGGCCTTTATTAGGGGAGGGGCGTTTATTAGAAATTTTACGGTATATCATTTTACTGCCCAAGATCTCGAGTGAGCGATTCTGGACCTTGGCTCTTGTTACAAAATTACTGTCAAATTGATCATCTTGCTGGCAAGAAATAATTTAATTTTCAAAGTTTTGACAATTTTTTTGTGTGTGTGTTCCATTGATCTCGTATATATAGATTTAAAAAAAAAATGAAACAAAGAAGTTCAGCTACAAGTTTGACAATTGATAATTTGGTTAAAAAATAGGAAATTTTTCAGTTTATCTTGATATTTTTATCTTTATCAACTTAGAAAATGAAATGAAAACATATTAAAATCATGGTTTAATCATTTGTGTTTTGAAATTCAAAATGATGTATTTTACAGTTTTTCATAGTTATGATTTTATTGATTAAATCTTAATCAAGGATCTTCTGCAATCTACTTAATTCTGACTTGTCACAAAATGAATTATTTACAGACTGTTTCTAATATTAAATGAGATATGGTCTGATGTGTAATATTGCGCAAAAGTTTAATACATGGTTTAATACAATTAAACAAATTAACAAATTTGACATGTTAATTGTTTGTTTGTTTGTGTCATTTTACGACTTATTCCAACAGTATTTCAGTCATATAGGCGGATAGTTTCCTAACCATCGTTCCTGGAGAGTTACACCAGTACTTGACTACCTTCCTCCGCGCTAAACTACCAAAGCATCTCCCGGGATCTAACCCACGTTAATTAATTAAATTACCATCTATATAGAGTCAACACTATTGTTATTCTTCACTATTGTAACTGTACCCGGAAAAATGGATCAAATATTGTTTTCTAAGATTTAAAACATGAACTGGAAAATTAGCTTTTATGTGTATATTTCCATGAATTTAAGGATGATTAGATGGGATAGCAACAAGTACCAATTTCAGTACTAGAGTACTAATATTTTTGAAACCTGGTTTCTTTGACGAGTTCCAATGGCTTTTAAAGTGTATAAACATAAACTTGTCTATTTTGTATTAATGTCAAATGAAGACGATAAATATTTATGACACGGTCGGCGGTCCACTTTCATTTTACTTTTGATACACTGAAATCACTTGTATTGTAGTGCAAGGGAGGTAACAAAAAAACGCCTGATTTGGGTGTTATTAGTTATATAAATCCTACATAAAAAAATGAAAGCAATGAGCTTTTTGGCGGTATCATATAACAAATTTCAGTAGCGCACTGTTTGTTAAGTATCATAAGCAGCCCTATGATATAAGGGACAGAATTGATGTTTAATACGAAACACCTGTCAAACTGTTGATAACCAGTGTCAATAAGCCATAAAATATGTTTTAAAACGTTTCTTTTGTGGAGATAAATAGAAATAAAAAATTTAATTGTATTATATTGTGAAACATTAACTTCAGAAATGAAAAAAGATGAAATTAGTCATTTTTGACCGATTCATTCATTATCAAATTTGTTTTCTGAGACTAGAACTTTTGTTTGAGTACTCAATGAACTGGATACTTGTTGCCATCCTGAATAATTTAACTTTTTAAGATATTGAATGTATTATTGTGATTCTGGCATATTCTTTGGTATTTCAAGAAATAATGATATGGATAGTGATAAATGTAATGGCTATACATAGTATTTGATGGAAGTATGATTTATTGCAGTTTTTCATGTGAAGTTTGTTGTTGTAGTTGTTGTTATGTCTCATTTCTTTCATAATTGCTTATCAATCACAGAGTCCTAATATATTTTTACTGCAATTCAACATTTTGTGCATCTTCATTATCATCACAGTATAAAAGTGTGGGATATTGTTATTTATCTGACGTCCTGGTTTGAAAGAAAAAAAGAACAACCCCTCAACCTGATGGATCTGTGCAGTGTTTTTTTTACCATTTGTTTAGTAGGATTAGTCAATTCAAAGTTCATAAACAGTATAGGGCATTGTCAGACTGCACGGAGATGTAGGCTGGCATGGCTTTATATACTAGTGGCAAAGTTGTATCACTTCAGTTCAAGCAGGTTAAAGGTAATGTAGGGTACATTAATATGAATGTTATTTCTAATTACTTCTTATCTTGACTTGGAAATTTTTCTTCTCTGCACAAGTTAGATTAACATTTTTTTCAGGAGAAAATTTATTATTACATATTGTTGACAGTGACAATAAACCCAAAACTTGGATTTTATTTAGATGCTCAATTTTATTAATTTTTTTGATACATGGACATATATATTGAGGAATAAGTGGATTAAACATATTTAAGGTCCTATAAGTAATTGCTGTATTTGATAAATTAAGTTAACAGTTCTGAAAATTAGAATTTAATTGTAATCACAAAGTGAACATTATTGTCACTTGTGATCTTTGTTATAAGCTCTTATAAATAGAATTTTCAGATGTATTGTCAGATGAGTCTGCATTTCAAATTTATCTCCTAATTTTGGACTTGGGACTGATTTTGAATATTTTACTAACTTTTTTTATGGTGCTTATTTGTGACATTAATGTCTTGTTAAATATGTGAAATTCTGGTTAAATATGTGAACATGAGGTTAAATATGTTACTGTAAGGTTAAATATGTGAACATGAGGTTAAATATGTGAGTTTGTGATTTAATATGTGAATTTGTGGTTTAATATGTGACTTTGTGATTTAATATGTGAACTTGTGTAATGGATAGAAATTGATAAATTCAAAGATAATTGTATACTGGGAAGTATTTGTCGGAGTTTGTTTAATTGTTAGTGGGGAAAATGCTGTTGTCAAATAGATCCGGTGTCATAATGATAGATAGATAGAGTTAGCCTTATCAAAGATTAGATTTTTGTTTTTTAGATGATAATGGAAAGAGAGGGGTTTAATCTTTGTATTAACTATCCCTTCAGAGACTGGGTATTGAAATATACCGGTAGGCTTTATATCAATCCTTCCTCATGTATTTTGATCCATAATACATGTGTTAAAACTTTGTCAAGTAAAACATTTGCATTTGCTGTATGAAATTATGAAATAGATAAGAGTTGGAGGTGGGATGGAGGGTTTTACATTAATTTGTTTGTTTCTTTTAAAACTGAAGCAAACCTAGTCCTAAAATAATGAGTTATACAACATAACATTTGTCATAATATTATAATCATGTCGATTTATATAAATCTACAAAATGTAAACAGCGCCAGTAAATATTGATGGTATAATTGTGTTGATAACTCTAAAGTTGATGTTGTATTGTTAAATAATTGTCCGAAAAACAATCACTGTAATCAAGTCATTTTGTACATTGAGTACTGATTTTCATTCCTGAAATGTTTTAATCTGTCCGTGTTTGGATGTGATGATGTGCTGGTTTATTTCTTGTTGTTTTTTTTTCTATGAAGTGTATAATCTTGGTAAAGATTTTATTATCATAACTTAAATAACATATGTTTAGTGAAAGGAGAATTTAACATACTTTCCTCTGTAGGAATGATTTTTTGACTATCATATACGTGGGTTTGTACATTTGAGGTTTATTGATAGGAAGTTCTTGTTTCAGCAAAGTTTTTTAATAAATGTACAGGTAGTTCACTTGAGCTTAAAATAGACTTTAAAGCTGAAATCTTTGAGAGAGAAAAAAAATCAGAAACTACAATGCCAAGGGTATAGAATAAAGTGTAGAATTTATAGAATTTATTTTGGAATAAAGTGTTGCCCAGTAGACATATACAAAAGTAACGTAAATCATGTACCTGGTGGTCAAAATTGTAATGACTTTGTTGTCCTTTTGGGAGAAAAATGTTTGATGTACATACATTATATAGTACTTGTTTGGATGTTAAGATAAGGTGAAGAGTTATCAAGGTTATATTTTTCTTAACTATGAAATGCTTTCCAGAAACTGTTCATTTTCTTCTACCACCTTTTTAAGTGAGGCCACTGTGCAGAGTGGTAATGGTTGCTGGCCTCTCATTATTGTGGGTATGAATCTAACTAATGACTTTAAATTCTTTCTTGTGAGGCAAATGGGGGCACCCATCTTCTGTCTGTAAAGCCTAATATGTGTGACTTGAAACAAAACAGTTGAAATGATGTATTATGTACCCAGTTTGTAAATATTTGATTAAAAGTTAAAAATACATGAAGTATGGTTAAGTTACTTTTCTTCATATTTTTTGAGGGAAAAATACTAATACAAGATTATATGAAAGTGCTCAATTTAGATGAAGTGTCTGTAAGTGTAAAAATGGTTTTGTATGTTTGTTATGTTTTCTAAATTTTTACAGTTTGGAGAGTGTACAAAGTTCAACTTACAGTACATCATTATTTATTTTGTACATAATTATTATGTCGAAAAACATAAATTAGATTTAATACATGTTTTTCATAAAAATGAGGAATTGTTGGTTTTATTTTTACCCTCACGTTTTAGCTTGACGGTACAAATTATATGGTGAAAAAATAACCTTGGCCACGTTTTCGGAAAGAACAAAGGCCTGGATCAAATCCTGATCTTGATAAATGAAACATAATTATATCATTTTTGCCAAGCCTGCTTGCTGTTAGCTCAACTTATTCGCCACTTTTTGCAGATTTCGGTGTATGTATGTCTGGATTTGTACGGTCTATATCTTTCTATATATCTATATATATTTCTTTGAAGTATTACGAAACAATTTGATGCAAATGTTCACCATGATGGGGTGGTGTGTCACACACTTGGGGGATCAGCACAAAACCTGTGTCCAAGTCATAACTTCCATGCAAGGAGGGATTTTAAATAACTCGAAAAATTTCTCCATAGTGAGGCAGAGTGAGGCAGAGTGTCACAAGAAAAATTCAGGTATCTGGTCATGGTCACACTGGGGTCAAAGGTCAAATAACAAAATAAAACATTCCTTATCGAGTATAACTTCCACACTGCATGGACAGATTTTAATATAACTTAGCACAAATGTACTCCATGTTGAGTGGAGTTGCCTCACGCAAAATGAAGGTCACAAAAGGACAAATAAAAAATTTGTTTTGTTTTATTGGTGCTGTAGCTTGCTCCTGCTGTGAAGTGTAGTGGTCAAGTTTTCAATTGTTGAGCCGGCTTGTGGTGAGGTCTATTTAGCCTCCACTATTCACTTTTGGTGGTATGGTGTATGTGTGTCCATCAGTCTGTGTGTTTGTCTAGATTTGTTCACTCTATATCTTTGATACAAATATTCACCATGGTGAGTGTTGTGTCACATGCAAAACACAGGTCTGCCAGTCAAAGGTCAAGCTCACACTTGGGAGTTGGGGTCAGCGCAAAACCTGTGTCCAGAGCGTAACTTCTACATGCGTGGAAGGATTTTAATATAACTTGGGACAAATGTTCTCTGCAGCGAGGTGTTGTGTAGCGAGAAAAATTCAGGTGTCTGGCAAAGGTCAAGGTCTTACTTCAGAGTCAAAGGTCATATAACAAATTAAAACATTCATTTATGAGTATAACTTCTATATACATTGGATGGATTTTAATATAACTTAGAACAAATGTTCTCTATGGTGAGTTAAGTTGTCTTGCGCAAAATGAAGGTCAAGGTCAAATAGAAATATTTTGTCTGCACTGTATTTTACTTATGCTTTGAAGTATTATGCAAAGTGGCCAGAGGATTTTTGTCAAAGCTGCTTGCACTGAGCTTGACATAGTTGTCAAATTGATGTTCATTAAGAGATGCATGCTTTTAAACTTGTCCATGCCATAATTTCTTCATGCATGGAGGATTTTCAAATAACATGAACTGATATTTTAAGCACAAATGTTCATCATGAGAATTCGTGTCATGCACATGAACCAGGTTACCAGGTCAAGGTCACCTAAGATGATGCAATGTCAAGATTTTGTTTTGGGGCATAAAGAGGATGTGCTGTGCACATGTCACCAATATATACATGTTTCTTCTTGATCTGAAGCTCATAGGTTCATGTTTGAATCAAGCCAAGCTGGCTCGACGTTCTGCCCTGGGCATGTCTTGTAATATTGTATCAAGCAATCATTCTGCTGAAAATTATTGCTTGAATTTCAAAAAAGAAAACTTTGAAAATGCTGGTATCAAAGTAATATGCCAGTCTTTAAAGCAAAAGGCGATTGTACAGTCATTGCTACAAAAGGCGATTGTACAGTCATTGCTAAATCGTTTAAACCTTACCTAAAACAGCAGCATAATATTTTGTTCCGAAACATTTTATTTGGTCAGATGGCACAAATGTTTGCTTTCTTTAATGGTAAGATAAGGATAATTTTGTTCAGCCTTTAATGGAACTCTACTGAGGTCCAAAGGCCTAAAACATCAAATTTCAATTTCTTACATAGATCAATAGATCAACAATGGGAATTATCTTTCTGGTAAAATTGAGTGAGCGAATAATCTGAAATTTTGCAAACAAGTTATTGGTATAGACCTGTATCAAATGGTGCAAAAATTTCAAATAACCATTTCCAGTTCATTCAAAACTGCAGTGGAGTCCCTATAAAAACACAATCATGAAAATTGATTTAGAAATTTTTCTTGTAGCATGACCTTTTAAACTCACTGTTAAATTATCATTAAATGTATAAACTTCAAGAACAACTTTTGAAGAATTTGCAAAATATGATGTACTGTAAAATTCCTAATAAACGCCCCTCCCCTAATAAAAGCCCCCCAGGCTATTTGATATGGAAAAATATCTGCTCATCAGTGGTGAACTCTTGAATAAATCCATAATTTTATTAAAATCCTTCAGAATCCATTTTATTTCATAGTTATCACAAAAATGTATCATATGAACTTTAAAATCTTAACACATTTTAATGTTATTACCAACACTTGTTAACACTAAATGTATTTTCAATGATTTTTGGATTTAGGAAAAAACGTGTTGTAATAATAGCCCCCTTGGCCTTTTGGAAAATGTTTAGCCCCCGGGGGCATTTAATAGGAATTTTACGGTATGTAGTCTATGTTTAATGAGGATCCATTGGCCCATTGTAAAAAAGCATAAGTAACTGATCCCCCTAACTCTTGAGGCAAATTCGTTTAATAAAGCTTAATCTTTCAAATAATAATTGGGCTATCCTTTTCATCCAGTTGTCAGCATAACATTTTTGTTAAAGTTTGAGGTGCAAATTCTTGTACAACCTGGTCTCTTATCAATCACTGAAGAAGTGTAATGTTTACTTTACACATGTATTTAGTATCACTGTCCGACACTCATAACTCTACATCATGGATTTTGACAGAATTATGGTCCTTTGTGAACTTAATTTTATTGAAAAGTCATGATTTAAATTTTGCTTGGAACATCAATCTTCAAAACTTTATCAGGTTTTCGTTCTTATAAATTGAAGTACTATCAAAGACCTTTACTTCTGACATTGATATAGACAAATTTATTGTGTGAGGAAGCTATCCAGCTAGCGTAGGGAACGACTGTGGTTCTACTCAGGAGCCTGCTCTGACTGAATTAATGCACGGAAGGGCACCTGAGGTGTTCATCTAATAGTAAAGCTGGAACATCGCCATATGACCTATACTGTGTCGATGTGACATAAAAACCCAATCAAACAAAGTTATGGCCCTTTGTGAACTTATAAAATTCCTGGGTCACTGTCCAACACTCAGGGTTTTTTAATGGTATCTTCCACTTTGATGATGTACTTTTTAGTTCTGTTGATATAACCTGCAACATGTTTTCTACCAGTTCATATGTCTATTGAATATCTCTGGCCATGAATTTCACACAGTTATCCCCCTTTTCACACTGAAAAAAGTACAAAAAATCTACTTTTTCTTAAATATTTCTAGGAGTTTGAAGCATTTGATTTAAACTTAAAAAAACTTTATTGATGCTATTATTAGTTAAACAATATGCTCCATTGTGAGAAAGTTATACCCCTTTTTACTTTAAAAATATAGTAAATTGTTTATTCTTTTGAACGTGTATCCTCCAGGTACTTTTGAACTTCTATGGACTATTTCAACATATAAAACTTAAGTAAAGTTTTACAAATCAATTTGTTAAAGAAACTCTATTGAGATCCAAAAGACTAAAAACATAAAATTTTAATTTCTTTTACTGAACAATTGGGGCACTTAAAGCAGAAAAAATATGCACAAAATTATTAAGAAATATGTGAAAATTGTACTTTTTACCCACTTCAAGTGAAAAGTCACATGTTACTATATTTATTACACCCACTACATGGACATGTGATCTTTTGATTATCTGTTGTATATACAGGTTATATGTACCTTTTGAGAGTGAAATATTTGAAATAAAATTCAATCAAAATTTCTAAAATTATTAAGTACTCCAAAAACTCAAGAACTTGTTTTGAGGGGTCAAATAAACTGTTCCTCTAATTTAGTAAAGGGATAGCTGGATTAAGTTAGATTAATATTTTATACTTCTTAAACACACTGGAAAGACATCTTAAAACTTTAAAAAAATTATCCTTGACTAATAGAAATATGTTACTGTCATGTGATAAAGGATGAAAAGTTGGGAAATTGAAACAAACAGGTAAATATAATTTTGATATGATTAAAAGCTATTTTTATTGATAAAACATGTCTTCAATGTTGTACTTTGTACCATCAACATAATGGGTAGATAATCAATGTGTGATTATTTACTTATTAAAATCGAGGTTATCTCCATTTCTTCACTCATTGTACATGTATTTATTGATAACTTTACCATTTAAGTCAGCCATGTTTAAACTTCCTCCTTTTGTATGTACAACGAAACTGTTTGTATATTAGTTTGGATATCTGGGTAATTTAACGGACAATGAAATTGTATATAAAGCAATTTTAAGATGAATGAATATTTTGTTTTTCTAAAGCATACAAGAGGAACATCTTAATTAAAGGTAACATTTATAGTTTAACATTTATCTGTCCATATAACATCAACATTGTTAATAAACATGTAAACCTTGAATTCAACAAGTAATTGTCAGTTTATATATGGTTTTAAAGGTACATTTAGTTTCTATTTCAGCTATTGTTAACTTACATTAACAGTAATAATATATACATGTAATAGTGTATTTGTAATATACACAATGTATATTTTTACAGTATTCAACAGAATTATACATAAATCTATTCTAGACTTTGCTTTGTACATACCATTTGAATATACAGAAAAAACACATATTCATGCTAACTGACCTTATAGATATCAGTTATTTCGTGCTAATTGACCTTACATATTTAAGTTATTTTGTGTTTATTAACCTTATATATTTAAGTTATTTTGTGCTAATTGACCTTATAGATTTAAGTTATTTCGTGCTAATTGACCTTATATATTTAAATTATTTTATGCTAATTGACCTTATATATTTAAGTTATTTTGTGCTAATTTACCTTATATATTTAGGTCATTTCGTGCTAATTGACCTTATATATTTAGGTCATTTTGTGCTAATTGACCTTATAGTTTTAAGTTATTTCCAGCTAATTGACCCTATATATTTAAGTTATTTGGTGCTTATTGACCTACTACATTAAAGGTTTTCATTATATACCATGTATATTTATATATTCAGCAAAATGGAAAGTTCTCAGACTAAATATCGAAACATGGATCCAGATGAAGTTGACAAACTTGATATAGGTGAAGTCTCTGATATCTTAGAAAAGTTGGAAATCGATTATGGTCATCTTGAAAACTTAGATGAGATGAGTGCACTTTTAAAGCATTACTTGATGTCAAAAAGAAGTAATAACACAGATACAAAAGGGAAAGATGCTTCAAAAGATTTGACAGCAAAGGTAAACTTACCTTCATCATGCCCTTAAATCCATGCCAATTTTCAGAAATATTTTAAAAAATATATTCAAAAGTAAATTATTGTGAAGGGAACAAAGAAAGTGATTTACACATTGCAAACTGCACTTACAATCCATGTAAATTACAGAAAATAGACCTTTTTGCATTAGTCACATAGTAGAAATGTGGGAATAATGATTGCAAAGTCAATCATTATTTACACATGACATGTAAATTATTACTTGAATCTATTCTTAAAATCTTCGTACATTTTTCTCTAGTTTGATTTTCTTGAAATTATTTGGCTCATATGCAGGTATGACCGCCATAGCTGTTATCATAGCCAATAACAACCACAAAATCCATCGACTTTACAATACCATCATCATTTTTAGCTTGACTTTTTTTTTTTTTTTTGAAAAAAAAGTAGACGTATCGCTATAGTCGTGGCGGCGTTGCCGTTGCCGTTCCACAAACTTGTACCTGGATCATAACTTTTTTATTTCTTTGTGTATTGTCTTCATACTTGGCCACAACAACCCTTGGGACAAGACCTTTCAGTAGACCACACTAACCTTGACCTTCATCCATAAATGACCTTGACCTTCAAGGTTAAAAGTCCAAATTTTGCTTGTTCATGCTGTTATTGGCTGTAACTTTGTTATTTTTGAATGGATTGTCTTCAAACTTGAACATAATAATCTTCAAGGATATCACTTAAAAATAACCAGACAAACCTTGACCTTCACTCATAAATGACCTTGACTTTGAAGGTCAAATTATTGAAATTTTCATTTTTTTGGCTATTATTGGCTGTAACTTTGTTATTTTTGAATGGATTGTCTTCAAACTTGAACATAATAATCTTCAAGGATAACCCTTAAAAATAACCAGACAGATCTTGACCTTCACTCATTAATGACCTTGACTTTGAAGTTCAAATTATTGAAATTTTCATTGTTTTGGCTGTAACTGGCTGTAACTTTGCTATTATTGAAGGGATCAACTTCATATTATAACAGAACATTCTTAAGGACAAGACCTTGTTGTTTATCAAACACTTGGGCTCTTTAATGACCTTGACCTTGAAGGTAAAATAACTGAATTTTCTCAGATTTGTGCATAAAATGACCATATATATTTATTGGTGTGTGTGTGTGTATGTATATATATATATCATCATCATCATCATCATCAACAACAACAACACGTGTCACCACCACCTGTCACCACCACCACCTGACACCACCACCATGTGTCACCACTACGTGTCACCACATGACACCACCACCACATGTCACCACCACCACATGTCACCACTACCACCACGTGTCAGCACTACCACCATGTGACACCACCACCATGCGTCACCACCATGTGACACCACCACATGTCACCACCACGTGACACCACCATGTGTCACCAATGTTACCACCACATGTCACCACCACGTGTCACCAACACCATGTGACACCACAACATGACACCACATGTCACCACCACCACGTGACACCACATGTCACCACCACCAAGTGACACCACCACGTGTCACCACCACCACGTGTCACCACCATGTATCACCAATGTCACCACCATGTGACACCATGTGTCACCACCACGTGACACCACCACATGACACCAAGTGTCACCACCACCACCACATGTCACCACCACCACGTGACACCACCATGTGACACAACGTGTCACCACAACCACCATGTGACACCATCACCACCATGTTACACCACCACCATGACCACAATGTGCCACCACCCACATGACACCACCACGTGACACCAACATCACTAGACACCACCAACATGTGACACCACCACATGTCACCACCATCATGTGTCACTGTCACCACCACCACGTGTCACGACTACGTGTCACCATGTGTCAAACACCACATGTCACCACCACGTGTCACCATCATGAGTCACCACCACGTGTCACCACCACGTGACACTACGTGTATCTATTTATAGAATTTTCTATTTATAGAATTGCGTGTTTCTATTTATATAATTGCGTGTCTCTATTTATAGAATTTTCTATTTATAGAATTGTGTGTTTCTATTTTATATATATATATATATATATATATATATATATATATATATAAATTAGTATATTTATATATACAAAATATAATATATAGACAAAACTAATGTGACAAGACAGACCGATTAAATTTATAAAAAGGAAACGTTAAGATTTGTTCAAATATTTCTTTGTTTGCTTTTTGAAAAAGTAATAAGTCGAGCGTTGCCCCGCCCGGCGGTGGCTTTTTTTTAAAATAATGACATCATCAGCATCATTTAGGATTGTCATCTTCAGTATTATGTAGCATCATCATCAGTGGCAGCAATTGTTACCATTATCATCAGCATCACTGTCATCAACATTATCATTATCATTGTCATCAATATAATTTTCATTTACCATTTTTATTAAAAACATTATTAAAATCACATCATTTAATATCATTATTATCAACATCATTATCATCACACTCATTTACCATCATTATTATCATCATCTTTAACCATCATTTTTATCAACATCATTACCATTACCATCATTTATCATCATTATTATCAACATCATTTTCATCACCATCTTTAACCATCATTGTTATCAACATCATTATCATTACCATCATTTATCATCATTATTATCAACATCATTATCATCACCATCTTTTACCATCGTTATTAACAACATCATTATCATCACCAACATTTTATCATTATTATTATAAACATCATTATCATCACCATCATTTACCATCATTATTATCAACATCATTATCATCAGCTTCATTTATCATCATTTTTATCAACATCATTATCATCACTATCTTTTACCATCATTATTATTATCAACATCATTATCATCGCCATCTTTTACCATCGTTATCATCACCATCATTTATCTTCATTATTATCAACATCATTATCATTTATCATCAATAACACCTACCATATTTATCATCAATATCATCATCATTATCAACAAAATCATTTATCATCATTATTATCAAAATCATTAATCATCATTTCCATCATTTATTGTTATCAACATCATCATCATTATCATCAACATCATTTATCATCATAATTATCAAAATCATTTATCATCATTTACATCATTTATTGTTATCAACATTATCAACATCAATTATCATTATTGACATTAACATCATTTATCATCATCATATTTTATCATCATTATCATCTTTAATCATCATCATCATCATTGTCTTTTTATTATCATCAATATCATTTATCATCAACATCATTTATCATCATTTTCATCTTTTATCATCATTCGCAACGTCTTTTTATCATAATTTGCAACGTCTTTTTATCATCACCATCATCATCATCATCAGCAGCAGCAGCAGCAGCAGTATTTAGCATTATCATCATCACCAGCAGAATCTACTGAATAATAAACTTTATTGTTCAAATTCCATTCAATGAAGTTTGAATAATTTGTACTCATCAGTTGGTTATACAGCTGACATACATAGGTCACTTTTCTGAATTATCTGTGGTTATGAAATTATTATTTATTGTATCATTTTCAGTCACATATGTATAAGTCTCACATAGGAAAAGCGAATGAAGATACGGCCATGACATGTCTTTAAATCAAGGAGAGTTGAAGGAGATTAATGTAAAAAACTGTACATGTATTAGAAAATGTTTAAGTACAACCACTTAATATTTTTCTTTGGGAAATATGAATATATTATGAAAATCTATTACAGACTAATGTACATACTTACGATGTCGTTTGTCTTCTAACATGTAAACGCGTATCTTGTATTTCAGAGTCAAATGATGATGGAAGAGATTCTAGCGAAAGATCAGAAGATGAAAGAAGAGTTATCGGACATATATACGGAGCTGAAAGAGTTTATGGATACAGTTGGCGATGACTTACGGTCAGTGATGGAAGAAATTCACGGAAAGTTTGAGGAGAAACTTGTAACCTACCAGGCAGAACTAACCAATAATGATTGTCCAATTGTTGTGGCTGGTAAGTGTAGATCAATTATCAATTATTCCTTTGGTTTGTAAAAAACTCTCTTTGTTTCTTCTTTTTTTTTTACAAATTAGACATTAAAGGTTTATAGATCATATTGTATTTTTTCTTATTTGATTCTTGACCGTATAATGTGAACATGTGAAGCTTGACATTAAAATATTAGTTCTTTATGTTTGATTATTTTGTCATTTAATAGGCGAAACAAGTGCCGGCAAGAGCAGTTTGTTAAATTTGATTCTCGGCACGGAAGTTCTACCGCACTCTCTTTTATGCGCAACCTCTACAATTTGTCGTCTGCACAACAGCGAAAGCAAACGATTTGAAATCATAACAGACACCGATGAAGTAATTAAAATAGAAGTTGATAGTAATGATGATCCAGATACTCAGGAAGAAAAGCTAAAAGAGAAATTAAAACCATACGTTAGCGGTACAGAAAGTCGAGAACAACACAAATACAAACAAGTTGAGATTTACTGGCCTATACCTATGCTTCAGGTAACTGATCAAGTTTGAAAATTAATATTTTCTTTCCGATCGTCATATTTTCTCCATATACCAGTATTGTTAAATTTAATGATCACTTACGTATAACATTTTTAAAACTTATCTAGATTTCATTTTATTGCAATTTTTTTTTAAAAAAATGAGATTTACTGGCCAATACGTGGGCTTCAAGTAACTGAAGACGTTATTTGTACTTAATTTGTTAAATAGTATTTTTATTCTGCTTGTCTTATTTTCACCACATTGTATAGTAAAAGATGACATATGAATACATTTTTTAAAGATTACCTATATTTCATTTTATTGCTAAAAAAAATCCCGACACATTTAACTTTCAACAATAAATTCTTATATATGACCAATAACTAAAACGTGTTGCAGAATTAATGGTTATCTTAAAAAATAACTTTATATTTGAAGGACCAAGTCACTATTGTGGACACACCTGGTGTAGGAGAAAGCGATGAGATATCCAAGAGATTGTTCGAATACCTCCCTAATGCTGTTGCATTTATATACGTCATCAACAGTGCAAACGCTGGTGGTATACAAGAAGGCAGAGTATGTACATGTAATTCACTTTTTCCCCATAAATGTAAACATGTGTATGTTTTTGATGACACCACAAAATTAAGTTAAAAAAAAATCTAAAGGTCATACGGCGACATTCCAACTTTATGGTGAAGGAAGACTTCTGTAGATGAATTAAAATCTTCCTATATTTCGCATATAAGTCTGCATTTATTTATACATATATTTTTGCCAAGTTTGATTCATTATGTTAAGAAAGCATTAACAAATTTTTTTTGGGGTGTGAATTATGTGAAAGAATCATATACCGAAATTTATTGTTATTTTTTTTTTACAATAAACAACCATTCATTTATAGATATCAAAAATGTTTTGATTTTTCGTAGCTCCTGCACATTCTGCAAGAACAAAGTAGATGGCAGATTGAAGGACGTTTGACAACATTTGATTATAACTCTACCATATTTGTATGCAACAAGTGGGACATTGTAGAGAAGAGGAGAGCAGAGGATAAAGTTTGGGCGGACACAGAAACAAAGTTAAAAAACGCTCTTCCAGATTTTCCCCTAAGCCAAGTTTTCAAAATGAGCGTTACAGAGGTATGTTGTATTGCAAGAAGAAGTGCAAGTGTATAATAGATTAGAAATTTTTGACATGATTGAATCATATATAGTCAATGTTGATGAAAATAAACAAAACAAAAATAGATTAAGAGCAGTCGTTTCATTCTTGTTCTGCTGAAACGGAACTGAATTTATACAGAATGAACATGATATCAAACAATATTAAATTAACTTTTTTACTTGTGAATTAGAATCATTCTTTTATATTGATCTTGTTTCAGGCGGAGAGATACAAGAAGTCGGATATGGGTCTCACTACAAAGTTTAAAAACCTTTTAGAGGGTATAGAACTATTAGTGCCTGCAAGTCTATATGCAAAGATTGGCCGACATTTTAAGTAAGTTGGTTATTTAGCCATTTTAAGTAAGTTGGTTATTTTACGTGTACAAAATATAAAATAACAACTACATGAAATCAGTCATCATCCTTTAACTCATATAATATCAATATAAATAACATAACATAAATATGCTTGTGTGATATTGGTAGTCAAATTAAGAAAAGCAGCTGAATTGAAAAAACGCGAATTGAAAAAAAATTAGATAATATATCTCTGTTGTTTTCATAGATCATAGTAAATGCACTTGTTCTTTTTAATTATTACACAGAGAATGATTGACATTTTTTCAGATATTTAGAAATGTTTCTTCAACAACTGCAATCTAAGATCATGTCGAGAATCAACCATGCGAAGAAATCAGAAGAAGAGAAGAACAAACTGTATGATGATGTCGTTAGACGCTTGAACAGACTTAATGCAGACTCTAACAGGGTATCAACTTTTATAATTTTCACATGTTATCTACAATATATTTTTATCGATAACGTACAGCATTTTCTATCGGTAAATCACGTCATTTTCTACCGATAATACACGGTATTTCTATGTACCAATCACGGTATTCCGTGCATACCATCTTCTGTCTTGTAAATAAAGATACGATGAATTTAATTATTACCAGGGGCTTTATTATCTTTGTTTACACATATACCTGTGTACGGATATGTGTATATGTTACAATTGTTGTAAGGATTTAAGTCACACGGAAGCTTATGGTCATAATTATGATGACTTTCCTCTAACTGGTGGAGGAAGACACCAGCTGTCCTCTGGGCTTTATTTTAGGCACGAGCAGGAGACCTGGATAGATTCCTCACACAAGAGAATCCAAAGTCCTTTGCGGGATCGCAACCCAGAGCGACGAGGGTCAAGTTGTTTGAAGTTAACTTATATTGATTCAATACAGTGTGAGTCATTTTAAGTAGAAGAGAATAAAACAAAAATATTGTCTTGTTAAGACTATACTTGTAGATCTATCATACCTTAACTTTACTTTTATCTTTTTCATTAAAGGTGAAAGATGGTCTTATAAATACTGCCAGATCAGAATGTCAGATGATGGTGAACAAGTTGCACACGTACTTGCAAAGTGACGACGTCAAAAACCGTTTACTATCGTGGCGGGAAGAAGACGCGCCAGATATTGAAGCGGACGACTTTGAAGTAGCTAAATTTAAAGCGGATGGTGTTATTGTTGAAAGAATCTTAAAGTTCTTGAAAGATTGGGAAGAAGAAAATAAACTGGTTAAATTAGCATCTGAAAGACTAACAAAGATGTTCAAAGAAGAATGTCAGATTATATCGAAGGACTATACAGATGTAAATGTTGTTGTTGAAGGCTTCATAGACGAAGATCTCCCAATAGCTTTAGGTTTGTTTGCGTATATTAGTACCGTTATTTTATTTAAGGTTTCCGTATCGTTTTAACTAACTAAATGTTTTAAAAGACATTTATTTGAATTTTACATCATGAGTTTAAATTTATATAATTATGTTGAAAAACTAACAGAGAAATTCTCCAAGAGAAATAGATCTAGATCTTTAAGAAATGTTAAAGGATTGCAGGTAAGGCGTACCGCTCTAGGCCTATCAGGAAATAGTGTACAATTCTTATGATTATAGATACATTATCTCATGTTGACAGGTATTGCACCTAATGGGAAGCCTAATGAAGCTTTATTTACGAAGAGTGAAAAAGTGATTTTAGCAGTGGCAGCTCCTCTATGGGTTCCATTAGTAACGGCTGCCTCACTTTTGTTTTTGCCTGTTGGTGTCGGAATGTTCATAAAAGAAACTATAAAGGCCGGGAAACAGCGTCGTGATTACACAGAAAACAAAGTGAAATACATGAAAGAATGGACAACTAAGATAATGGAAACGGCTTTCACAGAAGACAACATTGCTTCGTTTATATTTGAAGTATACTTTGGAAACTTTGAAAGGAAGATCGTAGAACTTTGTGATGAGTTTATACCAAAGCAGATTGCAGCTGACCAAAGGCAGGTGAACATCATTGCCAATGACAGACGGACATCGCACCAAATTCTTTCAGAATTCCAACCATTATTGATGAAGTTGAAGATGGTGATGGGAAAGTTGAGATTTTTTGAGCTTAAATACATGGCGAAAGACATGATTGCACCAACTGATTTGCATATCGAGAAGGAGGTTGGAAAAGGTAATTTCTCTGACGTATACCTTGCCACGTGGACAAATGGAGATAAGCAGGAAAAAGTTGCAATGAAAGTGCTACGGAGAAAGATGAAAGGTTATGAAATGGTGTCACAACTGGAGGAGGTTGAATGCTTAAGGTCAGTGTATACGAGGGTTGTCCAAAAAATTCGTGCACTGCAGTTGTTGTCGTGTGAGTTATTGATAGAAAAACATTAATTATATATCACTTGAAGGGGAGATATATCTTAAATTAGAAAACAAAAGAAAAAAACATGTAACCGGCATGTCCTGAAAACCAATCGTCATACAGTTACCTTGGTAACGTCATACCGGCGCACGACAAAAGATTGGGTTAGTTCATTTCTTTGATGCATCACGGTATTCTTTCAACACTACATATTAACGTTAAAATTCAGGGAAAAGTGTGTGTACGTATTCCTAAAGTCACTAGAAAATATAGAGTCATTTGCCCTATTATAACAGTCGTAAACAAACATTTGTGTGTGGTCGTCAATACTGTAATTACGTGAAAATGTCAGTCGCTAAACGTCTGGAAATACGGACGATCATTTAATTTGGTACAAATATTGGTAAAACACCAACAGATACCTACAAAGAACTTAAAAGGGCAAGCGGGACAGGTTCAGTGTCACGAAGGCTGGTTTTTAAATGGCACAAACGCTCTGTGGAAGATAAAGAGAGTCGGTAGACAATGACAACCGGTCAGGCAGACGTCCGTCCGTAATACCGGCGCATGTGACGAGGGTTATCCAATATATTCCTGCACTGGTGGAATATGTAACATGTACGTTGCTTAAAAACAATAAAAACTACACAATACTTTGCATCAATCATTCCTCTATTGACAGTAAAACAACATTAAAGCAAATACCACTTTACAAGCAACAAACAATTAATACAATTACAGTAATGAACTAACACAATTTTTTGTCGTGCGCCGGTATTACGTTACTAAGGTAATTAAATGACCATTCTTTTACACGACACACCGGTTACTCGACTTTTTCTTTTATTTTCTTATTTGAGACACATTTCTTTTTCAAGTGATATATGATTTATTTGTTTTTATTAATAACTCTCTCGACAATAACTGCAGTGCACCAATTTTTTGGACAACCCTCGTATAATCTGTATATAATATTGTCTCTCAGTAAGTTTAACTGGAAACACAAATCTGGCACATAGTATATATACTAGTTTTTGAGTATTCGTTTGTTTGATTGTTATATTTACTCTCAACTTTAATAGTCATGTAAAATAATTTTTTGATTCGCCAAGTAATATTTCATTATATCCACTTGCTTTGGTTCCTTATTGGAAAAAAGGCTCCATGAAGTATCTAGTTCGAAACACAGTGTAACGAAAGTATGCTAGTTTATATAACTGTGAATGATTTCCTATGAACAAACAATTGAAGTATGAGAGGGCAAAAGAAGTAAATAATTTAAAACCTAGAATTGTTTTTAATACAATGGAGTGATTCGTTACAGAAAATTTAACCATAAGAACATAGTGAAGATTTACGGGGTATGTTATACGTCTGGTAATGGGGATTACGGGGATAATCAGCTTACGATGGTGCTGGAATACTGCGACAAGAGCTTAGAAGATTTGGCCTTCTCTGATGAAAGATTAAAATGCAAGTAAGAGATACGTTAGCATTATTCATTTTCTTGTAAAAATTACGCCCATTATTAATTTACTTTGCGAGTTTGTGTCTTACTATAGGCAGATATGGATTAGTTTGTAAAAAAATCCAAACTGAAACAGGGTAAATTTTAAGGAATAATGGTGTATCAGACTGAAAAATGCTTATTGCATTTACGAACATTAACATAGTTATGTATTATCACTGCAGAAACTACAAGTCCATGTCGGAAAGATACCAAGCGTTTAAGTTTTATGTTACCATGGCTACGGGAGTATGTGATGGTTTGACAGAAATGCACGGGAAAGGTTACTTACATAGAGATCTAAAGTTATCTAACGTCTTAGTAAGTATAGAACATGCTATGAAATAAAAAGATGTACACAATTTAGTGCGGTATCATACTTTAATGTTCAGAAACTGTATGGAGCAGATTTATCAGATCAGTTACATAACTGTTAGTTAAATAGTCCATAGCCTAAAAGCACCAAAATTGATGTTTTCGTAGATCATCAGGGACACTTAAACAGGAAGAAATGGAACAACAATGATGATACGTATATACTCATAATGAAGTTGAAAATCTTTATTTTGTTATTTTCGTTATACATTGTATTGGGATAATTTTCCACTATTAAAATGTTCTAGAACGAGTGATCTTAAATTTTTCACACACGTCACAGACCTACATCTTATGCTTGTTTTATGGGCAGTTGATACTGACTTTGTTTTCTATTCAGGTTAAGAACAACACAGCAAAATTGTGTGACCTAGGATTTGCTAGGATGGAGGCGGCTACCACTGGTACATTTGTTGGAACTATGACACATATGTCACCAGAACTTATAAAACATGATAATTACACATTTAGCACTGATATTTACAGTTTAGCTATTCTTCTCTGGGAATTGTGGTACGGTCACCACGCATACACAGAGTCTGATTATCAGGGACTGACCACCTTTCAACTGTTACAAGCTGTAAGTACTGGTACCCGACCACAGTTGAAATGGAAATTCAGACCGACAAAAGAGCTTGGTGATGTGATAACAGTTTGTTGGCATGAGGACCCACAAAAGCGTCCTTCAGCACAAGAAGTGGGAACTAAACTTAGACAGATGTATAAAGGATACCACAACGAAGATATATAAATGTTGAATGACATGAGAGATGTGATTGAACTGATTTAACCGTTTGTAAAGTTTATATATAATACCTGGAATTATAATAATGGTATAGAAGTGGTTTTGGATGATTATTTGCAAATTTGTTAAACGTACAATAAATTAATTAAAACGATATAACTTTACTTGTTTGGAAAATCATTAGTGCAGATGTTTTTCCTTCTCCATGTGTGGCCGTTCATATCACTGAATAATTTGAATGATAGTTGTAGTCTGAAAAACAGGTTACACTGTACATTGTATATCTTTATTATTTATACCGAACAACAGAGTGACAAAATTTATTTGTTTAAAACAGTAAATGCCCAATTGCTGTATCATGTTATTTTACGCCTCTTTAATTGATCACGTGACAAAAATGTTTAATTGATTAGAAAATAAAACTGCGCATTTATAGCAATCAATAAATTTAATTATTATTGAAAACGTGCCTAGGAACGATAATGGTAAATTTCACCATTTATTTTTTGGAGCCTTAAAAGCAGTTGTCTTTTTGCATCTTTTGAAACTGTTTACTAAAACAGGATAAATTTAGAATGGTTAATTCTATTCAACATACTAACACTTTTGTTAGCCATCTGTTTTAATGTTTTATTATTTTAGCTTACATTTTGACTTGCCTATCTTTTTCCATGTTGTATTATTTTAATTTACACTATGGCCAGCCTATCTGTTCCATGATGTATTATATTTAATTTACACTATGACCGGCCTAACTGTTTCCATGCTGTATTATATTTAATTTACACTATGGCCGGCCTATCTGTTTCCATGTTGTATTATATCTAATTTACACTGTGGTCGGCCTATCTGTTTCCATGTTGTATTATATTTAATTTACACTATGGTCGGCCTATCTGTTTCCATGTTGTATTTTATTTAATTTACACTATGGCCGACCTATCTGTTTCCATAATTTACACTATGGCCGGCCTATCTGTTTCCATGTTGTATTATATTAACATACATTTTGACTAGCATTGTTATATATTGATAAACAATTTGACCAGCCTATCTTTTTCCATGTTGATTTATTTTTATTTGTTTGGGTCGTCAGACCAAACAAATAATGGTAGCGAAATTTCAGACCCTGATGCTGTTAACTGCAAATGCCGAAAGTAGTCCGCTTTTTTTTGAAGCGATTACTTCCGTTTATATGTACACTAACGCCGAAATATTCAAAACTGTTTATTCAATTTTATTTAATCACAATTAGGGAAAGTAAACAAATTGAATTGCGGTAAATAATATGGTGAATACATTCACGTTTCATCATATTTTTTTCCATGCAAAAATAATAATAAATTACCATTTTAGAGTTCCTTTCCGAGTTCCTTTCTTGTGAAATTTCTAGCAATGATGACACACTATTAAAGGACTAACTACATGTAATTCAGTTAGAAAAAAAGAGACTTGTACGTTACACTGAGATGGTATTTCACTTTTGAATTGAAACTTTCGTTTTGCTTATAAGCGATAATGATACAAGGTTAAAGTAAATATTTTTGTTAAGAATTTATTCACAGCATAAAAAATGTGACGTAAAAATGATTTAATAGAATAGAAATTAAGATCTAATTTGTGCATGTCGATGTCGTTTCTGGTGTTTTATGGGTGTTTGTTATTTTCATTTTTATGAAAACAAATTCAAAATTCGCATATCACATAAATACATATATGGGGCGTCCGTGGCCGAGTAAGGTCGTTGACTTCAAACCACTTGCCCCACACCGCTGTGGGTTCGAATCCAGACAGGATTCTTTCAAGTGAGGAAGCTATATCCAGCTAGCTTACGGAACGTCGGTGGTTCTACTCAGGTGCCTGTTCGTGCCTGAAATAATGCACGGAAGGGCACCTGGGGTCTTCTTCCACCAATACAGCTGGAACGTCGCGATATGACCTATGCTGTGTCGATGTGACGTAAAACCAACCCAAACAAACAAACATAAATACATTTATAACTGATATACTTATGACACATACAAACATTCTTAACAGATCAAAAAGCTTTAACATTTAAGCGCCCTCTAAATAGAAATTAAAAGGTCCCTATTCTTTCCAATTACTACATGTACATAATATGTCTGTAATAATAAGATAACCTTATTTTACACAGGTAAACAATTTATAAGAACTGTAATAATACAAAACCTAAGAAATGTCATTTATGCACAAATGAGGGCATTAATTAAAGCTTCAGACTTGATTGCTTTCACGAAGAAGGGAGTCTTTAGATGTCACTATATAGTCGTCTATATTTACATGCATGTAACGGTGATCTGTATCTGTGAGATGATTTGGAATGATAACAGAAGGAGCATTGATCGCGTGTGTAGCTTCCTTTGTTTAATTTATTTTGTGAAGACTATAATCGCTGGAGTGTACATTACATTGTCTTGAAGCTTAAATTATTGATACGTTAATCTATTCGCACGTCATTCGGCGTTTTAATTGTTTAAACCATTCTTTTGATTTTCTTTTACTAGTTTTATAGTGATCCTTTATGATAGCTGTCTTTTCTGTATCTAGCTACTGTTTCCGTTGTAAATGTACGTGCTTGGATTTTATGTTTCCCGGTTAAAGTTATTGTCGTACCACTACCATGAAAGTACACGTTGAAAAGTGATAGAAATGTTTTATAACGTTGAAAAGTGATAGAAATGTTTTATATTTTTGATAGAAGGCAGTTAAAATTTTAAGATATAAGAATGGGTACACCGGTTTCTAAGACAGAGAAGGTTAGCACATCTGGTGATACAACTGCTTCTCCAAGGGATAAAAGTGAAATAGGGATTTTAAATGACGGAAATATACCCAATGATAAAAATGTAAGTGTTGATTTTGTTTCATGTACTATTTATATGATTATTATAGCAGACAAGGTATCACTTGATGCTCTTTGGTAATTTCAAAGTTTAATTCTGTTAGAACGATCTCGTGCTGAACAGTTTACGATATAAAGTGACTAGTTCGAAGAATGCTTTGACATTAACGCTTTCCATCCCTGGATTTACGTCACCACATTTAAATTGATAGTTAAGGAAAGTGACATTTATATAGCTTTCGAACAACGCTATCTTTTTTTATAAATATTTGTTACACGTACAGTGTTTCGATTCATAATTCATTCTTATGAAAACCTCCTTTGGTGAGTTTAGCACATTGGTTTGAACATGTTTACACCTAGACCACCCGTCATTCGTGTTTGATTATAAATGTACTAGTACATTGTATCTGAGATTTACATATCGTTATTGTTTTGTCATGAATACGATTTGTTCTTTAGTAGAGATATATCATAATGAGTAAGATAATGTTCATATTGTAAATTTATTATTTTTCATACAGAACTTGTCGAGCAAAAACAACACAGAACCGCTAGAAGATGAAAACGATGTAAGACACGCATTATGTGTTGTTGACGATGACGACGACATTGATGAGCAGGATTGGGGTGATATTTATAAACGACTGAAAACAAACTGCACCGATGATCTTCATATTGTAAACACAAGATTCAACACAACCGCTCTCCAGTCACTGCCTGATGGCAGTGTAAGAACGGCTGGTCCTATTTTTACTTCAACTGTTGCTGAAAGGCCAACGAGAATAACTTCTGCTAACTATAATCCACATGCTGTGGCATTAGAAAGGGACAAGTCAAGAACTAATTCTGCTCTACCTTGGAAAACATATATACTGGAAGACGAGTCTTCGAAAGAATCAAAAGTAAACACTACTGGTCTTAACACCGGTGAATCTTTGCAATTCAAAGAAAATCTGTCAAACCAAGCCAATAGTATTAATAAAGAAAATTCTCATGGTGAATCCATAGACGAAAATCTTACTAACCCACTGGTACAAGAACATCTATTTCAAGGGCAAAAATGTCTTGATGTTCCGTATGACTTAAAAAGAATGCAATCCCCTGCTCCAAAAGGTGCTGAAAATGATTGTCTGGCTGGAGACGACAGTGATTTTGACCCATTTGAAGGACTGGACATACCAAGACAGCGGGTTCATTCTTTTGGTTCAGCTTCAGTTTATTCTGTTAAAGAAATATCTGATGATGTGTTCCAGCAATATAAGACAGAAATCAAAAACTGTATTAGAAGTTATGGATTTTTCGAGGCATTACCCTCTCCAACGATCATCAGTGAGGCTCAGAAGATATACAGGAGGTTAGATTTACCATCTCCTGTTGACGATGACGGAAATGTTCTACCGCATCCACCTAAGGTTACAAAAAGTGAATATTTGGCAGCTGAAACGAACACTCTGGAGGAAGCAAGAGATAGGATAAAAAACGTGAGTAAGCTTTTTTTGAATTCCGAATTCATTGATAATATACATGCCATAATTGTCTTTTTTCTTCTTCAACTTAAAATAAGCACTGAAATAGAAATAAACTATTCATAAGAATTTAAAATGAAATTTTGCTACTCCGAACATACAAGCGCTACATTTTTTAAGAATTAAAGTAAACACTTCCTGTGAATTGTATCATAATTCAAGGGAACTTAATCATTCCTTCTCGAAAAAGCAGTGAACTTATATTCATCAAATATTGATATACTCTATATCGTCTTTGCAGATCCTCGAATATCCTCATTCTCGCAAACTGTATACAAATTATCACGATCTACCAGATATTTACAATGAAAGTACATGTATGATTAAAAGCACATGACCACTTTTCTCATGATAAAGCAATTATATATTGATAATTGATAAAGCATTTGAATATTTCTGTAATTTGAGCTTTAGGTTGTCATGTATAGGTGTTCCAACATTCGATGTTAAAAATAACTCTTTGTATTACTTCTGTTGATGATCTCGATTTATATCAAGTCATTAATGTCTTAAGACGGTCGATATTGGCCATAAGACAAGGTTTCTTATCCTGGATGAAATACGAGTATTTAAAGAATGTTTCATTAATCTATCACATTTGAATACACATATCAAAATATTATACATTTGTGTATATCTATGTCTAAGATGCCTGAATCATTACAACTGGATGGTGACATGGTTGATATTGTACATTATCTGTGTGAAGGACTAGATGATGACATGAGAAAATTGACAATGTTATCTACATGGATCGTATATAAACAGCTGCAAGAAACTGAAAACAGAAAGTCTAAAACACGAGACGAGTGGTGCAGACAATTCCGAACAATGTGCAAGTAAGTTTGGATTGAAATAAATAACCATGCTACTGGTGTTAAAACAAGCGAGCTTTGTGTTGCTATTAAGTAGGAATTAAAACAAATGAATTTTGTCTTTGTCGATCTTGTTATAAAATTACTCGTAGTATTACACAGTAGTTTTCATTAAAATAAAATTCAAAGACGTCGATCTGAAGACATAATCATCCAATCCTTAATTTTTACAAGTTTTCCTTTGACTTAAAAGAAATATTTAACATGCTTATGAAAGATGGACCTATAGGATAGGAACATAGAATGGAATATGCTTGTACAGACAAAAGATAAACTTATTGTTTAAAAGAAATGTCTCAAAAGAAAGAACTTGTAGATTATTAATATATATTTTGTATTATTATCCAGATTTGCCAGGATTAAAACAAAGCTAGTAAAAGGTATTATTCGGGGACCAGCATTTATACCAGGAGATTCACTTGATAAATATCACGGACATTGGCTGGCAATATTGATAAACTACGTTTGGTTTTTGCTAGACCCATGTATACATCAAGAATCAAAAGATAGTATTACTACAACAAAGGGCGCTTCACCAGATGAAAAGGACGTAAATTTGTTCAACCATGTCGAGAAAATATTTCAAGATCCTGAAGATTTTATTTTCACTCATTATCCCGACGATGAACATTGGCAATTGCTAGCTAGACCAGTTACACACACCGAACTTACTGACTTGGCGGTATTAAGGTCAGGCTATTTTACTTTCCATATGACTGTTTTAAACAGCCCAAGGTCAGTTATGGTTGTGAAAACGCCTGAAACACTGATAGCGCTATCATTTAAACAAGACGATTTGCTTCAATTTAAGTGCAAATTTCAAAGTTGCGATGACTCTATAACTTTAGTACGCGCGCGGGCGTACGTTTTCTTGGAAACGATTGTGGAAAATCATAAGATAAATGTGCGGGTACGGTTTCCAAAGAAAGGATCATACGTTTTGGATATAATTGGATTCTCTGAAGAGCATTTATGGCAAAATGTTATCTCATATAAAATAATATATGAGGGTGAAAGCTTTTCTAAACCTTTCCCAGCAAATCCACGAGAGGAATGGGGACCTGGAATGGACACCTTTAAATTAGGATTAACACCTCTTTTTCATCATTCTGGGGAAATCTTAATGCAAAAAGGTGTCCTTCAGATCACCTTTCATGAAGAAAGTAGACTGCAGTTTGAACATATTCTTTTCAAAGAAGACACAAACATAAAAGTAGACTCCTTGAAAGTCAATATATTGAAAGACAAAAACAATGACGTTATATTTGTCGTTGATATTGACACTAAAATTGTAGGTGTATTTACGCTGCAACTGTCGGCTAGAGTGGATGCAAAATCAAGTTATACTAATTTTTGCAACTATCTGATACGTAAAGAGAAAACAGTGGTAATTCCTAAATTGGAATTCGGTGATAAGAGTTTGAGTACTGATAGAAAAGACACTGTTTATGCACCAGAAAACGGGAAAATGCAATTTACCGTTGATACCACTGGATTGATTGAATTGTCGGTAGAGTTAAAGTTACATGATAAGCAAGAGCTTAATTTGTCAGATCATGCAAGGCACTGGATTGATGAAAACACCGGTTACATAGATTTGAATTTTCCACGAAATGGTAAGTATACTCTACAAGTATATGGACGTGAGGTCGAGAAAGGTCGAATTCGATCAATTAGAGAGGAAACAATACAGGCAGACATTCCATCTGAGAAATGGTCTTGTTTCCCAAAGACTGGAAACGGTTGGAATTCTTGGTACAACATCGTGTCTCCGCTTTCACACCACCTGGAGGAGAAAGAAGATGTCACATTCAAAATAAATGTTCAAAATGCACTTGATGTTGCTATACTTAGTGCAAGTGGTTGGTACCATTTAGACCGTGTAGGTAAAAGCTGGGTTTGGATTGGGCAAGTATGGACTGGACCAAAATCAACAAGATGTCGACTGCTTGCAAGATTTGACGTCGGTTCAGATAAATGGTCTGAGCTTTTGTTGTTCAAGGTAAGTCTACTATTTGTATTGGACATTTTACACTTTTGGGTCTCACTCAAAAAAAAATAACTTTCAGTCACCGTTTTGCCTTACATAAACATAATTTAAGTTGCAAGTATCCGTTTACTCTAGTTACAATTGTGATTTAAACGTTGATTGTATTGCTTTTAAAGAATGTGACGCCTTACGTTTGCATTTATTTCAGATAATGGCTGAAGATGATTTTGAACAAATGGTGGAAAGGCAAAATAATGTCAGACAGACAGCTTTGGACGAGAAGAAAATGAAAGATGACTGATCGCAAGGACTCCTAACATATCAAACAAGAATGGTGACTAAATTGATTTCAAGCATACAGTCGACACGTTCTTAGCTTTGAAAACATGCCAGTGTTATTTGTTTATCTAAAGCGTTAAAATGTCAACTGCTCTTTAAACCCAACAATCAAAAGGTATGGATAAACATGAAAATAATTTAAATGAAGTATATGTGGACCTTCCCGAAAATACATTATAAATATATATATACATTTGTATGTCAAATCTACATCATCGTACGTTGTTATCACATCGTACGTTGTTATCACATCGTCTTAATTTGGCTGTTGTATTTAGTGTAAATGAATGAAAGAATGCATTTGTCTTTAACATAGTTGACCATATATTTTGCTATTAAGTATTTCAATAAAAGGAAAAATACAAGAATGTTTTTGTATGAAACAGTGTTAAACTAGTCGTTTAATTCTTGTCCAAGTCTATTTTTATTGACACAAATTGTTGTGCATTTACTAGCATCAGTGTCTTGTTTAAATTTTTTTGTACTGTATGACAATCTCAATTAATTTCACCCAAATGATAAACGCAAATTATTCAAGGAAGTTTCGTTGATTGTTAAAGACGGAAAATTAAATAATGATCGTCAATTCGAACCAGTGGAAGTGAATCGGGGAGTTTGTATCTTAATGAAAAACAGATATATTTTGATAATTTATATACGTATAAAAAGATCTTCTATGAAACGAAAAAAATGCATCATTATGAATGTCAAACAATTTATTTTTACCTCGGTAAATGTTTTTACCAATGTTTTTAAAACAATCATACAACTACTGGAACAGGTTGGACTGTATGTGTTCAGTGTTTGGCAGTAATTAATGCATATCATGAGACACATCCTTTCATCCTCAAGTACTTCATGTCATCTGTTGCTGTATGTTTTATTACTTTCACACAAATTGTGCAATATTAAAAAGTATTTTGTGTTTAATGTAGCAATAAATATAAGTATGTTTTTAATTATTTTGTTTGTTTTGTATTATCGCTTCTAATGCATGAAAATGCACCATGAGCAACAATTTCTTAGCAACTATATATAGCAACTCTGTATCTTTGTCATTTAACATATACTTAGACAAACCCACAGTCAATTGAACATACATGTTTGTTTCGACCTCTCTTTGATTTCAATGACCTGTGGCAGTCGAAAGAGAATCGCGGGGATCTAAACCTATGGTCTCTGAATTAATGTCTAACGTTAAACTCTTTCAACAGTCTTCCTCTCACTCATAAAATGTCATTATAATAACAAATAACAAGACAGAAAACTGTAAAATTATGACTTTTATTGACAGGTTTTGTTTTGCTTTAGTTCATCACAAAAAACAAAATTGCAGTATTTAATACAATGATAATCAATTTAATTAAATCCTCTTTATAGGCAAACTATCCCAAACTTACTGATTCAAGACAAATTAAATGAAACTAACTGATCCTTTGACAAAACAACACAATGATAAAATTTTCTACCTTCTTAAAAGTATAAACTGTATACCGGTATATATTTTTCTTTTACAAAGCTGAAGGTCTATTAAATACCAGGTAATAGATATGAAACACACCCAAATAGCTTTTTGACAAATACAAAAATTGCCTACATAGGACGACTGTTTCACTGAATGGTTTAAATTACATGTATGTTTTATATTTCACTTAATATGTGTATATTACGACAGACATCCAATACAACAGTATTTTGGCTGCAAAAATGGTCTTATCATATTTTACTTTTTTTAAATAAAATTTAAAAATTACATACAACTGTAGAAGTATTGATCCATCTTAAAAGATTCAATGATTTTTGTTTCATAAAGAATGATACGTTATTGTAAAAATATGTAACTAAAGAACATAATTAACTTCTAACATGAAAATACATACTCAAAATATGGTATATGGTAAAATTTTCCTTAAAATTTCTTTAAAATATGCAATAAACACATCACAAATATTATATAATATATATCACAATGCACAACGCTAAAATAAAGAATGTAAGTTCTTGTGGAATGTGTACAATAAATTAACACACAACAAATAATTGATAGAAAATATAATGATTAATGGTTTTTGAAATGATGGTTTCAATAACAGGGATGTCAGACTGACATGTATGCCACCGCCGACCACAACCACTAGAATGAGCAGAGATAACTCACGATTTTTTACAACTTTAACATCATTGGTCTAAAGACTTGGATGGCTATAAATCTACGAGTCCTAAAACAAAACAATCCAGTCCTACCACAAGTCTTAAAACAAAACAATCCAGTCCTATATCTTAAAAATCTAATGCGATAGCTGTAAAAGCAAACAACACACTTGCATTCAGCTTGTTTGATATCAACAGTTCCTTATATAGCAGAGTTGTTTTATTTCAGTATTTTCTTCTCGTTTTTTTTTTTTATAAAATCAGGACATATTTCATGACCATAAAAGTAAAATGGGTCTTCCAATAAATAAAGGCAAACCTATGAAGGTTAAAGTATATCAAATAGACTCGAAGAACAGTTTTCACATGCAAGGAAACTGTGTGCTTCTCACCTTAGATATTACAGAGCCCAAAAACTATAGGTTTTCTACTAAATATTGGCAACCTTCTTGTGAAGGCTCTTGGACTTGTGATTCTCAAGTGAAGTGGTCTATCAATCGAACGACAGACTGAACATCCGACAAACATCTACAAAAACCTTTGAAGAGGGACATTATAAAGGCACAACATGTGTGTAGTAACATTTACCTCCCTTTACTATACCACATACATACATTACACTAGTTAGCAACATAACTTACTTTCAGTAGTATTAACCTATCATAGTTATACATATTTTTGCAATTCTTTGGCTAAGTGTAAGTTAGAAATTTGGTCTATTGTGTGCATAATAAAACTGTAACTATTCCTACAGAAGTATATGCAGCAGAGTAAATGATGACTTTTTGAAATAATACTAACATGTATGCCGTAACATTTTCAGTTCTTTACCGGTATATTCTCAACAGCATTTAAACATCACTTTCATAATAATATTATATACTTGGCATATTTCAATTTTTCAGATTATTATTAGCATTTGAATGTACATGTTTAAAATCTATCTCTTTACCCAAAGCAACATTTAAAGCCTCAAATAAAACAACAAAACAGTAAAACTAGCGCACTGAGTGTTTCATGCAACACTGACATAACTGGCAGATGTGTTGCCATAATGGGCTAAACTTTAGGTTAAACACACTTCAAGAGTGCTACCATAACTGGTTAAACTTCAGGTAAATCATGATGCCCGAGACTGCTACCATAAATGATCACTGGATGTAGTAGTTTGTAATACCAAGAAAATATACACATGTAGTTGCTACTTCAACGTGATCTCATCTTTTGACATAATTTTTTTAGAAATTTGACTTTTTAAGTATGTTTGTAAAACTACTATTCTAATCAAACATTTTCTACATAAAATGAAGGTGGGACTTCACATGAAAGTAACAAGTATAAAATCTTATTTACAATAAAAAAAATGACTAAAATATCCTGGAAATTGAGCTTATATACACTTTGATTCTGTGAGAACGGTACAAGGCATTAATTTGTGTGCATACTCACATATTTTATCAGATTAACTGATTGATCAAAGAAAATCTAAACAAAACCAGTTTCAAAATACCAATAAGATTACAATAAACCAAGATGTTTAAGAAAATGATAAAAAAAAACTTTTAAAATCTTTAAAAAGATACTCTAAATAGATAAAACCTTCATATTTAAAAACTTCATATTAAAGCTAAATCAGATATTTAAAAAAAAATGAAATTATAAAATGATACATCTTATAATAATGATTTATTTTAAAAATAAATAAATGCAATGTTTGATGTTTTAATTTCTTCAGAATATGCATGTTAACATAACATACATTCATACAGTACATCTTGGATACTATGACAGTAATGTTGTGAAAAATAAATAAAGATGTGAAAGAGGAACTTCAAATCTATTTTTAACTACCTTAAATGGTGAAAATTAAATAAGAATTACAAAAATAGTACGCCATTGCTTGTTGGTACGGTTTCATGTATGGCGTTAAAACAAAATTTTTAAAAATATGTATATTTTTTATATAATTTTAGTTCTTTCGGCACTTAATTTCTTTCTAATAAAGTTTCACAATTCAGACATCTTCTTGTTTATTTTTTATTCAAACTGTTATCAGGTAAACAGTAATTAAAATAAATCTTTGTTGAGTTTCATAGTAAGTTGTCAATTAAAGTTTTACAGTAATGTAAGTTGTTTACTTAAATTAATAACAAAGACAAAAGAAACTGTATAAATAAATCACTTCCAGCACTCCATTGCCTGTCACTATGACAACATTAGTATGATACAAGTTTTTAATCTGACAAACTTACACAAACATAAAACTTATTACTATTTATAGAAACCCTGACATATGAACTGTCATATTATCCTAAATGAACTGTACTTCTGACTTATATATGAAACAATGATTGAATAATAAGCTTGTTTGTAGAGTGAAAGAAGTAACAAATGATAAAACCTTACACACATTTAACAGACTCTATTGTCACTTGCATATCTGTATCACAATTTATAAAATTTGAAGTTTTGATATTCTACATTTGCAAGACAAGTTTTGAACCCCGAAATATATGCACTAAGCACAACATAATATTATGATTTTACTAAAAAAATATTTTGACAAAGGCCATAAAGGTTGTAATGTAAATAAAGTTACACAAGTGAAAACAGAGTCTGTTTACTGTAATATAATCCCTATTTATTACATCGGTAAATATACTCGTACATATATCTACATCATATATGAAAGATCTCCGGATTTCTTGACTACACATTTTGAGACAAAAAGAAATTTAATTATCTATTGTTTTTAAAGCAAATGTGAGTGAAAATGATGAAAATTATTTTAGCCTAAGTTCTTATATTATGATAACAATTATCTTTACAGAGAAATGAAAACATATAAATTATCAACCTTAGAACACTTGAGATCAGTGTAATTCTAGAATATAGAGCGTAACATTTTCTAGTTGTCATATACCATTTACTTACAAGCACACTTAAAATATTTTGATATATTTTGATTTTTACTTTAAAAATGTTATCAAATATCAATACTTCTATGCAGAAAAAATGCATTTTCATTTAGAATTTGGCAATCCTTATCCAATGTAAAACATAAGTTAGTCACTAAGTAGTTCATACCACTTGTAATGCATTTTCTGTTTGGCAAAAATTTCTTAAAAGCTGTAAGAAAAAACTGTATGATTCTTCTTTCTTTGAGCAGTATATAAAATCATTAAACAAAAATAAAATCATATCTGGCATAAAACTGGCCAGTTTCTTTATGCTGCAAATTTGCAAGATGAATTTTGAACCGCGCTATAATTATGATGTACTATAGTGTCTTGTAACCATAGTGATGAAAATCTTTTTCTGATAAAAATAAAATCAAGTATGACCTAAATGACCAGTCATTAACATTTACACTATTACATCAAAACATCACATTGGCACAAAACAGATGATACATGATTATCTTAAAACTGTTCATTAAACTCTTGAATATCCGGTTTGGTCAGCCTGCCAGACTTTGCATCTGATATAGCACCCCAAAGGTCAAATACAAAGTCATCCGTAAAACCGAAATCAGCTAAATCAGAAGTGTCGATCACAACTGCAAAATCGTGTGGGTTATCTTTTTCTCGGCCAGCTTCCCATATCTGTTGTGCTGTAAATATAAACAAAATCTTTTTTGATGTTAACTATTGGCAAATTATATACAAGGTTATAAAATAAAACTACATTCAAGAAACATGATAAGACTAGAAATGTGTCATCATGCCACGGATGCCCCCGCATGCAGCCAAAATTTCAGATGTTATAATATTTAGTTCCAAATTTGTTTGCACAAATTATTGTTTTCATTTTAAGTTCAAAGCCCTTTAAACTTTTCAGTGTTAACACAAACCATTTTCATACAATATTCAAGGCACTGAAATTATTCAGTCTTAACCTTTTGAAAATAGCATATTTCATATTTGTAGCCAAAATAATGGCTATACATACATTTCCACAAAAGTATGAGTGCTGAAACAAAAAGTTCAAAAAAATTCCAATATTCAAGAAAGATAAGGTTGTCCAAAATCATTAAACCATGACCAAATTCAAACTTAAACTGCTTATTCCCAAGACGTATCTATATTATTTTCAAAGTGAAAGGGACATAACTCTGCCAAAAAATCATCGAACCATGACCAAATTCCAACTTGACCTGCCCATTCCTTTGACATATCCATATGTCAAATTTGAGTTGAATATGTAACACTGTTGGGTAGATAATGAACAGAAACTGTAAATTTCATATTATTTTCAAAGTGAAAGGGGCATTACTCTGCCAAAAATCATTGAACCATGACCAAATTCGAAATTGGCCTGGGCATTCCAGAAACATATCCATTATGTCAAATTTGAGTTGAATGTGTTGTACTGTTGGGGAGATAATGAACGGAAACTGAAAATTTCATATTATTTACAAAGAAAAAGGGCATAACTCTGCCAAAAATCATCGAACCATGACCAAAATTCGAACTTTACCTGTATTTTCTCATGACATATCCATATGTCAAATTTTAGTTGAATGTGTTGTACCGTTTGGGAAATAATGAACGTAAACTGAAAATTTCACATTATTTTCAAAGTAAAAGGGGCATAACTCTGCCAAAAATCATCGAACCATGACCAAATTCGAACTTGACCTGTATTTTCTCATGACATATCCATATGTCAAATTTGAGTTGAATGTGTTGTACCGTTGGGGAGATAATGACAGAAACTGAAAATTTCATATTATTTTCAAAGTAAAAGGGGCATAACTCTGCCAAAAATCATCGAACCATGACCAAATTCGAACTTGACCTGTATTTTCTCATGACATATCCATATGTCAAATTTAAGTTGAATGTGTTGTACCGTTGGGGAGATAATGAACGGAAACTGAAAATTTCATATTATTTTCAAAGTAAAAGGGGCATAACTCTGCCTAAAATCATCGAACCATGAGCAAATTCGAACTTGACCTGTATTTTCTCATGACATATCCATATGTCAAATTTAAGTTGAATGTGTTGTACCGTTGGGGAGATAATGAACGGAAACTGATGATGACGGAATGACAGAATGACGGAATGACGGAAGGACGGAATGACGGATGGACGGAATGACGGAAGGACGGAACAGGGTAACACTATATGCCCCGGCCATTACATGGCGGGGGCATAAAAAGTATACATGTAAAACAAACCTGAAAATGATTCATCTGAAATTTGAGAAATATTTATCTTCGGTGAAAGAAACATCAAACTAACATTTACTCTTAATGTGAGATTACCTTATTTAGCACCTTTTCTCATTTGCTTTTCTCTTTTTGATTAGAACCCTCAAAATACTATGTTATAGCTTGCCAGCAGCAACTGATTCTGCACATGTAACTAGTGCAGAACAAGATCAGCCAGTACATTTGTGCCATCTGATCATGGTCTTGCACCATTTGCTATTAAGCCATTATATTTTTCGGAGAGTTTTGTCCAGATTAAAAGATGGACAAGTCCATTTATGATATATTTAGTGAGGAAAGGGAATTTGAACACATTAGGTACATTAGAGTGACTCAGCTGATTATATATAAACCTTCCTTCCTACCCACAATATTTATACGTTATCTGTTTGGTCATGCAGAACAATATGTAACAAATACATCATGGGTGTCATCAAAGTAAATAGATCTGACAAACTGATGTACTTTGTAACAGAAAGAACATCAAAACACGTGGCTATCTGATTAGTACAATAGGGCATAGCCCCGGAGTATTAATCAGATTGCCGAGTGTTTTGATGTTCTTTCTCTTTTGTATCATGGTCAAAGATAAAAAAACACGTTCCCTTGTTGTTACAGGAAAAAGTAACCAATGAATAAGCATCAAAATATGATATTTCTATGGCTTTCCCTTTCTCTGCTGTCACAATAAGTAAACCCCGCAAAAATGAGCCAATCAATGGGCATACTCTGGAGTGCGGGTATTTGTTAGAAAGGTCCCCAAACTATGATACAACTATTAAACAACATTCTTATCAAATTAAAAAGTATGCTCACCATTTACATGTATAATTTATATGTCTTTTTACAAAAGGAATAATAGTACAATAATAAAAAAATAAGATTATAACAAACCTAGATCTGTATCATTGATACCCATGAAGGATTCCAGTAAACCATTTATCTTGTCTGTTGCTGTGCTGACAATCTCTTCAGCCTGTAACAAATCAAAACAATTCTATAAACAACCATCTATCTAATGATTAATTTATCATGCTATTTAAGTGACATAACTTCTTATGGATTTTAAGTTAAACTGAAATTGTTCAAAACTTGTATGACAGTATTTTTACAGACACAAGCAGTCTGGCTCATGATGCATGCATGTCTATTCACAAATCTGTTAGCTTGCCACTTTTAAGCTTCCTGGTAAACAGTTTTGTTAAGATTTAAACCCTAAAACCCTGCCATATTAACAACTGGCCTCTTGTACTTTTGTTTCCTTAAAAACAGAAGCAATCATAACCATTTTTCCCCACTTCATTAGATGGCGTAGTAAACTGAAATGGATCAATCACAGGAATTTATCAATCACTGGGGTTTACTCTTTAAGCTCTGTAAACACAACTACCTTTGTTTGATAATCAGATAAAGTGAAACATAATTTGTGATAAAGTATATCGATATTTGATTTCTCCTTTATGTAAATTGACTTGGCAAATCTACTCAAATGCCTTCAGAAGACCGAGCTTACTTCAACCTGTTCTCAGTGTCCTTTGAACATAATTGTTTGTAATATATAACCTGTAAAAGGCCACATTACTAACATCAAAAACAGATTAGATAATACCTATCTTTAATCTGGTACTAAAGTCTATCCATATTTGTATAATATCTCAAGTATATGCTGACATAATGAAATGCTTTTGCCTAGAGATGCATTCAAGAATGAAGGTTGAGAGCTTAAAGCATGAAGTTGTTAGATGTCCGTAGAAAGATAACCATAAAGGAGAGAAAACATAATGGCTCTTGAATCTATTAATGTGAGGGCATAGTATGATATTTGGCATTCATATATAAGTACTGATAACTTGCAAGTAAATCACAAGTCAGTAACTTGCAAGTAAATGACCAGTTAGTCCTTCAGTTAAACTAAAGTTGCCCTCTAAACAATGAGTTTGAAAGACAAACTCTTGTAGTAATTAAATGTGAGAAATCTCTCTCCTCCAATCACCCCCCCCCCCCCCCCCCCCCCCCCCCACCCCACTCAGGTAGTAATGTGAGAAGAAATGTCATTTTCAAATATTCAGGAAGTAATGTGAGAAGACATGTCAGGAATAACATGAACAGAGAAAAGAAAAATAAGCAATTATGCTACAGTTGTAATACTTAGTGGTTCGAGACATTAGTGGTTCAAAGTGTTTACAATGCTGTCAACTTTATCCATATTAATCAGGGATGAGAAATCAAAACAACATTTATTTCCTGATTAAACACTCCCAAACAAATGTATATACATGCATATGTATGTGTAAACAAAAATTTTAAATCTACATTAACATTTCTATCTTTGGTGTCACTTAACCAATTATGTAAACAGCCCTATCTGGTATTGATTACAGTGTGCCAAAATCTCACTAAATGTATAAACTGAGCATGTATGACCACAACCACTATAGCTATGTCGGTTGAATGAGTTGAAATGCCAACAAATCACATCCATGCAGTCTGATCATTCTGCTCAATAATTTTCATAATCTGTTCCAATTTAAATACATGGTCAGTTCTGCGCCATAATTTCATATGAAACAAGGGGAGTGATGGCCTAATGGATAAGGTGTCAGCCTCTCAACCCAGGGATCAAAGGTTCAAACCCAACTTAGGTCATGACACCAGTACTGGTTACGAAGGACACCAGTACTGGTGACTAGCAATTCCAGGAAGCAGACTTTATAGTGGTTGATATGAGCGTCAAGCTTTCATCACAACTTTAAACTGAATCAAATAAAAATTCCACTGGTTCTTTGAAGTGTGATACATTTTTATATTGCATATATACACCAGAGAGACAGTATGTTAATAGGGTGTTAATAAACGCATTTTACAGTCACAGTCCAAGTGTTAAGTAAGAAAACTGTATCCACCCGCTTTATGATATATTAAAAAAGTAAACATCTGTTATAGAGTTATTTCACACTAAGAAAGTATAAGCTTTTGAAAAATGTCTACCCATCAGTCACCGAGAGATTTATCTTTTTGATACACGCTATGTAAATATCATTTTCAATAGAAACCACACAAGAAATCTTCATTAATTCTAATAGGATATAATAGGATTGATAACACAAATGACATATTTTAAATAAGAAAATACCCAAAGTTAATTCTACAAATTTATCCGAAATTTGAAGTGCAACATTTTATAACAAAGAATGAAATCAAATGACATATATAAACTGTTACCGGCAGCTCAGGACATAAAATATGACACTTTTAATGCATGTTAATTTTAACCTTATAATTTGATAATATGGTACAACATCACACATACACTAAATTATTTCCGTGAATATGGAATATACATTAACACTTAAATGTAAATATATATGTATTACATTACTTCATAACAAATTACTTGCAAGGTGATCTCACTGATATATCTAATATTTAAACCCACCTAAATGTTAACACGTTTTTATTAATCATACCTGATTGTAAAAGGTATGATTGTAAAAGGCGTAGGTATTTTTAGTACAGTAAAAATCTTTCCCTTTTAAACTTCAATAATTATTCATACTTTTACCATTACCCTACATTCTATTGCTTTCCTGATATTATTTGTTAGCTGTCACTTTTCAAAACATATTTTTCTTAATTGTAATTTGTGAATAAGCCCTGAAACTGCTGAATTTATGTAATGGTTTTGTGCAGCTTTGATTTTGAAATGTTAAGCTGTTTCAGTGTTTTAATAACAAAAAAACCCCAAAAGGTGAGCTGCCAACAATATAGAGCCTGGTTAGACTGTGCAGCCTGGCTTTTTACTAACGGCAAAGCACAATTTTGGTTCCAGCAGGTAAAGGTTAGTGGGTGAAGACTCGGATACATACCTCTTCAACTTTAGCTTGACCTTTAGAACTGATTCGTAGTGTCTGTTTCCCGGTTCCCAAACTGCTACTACCTTTTTTCCCAGTTGCTTGACCAACAAATGCTGAAACAATAATGTCATACAATATAAAATCTTTTTATTAAAGTGAATAAATTAAGCCAACATAAATTTATGCATTGTAGGCTTAATTAGTGTCCATCCACTCTTTCAAGCACAAAGAGTACAGAATCAACAAGCCTCACAAGACTGGCTTATTCTAGTCAACATCACAAGTAAAGTTAGAACTGTCTGTACATACGAGCAGTTTGAAAGTTGGCTCATGTTTAGGGTTAAAGATTTTAAACTGGTCTGGTCAGACTGTCCTTTGGTGCAGACTGGCTTTATGGCAGTCTGCTTTAATATGGCACAGGATAACAATTACAATAGTATGTTGACCTTGAAAAGTTTAAAGATACAATATAATTATTGAAACTATATAATACATTAATTTACCTGGCTAGAAAACTTTGATCAATATTGTCATACATGTTATCATGAATGTTTAATGAATGCTTGTTATATCACATAGTATCTTGATAATGAATTGTCTGCCTTCATTATGCATATTATACACAATATATAATCTCAAAATGCACCTCATTTTCATGATAAAATGGTCATTCTTGCCTATACCTGTTCTATAATTGTACTTATTATTCATTTTCTTAAACATTTATCATGATAACAATTATCATAAGGAAAATCTATTTTTAAGCCATTCAAAGTAAACTGAGAATTTGACACGACTAATACAGTGCAATACACAGTTACTAGACACTCTCCGCAAATTATACATGGTGAAAGTAACTGATCAAAAATGACTGTAAACTTAATGGCCTTGATCATAAGACGAAATTACAGTTTAAATTTTTGTTACTGTCAGCAGCATGATATTTTCATTACACACAGATGTGCAGTGCATTTAAGATAACTGTAACCTTGGCCACAATCCCACCCATTTTTGATTTTCAAACCCTAGTAAAATGCTGCTCAAAGCCCTGGCACCGTGATTTGGTTATACCCTCAGCTATTTCGGCCTTGACTCAGCAGACTGGGGAAAAACTTTGCTCATTTCCCCCACCCTCAGTCTGCAGGGGGTAGGGGTCAAGAATGATTACAAATGACCACTGCATTAACAATTTTTATACACAATACCACATCCTATTTATGCTTACTGTGAATTCATTTAATTTTGTGGACATCAAATTTCTTGATTTTGTCGCAAAGAACATTTTTGTGGGTACTTAAATTCATGGACTGTTTATTTTTTCAAAGGATAAAATGTAAATGATGTGATGCAAAATAATCTTACAGCAGACAAAAAGAAATTTTGTTGGAACTTAAATTCATAGATTGAAATATCCACGAAAATTATTGCCCACAAATAATAATGATTTTGCAGTATACACCAATCCGCAGTCATTTGAATAAAATATTTTTTAACTTTCAATTGCTGCCCTACTAATTCATCCTGTCTAACATGATTGCGTATAAATCATCAAGCCAAATAAGTTGTGAAAATGCCTTTCCTGACCTTGAAATTCAATCTTGATTTTTTGCCAAAGACTACAGCATTCACACAAAATAAAAGACCAGAAGCTTGATAAAATGTACCGATGTTATCAAATAAAAATTTTGAAGTATTTATCCGGAACAAATAGTTCAATTGTTCAGTTAAAATATTCTGTCTCTTAATATAAAATCTTATCTGTGATCTAAAATTCAATCTTTGCTCGAATAAAATACAAACATTCGCAGATGAAATCCTTTGACAGATGCATGCATTTGATAGGGATTTAGATATAAACACATACAAAAATATAAGTGAACATCATAATTTATATCAGTTTAACTTAATTCTGTGGCTATTCATTTTTTCTTTGAGTAAAATGACTAATTATATCAGTCATGTCAGTTTTTAAACCAATTCAAATCATATATAAACATATTAATTATATAATGCATATTCTTGCATAAAAACTACATGCAGGTGTACATTGTACAAGCAGAAGAACCCATGCATTTAGGTCTTATGGATAAAATTACACAAGCACCTGTTGTTATAGCATGTTTTTTTAAATTTTTTGCTACTCTGGACGCATGGGACGCCATGATTTAGAAATAGCTGACTGCAAAGACCGCTCCTAGAATTTCATTAGCGAAACATTGCTGTCAAATGATATGATACTAGCTTTTAGAAATTTATAATGATGAAACAGTATTTTTTTATACAAAATAAAAATAACCAAACAAGGAATTGCCAAATCAGGATATACTTTTATGCAAGAATGGTGTAAATGCACCTGCTTTCATGCATTAACATAATTACAAATTTTTCTTTTTTTGATTGGATTTTTCAGTTGCATTGACACTGTAAAGGTTATGGCGACTTAACAGCCTTCTTTACTTGTGGAGGAAGACCTCAGGTCCTCCTCCATGTACTTTTTTCCAGCAAAAGAAACCACCTATGTTCCATAAGCTAAGCTGGAAGAATTCAAAGTCCCTAACGGGATTCGAACCCACAGCAGGAAAGGGCAACTGCGGTTCAATATTCTTTTCTATAGCGCAGATTTTCATTATATAAATTTGATAGTTGAAATGGGTATAATGCTATAGAGATAGAGGGCTGTCAGCTATCTGTAGAATAATTGTTTGAACTGTGATAAAAAACAAGAGGGCCATGATAGCCCTGAGGTCGCTCACCTGTATATAGCGCCCCCCACGGGCCAATTTTTACCCAAGGGCTTTTATTTGAACAGACTTGGTAGACACCCATAAGAAGATGTTTCATGCTAAAAATCTAAGTTCTAGCTCATTGGGTTTTTTCAAAGAAGATTTTTAAGTTTTTGCTATACACATATAAGGAAAATCAATGACCCCCGGGGCGGGGCCAGTTTTGACCCCAGGGCTTTTATTTGAACATACTTGGTAGACACCCATTAGAACATGTTTCATGCTAAATATCTTAGCTCTAGCTCTTTGGGTTCTTTAAAAAAAGATTTTTTAAGTTTTTACTATATGCATATAGGGAAAATCAATGACCTCCTGGCGCGGGGTCAATTTTGACCCCAGGGCTTTTATTTGAACAAACTTGGTAGACATTTACTAGAAGATGTTTCATGCCAAATATCTAAGCTCTACCTCTTAGGGTTGTTTAAAAGAAGATATTTAAAGATTTTTCTTTCGGTTGCCATGGCAACCAGAGTTCTGCATGGAATTAAATTCTTTGAACAATTTTTAAAGGTGACCACCAAAGGAACATTCCTGTGAAGTTTGGATGAAATTGGCTCAGTGGTTTATGAGGAGATGTCATTTAAATCAAAAGTTTACGGACGGACGCCGGACGAAAAGCGATCACAAAAGCTCACCCTGTCACTTTGTGACAGGTGAGCTAAAAATCATATCACTGTACCTGAACACAGTTTTCACCTGAAGAATAATGTGTAAGAAACTTCCTAGGAAGCAGTAAATCAAAGCTAAATTAACCTCCACTTAAAATAGAAATAGAATATTTTGTAAGGGAAAGTTTTATTCTGTTTATTCAAAGTATTCATAAGATTTAATCTTTCGCCTACTATTTACCCATGTGACCAGTACAGACCAAGACCAGCCCACTGCTGTCTGATCATGGTCTTCACTGTTTGCTTAAGTCAGTATATAGAACTTTGAAATTTTCCCTATAAGTAATAAATGGTTTTGTCCAGATTGAAAGACGGACCAGTCCATATAACACATTGAGCGTGGTAAGGGATAACAATAACAGATCTAGGCAGTCTTTGAAAACCATTTTGAGATACAACCAAAAGGGTATAAAAGCATCCTGACTTTATGGTTTTAAAAATTTATGTCATACATTTTGCCAATTAGAGTTTTTTACCCTAAAAAATTAAAGCTCTCCCTATATTAAGTTTAGCTTGAAGACATTATAAGGCCGTTCAACTGCAGCTAAAACAGTAGTAACAAATCAGCCTCTTTTCTTTAAATATCAAACTATGACAAAACCGACATAATGTGATTGCGACCAGCCTGGATCCAGACCAGCCTGCACATCCGTGCAGTCTGATCAGGATCCATGCTGTTCCCTATCATTTTCACTACTTTTTATAGGGTTTGTAAGCAAACAGCATAGATCCTGATCAGACTGTGCGGATGTGCAGGCTGGTCTGGATCCATGCTGGTCGCGAACGCATATTGTTGGTTTTGTCATGGCCCGGCTTAATTATTATTAGTAATCACAGGACATGGTAACTGTATGTCAGGTGCTCGCCTGTTACATTGTGTGCAGCTTCACCCATCAAGTCTGACTTATGAAATAATAAAGACAGGTTACTATTCAGAAATTGTTTCTACCTAATTGTTGTCAACCTAATGAAGGTGAGGACGAGCCACAAAAATCAATATACCTCGAGTGAAAATATCAGCTGTATTATAATGTATTGTTATCATCAATTTCAATAATGGCAAATACATGTATCCATGGCAACATTTTGCTATTTTCCTCCACAGTATATATATATAATCTTCATTTCTGCAGTATAAACTTGGATGACATTATGAAGAGTGTCCCTAGTGCTAGACACAATGTAGCAAACATTACCTGTGAAATATGATTATTACATGTTTTCTCGATAATATATATACATTAAACCTGATATTTTCCTCATCAAAAAAAAAAATAAGTTCAATATTCTATAAAATAATTATATGGAGTATCTCTATTCATCAAGTAATTTATTAGATTTGTACAAATCAATAATAATACGCCAGAAGAACAGTTGACTCGTAAATTAAAAAGCCAAATAGGTAGTGTTAAATTAAATTAATTTTGTTTACTTTTGAGAAAAATATGAGATAAGAACAAAATATCGAATTGCTAGACTAATTTTTTTTTGAAAACTAAACTGAAATATATCAAATAATGTATCCTGTTTTGAAAGTATGAGTAAGTTCAGTTAGAAAATAACATATATATTATATTTATAAAATAAATATGTCTGCTTTTCTTCTCATTTATTCTGTTAAACTATCAAACACTAGAATAAAAGAGTGCCACTTAGGTATGCCAAAGAAAATATCTTCAAAACTTAAGCAAAAAACCTTTATTTTCATGTACAATTTAACATGTAATGTAAGGATGCAAAACTAGAGGCTTAACAGTTATCAGTTCATATGTTTCGTGACACCAAATTAATTAATCAGTCTTTCAGTCCATTCAGGGGTAATAACTCTTGAAATACTTATATGTTCAATAAAAAATACAGACAGCATTATTTCTATAGAGTTTTTATCATGTTAATCAATTTTTGTAAACAATTATTTATTGTTTTTGAGTTGTAGCCCAAGATTGACATTTTTCTGTAATTTCTGTATTTTCAATCAGTTCAGGAGCAATAACTGGTAAAAGACTAGGTGGCTTTGTATCAATCCACTAACAGTATTTCCAAGATGGTAATAAACAATGCACATAGACCGGGCAGGGTGTCCGTTTGACCCTTGAAAAAAGCCTTCATTTGACCCTTAGAATTTTATTTGGAGGGTCAAATTTTTTTTAAATTATGGGGATTTGGCCTTGTAGTCGGTAAAACTTTTAAAGTCAAAATGACCCTCAGGATTTCATGGCTAGTGAACACCCTGAACCCTATACAGATCCAACCTGTTTACAACTTGTATCCCTAGACCAACAACAGGACAAACACATGCAAAATCAAGACATAGTCTAGATGACAATCTATGTCTCTGATCAAGACTAAATTAACAAAATATATTCATTTAAATACTGACTTTATTAAACTACAAGCACTTTCATCATAACTATCTCTTGATTTAGGTCAAGGACAGAATTTGTTCCTGCTATTTTTTTATCTTGTCATTTTTTGTTTGTTTTAGACTTAACACATATTTGTTACAGTACTTCAATATTCTTTAAAGAGACAAACCAACAAAACTAGTTGTTAAAATACTAAACCATTTTCATTCTCCTCAAATATCTGCCGACTTCTCCACATAAAATGTTTTGAACCAGTAAAGTTTAGTTTTGAACTGTAGACAGTGCACGAGTCAATTGTAGCCAGATGACCTGTGACAAGCTCAGCCCCTCCTATCAAATGCACCCCCACACCCTGGGGACAGCAGGGACCTTGACTTTTGGATTTTCAAACCAACAGTAAAACCGTAAATGCCCTAGCTACCCTTCCAAGACAATTTCAAGATGGTTATAATCCTCACTAAAAAGACTGACTTTGTGATTTAGACATATCTCCCATCATTATGGTACCAAAAGAAAACCTCAGCATCAACCAACCACTGTTTGAACAATAGAAAGGGAAAAAGTAAAAACTTAGCTCTATCTCCCCCTTCCAGAGGGATGATTGGGTGGTGGTTACTATTGATAAATATATCGGTACATATTAACTCATTAAACATTTAACACATTAAATATACAACAACAAAGACTAGGAAAGCATGCCCAAACACTATCACTTCACAGTCATAATGTTACTATATTGTATTGCACAAAATGCAAATGTTCTGCTCAAGAAACTTTGAATAAGCATTCATGAGTAAAGTAGTGTTCACAACATCCAAAACATCTATAACAAATCGAAAGAGAGCACATGCTTGATTTATAATAATTTTTTCTGACGTTTAAATACATGATTTTTGTTTAGCGTTTTGATACATTCAAAAATATTCATGTAATGAAACAATCTGAAACATAAAGTAAGTTAAGGTCATAAAATGACAGATGTTATAGCCACATATTGATATACATGTATTTAATGATAATTTGATAAATTTAAAAAAAAAATATACTAAACCCAAGTTGCCTTCAAGATTACCTCTAAAACAAAAACTATGCTGGTTAATTTTTCGTGTTAAACAAACAATTTATTTTGAAGTTTAAAGTAAAATCAGCAAACATTGTATACATGATGGCTAGTAGTTAAAGAGGATTTAATGAGATGGACAAATATTTGGCATGCAAAAAAATAGTAGACACCACTATCTTAAGGCTCATAAAATAAACAGAGAAGGAAATTCTTTACATATATATAACTTATACTTCTACATGTATATTACAATTTGTACAAATGTGGGATAAACTTTACATTTCACCAAACAATAATTGGGTTACATTTATGTTACCAATACAGCCTTTTGTTTTTCAAGCATGAATATAATTTGAAACAATAAATAAAAGAACGCAATCGTTGTATTATGCAATCATATTTAGTACATGTAGGTGCTCATAATTCGATGTGTTATAAATGCTTTAGTATATAATATAAAAACAGTAATCAACAGCTCAAAATTTGGATGATAATAATTAAAATATAACATCACTGTTACATGACATAATTATACATTTATATGGCATTATTCACATATTAGACAGGTGTCTGAAGGTATAAATAACTTGACATGATATTTCTAGTGATTTTTTTTGTTCCAAAAATGTGGCTTTGCCCATTAGGTGCGGAAAAATGTGTCATTTTCAAGAAATTTGGGAAAAAAACAAACAAATTTAGCAGTGTGAAACAATTATTACCCATCTATTCAATAATACATTATGATTAAAACTCTTACATGTATATCTTTGCATATTTCCATACTGCTTCCATTTATTTTAATATTTACCACATAAAATAAAATTTTTACGGTTTATATTTTATTCTATAACATTTATCTATATTTCGAGAAAAATATTATTATATAGTTTTTTCAGGTGGCGAATGGGTCTGAATTTCAACTCAAAAAAGGCCTAAATTAATCAATAATCATGTTAAAATTCTTGGTACTTTATATGATACAGAGGTGATTTTTTCATGAATAAATTTTGACACCTAAGTTCTGATGTTCCATAATGAAGATTATGTAACACTGAATACTGTCATGTCATTGACAACAGACCAACTTCAATGGTGTGATCATTTCCATGATTACACCACATGAAAGTTGCAGCTGGACAACTACCTTTATATAAAACTGTACTTGGATAACATCAATAAAGTAACTGGTGATATATCTGATAACAGTCATACAGACAGATCATACAATAGTTTCTCACCTACAGCTACATGAATTAAAGCTACTTTCAACAAATAATACCAGACAACAGGAGTATTGTAATTTGAGAGAGAATAGAAATGTTTTCCTCATCTTAGCTAGGTATCTAATAGAAATCTCATTTTAAAGACCACAGTTTTTGTTTCACTGACAAGACTGATCCAATTATCTATATTCATTTCAGAGTTATGTCTTGGGTATATAATTCTAGTACAGTATCGTTACCTTTGAGTCCTCAGAGCAGATTCTGTATTATCATTAGTTTAATGTGCAAGAGTAACAGTGCCAACAACTGACATAAATCTGAGCATTATACCAAGTTATCAAAGAAAAACTATATATGTCTGTATGTCATACTGTTACTTTAAAATAAATTATCCCATAGTGGTAGCCATATACAAATCTTATATTACATTAATTGTGCTGGATATATAACTAGTAATCAAAGTGATGAAATACTTACAAAAACCTGATTTAAGCGGCTCAACAGTCCTGATAGTGAATGTTTGTCCCTTTGAAATTTCCTTTAACATTCTCGCAACTTCAAAATGCCGACAACCCACTAAACTTTTTCCATCAATTTTTTCTATATGATCTCCAACGGCTATTAAAGGGGTTGTGTCCATAATACTTCCTTCTTTAATACGTTTAATAAAGGCATAGCCTGCACCATTGTCAGTTATTGTTAGTCCTAAAGCATCTTCTGATTTTGTTACTTCTACTTCCTTTGGCTGGCCTTTTACATGTGCGAATATAAAATCTTCTAGACCGATTTGTCCGCCCAATAATTTGGTCATATCTATCTTGTGTGTATTTAGAGTGCAAAATAATATCTGAAAGAAAAACATATTTGAAAGATGATGTGGAACAGATCATACATATTGTAAAAATTATCTTAAAGTCATGATGGCCCTTGATCCCTCCGTTGAGATCCAAAGGTCATAGTAATTGCTACAGTGATGTAGATCATTGAGGACACTGGTGCACTGGTTGTTATGACATTTTTGACCAAACGGTTACGATTCATAACTTTAGTATATGTCTACAAGGCAATATCAAGTCTGTTAAAAGAAGTTTTCAATGTCTTGGTTTATTATAAAATAAGGTCTTATAAAATAAGTGACCCCCCAAGGATAGGCCAATTTCCACCATTATGCATTGGGGCATGATTTATTCAACTTCTGTTGAGTACCTGACAAGGTGATGCAAAATATCTATGTTCTTTATACCATTGCATTTTCTGAGAAGATGATTTCATTTTTTAGATCTTTTTATCTCCTGTTTCCTATTCATGCATTAACTTAATTCTGCAGTGGGCCATCTAAGCAACATTCCTTAGCAGTTTGGTAAAATATGGATAACAATGCTTGATGGCTGATGCAAGACTGATATCATGCTTAGATAAAAAAACTTGGGTCTCTAAGGTGAGCTACATTGTAAGAATAATGCTAATCATTGACTCAAACATTTAAACCCATACCTGCATTGATAATCAGAGATCATGACCTTAAATATGTAATTAATGAAATACAATAATATTGAATTTTTTAACACAAAATCATTTTTATCATTTATAATAATAATATTATTATTATTACTAAGAAAAAGTTGTAACATATAAATAATATATGTAATAATATAAATGAGGGATAATTCTACAGTCATATTTCTTTTGAACTGTGTGACTATAAATTGTATGTGCACAACTTAATTAATGTTTAATAAAATAAATGTCACATTAAAACATTATGTTCCAAATACATTTAAAGTTCTTTGAGCTTTAGTATCTATACGATATAATCCTAAACCAATAATAGATTTGTAAATAGTTTATAGCACATAGAACTGTTTTTTAACTGTCAGTACAGATGTAAATCATGTAAACTGTTGCTCAAACATTTTTAAGATGGGGACCATGCAGGAGCTGAAGTGACAGACGTATAAAAAATTTTTTAGGCAGTATTTATTCAAACTATGTCTTTTTTTGTACATATTTTTCAATTTAAAAGATTATATATTATATTTATTGATAACAGCATTTATCACACACCTGTGCCGATTTTGCGACTCCGTAAAAATAGTTTTGCACAACCGTGCATATATTTTGACGTGACGTCATTAGCTTCATACAAACATAGTGTAAAGACACGCTAAATGTTAGGGTTATACTCTATGCGCGTCAAGGGAAATGACTCTTTTTTCACTTTTAAAGGTCTTTATTTTGGGTATGTGATAAATAGAATATTAAAATTGTGAAAGTTCATTACTGAATTTATTGGACTCATTGAATTGAATGTAAATATTATTATGCTCGCCAGAGGCTCGCACAATATAATTGTATTCAACTCGTGCAATAAATTCAGTATTGAACTTACACTCATTTAATATCCTCTATGTATGCTCCACTTTATTCTATTATATGCATGATGGATAAATCAATTTACTGCAAAAAAAATGGTATGGAAGCTCTTGAAATTAGAACTAAAATAGTGCACAGTTAATCATTGTCAGATATCCATGGCCTAACCATTATCATACATGTTATGTTACATATTAATTAACCTTGGTATCCAACGATGAGAGTTAATGTGTTTGGACTGTAATTACATTGTGTTTGGACTGTAATTACATTATCTTTTGAAATTGATTTAACCATCAAGGCAAACAACAGCAAAATTATGCTTTCATGCCAATCTTGGACATGAAAAAAAAAACAGTTTATAATCTAAAGTAATATTCAAGGTATAAAATAAATAGTTGTAATATACTTACATCCTCAACATTCATATCATAACAGTCAGCTATTTTCTGGTATAGTTCTTTCACATTTGTAAATCCAGAGATAATCCCCGTAGGACTACCATGTGCCTGTTGACAATGAAACACTAATTTTGGTCTAGGTTGAGGAGGTGGTGTCTCATTTTTCTGTACCACTTCATTTTTAGCGGTGCCATTAGATGAAGGTGGATCATCTCTGGGGCGTGTCGGCGAGCCAGCATTCAAATTTTGCTGGTTTTCTGTTAAACTGTCCTTATTTTTGTTCTTTTTTCCGCCAAATAAAGGCATATTGAATGATTTCTGTTTTTAAAAATGATACCGACAATTTTTGTTCCGATCTTATTGGGAATATTTGGTATTTATTACCTGTCAACAATACACCTGTAATTTTCATAGAGCGTAATTTGCTGTCAACACGGAAGTTGAGTCCTTATGGAAATTATTTTCATTTCCGATATCCGGTTTTCATAACAAATTCAAAAATAGCCAATTTTAAATATTTTCTTCAAATTTTTGAATTAAAAATTAAATTTGAGATATAGAAACTATAGAATTAAATGTAAAATTATTCCTATCATTAAAAGGGAAACTGTCGAAATTGGTACAGAAAAATCCTTACGGTTTAATTACACAGGTAATTTGAACTTCATTTTGATTGGTTGAGCACGTGCAAATAAGCCGGCATGTTCGATACGGAATGATTGTCCGCACTGCAAATTTTCACAGACTTTTACAGAATACTTGCTATGGCTTTATTGAAAAAAAAAAACAAACAAAAGAAACAACTCAGTTTAACAACGCTAATACTGTTATACCATATCAAAACATATCAAAATCAAGTTTGAATAATTCTGTCCTTTATATGCATGTAGATCTAGTGTTTGCGTTAAATTTGTATTTTCCCGAAGTATTGAAATAATCTTGAAATTAATCTTGAATATATTTTTTTCATATGAAAACTTTGAACATGACATCATTCTGAAGCAAACTGTGGCCAGATTTTGTAGGATAACTTCGGACATCAATGCATGCCGTTTCACCGAAACTAAGTGCATGACAAAATTAAAATGTACATGAAATTTGTTTAATTTACTTCATTAATTGTAAGTATCATAGAGAAGCATTTCACTTGACGAAAAGATGTTCCGTTTCAGTAGATTTTGTTTTGGTCTTAGACATTTTGTAGACAACGTTTATACTTGTCAACATTAATTACTATTCGTTAATTTAATCACCTAATGCTCAAATCACCGATGCGTTGCTTAGACTTTCCGGGAACTGGCTCAAAACATTCAGAATAGTGGCGCGAGACAGGCAAGATATGTACCTGTTTCTCTTCTACCTATTTCATTTCTGTACTGGAACATACGTCATTTTATGTTCAAGCTTAGTGGAAATTAAAATGCATGCAATCGGTTGTTATTGGAAGCAAAATGACAGTCTTTTTATTACGTGCGTTATTTTTGATAGCTATTACAAGATTTTACGTCGACAAAGTTTGTTTATTTCTCGCGCAATTTGTTGGCCATCAATATTAATTTTACAGTTGTACATGAACATTTAAACACTTTCATGCTTGGTCGGATGCATTCTGATCGTTTTCCTTTATTTCTTACGAACATCATGGAGAGCTATATACATGTACGGACGTTTTATCTATATCGGACAAAACTGGCTACAATGAGCGGGTATGAGGAAAAATGACGGATGTGTGCTGTAAATTCCGGGTATAACGCAACGCACTCCAGGAATATACAAATTTTGTAATGTGTGATGGCTTTAAATGCTATTTTGTATTTATTTTACTTCATGCTATCATAAAGGATGGCATCGTTGTCTATGAGCCAGGCACACATTTACAAGTTTGGTGTTGGCTTGTCTAATTAATTATTACTGTACTGTATTGTCTGATTAACGTCATTGGAATTTATAAATATGCTTTTCAACAACAACAACAACAACAACAAAAATGACACCAAGCATGCTGTATGGGGAAACAGAAAATACTCAAAAATTGTAAATGGACGGCTTTTTTCCAATACTTTGTATAATGCGTTAGATAGATGCATGATAAAAGAAAAATACTTCACGCCATTATCGCACAGCTCACTCTGATGATGTCACTTGGTCGTACCGTCCGTAAGGTTACTATTGCCAGTTAAAGCACCTTACAGACGTGTTCTATAGAATGTACTAGAGACCAATGCATTCTGTTAATGGCGTGTATCCCAGTTATTGTCCTATGCGTTATGCGGACCTGGGTCCCAGGTTAAAACATATACTAACATAGTTCCACAGCCTGTTTTACATACACATAGCCTATATGGATATATCATCACCTTAACTCCTATTTAATTATATAAAGTGTTAACCCATTACTGCACTAAGTAAATGGTATGTGCTAATGGGTGGACATTAAATGAAGTGCATTGTCTGTAAAACATAATGAAAACACATGAATTGATTCCCTTTTATTAAATTCAAACACATAAATGTGTAGTATCTAGCACTAAATAATAAACAACTTAAAACCACACCATTTCATTAATAATAACCCTTCAAATATACATAAAAGATAACAACAAACATATTTAATCTATAACAGTATCATTTCATGTAAATGTGTGGCATGGGTCTTTGACTTTCTGGTGGAATGAAAATATAACAGGTAAACACAATTTAATGTAAGACATATGTAAATTGGCTTTTAGTAACAATTTAAACTAATCTTTTCTTTTAACTGGTTTTGAATTTTAGTAAAGATATTTAAAATATCACAAAATATTGTTCTTTACAAGGCATTTCATGGACATAAATATTCAATTATATTAAAAAAAAGTTTGACAATAAAAATTAGATATGAAAATAAAGCATACTGAATGAGTGTAGGTTTAATACTAAATTTATTGAACAAGTTTAATAAGATTATTTTATGCGAGCCTTTGGCATGCAAAATAGTGTAACGCTAACATTTTATAGTGAGTCAGTCTTTACACTATGTTTGTATAATAATGCAAATGACTTCATGTTAAAATATATGCACGGCCATGCAATACCACTTTTATTGAGCCGCAAATTCGGCACGGGTATGTGATAAACAACACATTTCTGATACCATTATATAAAATTACAATACTAATAAAAAAGTTTCCATTGGAAACAGTCAAGCAAGGAATATAACAGTGTAAGACCAAAGTGAGCCAATATCGCTCCCCTGAGTAATGCTATACATTAAAGTAGACATTAAGTTATCAGAGATGGGGCTATTTTCACCTCAGGATCATAATTTTTGTAAGAAGCCCACATGAAAATGCACATCTAATATGCCTTAGACATTCTTGAATTTTGTGTTTTACCGAAAATTTTATAAAGCATTTATCCAGGTGATCAACCTACCACATCAAATGGGGGGAATTTAGCAGTCCGTTAAATACAGCACTGTACAATGATGTCATATTTAACTTAACATAACAATGTTTGCGTAAGTGCAAAAGTACACAAATTCTTTAAGAGAAAAATATGTGACATCAACATCAAAAGATATATAAAATATACTGATTTACTATACATTGTATTATAATTCGTTAATATATCATATGTATATGAATATTAAAATATGGGGTGTTATGTTTAAAAAACAACAACAAAAACACCATGAATCTATTTCACATATTACATTTGTAAATATATGTTTAAAAAAAAAAATGAAATGAGGAAAACCTGTTAAGCATTGAAAACCTTAATAGTACATTTTATTTTGAAAAAAAAAGAAAGAAAAACACCCAAAAAACATATGCATTAAAACATATTAGATCTAATACACATTAGAGCTAGCCCACAAGGATGGCTGGGAAGTGCTGGCTGATCTTGGTCTGCACTGGTGGCATAGGTAGTTTCAGTTGCCACCAGCAAGCTTAGTGTTACGCAGGTCGATTTACATTTTACAGCTCTGCTCCTCTAAATATCACAGTGACAAGATAATATAAAATAAACACATTGCAACACACACACAATTAAACAGCTCAAATTTAACGGCTCACCTGAGTACATTGATAAAAAATTGGAAGGAAAAAAAAACTGGATTTTTTAAACAACTTTGTAAGAGGACCGCCAAAAGAACATTTGTATGAGGTTTAAATGATAATGACCAACATAGAGACTGTACTAATAGCATGAAAGTGCATCCAAAGTACAGTACATAATTTTGTGTATATTGATGAAAAATTATCAACATTTTCAGCTTACATTCAGGAGGTTAAATCATGTGACTATTGGTATTTCACACGGTAAATGTGTTCCCCAAAGTTTCAATGGAATTCCTTCAGTTGTTGGTAAAGAAATAAAGCTGTACTCAAAATCTCAACAAAGTGTTATGCCAATGCCAGAGTAGGTTCTGTTTTCTTTGAAAAGTTAAATTACCAAGTATCGAGTTGGTGTAAATCATGCTGTCTTGATTAAATGTGTTTCATACACAATTATATACACTGTTACACAATCATATACACAACTTTTACACAGCTGCCATTATTATCCTCAACTTCAAAGGCATTAAAGGTGTACACTTTTAACATATAACACTGGTATACGTATAAAGTAGAAGCTCTTGATTCCCAAAATAACCCCTGAATTAAGATTTCTAAAATCACAACTGTAAAATTAAAGTGACATTATGCCCATCCAAGGGTATATAGTGAGTGAACATGTGTATATATAAATAAGTTTTCATTTTGTAATAATTCTTTTTGATGTTATAATTGACTTCGCAAAAAACAATAAATAATGCATCCCTTTTTTTTAAAGTAAAATAAGGACCATAACTCAAAAACCAATCTATGAAATTTGATAGCATTTTGTGATTGTCTCATATATACATTCCATATCATCATATACTATTTTTGAGTATCAGAAAATTAAGCAAACCAATTCCAAGATTATATATGGATCTGGACTAATGGAAAACAAAGCATTTCAATATCCCACCACAGATTTCATCTGTGGGGAACTTAAACATTGCAAAAAGCTTAAAGTTTAAAAATGTTAACTAAATCAGGTGGGTTAGTAAAAACCTCTAAAAAAATACTTTGCTTGGCCTACAATACTTATTTTACATCCCAAAATCTTTCAATGTCTTTATCTATACTTCAATCAGCTAATCACAAGTCCCTCACACCAATAAAGCCTATCTAAAAACTAGTTTCTTTGGATGTTTAAGTTAAAATATATAAATGTTTATTAAGTGCTTGCTTCAGTTCGGAAACCATTGGGATTGTTTGACTGCCAGCGCCATAAATCCTCACCTGAAATGAAATAAACTTAGCAATCAATAACGTAAGAAAGTTATTAATCCTAAGAAATTAGAAGGGTTTTCATTATTAATAGATTGGCAATACATAATTTAACATTATAATTGGTTGAAATGCTGGTAAAATCGTTTGAATTTTTAGCCTGTATATTAAAATATCCCCCTTGTTTTTGTTTGCACATTCCTTGCCTGAAATTTTCTCTAAAGATTTTTTGGATAGTTTTATAAATTCTTTGAAGAATTTCTACCCTATCTGATTCCATTCAAAAATAACAAAAATAAGTTTTCTCTTCCACAAATCTAAAATCATAACTTGTTTTTTATTTGCTATGTAAAACTTAAATTGATACAATCAGACTTGCAGTAATTTGTAGAAAGATGAATAAATATTAATATAAAACTTTTTAAAACAATTGGATAAAAATATTTATTATTTATAATGAAGATCAATATTAAGATTAATTTTTTGAAGCATGTTTCTACAGAATTTTATCAACAGTTACATCATTTTATGACATTTCAAGTCCCTGATTTAGCAAACAATTAAAAGATAAGTAAATAGTGAAAATATGGGTGTAAACTAGAAAGAAAGTTTATGAATTTGATACTGATTCACGATCCTCTAAACACAATTCATGGCACTTACGTTATAAAATCTTCACTCTTTATGGAAATATATAAAACAAGCAATTATCATAGTATTGCAAGCAATCCATAAGTCCCCTACCGGTAAGAGCCCAAGCAACATTCTGAAGGGCCATTCACTTAGGTTCCTATTTTAAGTAAATTTGTTGAAAAAAGTTCTTTAAAAGTGATCACAGGAAACAGTTTTAATGTACAGACAGACGGACTGAAGGACACTCTAAAGTTATTTTTTAAACATCCCTGTTATCAAAATATAACATTTTTAAAATCCTATCATGATTGAAGAAGTTGGAGTAAAAATTACCAATTTCTCAAAAAAAGTCTAAGTTCAAAAGGGGCATAATTCTGGAAATAGTCTTGCTAGAGTATTGAACACTCACAAATGTTGAGTGACAATAAGAAACATTTATATGAAGTTTGAAGTAGATACATTCAGAAAAAGAAGTTATTAAAAAAAAACAATGTTTTTTTCATGAAAATTTTAAGTTCAAGGGAGGTAATTCTGATAAATTTTGTACTAGAGTTGTAAACCTTGCCACATATGATATGGTTGATGACAAGCAACTTATATTTAAAGTTTGAAGAAAATACCTTAAGAAATAAAAAACTTATAGTGAAAAAACTTAAAAACTAGAATAAGAAATCTTGAAATTCAGTCTATTTGTTGCCATAGCAACCAGAATTTTCAACATAGGAAGATAAGAAAAGGATGTGCATAATTTCCATACTGCCATCTACCCATTTGTCAAGTTTCATAAACATATTTTCAGTACTTTTTGTGTTATCACTGGATCCAGGTTATGTGTAAAATTTGCCATATTTTCAGTCTATTTGTTGCCATAGCAACCAGAATTTTCAACATAGGAAGAAATGAAAAAGACATGCATAATCTCCATACTGCCATCTATCCATATATCAAATTTCATAAAAATATTTTCAGTACTTTTTGCGTTATCGCGGGATCCAGTTTATGTGTAAAATTTGTCATATTTTCAGTCTATTTGTTGCCATAGCAACCAGAATTTTCAACATAGGAAGAAAAAAAAAAGACGTGCACAATCTCCATACTGCCATCTATCCATATATCAAGTTTCATTAAAATATTTTCAGTACTTTTTGCGTTATCGCGGGATCCAGTTTTGTGGACGGACGGACTGACGGACGGACAGACGGACGGACGGACTGACGGACGGACAGACGGACGGAGGGTAAACCTAAAGTCCCCTCCGGTAAACCGGTAGGGGACTAAAAACAACATTATAATATACATCAAAATATCATAAATGGATAAAATATGATAACAACTTACACATTTTAGAGAGATCAAGTTTTGCTGTCCAGCCTAGTTCTTGTTCTGCTAAAGCAGCATTTGCGTAACACGAGGCTATATCTCCTTCTCTACGTCCTGCTATTTTATATGGTATCTGAATATATAAAATATTGTATATATTTATCATGCCAGAAATAAGCAGTCAGGTTAGAAAAATAGGTGGAGTGTTAGACTGTGAATTTGGAGACCTGGGTTCAAATTCCAGGCCTATCAGGTCACTTTCGTTGCGATTGATAATAAAATCTTTTCTACAGTCATTGGCACTGTACCTATGCTCTGGCATGTACAGAAGTTTCTTGTGAAAGTAGAGGCTACTTGTACTAGTAAGCTGCTTGAGAGCTCCGCAGAAACGATTCGGTGGCTGAACTGTGCTCTGGTTAATTCAAAGGGGCTTCCTGCCGTCATCCCAAGTGAAAACTACCAACACCACCACCATGCCAGCTACATTATATATACATAAAATAAGGTATACATTTATCACACCAGAATAAACAAAATATATCCAATGTATGTTCCGCTACTTTATCTGGTACCTGAATACACAAAATATCAAATACAATCTACGGCCTGCTACTATACCTGAGTAACATGATAAATACATGAAAATGCCACTGTTTTTTTTTCAATTTTATCAGACATATTTCAAGGGCTCTGAAAATCTCATTCCTCCTGGACAATATCAAGCTTGTCTGATAAAGTTAGTTTGTAGCATATTATTCTATATATTTGTTTGTTTTTGTGTTTTTTTCTGCCAATTTCTGTCAATTATTTAACAAATGTTTGGTCATCTCTCTGTGGTCAGTCCACATTATTCACCTTTCTAGATAACTAACCAGCATTTACCAATTTCTCTGCAAGTGACTGACCATACCACATGATTTTCGAATCAGTGTTAAGAGACAAATGACCATTAGTCTCAATGGCTGAGATCAACTGTCAAAGAGAAATGTCACCTCGTCCAAAGATTACAAATTTGATGCTCTCCCTGTTGCGCTAAACTGGCAAATTTTATTCTACATTACATACATTATTACAAAATATTTTTAAACCTATGAACAAGTGCTTTTTTGATTAATATGTTTTCCAAGCAATTAACATTGCACTAGAAAGATAACTAACCGGAACCTACATGGACGTGATCTTGATAAAATAATGTCTGAAAACATACTTACAGGTTTGCCCGAGGCCTTCTCAAAAGCCTTTACCATGTCTATCACAGAAAAACCTTTGCCAGTTCCTAAATTATATACCTGTAAAATAAATATTTATAAATTACAGCTTCAGTAACAGATTATAGTCAGACGGAAAGATGAACGAACATGCATGTACAAATATTTGCAGCTATACATAGTGATATTTTGGTTAAAATGTCACAATGACATTGAAAAGGTCATTAACAAAGAAACGATGATTTTTGAAGAATTTAGTACTGTTCATATCTACAGGAAGCAATGGCCTATTTGTAATGCTGTCTGCAGGTCAACCTTTCAACCTAGGGATTGTGTGTTCAAAACCATGATTTTACATATGACACCAGTATTGGTTAGTTCCAGGAAGGAAAGAGTTAAATACAAATAAAAATCCTTATACAATGAACAATTCTTACTTCCTGACAAGTCATTTATCTACATTCAATCTGGAAATTAAAATAAAGTTGCTTAATGACTAAATAAGATTGAAAAAATTTCTTTTGAAATGACATCAACAAACACTTACTTTACATCCACATCCTTTTTCAAGGCGTTTTAAAGCTGCTACATGACCTTGAGCCAGGTCAACAACATGTATATAGTCTCTCACACCTGTAGAACAATATATTTATACAATGTACAGTACAAACATTTCTCTACAATTCTATTCTGGTGGATATCAAATGATACTTTTACAAAGTCATACAAGTTATTAAATACATTTGTTTCAAAATTAATTAATTGGTATATAGAATAAAATAAAATATTAATATTCATTTTCATAGCGATAAAATCACTGTTGGGTATATTTCATCTCTTAATTGAACATTTTTACCAGCAGTATAACCATGTGTACTATACCTGTGCCATCTGGAGTGTCATAATCATCACCATATACTGTCAACTCCTTCCGTCTACCTACAGCAACCTGAGATATAAATGGCATTAGGTTGTTTGGAATACCTTGGGGATCTTCCCCTATCATCCCTGATACATGAGATCCTACAGGATTAAAGTAGCGTAACAACACAACGTTCCATTGCTGAAATAAATGTTATACAGATAAGAAAATAAAATACATTTAAAATGTTACATGTAATATCTAAGCCTTTGATCATGCAATCAAAGATTAAAATATTTCAGTTCCTTTATGTATTCTTGCAAAAAATCTGTGCAAGCAGGTGTACATTAACGGTGAATACAACAGATATATTTTCGTAACCAAGCACCAATGTTGCAATTTTTTTTCATATGCATGACTCAGGTGCAATAAAAATGCAAAAACAGTCCTTGTTGTTTTATAATTAAAACATAAATGACAAATGACTTTGCACCAGCATGTGGAAAGCATGGCACATAAAGCTCTATCTAACAAAATATTTTTATATAATTTGTAAACAGTAAAATAATGTTGTTTCCATAATCATGTGTGACTGATGCTCAAAATAGTTGTTACATAGAAAGCCTCCTTAATTCATTACATATGGCTATTATGTAAATAGAATAAAATGTTCTAAAACAAAATATTATACAGCTAGTTAAGTAGGCTTTTAACCATTTAGCAAAGATTTCATGAAATTTTGCCATTCAAACATATTTCTATCATACTGATATATTTATTTGGAAATTCTCCTTTGTCAAAATTCGAACAATGGTTTTATAAACTACAGGCAGCAGATATATAGCATTATACACTTTAATTAACAAATAAAAACTTTGATACTGCTCCCTTGAATTCAAGCTTAAATACCTTTTCAGCAGTGCATATATCTTTTAGTATTTCTTCAATAAAATACTTTGTTTTGCCATATGCATTAGTACAGCCTCCTGTGGGGTGTTTCTCATCTATGGGGAGATAACTTGGTGAACCATAAACTGTGGCAGAACTTGAGAATATCATGTTATACACTTCAAATTCTTTCATCACCTAAATAAGATAAAAAATACAGTTTGTCAAATAGCTAGGTGAGCACAGAGAGATGAACAAAAACATTCTTTGCCTAAAGTCTATATATCACAACATTAAACTTAAAATAAATATCACGATTCACCTTTAAATGTCTATTATTGAGAATAATTAACTTTCCGTTACCATAGCAACAGTAATTCTCTTCAGAAGTGCAAACAAAATAATATTCTCAATATATTTTCAGTTTTCACACACATGTACTAATTTTCAATACCTAACCATTCTTTGCAGACATAATAATTGGAACTGAATTATCTTAAAATCGCCTTTTTCACCTTTAACAAAAACAATCTTGACCTTTGAGCTTCATACACACATGTTACAATGCACAACACATTATCTTATGGTGACCCCATGAATTGTCTGATGTCAGAATAATGAACATAATGTACATGTACAATGTACTAAGTATTGTACTAATTTGACCAAAAACTTCCCTTGTAAAACAATTCAATTAACATAATCATTGTGCATAATAATGGCACTAAAGAGCCTGTAATTTGTAATGATAATAAAGAAAGGTAAATCTTTAACATTAGACCACTTAATCAAGGAAAGAAATCAAGACTAAGTAGATATAAGTGTCAATTTCAATATCCTAGCCACCCCTAAGTTTAAGCCCTGTGTAGGTATATGATTTGCTCTTATACTTTAAAACCTTTAACCTGTTGAATTTGTGACCTGCCAACAATATAGAGCCTGGTCAGACTGCAGATATTCAGGCTGGCCTTGCTCTATACTGGTGGCAAAGGCTTGCCACAATTGGTTCCAGCAGGTTAAGGGTTAACCACTCTGAGAAAGAAAGCTAAGGATATTCAAAATACAAAACTAATATATTTACCTCTAACAGATTGACAGTTCCTCCTACATTTGTTTTATAATACAGCAATGGTTTTTGGCAGGATTCTCCAACAGCTTTCAGTCCAGCAAAGTGCATTACACAAAATATCTTGTGCTAAAATAGAACAAAAAAAACTTAACATAAACTATCTGTGTATGTCTAAACATATCTAAATGAAACAATTTGTAAATTTTTAATACAATTCAGTAGTAATTGGACATAATTATGTGAAGTTTCATGAACGTTCAATAGTTTGTGCAGACATTGAGCATACATGACATTGAATGAATCAAATTATGGCCATTTGGTTTAGTTTTCCGATTTGTTTGATGTTTCCGAAACTTTGAACCACCCAATTATACTTTTCATACCAAAACAACTTTGCAATCACAACTACATGGGCATGATCGTATTTTGTCTATTTAAATTAACACCAATCAGTTGCTTTGGTGCAATCAATGAAAATACATGTATTGTTAATTCTTGGGTGAAAGTTAAAAATATCAGAAAACCTGAAAACCCTGAATTTAGTATGATTTCAGTTGGTTTTATATAGAAAAAGAGAGTTTTCAGATGTAGAAAAAACCTGAAGTTCAGGCAAATGCCTGAAAGATTGTACCCAAATTGTTTTCTCTTGGCAAATGCCTGCTGTGAGAAGTTGGGCATAAGAATTCCACACCGCTGCTTTATGGAAACAAAGTGCAAGAGATGCACAAGACAAAAAGTACAATTTTGTCTCCACACCATAGGGGGAAATAAATTATTATGACTTTCTTTGATTAACATATTAAATTTTTTATTATGACATTTAATTCTTCTTTATTATGAGTTGACATTTAACTAATCTCACCTTTTTGAATATATCTCTCAGACCATCTTTATCTAAAAGGTCGACACTGTATGTTTGTACACTTTTCCCTGTTATTTTCTTTACACGGTCTAAGCTCACTAAAATGGAAAACAAGATAGTAAAGTTTATGCGCTATAAATTCTTCTTAAAACTACTCTCCCATACATAATGGTTGGGGCGTTTTTGAAAATAAAATATCATTTAAGATAAAATTTCAATACCGGTTTGAACATTTACATGAAAGTATATGTCTTGCACCAAATACAAGCTTATTAAAGTTTTGGCACTCCTAACCATGTATAATTTAAAACATTTAACATGTTCTATTTTATAAACACTGGTGTGCGAGTCAGTCAATTTAAACACTAATGAGGGCATAACACCTCCAAAACTCAAAGGTAGCCTCTAATCTGCTTAAGTTGTGAAATAAAATTGCCATGTTTTGAAATTCGGAACAATCTAGTTGTCAATATTTGGATTTGTCTGGCTTTGAATTAAATTTTTTGAACAGTTCATTAAATAAAATATTTTGAGGTTGATATTAAATACATAAATACATAAATTTAGCTATTATAAATATAGAGCCCAGTCTGATTGCTTAGATCATGCAGGCTGGCATGGCTCCACACAGTCACTATTAGCAAGGTTTATCACTTTTAGTTCTAGCTGAGGCTAAAGTAACAAGAATGAAGATCAACAAGGCAAAGGCAACGTTCACAGGACGCCGCCCCCGGACACACCCAAGCAGGACACCCAGAAGGCATCAAACAAGTACCTGGAGTGGACACAAGGCCAAAAGGAGCGGGACATGTAATGTGAAATAATATAAACAAAAACAGGCCCATAAGGGAATTAAAGGGAAAAGGGCTGTACGGGTGAAACATATACATAAAGGTCTAACATATCTAACTTGTCAAAATATGTTTTGTTAGCATATTTAATGATTTCTTTTTACAACATTTTTTTTAAACATTTTCATACCCTATGAAAGTTGTGCATTAATTTTTAAGTTTTCTTTTTAATTTAGTTGCCAACTCTATTTAATATTTTAAATATACAGCACTGTATTACAAGAAAGCTACAAAAACTCTTTCATCACTCACTTGAATGAAGACAGCAGGGATCAGAATATATTTTCTGAGCCACTCATTTTGAGTTGATGTTAAATTCTAGAATATGCAGGCTTCATCTATAATAACTCTGTTGCTTATTTCATTTTTAAAATACAATTAGACATGTGGAATTTTCAATCCATGGATTATATCTATTTTCTTTGTTTGTTTGTTGGATTTAAGTCACACAGCACAGTAAATGTCATATGGCAGCGTTCCAGCTTTACTGGAGGAGGAAGACCTCAGTGCACTATTTCATGCACTTCTTGGCATACCAGAACATTCCGTAGACTACCTTGTTAACTTCTTCACATGAACTAATCCAAATGTCTTGACAGGATTTGATACTCTGTGATGGGCAACTGATTTGAAATAGGCAACCTTAACCTCTTGGCCACTGGGGCATTATCTTTTTACTTCATTAATATAACTGAAACCATCATGGGATATCCACGGCTGATTAGCACGTAATGATAAATGTAAATGGTTTGGCTGTGGATATTCAATATAAACTAAAACATGTATTGGCTTATCTGTTTGACAACTAAAATATAAGAATGGTGGCATGCAATAAGCAGTTACATGTAAGCTACCCTGGATGTGTGTTTCTATACATCCATATGTGTGGTTTTTGTAACTTAATTGGAAGGTGGCAAGTTGGCCTGTTGATATGGGAAGAATAATTGTTGCTAAATTTGCTTATTTGGAAGTAAAATGCTAGCGTTAAGTTCTGATTTTTGGGAAAACTGCATTTTTGGAAGAAGCCTCTGTTATATAAAATGAAAAACCATTGCCATAAAAACATTATCATAATACATGTTACATGATGTATATGCCCTTCTGGTATAAAATATCATAAAATCTTATATCGGACAATCAAATAATTAAATACATTGTTGCAACTTCTATAATAATAATAATAAACATTACTGTTCTGATACAAGATCATAATGAAATGATTGAAAATTTTAGACAATTAATTAAGATAACTTGTATATTCTTTTATATTCTAGAGGGCAAAACTGTTTTTGTGACAACAAGTTAATTAACTTAATAAAATTTTTATTTTTATTTATCTTATCTCTTTTGTTTACGTTATATTTACCCAGAGGGTGCTAAATGTCAAATTTTATATCAAGATAGACTATGCAAACTTAATTTACAACTTACAAAATGAAACAAAAATCAAGTATTGAAAAAATGGCAATAACATTTTAAAAAATTTTAACTTAAATTTTCAAGTCTCATATACCACTCCTCAAGCTAGGAATAAAATTATTATCAATTTTCAATGAAATCTTTTGTATGCACTTGAAACTTGAAATACTGTTAAAAATAAATCCATATCAATTTAATTAAATAAAAATAAATCAAGAGAGGTATTATAAACAGAATGTTATCTTGAAATGAAAAATAGAAGTCTATGTTTATATGCAACTTATACAGAATTTATGTGACACCCATCACTTTTTATCATTGAGTTAATTGGGGTCTACAATTTAAGGTAGGGAGGAAAGGCATTTATGTTTCAAATGTAGCAGTCACATTTTGCTTTACAAATACACTGACCCAAAATGAAAACTTTACACTTCAATTTTTGTCAGATTCAAATGTTGATTATTTCATATTTTGTGGTTATATCTATTTTTATCTATTTATATTCAATGTCTTGCTAATCACTTGTGTAGTTTTTTTCCCCATCAGCAAAATGCATGCATTTTTAAACAGCTGATTGACCGTAAGGATTAAAATGAAAATCTTGAAAAATGAATTTTATCAACACTGCATTTTGGCCGACTGTGTGCACCAAACATATTTTATACATCAAAATGAGAGGTACAACATATCAACATCAGGGCTGGTTTAGATTATTTATTTTTTTGCCGGTATCTTTATCAGGATATTTTATACATATACATTTACAACAGTCAAGCATCATACATAGAGGATATTGAATGAGTGTAGATTAATACTAACTTTAATAAACAAGTTGAATAAACTATTGTTTTATTCAACAAGTTCAGTAAATTTAGTATTGAATCAACATGAATATAACATTCTATTTATCACACATCTAAAGTCTGAAAAAGAGTCAATTTCCTTTGACACCCCAAAAGAGTTACCCTTAGTTACCCCTATGCTTGTATATAATCGAAATGATGTCACATCAAATTGTAAAGTTGTTTTTATTAAGGACGTTTTTCGAGTTTTCATATAGACATATAGGCAAAATTAAAACTGTTCTATAGAATTTCTTTAAACTTGGCATGTTGTTAGAATATGAGAACAGAAACATTTTAAGCTAAAAAAAAATTGGGGTCACCTTTCTCGTTTTTGAGTTATCTGCCCCTGAATCATAAATAAACTGAATCATTTAAAACATACGTAAATGAATTCTTGTTTTTACTTCTGGATAATGTTTTCTTTTTATTGTTGAATACAATACATAATAACAATGTACATGCAACTCCTTATATTGTTTCTGTTTTTTTTAATTTTTTTTCAATGAAAATAAAGGCACTTTAAAATCAAAATATATGCCAATTTTTGAGAATAAAAATGCACAGGTTATGAGAAGAAGTGGGGAAAAAATATCCACTCTTAATTTGTTCTTGAAATTTTGCATATCGACTAAGATGAAGGTAAGCTTCAAGAAAATAAGAAGAAAAAAATGTACTGTTTCGCTTAATTGTAAATTATCTGCCCTTGAATTAAACGAAAAAGTCCAATTCAAGGGCAGATAACTCGGAAATGAGAATGGTGACCCCAAATTTTTTTCCATTTAAAATGTTTCTGTTATCAAATTCTAATAACATGCCAAGTTTAAAGAAAATCTTTTGAACAGTTTTAATTTTGCCTATATGTCTTTTATGAAAACTCCGGAAAACGTCTTTAAATGGCTTTATTATACTCCAGCACCTTGGTTTATGTGTTAAATGTAATTATATCTGACATATGGTTCATAAAAAAAATCAATGACTCCACAATCAATTACAGTCTTGAATTGAGTTTAGTGTAAAATAAATCAAACAGAAAAGGAACAGTATTTTATTATATAGCCAAGTATCAGGTTTTATAATTGTCCTATATGCAAATCAATATAGTAAAACAGCTTGCGATAGTTTACAAAAGACCAAGAACACTTTCCCACTGAGGGGATTGGTATTTTAATAACAATTCATTCTTCATTACTTCCTAGTTTCTTACAGGTAAAGTTGGCAAAGTTTTAAATCTGTGTCAATTTAATATGAATGAAATTTTTAACAACCTTTTATCTCTCACATAATTTGTTGTTTACTGTTTTTGATAATGATTGAATTTTTTGTGTCGGGTTGGGGGGGGGGGGGGGGGGTTTATTGCTTCTTTTCAGCTTCATAAGTAATGCATTGATTGCAGTGAAAATTAAACTTAACATGTGTTTTGAAATAACAAACTTACAAGTGAAAAATAAAGACAATCACTGAAATTCTTAAAAAAATTATCCTAAACTTTAAATGTAAATGTTCAGACTATAATTTTACACACAAAAAATGCTTAAAAAGGCTTTACTCTATTAACAATACGGTAAGTTTTATGCAGCAAAAAAATTGATCTTAAAGCTGTGTTTTGATATATAACTGTAAACATACTTACACGCCAAATATAAAAACAACCAATGAAATCCATAAAAATTTATTGTGAAAACCAATAATTTCACAGAAAATTTTGCTTAAAAAGGAGCATAACTTTTCAATAATAAATTTTTTTGCAGGCCCCAAAATTTAAACTCAAAAACTGTGATTTTTTAAACATAAGGGAACCCTTTAACAAAAATTTTTAGATGACACTAAAAAATTTAAAATGACCCAAAAAAAAAAATGTTTAAAAACCTTTATTTTTTCTTTTTAGAAAACTAAAACTAGGGACATTTTTCCCTTTAATTTAAAAGGGGAAACAGGGTCTAAAGGGGAAGGGGGGTCTGCCCCTTTAAACCTTTTGGATATGGGGGCCCCAAAAAATGTTTTTTATATAAACCGTACTGGGTATTTCCCAAAAAAGTTTAACCCTTAAAGTTTTTTTGGGAAAAAAAAAAATTTTTTTTTCCCAAAAAAAAGGGGGGGTTAAATTTTTTTAATTTTCTTTTTTAAATTTTAATTTTTTTAAATTTAAAGAATTTTTTGAATGAAAAAATGAAAATTGGGGGGTTAAAAACTTACACCATTTCTAGCATTTCAAAGGGTTTTTCCATCCAATAAAATTATATCCGGGGGCTAGTAACTCAAAAACTTGGTGAGTGCCCCCATTCCGGGCACCTCCTGTCACTTTTTTTTCCTGAGGCCCTTTTTCAATTTTGACTGAAAAGTTTTAATTTTTAAATTACATTTATGTAAATACAATTTTACTATTTAGTCAAGATCTGCAGAACAGTCCTCAAAAGCAAAGTGGAATGACAAACAAAAATTACATATTCAAAACTAAAGTCAGTTCCACCCAATATAATGTTAGTGGTCATTGAATTTCACAAGAACGTACAGAAGACATGAATTATCTTTTTGGAGGAAACTTACAGCAAAAAAATTAAGAAAAAAAAAGTTTGTTTTTGTTAAATTTTGAAGCCGCCAATTACATACATCTAAGGCATAAAATTCCTGCTAGATAGCATACATATATACAATTATGTCAATCATGTATCATTTAAATTTTTCGATTGATCCACACCTTTTTTCTTTAATTTGGCACATTTGGCTGTTTTATTTTTAAAACCTTAAACAAGCCTGAAACAATGTTTAAAGTTTTTTAAATTAAAGGGGCTATAGGCTACAGTTTTAAAGGCAGAATAAAAAACTATATTTAATAGTGTTTACCAAGTAAAATGAGTGCGAAATCATAAGTGCTTGGCGCACTGTAGTCCTATTTAAATAAGACGCCGCTTTGAGATATTTTTGCTTCTGGGAAAAGCAACATCATAAGACTTGACCAACATAAACTATAACAAGCCTGTAACGTCTGATATATTGGACTAGGCGCACTGTGGACCACTTGCGCCAGTTTTGGTCTACGCTGTGCTGATAAGATTAAGACCACAAGTCTATAACAGCTGAACAGTGTATAACGCAATATGTAAATTGTTTCTTTTTGCACCTTCACATCACCTATCCATAATAATTTGTTTTTAGTCCCTTCACAATATCACTGGCAATTTTATTTAAAACTCAATCATTTCATTATTTCTATTCTAGATATCTCTATTTTATACTCCTATAAACTTTACTACTACAGTAACTGTAGCCTACATGTTTAATGTCATGTCACAAAAAACAAACAACTAGATCGATACATGTATTAACAAACAAGAGGTGACACTTGAGATAAAACTGATCATGAATAAAATAATTACCTTCTAAAGACAGCTTGAAATCGTGTTTCGTAGAAGTAAAACAATTAAAACAGTAACAAAAATTTAGCAAAAGCTCAATTACCTTTCTATGTGCCACTGGTTCCTTTACAACTGTCAACGTGTAAATGACGGAACCAGATTTTAGACTGGTCTCCAGCGTTACTTAATAAATAGAACGTGACCGTGTACCGGGTACCAGATTTGCTTAAAGTAAAGCCAGTTGACACGAACATATTGTAACAAACATTTCAATCCGTACTCAAACATACTCAATGTTTTCTTTATGTCTTCATTTTAATTTAAGCATAATTTGACAAAATAATTCTTATTTCAAGACAAAAAAAGTTATTCATAAAGTTATAGCCGTACAGTATGGCATTTGTCATATATTTCCTCACACAGAAATTAAACAATTAGATCTAAATATGTGAAAGTTTTGAGTACGAATATCAGCGTTGAAGTATTCGTGTTCGCTTCTTTGTTAATGATTATTTTTGGGGAAGGCGAGGTAATCCGAACGTTTTGTTGTGAAAGGAAAATCAAGAAAAATCTGAGATCTAACTTATTTATATTTTAAGCTTTGATTTTATTCATTTTATCATTTTACATAAGATGGGGTGTGATGGTGGAACAATACCAAGACGAGATGAATTAGTTAGAACCAAACAGAAACCTGAACAGGTAAGATAAATTAAGATTTGTGATACAAATTTTCCAAATTTACTCATTTGTCATGTTTTATTTTGTAAAAACAATTTTTTTATGTTACTGAGATCAAGAACTAAAATAGTAAAAATTTTGACGGGCCAAAATTAGATTCTGAGATAAAAATTTTCTGGGTCAGACACTTACAAACTTGCTTGCATGATTTCAGTCGGCCATATTTCCTAGCCATGAAAGATAACTCCCTGTTTCCCTGTCTAAAATTCCACCAAATTATTCCCCTTTCAAATGAACTCAAAGAAGGGACCTTTAAAAATACTTTGTATTTATTTATTCGATTTTTTGTTCAGAAACGGACAATTTTTTCTTTACCTTTGTTTATTTTGCTTTCTATCTATATATGGTTCCTTTGGTAACCAATGAGATTTTGATGGTAAAACAAATGAATTTTTCTTGAACCGAAAGTAATCTAACACACAGCGTTGCTGTCATCACATAATAAACAATACATTAAATGCGGTAAGAATATTGAGATATTTGTTTGACTAATCAGTTTTCAAAATGCAAAATACTAATATGGAAAAACAACTTTGTGTACTTTATGTGTATTGTTTTAATGTGTTTGTCTGATATTTAGTTTGTAAAAGCCATGTACACTTGAGTGTCGCTTCATAGCAACCGAGTTTAAAACGTGAGCGGTAACTGAACGAGATATGGCAAAGCGCATGCTCGCGCACTGACTTCCGCTCTATCGAAATACTGCATATACGTATAGCGAAAGTTCGTAAGTGTCAGACTCTACCCCCATAAGGCCTCGGGTCCTGACAACATACCAACACAATTCCTGAAGGACTATGCTCATAATGCTGTATTCGAAGACATTAATCCAGCTCTCACCCTCATAATCAACGCCTCTCTGCAACAATGAAGGGCAATTTTAGCCTGGCAAGTGTATCACTTGTCTTCAAGAAAGGTTAATGCTAGCTTAAGTTCTTCAGTGTTCCCGTTTATATACTATGACATGACGTGAACGCTGAAGACAGACAGGCTCATATTAATTCATCGAACATGCCATGAAGTAAAGTGAAGCATACCTTGATAAAACTATATATAATCTGTTGATAACCCAAGGATGGACAAATAAAAATCTAATTACGAACATAAACTACCTAATAGTTTCTGACAAGGTAAAAAATTCAGCACTTGGCCGCCATATAGCCAAAATGTTTGACCATGTGATTACGAGATTGACCTTTACAAACCCATGTGCTTCCAAAAATTTTATAAATTACTTTTTTTAAAGAAAAAGGTGATTTACTGACTTTTGTACTATATTCAATATAATCATATTTAAGTACTAAAAAATTAATGAAAATTAATAAAAACATTATCTTGAATAAACATGGTAACATGGTATCGAATTCGAAATCATGTCAACAAAGATATTCTAAATATAGTACACAACTCTACTCTAATTGGTTTCTGCGAATGACATCATACAAGATCTCGCCTAGCACCTAAATGTCATGGCCGACTGTAATCGGCGTAATTGATGTTTTAAAGTTAAATAGGCAATTTTAATGATGGTATTAATATTGATACTTTAAATGGTATAGAACGATATTAAATAATTGGTTTCTGCGAATGACATCATACAAGATCTCGCCTAGCACCTAAATGTCATGGCCGACTGTAATCGGCGTAATTGATGTTTTAAAGTTAAATAGGCAATTTTAATGATGGTATTAATATTGATACTTTAAATGGTATTGAACTATATTAATTGATTGTGTAATCGTAAAATGCACAAGAATTGAATGGGACAAGTGTATTTGCAAGTGAAAAATAAGGTTTAATCAACTTATGTTATTCTGGTAAGGTTTCGTAACGGATCTAATTCAAAACTTTAATGCCGCATCAGTTGAAAAACAAAAATGTTAAAAAGTGACTTATAAAGTTTTGGAAGCCAGAACTAGGTTACCGCCTGCCAACTTCAGGCCCATAACCCTCACATCAGTATGCAGCAAACTCCTAACACATTCTACATAGCAAAATAATGAAACACCTTGACCACCACAATATCCTGTCAAATCAACAACATGGATTTAGGAAACAACGCGTCAACTGAAAGTCAACTTCTCACTCTTCAAGACCTATCTTCAACCTTGGAAAACAAGTAGATGCTATACTACTAGACATCAGTAAGGCATTTGATGTCTGACCAAAGCCAACAGGTTGTTGAAGGCCACTCATCAGCATCCTCCCAGTCTCATCCAGGGTACTCCAGGGCACAGTATCAGGACAGGTCCATTTCTGATCCTTCTTTACATCAATGACCTACCAAGGTGCTTGACTTCCACCAGCCACCTCTTTGCCGATGACAGCCTGATTTACAGAAGAATCAAATCAGAAGCTGACACACTAGCTGGGGTGTCAGTGGCCGAGTGGTTAAGGTCGTTGACTTCAAACCACTTGCCTTTCACCGCTGTGGGTTCCAATCCTGACAGGGACTTTGGATTCTTTCCGTGAGGAAGCTATCCAGCTTGCTTACGGAACGTCAGTGGTTCTTCTCAGGTGTCCTCTTGTGTCTGAAATAATGCATGGAAAGGCACCTGAGGTCTTCCTCCAACTGTAAAGCTGGAACATAGCTGTATGACCTATACTGTGTCGGTGTGACGTAAAACCCAAACAAACAGACACACTAGTTCTCCAAGAAGACCTTGATCAACTCCAGAAATGGGAAAACATGTGGAATCCACATCTAGGATGATGTCCTTCAATCCCAGCAAATGTGAACAGTACACATCTCCTTGAAAAGAAACCACATCATCTATGCCTCAAAGGTCCACCTGTGGAACCAGCCTCCAGAGCACCTAGCCACAGCAGTCAGCCTTGAGATTTTCAAGGGAGAACTAGTCATGGGACCATGATATGACAGAGTTGATTTTATTTTTACACTGTTCTTTTAAACTTCTACTTATTCGCCACACAATACTTTGTACATACACGCTTTATGTTAATGTCCCAGAGGGGGTTATGTGAGAAGAAGATTCTCCTTTCTACATGTTCTAGAGGTATAAAAAATAGCACAAAATCTCATCACGTAGTACAATTAGTAGGACTTATCTGAGAACTGTTACTGTATGACAGTATATAGCAAAGACATTCTGTTTCAAATATCATTTTTGTCTTCCCTTTATTTGAAAATAAATATACCAGTACAACCTGTAATGGTAATGTTATGATAATTAAATATATACAGTCGAAACTGTGCTAACATGGCTGTCCGTCCGTTTATCTGTCCCTTGACAATCTCCTGTTCCGTCTGCTTCTTTGAACTTATTAGAAGGAAATTGGAACAACTTGGCTAAAATGTTTTGACAATGTGCAGAGTGCAGGTTTGACTTACCTTTAATCAAAATCAAGGTCACATTTTATTCATTTTGTATGAATTTCAAAATTTTGTGTTCCCTCTGTATCTTTTAAACCAAAAGAAAGAAATTAAAACTATTTGGCAGAAATATTACTTATAATACAGATGTGCAGAATGCAGGTGTTGTGTTCGTGAGATCAATTTTGGCGTCACTCTTGGGATTACTTGATTTATATAGACTTGTATAGGAAAATACATTTAAGTAACCATATATATATATAACTATAGATGAACATTTCTTTCAAGAAAAAGTTCATTGGTCTTTTATTCCATCCAATTTATAGATAGGAAATATTTTACTAGTACATGGTAAGTATTTTGAATATTCATTGAACTTTTGACAGATAATAAATCCAGAGAATTATTAAAGTAAGGGTTAATGAGGATGTGTCTACATATACATTTACATTAATCAAGTTATCACTCAGAGTTATTAATAAACATGTTATTAACGTAAATGTATATGTAGACACATCCTAGGTAATCTGTGCTATTTACTGTATATACAGAATGTGTACCATGGGTTCCGACAATGATGTAGACATGACTGTTACTAGCCTTGATTAAATGTAAAATTGAATATCTGTCCTTTGAATGAACAAAAGCTCAATATTTTATTAAATATACAAAAAATGGTTACAGTTAATAACAAATTTTCTCTTTAAGTTTCTCAAGATGACAGAGCTTGCAATCCTCCTGCACCCACTTTGCCCCTACAGCACCAGAGTAAATGAAAAAGTTAGTACTATATGCATGTATATTTTTTTTCAGAAAGATAAAACAGCTGATCTTGCAGCAAAATGGAAGCATTGTGCATTGACTCAAGATCCATTACGTGAACCTATAATGGCTTGTGAGCTTGGAAGGTATGTTACTTTTGTATTGTGCATTCATTTTTTCAGTACACATACATTTGATGTGACCATCTGTATTAACTACAACTGTGGGGGCTATTTCCCTTTCATTTGTCTGGGAGTCCTATACATTGTATTTATTTGCTAGTTTCTCAAGTACCATCGGAGGTACACTATGTTGAGCTATAAAAGAATTATTATGTGTCTTTTCTTGAGTTTCTTAATGAGAATGAGTGCTTCATGAGTTGTAATGCTATTTTATTTTCCTTCAGATTTTCTTGGAAATTCATTTTTGATTTATAAATGCATTAAAATTGTCATAAAATCTTACATAAATCATATACTTCCTTGTCAGTAACCCCCAACCCAGGCACACTCCGCCCTGCTGCCTATTTTGAGAAAAAATACACTATTGCAAGCTTTAAATAGTTTATAATCTTTTTTCAATTCATAATTATAAACATGTAAGTAGCAGATAACCACTGCATAGGTAGTTAGTTATTCAAGTCATTGTTACTTCCCCTTGCAATGAATTTCTACACTGTTAGTGTTATTTCATTAGATCTCTCAGTAAGTTTTTTTTTAAAGTGGTTTTCTATGCCAGCACTCTGTATTGGTACATGTATTTTACATATGTCGAAACTGTAATGATGCATGCTGATAAGGATCTCATAATTATGAACCAAAAACTAATCAATATTCCTGTTTATAAAATGTTAATGAAATGTATCTAAATATCCGGAACTTGCTGATAATGTATTGATCAGTGGGTTATAACTAATACAGAAGAGCATTTAGTGAGTTGTATATAGATGTAAATAGGTATTTTATTTGTCAATCCTGGTTTTTCAGCATCTCTCACTCACCAAGGCAGTTTGTAATAGCCCTTGGTTCAAATCCGAGTTATAATGGATCATTTTGGTTCCCTTTTGACAAATAATCTAATATTTCACACTAAAAAAACCCGCAACTTTATGTTAGCGCTAAGGTTGAAGACTACCGTAGATTCAGACTTCTTTAATAAATTTGAGTCTGTAATAAAAGTGTCATCATAAATAACTAACCATTAACCAGCTAATTTTTATTAAGCTGTCATATTAAGAACAGTCCATTATCAATTATGGGGATATGTAAATGAAAAATCTGATGATTGTCTCCCTACAGTATAGAGCCTGGTCAGACTACACAGATGTGCAGACCGGCCTGGCTCTATGCTGGTGGCAAATGCTTACCACTTTAAGTTCTAACATACTAAAGGTATCAGATGTATAATCTTACACTATTTCAAACATATTTCATATTCCTTTAATGTGATACTTTATTTAGTAACAATGTCATAAGAAATTTGACCTCGGCTTCTAGTTTCCCACATCTATGGTTGATTCAAATTGAAGGTTTATATATCTTGTTTTTCTGTCAGACACAGTCATAATTCAGACAAGTTAAACATTATTTTAGGGCCTAAGTAACAAAGCCTGTTACTGTGCTATATTATATAGTATCTAAAATGACATTATGTAGTTGTATTGTTACATATACACTTTGTATATAGACATGCATTAAAAATATGCAGTGTTGCGTATCATATTTAGCTATTCATTTTGAAATCTAAATGTGAACGACAGATACAAAAACTAGTGATTTTATTATTGCAGAAGGGTAATGTCATACAAAGTTCATACTTGGGTATAAATATAGTCAAAATATTCCTGTGATCAGATGAAACTTGAGAATACAGTTTGCCTTGAATTTTTTGTTTTGACTTCAACTTAACTTTTTAGCTCACCTGACCACGAAGTGGTCAAGGTGAGGTATAGTGATGGGGCTATGTCGTGGGTCGTCAACAATTGGGTTGTTAACAGTCTAGCAGTCACAGTTTTGATTGGATCATTGTCAAACTTTGTCAGAATGTTTGTCTCAATGAAATACAGATCAAGTTCGAAGATGGGTTATCTGGAGTCAAAAAATAGGTCACAGGAGCTAAAAATAGAAAAAGCTTGTTAACACTCTAGTGGCTGCAGTTTTGATCCAAATATTCTGGAAATTTGTCAGGAGGGTTGTTTTGATGATTTCTAGGTCAAGTTCGAAGATGGGTCATCTCCGGTCAAAAACTAGGTCACAGGAGCTAAAAATAGAAAAAGCTTGTTAACACTCTAGTGGCTGCAGTTTTTATCCAAATATTCTGGAAATTTGTCAGGAAGGTTGTTTTGATGATTTCTAGGTCAAGTTCGAAGATGGGTTATCTCCGGTTAAAAACTAGGTCACAGGAGCTAAAAATAGAAAAAGCTTGTTAACACTCTAGTGGCTGCAGTTTTGATCCAAATATTCTGGAAATTTGTCAGGAAGGTTGTTTTGATGATTTCTAGGTCAAGTTCGAGGATGGGTTATCTCCTGTCAATAACTAGGTCACAGGAGCTAAAAATAGAAAAAGCTTGTTAACACAGTAGTGGCTGCAGTTTTGATCCAAATATTCTAGGAATTTGTCAGGAAGGTTGTTTTGATGATTTCTAGGTCAAGTTCGAAGATGGGTTATTTCCGGTCAAAAACTAGGTCATAGGAGCTGAAAATAGAAAAAGCTTGTTAACACTCTAGTAGCTGCAGTTTTGATCCAAATATTCTGGAACTTTGTCAGGAAGGTTGTTTCGATAATTTCTAGATCAAGTTTGAAGATGGGTTATTTCTGGTCAAAAACTAGGTCACAGGAGCTAAAAATAGAAAAAGCTTGTTTACACTTTAGTGGCTGCAGTTTTGATCCAAATATTCTAGAAATGTGTTATATGTTAATGTATGTTTATGTCAGTGTCTGGCATATGTTGATGTTAATGTCTGGCACTTATTAATACCAATGTCTGGCATACCTGCATATTAATATCAATGTCTGACTTAATTGATGTCAATGTCTTAAGCTTATGTTAACATCCATCATATATTTATGTCAATGTCTGACATATCTTAATGTCAATGTGTGGCATATATATTTATATCAGTATCTGGCATATATGTAAATATCAATATCTGGCATTATTAATGTCAATGTCTGGCATACCTGCATATTAATATCAATGTCTGACTAAATTAATGTCAATGTCTGGTACATGCAAATGTCAGTCCCTGGCATATATTTTAATTCAGACATGATAAAATATGCATATTTTTGGCTCTGCAATTGGGCACTAACACTGTACATAGTAAATTTTTGGATCACTTTTTCTAGAAATCTTTCTTATGAAACATGTTCTGTGCAACTTTGCATCAAATCAAATTAAAGAATACATTCATGCAAACTTTAAAACTTCTGATGCATGCACATATGAAAGACATCATATATTTGCAAAGTGGAGAGGTTTACAAATATAGTATATTCAAAATAAGATAATATTTCATCAAGTTTATTAAAATTAAAATTCAGAAATGTTTAAGAGCACACTGACAAATTAAAGATTCATATTCAAACAAATAACAAGAGAAATTCAAGAAAGAATGCTTGATGCACATGTTAATGATTTTAAAGCATATGTTGATAGCGTGTTAGGGAAATACAAAATGTTAAAGGAGCTCCACTGAGGTAAAAAAAAAAGCCTAAAAAATTAAATTCTTATATAGATCAAGTGAAGCAATTAAAAATGGAAAAATCTGCAATGGACATTAAAGAAATATGCTCACAATCAAATTTAAATTTTTTTGTGTGGTTCTTAACCCAATTTGAGTTGCAATGCTTTTCATTTTTTGGGTCATTATGCACAAAATTAATGATGGAAAACAGGGTAATGGCTTGCTCTGAAAATTTCCATACAAGTAACCGTTCCCATCAAATCTCGAGAAAAATATTTCTACTCCCATCATATCAAAATACCGCCTCCGTGGTTGAGGGGTTAGAGTCAATGACTTCTAATCCAGTTACCTCTCTGGCGTGGGTTTGATCCCTGGGAGATGCTTTGGTAGTTAGCACGAAGGAAGGTGGCTTAAAACTGGTGTAACTCTCCAGGAACGATGGTTAGGAAACTACCCGCCTATATGACTGAAATACTGTTGGGAAAAGGCGTAAAATCAAACAAACAAACAAATATCAAAATACCTCAGTGGAGTTGCTTTAATAGTGGCACAAAAAGCAGCACTGGCAATTAATCTTATTTACAATGTACACTTAATAAACATAAACTGTCAAATGTTTAAATAAGAACAAACAATACTATTATAATTATACAATATTGTACAGTCATAACTATCAACAATGAATTAATTCATGATGGCAGGTGCTTATTTTTCGCTTTAGGGACTGTTGAAATCAATTAGATCTGGAGTGCACTGTAAACTGTTTTAAGTGAAAGAATGCGATACAGATCAAAATTTGTTTGTATAAATTGATAAGGGTTCAATAGTAAATGTATTTTGATTAGCAAGATTTTCCTGAACATGAAGTTTTGAACTTTTTGATCAAAATCAATGATATTTAAAAGTGAACGATGATTGTCTTCTTTAATTAATTTGAGGTTGTACTTTAAATTCTGATGATCTTTTTTAAAATAAGAATAAATGTAAAATTTATTGTCTTCAAACCAATGTTTACTAGTACTACCTTATATACAGTCATGTATTTTGTTAAAAAATGGTGCTTGATAATTTATATGTAACATGATTATTCAAACACCTTTCAGTCTCTATTTACATCACATTGTCAGAATTGTTCAATTTACAGTTTATAATAGTCTCATTCTGAAGACATTGGAGACCTGTGATCAACAAAGCTTACTGTCGTCTCTCTAAAATTAATTTCATACCACCCACTGGTTTACAGAACACATGCTTCTCTAGTTTCGGTGGTATTTGTAGGTCTGGAGATGGCTTTATCTTGAAATTCTGCAGCATTTTTACTAATGTCATTTTTAACACCATGTTTGCGAACCTCATCCCTATGCAGTTTCTTGGACCTGCGCCGAAAGGCAGATATGTATAGGGAAGAATGTTTGTCTTGTTTTCTGCTGAGAATCTTTCCGGATCAAACTTTTCTGGGTCTGGCCAAAATTCAGGAAGTCGGTGTAAAGTGAACACAGGTGTTGTGATTGAAACTCCGCCCGGAAACTTGTACTCCCCTACTGTACAATCAAAGTCAATGTTACGATTGATTCTAGTTATAGGCGGATACAGTCGCATCGATTCCGAAACAAACATATCGAGACAGACAAGTTTTTGAATGTTGTCGTAATCCGGTTCGGAACTGCCAATGTTCTCATCAATTTCTTTTACAATTTTTTCCTGCCACTCGAGCTGCGTTGCAAGAAAGTATGCTGTGAAAATCATCGCTGTTGATGTTGTGTCATTTCCTGCAAACAGGAACACCATCGCATTGGCAGATATTTCGTCATCCGTCATCCCACGATGTGGTTTTTCCAGTTTTATTTGTTTATCAGATTGTTCTGTCAGATTGTCAGTTTCCTTTTCTGATGATTGTGATGTTTTTCTTGCTGTTTTCTCTTCCTTTTGTGTATTTATCATCAACTGAAGCAAGTCTTGAATGTTTTCTGAATTCTTATCTTCCTTGCGTTCTTTTACAATGGTGTCCAATGATTGTTTAATGTACGCAACTGCTTTTGCATCATTAAAGTCTATATCAAATAGTTTCATTATGTACTTCACATCAGGTATGAAAAACAGGAGCAACAACCAGGGATTCTTTTCTAGACTAAAGTTTAATAATCTTGATACTTGTCTTTTTAAGTCTTCATTCACCTGATCCTCTACATCCAGCTTCACGCCCATTGCCGATTGACATGTTATATCTAGCGTAATATTTTTGAAAACTGGTACAACATCTATCAAGTATTCTGATTGTTTCGTCATCTCTTTCAACTGATTCATTGTCTTATCTACGCAGTTGATGACAATCGTATCCATTTTACGAAGTTTTCCGCTAGTGAAGCCAGGTGTCAGTGTGGATCGTAGAAATCGCCAGTTGTCATAATGAGTTGTTTGTAGAACTGTTTGTTCCCAAAACTTTGTAACGTAGGTAGCCTTTGAGCGATTTGGATAATCATTGAAACGCTTGATGTATATTTCTCGTATAATATCTGGCTCCGTCAAAAAAATTGTTGGCAAATTTCCAATAAAAAATCCTGCAACTTTTCCGTATTTCATGACTGTATCATATTCACTAGCCATAATTCCTTTTTTTGTTAGAGAAGCAAATCCACCAATAAATGGGCTCGGTTTTGCCGCAGGGATTCCATATCGGCGAAATAGACTGTGTTTCCTGGCTGTGTATAGGTAAAAGATAAACACTATAAACAGGATAAAGGCAAGCCATGTTGGAACTTCAAGTAATCCTAGTAACAGCATTGTACCTTTGGTTTAAAGTACTCCAAACACTTAAATATTGCTTAAATCTGTTGAAGAACTCTTTTTTTTTATATCGTTTTCAGAAATGTTTTTTATCCAAAGCAATTTTTTTCTACATCTAAAGTAGAGCACTATTGAAAAGGAAATGTCAGTTCATTTATTTATAAAAAGTTTCTTTCTTTCATTTTTTGTAAACACATACATTAACTCTATCAAATCATTAGTCACTGAGTCATGTTAGAAAAATTTTATCAGTCCATGTTTGATCAGTGTCACAGAGTTAAAATTATCCACAAGAATTTGAAAATCTATTTTTCTCAATATCTGCACAGATTGTCAGGTGCCGATATATCTGACATCTAAATGAAATGTTTATTTTAGATCTCATCTACTGAAGAGTTACTTAGAAAATCTGTCTGGTCTCTGTATCCTGTAAATAAGAAAAAATCCGGTATAATTTTATGTCATTTTGTGAACAAGTTCTTTATTTATTATGAATGTTTTCTATACATTACACTGTTTCTCATTTAAATTCTATACAATAAAATTTGATATATAATTCAAAATTTGAAAGTCGCCTACTATCGTACATGATTTATAAAGTAGTTTTCATTCAGTGCAGTAATAAAAGATATAATTTGCAAGTTTCGTATTATGTCACGCACTGTTGAGTAAATTAACCTTTAAGGTAGAAGTTTGAATTGTTTTGTAAAAAGTAGCGTATGAATGATAACATTAAAGGCACATTATGACTCAGAAACGAAAAAATATTTATTCTGAAGAAAGGGCAAATATTAATTTCATGAGCTTTAAATAATGGTTTTAGAGCATGTTACATGCTTATGACCCGAAGAAAGTATCAAAATGTAAATAAAGTAGTATTTTGACTTTCATTCAAAGTATTAATTCACTATATCTGTACTTATTGGCCAAAAGCACCAGAAGTAAAAGATGGTTCAGGTAAATGGCCAACTTGTAACTTTTTGAAAATTATAACAAGAAAAAAAAAATTAGAAAGGTTTTGAAAAATGAAAGTATTTCTTAGACGTAATGGGGCTATGGGCCTTTAAGCATCTGAAAAATCATAAACCTTACTGTCAAGCGAGAAAAATGACCCCACAATTTATTTGTAGATTAGTATTTACTTTACTTATTTGCTATCTAAATCACTTTATATGTCAATGTTAAATGTACTGAAACGCAAACTGAATATACTTAATCAAAATAGAAAGAAAATTGATAGAATTACTTACATTCAATAAAAGCTTTTTCTTTATTTTGATTGTTAAATATGTTTATTCAAATTCAGTAAAATTTCAATAATTTTGGAAAAAAATCTTCATACTTAAATTCTTTTTAAGTTAAATCATCAGATTTCAATTAAGTCATATTTAATTGAGAAATCTGAGGAAAATGTCTTCTGCATTATAAATGTGCATAAAATTACCATAATTTTGCACTAAAATCTAGAAATGATGAAATTGTATTAATAATCTTAACTACTAATTGGATAAAAAAAGAAGATATGTATATAGAAAAGAGAAAAATTTCTAGAGTTTCAAAGATATATTTAGTTCTTTTTAACATGTATATTGTACCAAGACTTGGTGCAAAAATGATGTATACTGATATAAAAGAGTTACAAGTGTTTTGCACAGCTACATCTATATATGTCTGTGTCTGCACATTTGGTTTGGCTATGCTGTATAAATTATAAAACTGTTGACTGATGAAAAAATTTTTCTAAATAATACACCAGTCCTGAATTATTAATAAATATAATACACCTAAATTATCAGCCAAAATGATACACCTAAATTATCAACCAAAATGACACATCAAAATTATCAACCAAAATGATACATCTAAATTATCAACCAAATGATTTACATAAATTATCAACCAAAATGATTAACCTAAATTATCAACCAAAATCATAAATCTAAATTATCAACCAAAATGAAACACCTGAATTATCAACCAAAATGATGCATCTAAATTATCAACCAAAATGAAACACCTAAATTATCAACCAAAATGATACATCTAAATTATCAACCAAAATGAAACACCTAAATTATCAACCAAAATGATGCATCTAAATTATCAACCAAAATGAAACACCTAAATTATCAACCAAAATGATGCATCTAAATTATCAACCAAAATGAAACACCTAAATTATCAACCAAAATGATGCATCTAAATTATCAACCAAAATGAAACACCTAAATTATCAACCAAAATGATGCATCTAAATTATCAACCAAAATGAAACACCTAAATTATCAACCAAAATGATGCATCTAAATTATCTACCAAAATGAAACACCTAAATTATCAACCAAAATGATGCATCTAAATTATCAGCCAAAATGATACACCTTAATTATCAACCAAAATGACACATCAAAATTATCAACCAAAATGAAACACCTAAATAAAAATATATCAACCAAAATGATGCATCTAAATTATCAACCAAAATGAAGCACATACCTAAATTATCAACTAAAATGAAACACCTAAATTATCAACCAAAATGAAACACCTAAATTATCAATCAAAATGATACATCTAAATTATCAACCAAAATGAAACACCTAAATTATCAACCAAAATAATACATCTAAATTATCAACCAAAATGAAACACCTAAATTATCAACCAAAATGATGCATCTAAATTATCAACCAAAATGAAACACCTAAATTATCAACCAAAATAATACATCTAAATTATCAACCAAAATGAAACACCTAAATTATCAACCAAAATGATGCATCTAAATTATCAAACAATAGGTTGGAATTTGAAGCTGAATTATTTAAAGAAATTGTATATTCTATCATTATAACACATGTAAATGCTTTTTTTTCAATTTCCCAGTTTTGAAATTATCCAAATTTTTATTTGGAGAAATTTACCGCAAACATTTAAATTTTTACATAACTACACATTAAACTAAGTTGACCAGCGTCAAGACTGTCTTCAGTAGAATACCGTTTTAGTAACTTTAAATGTGCAAATTTATATTTACGATGATTTAAACCCCAAATTGATCTGGCAAAATATTTATAGATATAGCAAATCTTACCTTTTTCTGATGGAATTATTCATTGATAAAGTTAATACTGTCATTTTCAAATTATCTTTAAATCATTTCACAGACTCATCCTTTTTTGTGAAACCTTGTACAAAACAATATATCCAGGAAATTATTTCTTTCAAACACAGGTTTAGTCTAATTTAAGATATATAGCAAATGATAGCAAATTACACAATTGTTGAGACTAATTCATCATTACATTGTTAACAACAATACAATTTTTTTTCCAAATTAGTCAGCAGTTCATTTGAAAACACCAAATGAAGTTCACTAAGCAAATTACAGAAAAGTAACCTACCATTCCAATATTCAGAGATAGAAAACCACATTACAGTATTTTATATCAGTCTGCAGGTAGTGTCTGCAGGTCTGTGTTTAATGATGCTAGATCAATAATATGGTGGTATAACATAGGGAATAATCCAGGCAGATTTCTTCTGTGTTTGTCCAGCATCCCCCTTTATCTCACGTTACAATTATCTCTTTGTAAACATATTTCCCAGTTTCCCCAATACAATAAATATTAGCTGCTACTGTCTAAGCATCATTTTCTGTTACAAGTTTTAAGTAACCAGCTTTTCATGTTACAAGATTTTAATAACCAGCTTTTAAGTAACCAGTTTTGCTTGTTACAAGTTTTTAGTAACCAGCTTTTCATGTTACAAGTTTTTAGTAACCAGCTTTTCATGTTACAAGTTTTTAGTAACCAGCTTTTCATGTTACAAGTTTTTAGTAACCAGCTTTTCATTTTACAAGTTTTTAGTAACCAGCTTTTAAGTAACCAGTTTTGCTTGTTACAAGTTTTTAGTAACCAGCTTTTCATGTTACAAGTTTTTAGTAACCAGCTTTTCATGTTACAAGTTTTTAGTAACCAGCTTTTCATGTTACAAGTTTTTAGTAACCAGCTTTTCATGTTACAAGTTTTAAGTAACCAGCTTTTCATGTTACAAGTTTTTAGTAACCAGCTTTTCATGTTACAAGTTTTAAGTAACCAGCTTTTCATGTTACAAGTTTTTAGTAACCAGCTTTTCATGTTACAAGTTTTTAGTAACCAGCTTTTCATGTTAAAAGTTTATAGTAATCAGCATTTCATGTTACAAGTTTTTAGTAATTCTTTACTTGTTATAAGATTTAAGATAACAGCTTTGCTTGTTACAAGATTGAAGTAACCAGCTTTGCTTGTTACAAGTGTTTAGAAACCAGCTTTTCATGTTACAAGATTTAAAATACCATCTTTACTTGTTATAAGATTTAAGTTACCAGCTTTGCCTGTTACAAGATTGAAGTTACCAGCTTTGCTTTTTACAATATTTTAGTTACCAGCTTTCCTTGTTACAAGATTGAAGTTACCAGCTTTGCTTGTTACAAGATTGGAGTTACAAGCTTTGTTTGTTACAAGTTTTTAGTAAACAGCTTTTCATGTTACAAGTTTTAAGTAACCAGCTTTGCTTTTTACAAGTTTTAATTAACTTTTACCCATAATTCCTTCTGTCTGTTTTTTCTTCAGAAACAAACTTTAATAATCAAATAGTTTAATAATGGTATATCACAATTTCATTAAAGAGTTAAAGTCTTTTGTACTTTTCAGTCACTGTTAACGAGTTTAATAAAGGTTTTTTAGGGTTAACAATGTTAGGTTGCTGATATGTAATCGCTTGCCTTTCACAACTGGATCCAAATTCTCCCTGAAACTTAATACCTGCCCGGGACTTAATATTGTTTTGTGTGAGGAAGCTTTTCAGTTACAGTACAAAAGTTTGTTGGGTCCATGCAGATGAAAGCTCATGGAAGAAAATTAATATGCTTAGGCACTTGATATTTTCATCCACCTGACTCAAAAAGAACTTATATATAATATTGAACTTAAATGCTGAAGGAGAGTAATTTTAAAATTCCTTCAGCATTTATTTGACTTTCATTGAAATGGTTGTCTGAATTTTACATGTTAATTTATCTGAAATTAAATACAATTTTTGAAACTATTTATATTGTAATGAAAGCTTGCCTGTATTAGTATATAAAATGAATACGGAACAGATATCCTGATGTAACAGAAAAAAAATAGCATACAGTAGAAGATTTGTAGCATAAATCAGAAAAAGGTTTAGCTGGTGGTGAATTCTGTACATTACTGAACAGACTCTTGCTCTTGTTTTGTTTTACAGCAGAAAAGCAATGATAAATTTTTGATAAGATCTCACATTTCCCAGAGAGAAAAAAAATAAATGAAGGATGTTTAGTGAAGGATGTTATCTTTACAGAAAAGATATTAAATGTTTGTTTTTGAGATGCTAAGGATATAAATGAAATAGATTTTGTGTATTTTTAATTCAACAAGTCCATTAAATTTAAACTCTCTAATAGTATTTACCTGGAAATAAAACATTGCATATTTTCACATATTCTGGAAGGGATTTAAATATGGAATGTTTTTTCGTTGATCTGCACAAGCAACTAGATTATGTTTGGGGCAATATGAATGGCAATGGTAATAAATTTAGTCTGTAACAATAGAATGAGGGGCCAGGCCCTCTTATGTGCATTTAAATAATAATAAAAAAGATATTTGCTCCAAGTCCATTATGGTATTACATTGGTCTGATTGTTTTTTTTAGCAATTGTGTTTCTGCTGACTTCAATACTGGTATAAATGAGAAAACAACAATGTTTGCGGTATGCAGTGACCCTGGCTCAATGATTCCTGCAATTTTAACTTCACAGATTCTGTGACCATATATCTTTTGGTATGTGAGGAACTTACACATAGTTCAAGGTCAATCTTTTTGGCATAAGAATTACTATTTGCTCCATATCACCTCAACCAAACTACTGATTCTCTTTAAACAAAGGTCCTTAGGAGGTCAAGATCAAACCTCTCTGTAAGTGATTGATAACACTTTAGTGCACATAGTGTCAAGCGTTGAAATAACTTTTGCTTCAATAATTTTTGTCAGTTCAACAAGATGAAGAAAGATGGATATCCACCCAAGTCTACTGAAGATATTTACTTTAATTAATCATTCTGTTAAATCAGAAATTCTCATGAGTGACTTAATTTTGCTATTTTGAAAATTGAAGTTTTTCCGGAAAATAAATGCTTTTGACTACCACTCATGAATACACATTTAACAGAACTGGAAGTATAAATTCTTGAATATAAACCTAACCAATTACTCTAAAATGTTGAGTTCACAAAAAGGCATGATTTACCCTAATAATTATGAAGGTCACTAATTTCCCAACCACCATTTCTGGCTTCAATTTTTGCTGAAATAAAGCCTTGTTTCTTTAAATAAATTTTGGCAACCAATAATGAGCAGTGAGTGAAAAGTTTCTTGCTCAAGGAAACAACTGTTTGCCTATCTTTTATTTGAAACCATGCTGCTTATTAGCTTTCTTTTAATACCTAGTATGACATCCTGCTGCTATGACAGTGTTTATGAAGAAATCCTTTTGGGAAAATAATGAGTATTTATCAGTTAATACAGGGTCATAAATAATAATTACTCACTTGTTTTTATTTGTGACCAACTTTGTATTCTATTTTTACTGTTGATTTATTTTCAGGTTGTACAACAAAGAATCAGCCCTAGAGTTTCTAATTGACAAAAGCAAGTTTGAATGTGCCTCAAGTTTTGAGCACCTTCGTGGACTCAAGGTGAGTGAATACTGTAAAAGTTTTCTACTATATTGGCTAACATGTGTTCTGGCCATTCAGTGTTTTCAACAAAGATTTTATATTTTGACAATATTCAAAACATAGACTTAATACTTCACATATTAAAAAATCATGAAACCACAGGGCTTTGAGTTTAAATATATGTATTAGGGTTGTAATATAAATTCTCCCCTCCACCATAGTCAGGTTTCATCTTTTGTTTCAAAGCATTTTTAAGAAGAATTTATTTTTTTTGAAAACTTTAGACAGGTTCATCATGGCTTTATTATTTGGCATGTTTCATTGCATAGTGGTGCTTTACAAAAGTTTGATTAATCATGCTCCACGGCCTTGTCCTGGGATAGTTTTAGACTTTCATGTCTCTTGGATAAAGAATATCCCTACATGTATCTGGAACTGGTTATCTACTTTTGCAACTGTTCATGTGAGTGATACAGGTCAGTTTGCACCTTCTGTCGATAAATAAATTGTATAGATATATATAAGTACCACTTTTAACGAAATCTATTCCATTCAATCATCAAGAGTATATAATGTATTTGCTTTATTTTCTAGGACTTGAAGCAGTTGAAGCTGACGGAGAATCGTAACTTCTCTAATTCCAAGACAGAGAAAGGTGACAGGTATATTGATACACAAGATGCCAAGTATATATGTCCTGTTGTTGGACTAGAGATGAATGGCGTGCATAAGTGAGTTCAGAACATTGATTTTGATATATTATTTTTAAATACAATCATGTACCTATATTTATCATGTAATGCCTCTGGTTGTCTGTTTGTCTGTCCGTCCTTAAGCAATATTGTATTCATTATTTATATATTATATCTTTTTAATGGCTTGAGGAAAGATTGTTAAACGTGGGTCAGATGTTTATCTCAATTAGACAACATGCAAAAATCTCACACTTTAAGCTCAAGGTAAAGTTTAAAGTCAATGTATGGGCAATCAAAGTCTTGTACATTTTATTTCTCATTTACCCATTAAAATGATTTTTGGGTCAAATATTTATTTTATTGAGATGGCCTACAACACCAATATATAAAGTTAAAAGTTAAGTTACTGTTAACTTACTGTCCTTTTAATATCTCTCATATCCATGAAAGGATATACAGTTTAGTTGAGTAAAATTTTTTTGTTATGAAGGTGATGTACAGAAGCCAGAAATGATATTTAAAATCAAGGTTATTTGTTTATAACTTTTGAAATGCTTCATAAATTTTGTTGTATGGTAAGCTAAGAAGTAAATTGTGTTCCATTGTGTACTTAGTTGCAATTTGATATAACTTACTAGTATTTTTTTGTAGGGTTAGCTTACAAGGTAAACATTATTGCTTAGTAGGATTTTAAACAGGTAAATATAGGGGAGGCTGTGGATGTGTTGTTAAGGTTATTGACTTCAAACCACTAATCCCTCACTGCTGTGGGTTTGATCCTGCCAGAGAGTTAGGATTCTTTTATGTGAAGAAGCTCTCCAACTAGCTATAGGGTACATTAATGGTTCTATGCTTGTGCCTGTTTGTACCTGAAATTATGCATGGAGAGGTACATGAGGTCTTCAATAACCAGTAAAGCTGGAAAATCGCCATATGACCTGGAACTGTGTTGTTACAACATAAATCCAACAAACGAACAAAAAACATCTTTTAATTATAATCTGTAATATTTGTTACAGATTCTCATATATATGGAGCTGTGGCTGTGTGTTATCAGAGAGAGCCCTTAAAGAGCTCAAAGGAAGTGCCTGTCATAAGGTATGTAAAGAATTACAGATTGTTTTGTTTGTACTATGTAGGGTTAAAAGTTCAGTTCTTGTGTCTGCTTACTATTCATTTTTTTCTACCTAGCAAATCATTACAATTCTGTAAATATTTAGAGCAAGCTTCACAGAAATATACCCCTTAGATAAAAGTTATAAGATATAAAAAATTGTTTGCTATGATGAACAGTGTTTTAATCACAACTGCTAACCTTAATATTTTACATATTTAACACACAGTTTGTTAGTTATCCAAATAATTGTGGTACATCGCTTTTCTCTTGGAAGTTCACATATTGTCCGAATTTGTCCCTAGGATCTAATTGTAGATCAATGATCATCAATGTCCACAAACACTCTGTGGAATAGTTTCCCTTTTCTGAATTTATTGAACAAGTTATTCTTTTTATCTGCAAGTTGAATGTTTTAATCTTTTCCCAGTAGCACTGACATTAGCAGAATTTTATGACCAGTAGAAAAGGTCATGACCTCAAAACAAAGCCCAAAATTAATCATAATTATCATGAAATTATATAGTACAGGTAATATTTGTATTTATTGCAGAAAGGGCAAGAAAACTTGTGTATTTGAGTGATGTTGTACAGTTATAATGTATATTGAGATATTGTTTTGTTTTACAGTGTGGTGAATTGTTCACACAGAATGATATAATACCGTTGAACGGAACAGAGGAGGAGGTTGATGCTTTACATGCTCGTATGACGGAGAAACGATTACAGCAAAAACTTGAAAAGGTTAATATAAGAATTTATTTAAGTTTAAAAATATTCTCGAATCCGTTCCTTGAACCAACCAGTACTAAGCAATGAATGTAAAATTTCTTGCTCAAGGAAACAACGGCTTGCCACTGACAGAGTTTGAACCCACGCCGTCAGCAATCCTTAAATTACTATCTGACGTGTTAACCGCTCTGTCTCGCCGTCACTATTTTACATGTGCAAAAACATCATGCATGTTATCATCATAATCACTAAACTTAATATCATAGTTAGATGATTGATGTTTTATTTATTGCCTTATATAAGCTAGTAAAAAGATTAAACTAACGTACATGAAGTTAATTTAACACAATGGTTTTGGCTAAAATTCAACTTCATATACTAGCATCTCTTAACAAATGTTAGTACAATGAATGTATCAGTGTTGTAATAAGAATGCTGAAATTATGTTTTATGACATGATATTGGCATAAACTAATATTAAAATATTTTAAATATGCTGGTAATATGAAAAGGTAGAAATTATGGTATGATAAAATTATGATACTTTCAGAGATACATTCAGGGAACATACATGTATTATATGTTAGTTCTTTGCAATGAATAATTATCACATGGAAGGTTATTTTATTGGGACTTTAATCAGTAGGCCTATTCTGTAGTAATTAATATGTATGTTGGAGCCTTGAGTATAATAAATATTATGTCCTTTGTAGAGGACTTTACTATGACTTTGACTTGTAAATGTTGACAGTCTCAAAAGGATTGCTTTTAGAGGAAACATTAAGTAACTGGATATGGAAATTAGCTGCTCTTTTGACAAAATTCATATAACAGAATATCAGGAATAATGATACATTGTACTGCAAAACATTTTCTTTGATGATTTCATTTTCAAGAATCTCTGTGATCGATCTTTTAGAACCATATTTCAGGTAATATGTTATTCTATTTTAGAAAGCAAAGAAGTCAAAGAAACAGAAATGTGAAACAGCCACATCGTCTTCAGCTGCTGAGGCTGACAATGGACCAAGTACAAGTAAAAAAGCAAAACTTGATACCTCAGATTCAAAATTGACCAATGGACATTCTGCATTAGCCAATGGCAGTAAAGGGTTAAAGTTCACATCAGACGCAAAAGAAAAGATGCCCAATGAGAGCATTGCGAGAAATTTAAATGATGAAACAGACTTGTTTAAGAAGGGAAGCATACAAAAAGACCCCAAAGCGAGTTCAGCTTACAAATCATTATTCACAACCAGTGACAGAGCTAAAAACCAGATGAAAGGTCATTGGGTTACCTCAAATCCTTACTGGATGTAGATTATTTCATGAAAATGAGAAAAATATGTGTTACTTAATATGTTGTATTAATTCTATAACAGTGAGATGCCTAAATATATGAATTTATTACATGCTTTTCGGTGGTTTATAGAAATATATCAGTGATATAAAACTGGTAATTTCACTGTTTTGAATTTAAGCCCCTTACGTTGTTTCAGTGAAATACCAGCGTGCACAATACTGGGTACCAACTTAATGAGGTGACGTCGTAAATGACGTCACGTTGTATTATTATTTGGCGCGCTTTTCATTCAGTTTTAGATTTAATGTCTTTTTAAAACGTTTCTTTGCATGTAATAAAAAGAAAATTTGTTTAGTTTAGTGTAAGATTGAAATATTTCACCTTGTGAACACCAAAAGTTAATATTTCGCTCGTGGCTGCGCCACTCGTGAAATGTACCTTTTGGTGCTCACTCGGTGAAATATATTCCGATCTTACACTGAACTAAACAAATATCCTCTATTTAATTGAAGGAAAAGTATTATGATTCACCTCGTAATTTTGATTGAAATATATGTCTGATGGATTGTAAACAAAGAAGTTTTAATCTACATAAAGATATAATACACATACAGCAGTAATATTTTTTTTGTTATAATTGAACTACCGGAAAGAAAAATAAACACCACAATGTTTCGATCTGTATCCAAAATATTTTATGTTTTCAAGTATCAATGCAGAAAAAAAGAATGTTTTTAATGTAAGGTTTTAAAATTGTGTCTTGTTAAAATGTAAATAAATTATTGAAAGAAAATGTATATTATTATGTTTTATGTATAGTTTTTCGGGTTGAGGGCTTTATAATGTGTAATAGAAGAGATTTAGAAAGAAATAAAGTGTATGTTGTCTCAGCTTCTGAAACAAGAGTCATTGGAAATTTGTAAATAGTAATGCAAATTTTTCGCAAAACTACCAGAATTTAAGCAAGACGCATTGAAAAATGGACTATCAATTTTCTGACACATAATGCAATATGTTAGGCAAGCTTAATCATCAAAGTTTAATTTGGCACCTAAAACTTTTTTTTTAAAGATGAAAATTACCATTTTTGACGAGTGTTTCTTCGGTATATACAAAAGTTTTCCAACAAACTGCGTGACATCTGAACTACCTGACAAGTTATCAAAAGAGCTCCATCCTCCCCTGTGCTAGTGTTTATGGAGGAAAAGTTTTTAAAGAAATTGTGTATAATAATGCACACTAGACATCTGTGATATTTTTGGTTGGGTTTTATGTCGCACCATCACAGTTGAGGTCATATGGTGACTTTCCAGTGTTCCTGGTGGAGGAAGACAACTCAGTATAGGTCAATGCCATGCATTATTTCAGGCATGAACGGGTACCTGAGTAGACCCACCAACGTTCCATAAGGTAGCTGGATAGCTTCCTCACATGAAAAAATCCTGTCAGGATTTGAACCCACAGCAATGAAGGGCTAGTGGTTTGAAGTCGATGACCTTAACCACTTGGCAACAGGCCATCCATGAAAGGAATGGCAGATTACCTCATTGGTAGCTTTCATCAACACTACATTTAATCAAAAACTAAAACAGTATACAGTAACACAATTTAATATTAACTATACATGATCATAAAATTGAATGAAAGTGAATTTCAATATTTAATATTCTCATTAAAATATCTGTTAATGTACACAAATAACTTGTGACCAACATTTAATTTGACATACAAATATATATTTAACATTATATCAATAAACAAGAGCTGTCTGTAGGACAGCACGCTCGACTATTCTAAGTGCTTGATAGTAAAAGAGCCTTGATAATGTTAAATTTTTTAAGTTTACAAAAGGGCTATTTTTTTTTATAAATTCTTGTTATAGGCCTTAGAGAGAGTCTAATTAAACAGTATTGGCTTGACTATTCGGAAGGTAATGTCACAAGGGTGTTTTATTGAGTATAATAATACTAATTACCTATGAATACATAAATTTGACAGAAAAGGTACAAAGGCTTGTTATTAAGATGTTTTATCAAGTAAATCACTGCTTAATTATTATGAATGCATAAAATTGTCCCAAAAAAGGCACAAACCCTTTAGTAGTTATTGAGATAACAGCTTACAAATGAATTTCTAAGTTGAAAAAGGGGAGAAAAATCAGCCTAAATGCAAGATAGAATTATGGATCTTTGTCAGTGACCTACAATTATGACCCTAAATGCATATGTGAAGTTTTAAATAAATATCTTTAATAGTTATTGAGATATGTAAAACTTGCATGTAAACATTAACCAAGAGACTAAGTAGAAAAGGGGATATGAATCAGCCTTAATGCAAGATAGAGTTATGGAACTTGGTCAGTGACATACAATTATGACCCTCCAATTATGACCCTAAGTGCATGTGTAAAGTTTCAAGTAAATATCTTTGAAGACCTTTAACCTTTAACCAAAATTTCTAAGTTTCAAAGGGGCAAATAATTCTGCAAATATTGCAGGCAGAGTTATGCAATTTTGCAAACTGATGTACATTGTTACTATAAAAAAGTATTTTAATTTTCAATTGAATATCTCAAGCAATAATTGAGATATTTGACTTTACAAAAAAACTTTAACCAAAATTTCTAAGTTCCAAAGGGACATAATTCTGTCAATATTGTAGTCAGAGTTATCCAACTTGTCAATCTGATGTACCTTGTTACTATAAATAAGTTTTGTAAGTTTCAATTGAATATCTCAAGCAATAATTGAGATATTTGACTTTACAAAAAACTTTAACCAAAATTTCTAAGTTAAAAAGGGGCATAATTCTGTCAATATTGTAGGCAGAGTTATCAAACTTGGCTATCTGATGTACCTTGTTACTATTAATAAGTATTGTAAGTTTCAATTGAATATCTCAAGCAATAATTGAGATATTTGACTTTACAAAAAACTTTAACCAAAATTTCTAAGTTAAAAAGGGGCATAATTCTGTCAATATTGTAGGCAGAGTTATCAAACTTGTCTATCTGATGTACCTTGTTACTATTAATAAGTATTGTAAGTTTCAATTGAATATCTCAAGTAATAATTGAGATATTTGACTTTACAAAAAACTTTAACCAACGCAGACGCCGACGCGGACGCCGGGGCGACTACAATAGCTCTCATATTCTTCGAATAGTCGAGCTAATAAGTTAAAATGTAAAACATACATGTTGGTCCCATTTCTAAACTTGAATGAAAAAAAATGTTTAAAGATGACAAATATAAAGATAATGAGTTATTTTATAGTCTGAATTTCATGCACATGGCATGGTTCACAGACTTTACAGCAGATCCTGGCCCCATATTCATAAAGAAAATATCACATCAGAATTAAATTATACTGGTTTTATTTTCATTACTGTATTGACAGTAATATAAATCATATTATGTTAAGATAATAAAAATTATGGTACCTAAACAAAATGTAAAAAGAACTGCTAATGTGAAAGAAACAATATTATTTTGGAATTAAATTTGACAGAATACAAATTTTACAACTATAATATCATAACTGGTTCAAAATTAGGTTCAATTAGGATTAAGATCAAGATTTAAATGCCAATATCTTGGTTAGGTAAAGTAATGTTGTTCGTTTTTTTGAAACTTCAATATCATTTGTCGCTTATGTTAATATTGAATAACAAATCTATGAGAATAAACAGTGGAGAATATGTCTATATTTCTCCATTGTTTATTCTCATAGATTTAATTATATTTTATAAATTAAGTTCTTGATTCTTGAATCTTTGTGAACATTTGGCCTGGTCATTAAGCTACTAGGATATAGCTATCAATCTCCTGGGGGGGGGGGGGGGCACAAAATAATGAGTAAACTGTATAGTGCCCTTTTGGGTACTTATCAACACGTAGATGTTGTGAAGTAAAGTAGGGTTACTTTCGTGCTCAAGGAAATTAGCAATGTTCCGGAATGGACTCGAACCCGGTACTTCTTGACCCCAAAATGCATGTCCTACAATTGGACCTATAATCCCTAAAAAATCATCAAATTATTCTGATTAAAAAAACAAACCCTGTTTATATCAATCTAACAAAACATACAAATGTTAAATGCCAATAAAATGTACTCCTCAAAATAACAATAGCATAATTCACAAATACAAGACAGTGGTGTCACATGCAACATTCTGATTTTCTCTTTAACAATCAAACTCTGTAACTGTGGGATAACTAAAGTTAAGGACCTAGTGCTTGGGGTAACTTTAAAAATTACTTAGCATAAATTACCTGTATATGTTAAAATAAAAACTAAAATTTTACAAAAATATCACTGTGCATCATCCTGAACAAGTTAATGACGAGGCATTTTTACACTTGGTATATATCTCCGGAAAAGAATTTGTATATATTGTATTATGGTGCATGATTTCACTTTGCATATAAACCCAGATTGAATCAAAATTATTTCATGAGAAGTAAAAATTTGTAAACATATTATCACCAATAAACTTGACTTCTTATACTGATGCTCAAAATTATGTGTGACTCCAAACAAAATTAAATATTATTTGAGCCGCGTCATGACAAAACCAACAAAGTGCGTTTGCGACCAGCATGGATCCAGACCAGCTTGCGCATTTGTTGGTTTTGTCTTGATGCAGCTGATTTCATTTGCTTCTTTTTACATGACAAAGTTTTAAAATTGTGCCATTTAGAACCTAGCACATTACAGTGTATACAAAGAATAAATACATGCCCTAGGCCCCATAAACAGAAGAGCCACATTAAAAATTCACATTAATAAAACGACAGTGCTCATAATATCAACAAAACTGAGAATTAATAATACTTGTACCTAAACAATGCAATGAGACATATGTGAAAAGCAAACAATTCAGAAAAGTAAAATTAACAATGCCTTTGAATAAGGACAAATGTGAACAAGAGTATTTCATCTCTTATAATCAATCTAGATAGAATACTAAAGGTAATTTAACTTGCTACAAAACCAAAGAAGATATCACCTAACCAACCAAATATCACATATATTAACTAAAATACAGTTCAACAAACTTGATGCAAGATTGATAATGATAAAAATGGCTGTAGCTACAAGTTATGTGTAGTAGTCCTTATAATCCAATAAACAAGAGGGCCATGATGGTATAAGATGAACAGATTGAAGTTTAAGTTTTTAAGAGCAAAAGTTGTTGCTGTAGACAGATGCTAAAGTGTCTTGGGTTTTTTAAGGGGGTTGGATTGAACATTGCACCAACACTGTAGAGATCATATGGCAACTTTCAAATTTTATTGGTGGACGAAACCCTCAAGTGATGCATTATTTCATGCACAAACGGGCAGCTGAGTAGAACCTCTAACATTCAGAAGCTAGCACAAAAGCTTCCACATATGAAGGAATCCTAAGACACTGGTGGGGCAGTGATGTAGCAGCAACAATGGGGCAAGTGGTTTGAAGTCAACAACCTTAACCACTCGGTGACACTGTCGCAATGTTTCCACTATCATACCAAGGTTTAGGTGAGCATATCACAAAATGCAATGAAATCTCCAGATACTATACTAACAATAATGCACTTGCAATAACAGAGTTAAGGCCCTTGACTTAACCATATTTGATATCTTCCTCTCACAGAGTGAGAGCAATGTGCAGCCTTAGTGGGACCCAGGGGTCACCATCCAGAGGTATATGCTTAATTTTCTATCGGCCTCTAAATGCATTTCTGTTGAGCAAGATTATCAAGGGCTATAACTTAATTTGTGGGAGTTCCATCAAAGTTGAAAAAGGCTTCACCAGCAATATTTATATTTGTAGGTCTACCATCTAAGTTGAGAAATGCTGTCAAGAGCCATAAATAAGAAATGGTACATATCTCTGACAGCCTTCTAGCATTATAGGGGCAAGCTAGTCAGCCATTAGTGAACTGGAGCCAAGGATTAATTTAAAACTTAAATTAAGGGTCATAGCTATTTTTTTTCAGGTTTTAATTTCTACCCTTGACTGTCAACCTCAATTTTAAATGGTAAAGAAGTATTTAAATGTTTTAACCATTTGTAATCTAAATGACAAAAAAACTTTGCTTACAAAATAAATTGTATTAGCTGAAAATTTTACCTCCAATTTTTATTTCATTTTTTTAAATTACAATCAAGAATCAAGACATTTCTGGCAAAAAGGACACAACATTTTTTTACCATTAAAGGGACTCCACTGAGGTTTGTTGATGATGGGACCATAAATTTTTTCCCCGAAATTTGTGTACCATTTGATGTTGGTCTTGACCAATAACTTTTCACTCCAATAAGGCTAAAAATCACACAAAAATTCAATTTTCTAATTTTTTTTCTGAGCATATTTCTTTAGTATCCTTTGAAGTTGTTCCATTTTAAACACTTCACCTAATCTTTGTTACGATTTAAAATTATATGTGTTTAGGATTTTCACCTCAGTGGAGCCCCTTTCAGATAAAACAACATGATTATATATATTATTTATAAAATAAATCATTCTCACAAAAAAATAGCTAAAAATATAAGGGACAATCATATTGCTAATAAAGGTTTTGAATATACAAATAAAAATTGAATTTCTATTTCATGATGCACTATACAATGATACTATTAAAGCTTGATATTGATGGAATGTTCTTTATTTACACTCATATAACACAGAATAACCTCAACATAGCAACCCCCTTTGGGAGACAAAGATAATGACTGTCAAAGAGAGGTGGTGCTCTGGAGCAGATAACTTTATTGTGATATCATACTTTGGGAAATAAACTTAAACAGTTGCTGTAAAGAGGTAATTGGTCTACTTTGCAGAGGTAATACTGTATCACCTATTTGAAGGTCTTATATAACCTCAATTTTAATGTAAACTTTTTAATGCTGTTAAAATCACCTTCTCTATGAGCTTTTCAAACATGGTCTCGCACACCGTAGTAACAAATGAACATAACATTATGATATGTACAACTCTTTCAAGCTTGCTTGTTAAGTTTGGTTTTTAATCACTAAAAACAAATATTTCAACAGTTTGGTCAAATTTGAAAAATCGCGCGCAGTCTGATCAGGATCCATGCTGTTCGCTATCAGTTTCTCTACTTGTAATAGGGTTTGTAAGCGAACAGCATGGATCCTGATCAGACTGCGCGGATGCGCAGGCTGGTCCTGATCCATGCTGGTCGCAAACCCACTATGTTGGTTTTGTTGTGACGCGGCTCAAATATCTTAGGTCTGGGCTTTAAAGTTTTAAAATTTTTGAGAGTTTGACTACATCTAAAATTAGTGTCACAGGGGCTAAGCCAATATTTATCCAACAGACCCACAATCCTGAATATATATTTCTTAAATCTAAGTCTTAGCAGATTGAGCCAAAAAAATAAATGCTATGTAAGTTAAGGGGAGACAAATTTTTACACTAGGTGAATATACAGCAGAGGTAGGAGAGGTAGAGTAAGTAATGCTACTTGACAAATAACTTATAAAAAAGAAATAGCCAAGCTCTTTTTGGGCCTTCATTTGAGGTGGTTTTTTTTTTGCTTTTAAACAAGGGACCTTCAGTGTGGGGCCATTTTTACCCGAGGGATGTAATATACACTGTATACTGCATGCAACTACTAAACAATACAACATGACAAGTATCTAAGCTCTGAGCAATGCAGTTTAAGACAGTAAGATTTACAGTTTTCAATGCATATCTATGTCCAATTACCAACCCTTTACACAAAAGTTCTTACACAATTACATCTTAAATATAGCCCTATTTTGTGTAATATTTTGTCAAAGACCACTAAAAATCATTCCCTTAAAGTTTGGTCAAATTAAGATATATTGTTGGACTGTGGATAATATAAGACAAGAACTGATGAAAGTCATCAGGCCATCACAATAGCTCACCTTTATTTAAGCTCAGGTGACCTAACAGCAATGTGAACATGAGAAGATATACATGTGTAACATCACAGAGAATTCTTATGAATAAATATCGACATTTTTTATATAAATATCTATGAATGATCAACAATATAACAATATTTCAATAGCCTAATTATCTGATCCGTATGATTTGCTATAGTGCACTGTTCCATTGTGTTCTGGTGCACTCATGTATATCATTTCCTGTGAAGAATTTGACGCCGCGTCGCCGTCTGCTGCAACAAATGGACGCCGCGCTTCCTCCTCCTCTGCAATAAGATGACTCACAGATCCGGAAGGTTGAACTTTACCCACGTTTATTGTTGCGAGCAGCCAAGCTAAACAAATGAGAACAAGCAAAAGAATTTGATTATCAAATATTTCACATTTGACTTTAAACATAGTTTTCTAAAAATTAGCCACTACATCAATCAACAATAGTTTTGCATTAATTTGATAATACAGCGAAAGGTTTTTAAAATAACAGATAATTCAACCACATAACCTGTCTAGGTACAATTGTTACATGTAAACAGGTTCTTTCTATTTGAAAGACCCTGATGTAAATTTTCTGTATTCCGATTACTAGTACTCACTAGTTTTTCTTTACTGTTTTTTATTGTTCGAGCCAGGTTTAAGCAGTTATAAAATAATCAAACTAACTGTATTCCTGTTCATATGAAATTAGAAACAAGGAACATCGCAATGCGATGCAACCAGGTTTTCAGCAAAATATTTCACAGAAGCTTTGTCATGAAGGGGCATTTGTTTTTAATTGAACTTTTAGGAGGAATTATGGCTTTTTTAATATTCCTCAAACAAAAATGATTGAGAAATTTTATGTTGTCTATTCGCCTTTTTTTCCCAAATATTTTAGAAAGGTAAACAGTACTTTATTTTTGCTTAATTTTTGCATTTTTGCGTCTCTTGTCATTTTCTTTTGTCAACAATATTGGCGTGTGGTGTTTTGTGCGATATCAAGAAAAGTATGTTCACAATTTTAAAAAAATACTTGAATAATGTCTTGGAAGAAACATGGGAATTTAGTGAGCGCCAAAGCTTCTGTGAAAGTTTGGTCAAAATCCATTGAGAAATGTAGGAGAAGTTGCGCACTGTAGAAATTTTTTCACTATATATTCTGTATAAGGAAAAAAAATATACAAAGGGCCATAATTCGGTCAAATATTATCCAATCACAAAACCCCGACAATATGTGCCAGGCACTTGATAACAAAGCTTCTAAGAAAGTTTTGGTCAAAATCCGTTGAGAAATGTAGGCAGGAGTTTGAGCACAGAAGAAATTGTTCTCTATATATTCTGTATAAGGAAAAATATACAAAGGGCCATAATTCGGTCAAATATTATCCAATCACAAAACCCCGACAATATGTGCCAGGCACTTGATAACAAAGCTTCTAAGAAAGTTTGGTCAAAATCCGTTGAGAAATGTAGGAGTTGCGCACAGAAGAAATTGTTCACTATATATTCTATATAAGGAAAAAAAACAAAGGGCCATAATTAGGTCAAATATATACCAATTGCAAAACCCTGGCAATATGTGACAGGGCACTTGATGACAAAGCTTCTGAGAAAGTTTGGTCAAAATCCGTTGAGAAATGTAGGAGGAGTTGCGCACAGAAGAAATTGTTCACTATATATTTTTATATAAGGAAAAAAACAAAGGGCCATAATTAGGTCAAATATTATCTAATCGCAAAACCCCGACAATATGCGCCAGGGCACTTGATGACAAAGCTTCTGTGAAAGTTTGGTCAAAATCCGTTGAGAATTGTAGGAGGAGTTGCGCACAGAAGAAATTGTTTACGCCCGCCCGCCCATCCGCCCGCCCGCCCGTCCGCCCGCCCGCCGACATACCTCAATCTAATAACCAGTTTTTTCCTTCGGAAAACCTGGTTAAAAAATATATGTAGATAAAAAATTTATATTAGATATGATCATGATTTTTTGTCATTGAAAATATATCAAGTATACAAAAAATTTGTAACATGAACAAAATGCTGAAAAATGTATAGCAAAAATGCTTTTAAATGATATTAACTACACATTTCAAGAATAATTTCCACAAACTATGTCCTAATTAAGAAACAAATTATGCTTTGTGTTTTGATATCTAAAGAACACCAGTCACTTTAACTGATACATTTTTTCTGAACAAGTGCTTAAAACTGATATATTTATCTAAACTAAGGTGTTTAACCCTTTTTTTCACAAATGCTTAATATCTGATCTATTTTTCTGAACTAAGGCTTTACCTCTTTTTGCCTTAAAATTTACCTGAACCAGAGAATAAACTGATAAACTTTTTCTTAAGTAGGGTGCAAAACTTAATCTAAATGGTTTATATACAAAAGTTTCCAAACATTATGGAGAAGTCCCTACATTTGCAAGTAGGAGCTGAAGTGTTATAGGTAAGACAAATCCATGTGATCTTGATATCAGATCTTTTATTAAAAGTATCTAAAACTGGTTTACTATACATCATATTGAAAATAATAATCATCTGTTAAAATATTAACTTACCAAAGCTAAAAAGAAAAATCAATAAATCATAAACAGTTCATTTCATCAAACAAAAACAAAAAAACCCAACATTCCCTTACCAACATGCTCTTCAGATTTCCCATTCATTCTTAATTTGTTGTTTACGAATAAACATTTTTCTATAAACAAAACAAATGTTTTTATTCAAATTTGCGACATTAATCTAGCTTGACGTGTTTGTTTTAATATCTGATGAGAAGAAGCAATCAACTGACAGCCATTATAGGCACACCCATTCCGATAGTGACCGTGAACTTAAGGGCTGAAACACCTGAAACATGGCAGCGAACTTCATGCTAAAGATGCTGGCTGATCATCTGTTTTATATACATATAAATGGCTTAGTTCTAGAAACGGATTCGAATAGCTTCCTACACAATCGAACTAAAATGACATGTTGTATTTCTTCATTTCTTTCTTATTAAAATAAATTCTGTATAAACCAACTGTATACTCCAAATAAGACTTTAGGATCTTAAGAATATCAAACAAAGTCAGACCAATGAATAGGATTTAGATCTCTTGTACACTGTACTCCTTTTATTGTCACCATCAAGTTTCAAATCTACAAAATTGTGGTAGAGCTATACTCTTGACAAGAAAATAGGAAGCAGAATACTTTTAAGACCCACTTATCTTTCTGTTTTACAGAGATATAAAAACACATGCTAAGTCAAAAGTATACATGTAATTTATTCTAAAACAGAGAAAGTAACTGCAAAACCTTTATATAATGATGTTTGTTTCCAATATCCCATCAGAAATCAATATTCTTGCAAGTATACATAATTTATCATATATTTTTCCAAGCCATTATAGCAAGCCATCTTCCTTTTAGCAGAAAGAGTTTTTTTCAACAAAATGAAAGCATGATTTAGAGAAAAATTTAAAACATAAAAGCATAATCATAAGACAGATTCAAATATATATGTTTTTTTAAAACCTACCAAGACCTTATAATTCATGTCCTTAAAAACTCACCTTAAAAATTACCTATCCTATTAGTATATAAAATAAGTATATAAATCTTTGCTATAATAACTAGAATTATGACTGAAGCTGATTGATCATTCAAGAAAATCTTTTTTGAAGCAAATGAAGAATCTTGACCTGAAACACTACTTTATACATTCAGTTTTTCAGTCTTTGAAAATTTACTCATAAGTTATTAAATTCATTTGTTAGTTTAAAGCAGCATGCCTCGAGATTCATGTGAATTTTCAAAAAAAATTTAGAATGTATTAAAAATTAAAAAATTGTCAAATGAACAAATAAAGTAATTTAAAAGCAAACAAGGCTTAAAATCTATGAAAATTACAAAAAATATAGGTCAGCATATGCAAAAATAGCCCTTAATGTGTTTGTCACACAGTAGAAATATTGTGATAGAAACTGCAAAATCAGTCAATTATCGTACATAACTTGTATTTTTTTTCTTAAATTGTGAATATTTTTTCTTTCCTTAACATCTTAGTACATTTTGCTCAAGAGTCTGATTTTCTTGAAATATTTTGACACATCTGGAGGCATGTAGCTTTAAAGATGTAAGATTTAAACTCTTAAAGAAACATGAACAATGTTTGATAAGGCTTTGGTCCTTAATCTATCATATATTCTTTGATTTTTTTCTGTGCTAAGAACACTTAATATTTTTGCAACTGCTGTTTTCGTTACTGTTTTAAATATTTTTTAAAGACATTCTCCCAAAGAAACATGAAAATATTTTAATAAGGCATTGTTCCTTCATGTATCATACATTTTTACTAATCTGGAGGCCTGCAGCTTTAAACCAATTAATTTGAGCGCAATGCGCACCTTGTGTTTTATCACTGTCAATTCATTCGCAAAAAAGTAACTTAAAACCCTTGCTCTGCTGGAACCAAAAGTGATAAACCTTTTCCACCATAATAGAGCCAAGTCAGACAGTCTAATCAGGCTCTACACTGATGGATGACAAACTTCAAATTTTGATCTTGATATCCCCAAGATTGATAATGGACAGTTCAAAATATGGAAGGTGGACAAGTCCATTTCAGCAGAAAAAGGTTAAAATAGGAAAAACATTCATGATTCAGTACCAACTTGCCACAAAGTATTGTAAGCCCAATGTGACGAAATAGATGTAATGTTAATTATTTAATGGAATACTTTGGCGATTGAAATAAAAAATATATCAATGTCAAAAGTGTTTCCCCCAATTTAATTGAGATACAACAAGGTTGCTTGTACCTTAGGGGTGTGTTGCCCACACATGCTGTTTATGAGTGTTAATAAACTATCAAATATAATGTCCCACATTACTCACCTTGCTTCTTTTGAAACCAAGATGCTACCTTTACAATTATTCCTAAATTTCAGTAAAATTACAATTAGTTCTTAATTAAAATTACAAAGAAACAAAAGATCAAATAAGAGGGCTCTGAGAGCCCCAAAATCGCTCACCTGAGCATATCATGTTTATGTCATCAAACATCAAAATTGACCTTGTCCCAAAGTTTATTTATATTTTTAGCTCTGCAAATCTTCTCCAGCAAATCCAATGAATTTTAACTCATTTTGGACATTGGAAGGGACATTCCTATTAAGTTTCATCTAAATCTTGGCAGCAGTCCAAGAAAAATGTCAATAAAAAATAACTCCCCTATTGCTTCATCTTAATCAGCATATTTGCAGATTTTGTACAATGTAAAAGTTAACGAAGTAAGATGTGCAACAGACGAGTTGCTGATCATGTTATTTTTTTACCTGCTAAAATCAAGCTTCTGACTCCTTATACTATAGTAATTCAAGACCCATTCGGAAATTTTCTTAGAGGAATAATTTTCTGAAATTTATTGTAGCATAAACTAAAGTTTTTGAAGGAACATTTTTGGGTCATCACATCTTAACCACATTGTAACTTGTACGTAACATTATTACATTGAGTAATAATGGTGTTGTACTTAACTTGACAGCCTGTATCTACATACCTGGGAAACAACGTGATGCTATAGAAACTGGAGGTTCCCCTTCCTGAGCTTCAGCAACTTTTTTAATATCATCAACACTTGGTCTACCAGCAACAATAAAGTACACACCAACAAATGACATAATACACCTAAAATAACAAAAGAAAAAAAAAAAACATCTGTTAGATGGACAGCAAGGTTGAATAATCTCTATGTTTGATAGGTAAAGAAAATAGAAATTCACAAAGGTAATGTTTGATTGATTGTTTGTTTGGTTTCAACACCAATTTTCCACACCAGTTTTACTGGATAACTAACCAGTTATAACCAATTATATCCACAAGTGACAGACTACTCAACCCACATGATATCTGAATCAGCAGAGAGTGACAAATGACCATTTGACTTAATGTCAATGATCAAGATAAATTGTCAGAGGAGGGATTTTGCTTTGCATGAGGACTGCATCAGCAACCCCTATTTTACAAATCTGATGAGTAATCTGTCTTTTACAGTAACATACAGACATATGCAAAGTTTCAAGAAAATATCTTACGTGGTAAATAAGGTACATATCTTTACACATAACCTTAATTAATGCCAATGTCAACACCACAGTAAGTGGAATAGTCATGCTAAAGACTGAATCACATAGTTTTATCGTAGTCTGAAAAACACAACAAAGTATTTTAAATCCTACTTACCCAAATAAGAACATAAATATATCTAATGCTGTCATTCCCCAGAATTCTTTATAAAATACAATACCAGCAATGATTGCGCTGATAGTAAAAAACACAAAGTTGGTGGGAACTACAATGGTAGATTCAAACCTCTGCATGGCCATATTTAAATACCTGAAAGTTATGATAATATCATGTGAATTAACTATTTAAGAAACTACATTTAGAGAAAATTTAAATTATGAATTACAGAGTAACCGAGTGAGTCACATGGTTAGCTTGATCCATTATTATCAATATTTGATAGTAAAACAACAGGCCCAAAATGGGCTTGTACATTTCACAAAAAGTCAGTGGAAACTTCAAAAGTATATAAAAAGTTTCCAAAAATGACCATTTTTGACCCGAAAGACATGTTGTATATAAATGTATATAACTTTACAGACATAATACCAAATGCCTAAACTTTTTAAAAGGAATTCAGAAAGCTCTTTATCGTTTTAATTATGTTTGAAATGAATTTTTCAAAAAGTTAAAAAATACAGTAAAGATATATTGGGGAAAATCGCTAAAATTTCCTTTAGAGTTAATATAAACCAACATGTCATTTAATTCTACCCTTGCAAATATTTCCACATGCAAAATGTCTGGAATTTTAAATTTGCTAACTTTTTGACACATGGAAATATCCACTTATACAGTATTCAAATACTAGGATGTTGTACTTACTTGACTTGTAAAATGGCTGTTGAAAACATGACTATAGTCATAATGTAGAATGTGTAATATTTTAGTTGATTATCTCCAGCAAATGTAAGCTGTATCAAACTAGAAACTGCCTTTGCTGAGATCACAGAAAATGATGCTGAAATGTAAAACAGTGGTAAAAAAATAAGTTATCTTTGTAATATGAGAGATTAATAGTCAAACAAGAAACCTACATTGTACTCATTAAAGCAGCATGCCTCCAGATTCATGCTAATTTTCATGAAAATTTTGAAAATGTATTAAAAAGTTAATTTATTGTGAAGTGAACAAAGAAAGTATTTTACACATTGCAAATGGCACTTACAATCCATGTTAATTACCAAATAAGGTCAAAATAAGCAAAAATAGCCTATGTAGTAGATATATACAATGTAGTGTAAAAAAAACTGCAAAATCTGCCATTAAATCATGCATAAACATGTTATTACTTGATTTTTTTTTACTTTTCTTAAAATCTTAGTTTTTTCTCAAGTTTATTTTCGTGAAATATTTTAGCTTATCTGGAGGCACGCAACTTTAACATAGATAGATACACAGGTGCCTTAGGTCTAAAACACACACCCCTACCCTAACCCTATATATATATATATATATATATATATATATATATATATATATATATATATATATATATATATATATATATATATATATATATATATATATATATATATATATATATATATATATATATATATATATATATATATGTATATACAAAAAATGAAAACAAGTGCCGGAAAAAAGTCACATATAAATAAAACAAAAAACACAGTCCATGAGTTAACTTATCTAATTAATTAGATAAGTTAACTCATGGACTGTGTTTTTTGTTTTATTTATATATATATATATATATGTAACACCCTTACCCTACCACTATAATTATACACATGTATATAATAAACATATAAATGTATATTATAGATATAAGAAGGTATGAAGGAGATATTAGACGTCAGGCACCTGTGGATAGATATATGTTGTTTTTATTTGTCTGTTTGTTCTGTCTTTAATATAAGAATGAACTTAGAAGCAGTGTTTCAGTCATATATCATCACCTAGTGCAGTAACAAGTTAACTCTTGTGAATTGCACAAGTCAACTACTTTCTTCAATTAATATGAGTTAATCTATAATATTCGATAATATACTTCAATTCAAAGAAGTTAATCTGTTACTGCACTAAGGTGTAGATGTAACAGTATCCGTGAGCAGTAAAACCATGCGGTTTTATTCTATACTATTGACAGTTCATCTCCAGCATTTCAATTTTGAAATAACTGAACAAATAATGGACTACTACAGGTTTCAACATTATAATTTAATCACATATACATTAAATCATTGGGAACAAAAGTTAAATCTACAGAACATAGAATGTGTATTAGAGAATGAATGACTTACCTATAACACTAACAATTGATAAATAAATGACAACCCTCTTCAGCTTGTATACATGAAGAATTAAAAGTAGTCCAATTAAAATGGCTATCTCTATACACTGAAACGAAAAATAACATCCCAAACACATGGCCAAACAAGAGGGCCATGATGGTCGCTCACCTGCAGAAAGGCACCCAGAGCGGGGCCAGTTTAAACCCCAGGGCTTTTATTTGAACAAACTTGGAAGACACCCATTAGAAGATGTTTCACAATGTTAAGTTTTTACTACACACAAATAATGAAAAACAATGATCTACTCCCTCCCCCCCCCGTCAGGGCCAATGTTAATCCAGGGGCTTTTATTTGAACAAACTTGGTAGACACCAATAAGAAGATGTTTCATGCTAAACATCTAAGCTCTAGCTCATAGGGTTTTTTAAAAGAAGATTTTTTAAGTTTTTACAATACACATTTAGTTAAAAACAATGACACCCCTGGGGCAGGGCCAGTTTTGACCCCAGGGCTTTTATTTGAACAAACTTTGTAGACACTCACTAGAAGATGTTTCATGCTTAATATCTAAACTCCAGCTATTTGGGTTTTTTCAAAAAAGATTTTTTAAGATTTTGTTATACACATATAAGGAAAATCAATGACCCCCGGGGCGGGGCCAATTTTGACCCCAGGGCTTTTATTTGAACAAACTTGGTAGACACCCATTAGAACATGTTTCATGCTAAATATCTTAGCTCTAGCTCTTTGAGTTCTTTAAAAGAAGATTTTTTAAGTTTTTACTATATGCATATAGGGAAAATCAATGACCCCCTGGGACGGGGCCAATTTTGACCCTAGGGCTTTTATTTGAACAAACTTGGTAGACACTCATTAGAAGATGTTTCATGCTAAATATCTTAGCTCTAGCTCTTTGGGTTCTTTAAAAGAAGATTTTTTAAGTTTTTACAATATGCATATAGGGAAAATCAAAGACACACTTGGGCGGGGCCAATTTTGACCCCAGGGCTTTTATTTGAACAAACTTGGTAGACACTCACTAGAAGATGTTTCATGCTTAATATCTAAACTCTAGCTATCTGGGTTTTTTCAAAGAAGATTTTTAAGTTTTTGCTATACACTGTCATATAAGGAAAATCAATGACCCCCGGGGCGGGGCCAATTTTGACCCCAGGGCTTTTATTTGAACAAACTTTGTAGACACTCACTAGAAGATGTTTCATGCTTAATATCTAAACTCCAGCTATTTGGGTTTTTTCAAAGAAGATTTTTAAGTTTTTGCTATACACATATAAGGAAAATCAATGACCCCCGGGGCGGTGCCAATTTTGATACCAGGGCTTTTATTTGAACAAACTTGGTAGACACCCATTAGAACATGTTTAATGCTAAATATCTTAGCTCTAGCTCTTTGAGTTCTGTAAAAGAAGATTTTATAAGTTTTTACTATATGAATATGTATAGGGAAAATCAATGACCCCCTTGGTCGGGCCAATTTTGACACCAGGGCTTTTATTTGAACAAACTTTGTAGACACTCACTAGAAGATGTTTCATGCTTAATATCTAAACTCCAGCTATTTGGTTTTTTTCAAAAAAGATTTTTTAAATTTTTGCTATACACATATAAGGAAAATCAATGACCCCCGGGGCAGGGCCAATTTTGACCCCAGGGCTTTTATTTGAACAAACTTGGTAGACACCCATTAGAACATGTTTCATGCTAAAAATCTTAGCTCTAGCTCTTTGAGTTCTTTAAAAGAAGATTTTTTAAGTTTTTACTATATGCATATAGGGAAAATCAATGACCCCCTGGGGCGGGGTCAATTTTGACCCTAGGGCTTTTATTTGAACAAACTTGGTAGACACTCATAAGAAGATGTTTCATGCTAAATATCTTAGCTCTAGCTCTTGGGTTCTTTAAAAGAAGATTTTTTAAGTTTTTACTATATGCATATAGGGAAAATCAATGACCCCCTGGGGCGAAGCCAATTTTGACCCCAGGGCTTTGATTTGAACAAACTTGGTAGACACTCATTAGAAGATGTTTAAATGTCAAATATCTAAGCTCTAGCTCTTAGGGTTTTTTAAAAGAAGATTTTTTAAGTTTTTCCTATTGGTTGCCATGGCAACCAGAGTTTTTAATGGAATTAAAATTTTTGAACAACTTTGAAAGGGGTCCACCTAAGGATCATTTCTGTAAAGTTTGGTTGCAATTGGCCATGTGGTTTAGGAGGAGATGTTGTTTGAAAAGTTTGACGCCATTTTTTGAAGGACGCACGCCGCGCGACGGACGCAGAGTGATGACAAAAGCTCACCCTTGAGCACTTTGTGCTCAGGTGAGCTAAAAACACACCACACAAATTTCAAGAAGCATTAATGCTGCTGTGATTTGATTTGGATGGAATAATCGATCCTCCTAAAGGATAAATATACACTAAATTTGTTGTTTAGTTTGGTTTTCTGGCATACTAACACAGTTTAGGTTGAAATGCACCGAAACAGGAAAGAGGATTTTAGCTAACCTCGGGTGTACAAAGCAACATCAGGAGTCTCACCTGCTGGAGCTAACAGATGCATAAATTCAAGTAATTCAAACCCATTATTACGGCTCTTACGACCATGCAGGGTTAAAAGGTGGCTGCAACTCTGATGCCTCCACCCATAAAGGCAACCCCTCAACCACAAGGGGAAATAGACACGGAAAAGTCCAATGAGGTCTTTCAAAACAGACATCTAACCAATACAAGAGGGCCAGGATAGCCCAAGATAATTTAAATAAATTATTTAGTTTTTATGCCAAAATTTCGCCTTCCCTGCATCATTTTGAACCAGCAACCACCGCAATAAAAATCAGACACTCTCCCTATTGAGTTAAGCAAGTAGACAAAACTGTGTTGACACAAGGAAATCATTTTCATAATACAGTAGTTTCTCACTGAATCATATTTAAGGTTTTCAAAGTCGAATGTTGAATGCCCTATGCAAAACTGTACTGAAGATCCAAATTATGAGTATAATGCTTAATAAACAGATATATACATGTATTCATGTGTTGAAAAGTTTGCAAATTATTTAGAAATTCACAAGGATGCCACAACAAATATGAATTAAATCTTTAATTCTGTTGGGAAAGAAAATATTATTGTTATATATAACTGAGAATCAAAACTAAAATAGAAACACATGTCAGAACACTAGGTGTATGGTAGTCCATACATCAATCTACTGTTTAATGTCAGTGAGTGCATATTTTGAATTTTTTCCCTATAAATGGAGAATGGTTAGTCAAATTGAACAATGGACAAGCCAATTTAAGATAAGGCTGATATTGTCTAGGGAAAATCTTTGGGGATTTACATGAAGCAAATAAACAAACCATGAATATGAATTATTGAGCATGAATGGTGATAAAAAAGTTAATGAAACATACTTATGTTTAAAAAGAAAACTCTAAGATCATGGCTTAGGATACTTACAATATACACAATAAAAGATGCACCAGTTAAATACTCATTCAACATCTCACCAGTAAGAACTTTCTCTTTCTGAAATAAAAAAAATAAATAAATGTTATAAAATTTCCAAACACAGTTCATAAAGTTGCCAAAATAGATTTTTTTTTAGTTCAATGTATCTGAAACCCCTTCGCTTACCGTAATTGTTTTCAAAAAGAATAATATGAAATATGCTTACCTTTGGTGCAAATGCTACAACCAGGATAGCTCCTATCACTGCCAGAGCTGAACCTGAAATTATCAATCAAATTTCATATGCAACATTTATCTTTTTAAAGACATTAAATCATGATATATAAAACCATTAAATTTTTTTGAAAAAATGACATTGGATAGGTCAAAATTATGATGACTATCCAGCTATGCAGGTGGTAAAAGACCAGTTGACCCTGCATGCATCAGACAAAGTCGGCACCCAAGTAGAAACATCAACCTTCAGGAAAATAGCTGACTGGATCATTTCTTTACATGAAAGAATACTAAGTCTTTGATAGGTTTAAACCCACGGTGGTGAGTGATTCTAAAACTAACATTATTTAAACCCAAATAAATTGCTTTGACAAAGAAATGAAATAATATGTTATACCAAGATCACTCAGCTGGGTGAAGACTGTAACTGTCCTATATTTAATGCTCAAAAGAGTTCAAGCATATGCATGTATATCTATGATAAAAAGATCACCAAGATCATCTTATGATCTATACCCTTGACCAATTCTTAAACCAATAATTTGAGTATTCCTTTAAGTAATAACTAAAACTCTGATGTACATTATGATGTCCATTGGAGTACAATTTCCTCACAAAAATCACAACGTTGCTTTTTTTTTACAATGTAATTTATAAGAAAAACTTACCGAATAAATTTTCTGCCCGTATTTGCTCTTTTAGAAAAATTGCAGCCAAGAACATGTTTGCTGTAATAAACAAAAAAAATATTAAAATGATATATACAAATACAGTGTAGCTTGATTCTTTATTAACAAATCAAAATGTGACCTTGATGGTTTGTGAAATTTATAAGCCTTAAAGACCTTGACCTTATACCCAATGACCTAAAACATCCTTAATTGTAGATGTACATGCACAATATTTCCATATTAAAGCATTTCAGACATTAAGGAAAAAACAATGATATCAAAGACAGATAAAGATAAAAAAAAAAATTCTTTTAGTTTTTGTGACCTTTACCTCTGATAGATGTTCATGCAAGATTTTAAAATACAAGTAAAGGTTATATTCATAATACTACATGTTTGTAACATCACTTTTCATTGGATAATTGTGATATTTATATAAACTATATAAACAGCTGCAGTCAGTTCATAAAGTAATTTTACTTTTCTCAAATATAGGAAGTTTGCCGAATTATAAATGTGTTATAAAGATTCTTGACAGGACAGGTTAAAGGACTAAATATAAACATTTGTTTGAAATATAACCCTCTCCTAGCTTCTCGAGTAATAAAAGCAAACAACCATTTATAGGGTCATATAACCTTGTACGAACAATATAAACAACTTACCAACAACTGTAGTTGTGCCAAGTGGAGCTACCAGAGAGGCAGGTGCATACCCGTAAGCTGAGAAGTTGCCCACCTCTCCAATAATCATCAAACTCACTCCCAACCACCATAGTGGATTACGTGTATAATGTATCTGTACATCACGCTCCTCATTTTTCACATGAGTGTATTTCTAAAACAACAAAGTCTGTATACTGACAACAAACATGTGCTTTTGATAAAACTAAATTACACTCTTGTATGACATGGACATGTAAGAAACTAATTCATGCTACTGACTGCAATAGTGTGTTAAACAGGTTTTTTTTTATTTCTAACTATTAAATTCAAATGTGTAAATGGTAAAACCTGACGACCATCACTTCATAAGATCATACTTTCTACAATTTTGTTGTAGAAAGTTGTTGAGTCATATTTAAGATCAAATATTGAACTGTCAGTGGTTCAAATTTGAATATGAAAGCTGAAAATTGTTAAAGTAGAAAACTGGATCAATGTTCAATACAACATATAAAACAGTTCATGCCCAAACTCAAAAGCCATGTAGCATATCTTTAACAGAAGTTAAAACTAAAATAAGGCCATAAATTGTTCACAAAGGTGTTAATTTTATAGATCAATGTTATGAGTGTTGTGGGACCTACAATTATGACCCCCAAAGGTATGAGATAACAGACGGAGATTTCCCCTGCTAGAATGAGTAGGAGACCTCCCCCATATAATTAAATGTTCCAAACACAAATTACAATAAGTCAATAGACATGAAATCAATGTCAATGATTTACAACTACAAACTAAAATTTCACCAGAGGTACTATAAGACTAGGCATCTCCCATTCTTATGACTGCTTTTATCATAATCACATTATTATATAATGATCAAGAGTCTCTTGGAGAATATATACACATGGGGAACAGTCTGATACATAGGTAACTACTATAAAAAGATAATTTTTGTTTGTTTGTCTGGTTTAATACAGTTTGGTCATCTCTCAGCAGTCTTTACACCTAACTGGCTTTACTGGATAACTAACCAGTAATTACAAGTTTCTCTACAAGTGACCCAACCAGTTATCTCACAGTTATCCAGTAATTACAACTTTCTCCACAGGTGACTCTTATCAGCAGTGAGAGACAAAAGACAATAAAAATCACAATAAAAATGTTTACCTGCAGATTAAGGGACACACTGATGAGAAGATTTCCACATATAGCCAGTAAACATCCTACCACCAGATCCTGTAATGTAACACCCAACAACTCATTTAGCATCTGTATGTTCTTATATATATATATACTCAAACACAAACTATTTTAAATTCCCTCAATCCATAGTCCTCTATAGACTGACTCTAGCTAGTCTCTTTCCTTCAACATACAATTACTTTATCTCTTTCTTTCAACATCCAATTACTTTATCTCCTTTTAACATCCAATTACTTTATCTCTTTCTTTCAACATCCAATTACTTTATCTCTTTTCAACATCCGATAACTTTATCTCTTTCTTTTAACATCCAATTATTTTATCTCATTTTTTCCAATATCCAATTACTTCTTCAACATCCAATTACTTTAACTCCTTCCTATAACATCCAATTACTTTATGTCTTTCTTTCAACATCCAAATTACTTTATCAACCATAATGCCATATTAGCATTAAATTTTATAAAAAATATCATAAAAGGACAGAATTATGATAAAATATGGACTTAAAATCTGCCTTTAAACTCTGCAGATAAATGTAAATTAAACAGTCACGATTATCAGGCAGTGAGAAATAATATTTTGACAGTTTATTGGATATTTTTCACTCATAAAAAGTTTTTTCAATAATAATGTCAAGTTTAAACCTTTGAAGACTTATATAAATGATTCGCTAAACTTTCTATACATACATTTATAAATATTAAGCATTAAATCTATACTTTCCAACAAAAGTTGTTATAATCCTAATTTATTCAAATCCTTTTATATATAATGAAAACATTTTGCATTTGCGATTTCAAATGGGATGATGATCAACTGGACACTTTTTGAACATTTTTCCATGCAAATTTCTTATTTTAAAAGCTAGAAATCTAAAAATACCTTAAACCTCCTGAATTTGTGTAATGGATTTGCCCTGTTTTGAATTTAGAACAGATCATTTAAAATTTAAGGGATTTCATAATTAAACCACAAAAGACTGAGTTATCAACAGTCTAGAGATTGATTTGCTTTGCCTACAGGTACAGTCAAGAACTCACAATTTTTTTCTGTCAAAACTGTTTAAACCAGTGTTTGATAATATGCACACGCTCAGCATTAGGAATAAATGTAAGACTTAAAATAAGTTAACATTTGATTCAAACCATAACAAGAAAACTAGAATCTTATTAACCCATTACGTTATATAAACGCCTTTTAACGCCTTTTTCACCCCCCCCCCTTTTTTGTTGTCTCAAATGGTGAAAAACTGCCTTATTTAGGCCCCAACACTATTTTTTGTTTGAGAAATGTTGTTAAAAAAGTGACCTCTTTTTCGGCGCGGCCCCCCAACCAAAGGATACATCAGGGGGTTGCCAGAAGGGGGATGTGCCCCCTTCTGTTTGGGGGGTTTGAAGGGGGGCGGAGTCCCCCTCATCGCCAAGAAAATTTTTTACTTGTGAGAGGCTATAAATGACCCCAGATTGATCATAAGGTAACGTGTAACCAACGCTGAAAAGCATTTGACTCTATCTCAATCCATTGCGAAGTTGCAGCACTTTGAAATCAATTTTGATGGAAAAAATCAACGCAAAATAGTGATTTTTGGCAATTTTGAGATGTCCCCTCGTTGCCATGGTAACAGAAAATTTAAGCCTGAGCATGTTGTTGCAAGGGCAATGGTCCAGTCAACATTTGTGCCAAGTTTGATTAGTGTTGAAGCAGTTTTTATAGTATTATAGCAATTTGAACTTGTAACAGGAGACTAATCAATGAAAACAGCCATTTTTCACAAAATGCTCATGAAGTAATGGGTTAAAAGATGGATTGGACATAATGAATTGTTGTACTTAAAACTGAATTATTGTTTAACAATCCATTTCACAGTGTTACTTCACTCAAAGATATCAAATACACTGCAAGCTTTAATCTATGATTTACAATGCATGTAAATTATCAAACAGAGGTCAAAATATGCAAAATATGGCCCTGCTTCATGTCACACAGTAGAAATATGGGGATATTATAAATACTGCAATATCAGCCATTAATAGCCCCCTGACATCTCAGAGAAAGGCAGTTAGTAGCTCCTTAGTAATCCCAGGAAAAAAACTACCATAAGGCTGCAGAGCCAGACCAAGTAAGACTCAATGTTTTAAAGATAATAAGCAAAGAATGGCCCCCACTATGACCAAATCATTCCAAAAGACCCTGCAATCAAGCACTATGTCATGGGAAATGGCAAATGTAACATCAGTACATAAGAAAGGCTTTAGGTAAGAATCTGCCAACTACCACCACCTATTTTTTACCTGTATCCAGTGTAAAACACCAAAGTTTACATAAAACATACAAAAATAACTATGAATTGCCACATGGTTTTCAAAAAAAAAAGTTCTGTCAAACCCAACTTCATAATTATATTAGTATATGACATTTTCCAATATGACAATCACAAATGTCAAGTTGACCTTATATGGTCAACCATAAAAAATACCTTTATATCATAAGACTATGAGCTGCCTTTTTATGGTATAAGGGGAGTAACTCTCCGATGAAGTAAGTGTTTAGAAGACAATAAGTCACTTTCAGTAGTTAAATACTAAAAAGCTCTATGTCAAATATAAATGCAATCTATTCAAGCGTTCTCTAAGACTTGGGCCTTAGTCTAAGGACCTCTCTTGTTTCTTAATTATATAAATGATCTTCTTGATATTGTACAACTGTTTGCAGACACGCCTCCAGAGTATTTTTCTAAAGAAATTGTTGACGCACACACAGACAGACCGACAATGGAGGACAGACAATGGGCCATCACAAAAGCTCACCTTGAGGACATTGTCCTCAGGTAAGCTAAAAATCCTTAGTTAGCTGGGTGCCACCATTTTGAAAATCTTGGACTGGTTCTATATTTGAGCTATAATTAGATTTCAGATCTAATAAGATTTTAGATTTTAGCCTGAATACTTATTCCATTCAAATTTTAACACACTCGGCTAAAATATTGACCTCATGACTAAATACAAACCATTACCGAATATGTATGTATAAAACATTGCCAAATGCCGCTGTCGTTACAAAATTGATATGTTAAGTTTTATACTTAATCATAAGGTCAGTTTCCGGTTTTCGGATGACAGTTTTACGATTGAAATGGCGTCTGCTGTTTGATTTTTTTACAGAATAACTTCATTTATATTAAATATTTAGAGAAACATCATCTGGGACTCGCCCTGTCAGGCAAGTTTGATCAATTTTTTACCTCACCCTACCAGAACTTTTACTCGCAAATGTGAGCGGGCAAGTGGATTTGTTGAGGCCTGGATATGTTGAACACAGCTAATTCATCCATATTTCCTTAACGGTACAAAATACCTGCATATACTCATTATTGACAAAGTCCCAAGGAAAATCTGGTTTATATATTGAAAATTTTATCCCCGATATTAAATCAGAAGGGCTTTCCGCATCATAGGTAACACCAACTATCATATGGGGAAGTCAAAGGCCTGCTTCGCAGTCCCGGGCTTTGGCTTACCCGGCTATTGACTACATGTGTATATTTAACAGAAAATTTAATAAAAAAACAATTAAAAGAATTAACAGGGCTTCTGTTAACGAGCGTACAGCCGTAAATTATGCCCGAAAATCATATCTGTACGCCGAAAATTAAGATCAATAACGTACCGCTGACTTCCAAAAATTTAGGAATACGGCGAAAATCGTAAGCCACGACCATTTTCCGACCTTTTCTCACTTTCCTGGCGTACGATTGGATTATTTATTTAACTCCGCCCCCTGAATTGAATGGTTGACATGACAGCGATGGGTAAAATTATGTCCTTAAATAACAACAATACAGTCCTTTTCAGGGTAATGTTCTTACTTCTATTGAAAATATTTACCGAACAATCATGTAAAGATACTTTTAACTTAAAACATTAAAAGGAATGACATTTTCAGAATCTTGTGATTAAAATAATTGCTTTTACTTGTATCATCCCATACTATAAATCAAACATTGAAACATGAAAATTATACGCGTAAGAACAACTGACTTCCAGAAATTTACCTCATGACTTCCAAAATTCCTTGAAAGGAAGTCCTGACTTCCTAAAAAAAATTCCTAGTGGAATTTAAGCCCTGAGAATATATAGATTTCTATACCTTTCAATGACATTTTCAGTGTCAGTTCTAGTAGGGCGGTGCCATTTTCCATGTAACTCAATGATAATAGGCGGGGTATTCCGATAGAGAATAAAAGCAACTTTTCTAATTAATAATAATCGAGTATTCTGAGTGAAAACGGAAGAAGTGCATGAAATAACAAATAACACCTTTAAAACGAAAAATGAACTATTTTTTTAATCAACTTCCCCGTTCATAGGCTTTGCCTAATTTCATACAGGGAAGACAAAGGCCGGGTCCGCAAAGCGGGCCCGGGCTTTGGCTTGCCTTGCTATAGACTACATATGTATATTTGAAAGAAAATCAAATAAAAAACAATTAAAGAATACATAGTATTCTATACCTATCAATGAAATTTTCAGTATCAGTTCTAGTCAGGCAGCACCATTTTCAATGTTATTCAATGATAATAGGCGGGATATTTCTATAATGGACAATCGCAACTTTTCGGATAAATAATAATCGTCGAGTATTCCAAGTGAAAACGGAAGCGGTGCATAATAATACCGAAAGACACCTTTAAAACGGAAAAATTAACTATTTTTTTAACCGACTTCCCCGTTCATTGGCTTTGCCAAATTTCATATTATTATTACGGGGAAGTCAAAGACCGGGCCCGCGAAGCGGGTCCGGGCTTTGGCTTGCCCGGCTATAGACTACATGTGTATATTTAAAAAAGAAAAACAATTAAAAAATATATAGAATTCTATACCTATCAATGAAATTTTCAGAGTCAGTTCAGTGTCGGGCGCCGCCATTTACAATGTAACTCAATGATAATAGGCGGGATATTCCGTTAATAGAACCAATCTCACCTTTTCGGACAAATAATAATTGTCGAGTGTTCCGAGTGAAAACGGAAGCGGTGCATGTAATACCGAATGACACCTTTAAAACGGAAAGAATGACAGGAATTTTTAAACGACTTCACCGTTCATAGGCTTTGCCTAATTTCATATTAACTGATACGCGGAAAGTCCGAGCGGGGCCTAAGGCCCGCGAGGGCTGTAGCGCTCTTAGATAACATGTATGACGCGTATCAATTCAAATGAAATCAAATTAAAAGTAAATGAAAATTTCAAAAAAATATATATCCTATACCTAATGAGCTGTGAAAAAATCCTTAGTTAACTGGGCGCTGCCATTTTGAAATCCTTTTGAGCTAAATATAGATATCAGAGCGCTTTTAATGAGCGTCTACATAATTCAGACTATTGCTAGCAGACGCATGCTAAATAACACTTCCGGTGAAAGAATGATGTACAAAATCAGAAAATAAACATGCATTTCATTGATAAGAACTATAGTAACGATTATAAATATAAAAAGTTACTTTAACATATCCTTTTTGATAAATTAGCACATTAAAAAATAACGTTAAAACAACAACTGTGATTAGAGATTAACAAAAATGGCGGACGGGATTTTCCAAACGCTGACGCATGCGCAGTGGTACCCTTATGTTCGGAGATTTTCGGAATATTCCGAGCACTTCGATGATAGGTTGAACACCACCAATTTATTTGTTTAGTTTATGGTAAGAAAGATCTGGTTTACATGCATGTACACTAAACATGTTATGCTAAAATCATAATTCATAAGAGCTTTCCGCGCCATAGGTAGCACCTAATTTCATATCAATGATTATTCTTCTTTTTTTTTTTCCTTAAGGCCAATCTTTTTTTATATTTTGGTTTACTGATTTTTTCCAAAAAAAGGTAGGGTCCGCGGCGGGAAAAAAAAAAAAAAAAAAGTTTTCATAACTATAAATGTGGTGCATACATATACATAGTACTAACTAGAGCAATGAAATTAAATACATCGCTGATTGTCTATTCCAAAGATTGTTTCAATACACACAAAAAAACTTTTGCTCATATTGTCATTGTTTAAAAACACACATGAAATCGACACACAACGACTTATGACAAGTGGCAAGCGAGCTCTTCAAAAGAATCTGTCATTCTTTGATGTTTACACACTGCTGTGTAATCTGAATCATCAAAGGTGCCGAAAATCAGCTGACTTGCACTCATTTCTTTATAGATCAGATGTTAAAAAAAACTGTCAAGAAAAGATTACACAAAGTCATGTTCAAGTTTGCCCATTGTGAAAATATTTTTATCGGATAATTAGCGGGTCAATTTTTGACATAAAAATCTATTAAAAGTAAGTGCGGGCATTTTTTTTATTTTGTTTGTTTGAAACCTGTATTCAATCTGCTTTTAAAGACTAATTTTTTTTGTTAAATCTGAAAATACTGATCTTGTCAATTGCAGCAGATTTCTCTCGCTCTGTCCTTGAATGTAATTGCTTACGTAATTTGGCGTGTTTTTTTTGTTTGGTTGTTTGGTTGTTTTACATTTTTACGCATTTCGACCTTCAATGCATTGATGAAATATGATCAAAGCCTAATTATAATTCTGTGAAAATGGCTTGACCCCATTTAACAGACATTCTTTCATAATGCACCAATAAACACTTTGCCCAACTAGCAGACGACAGGCTATTCTCGAGTAAAGATAACAGGTTGCGTGTATAAATCGTAGGTAAAATAGTCTGGCATGTGGTAGGTTTAACAGTTAATTAAAATACTTACCGCGACATTTCTTTGACAAGTCGGATTATTAGCAGCGTATATTTCAAGACAACACAGAATTTTTTTGGGGGCAGATTTTTTTTTTTTTCATTTTCCCAAAATACAGAGTCGGCGGGTCTGTAAACCGAAATATCAAAAAATAATGGCCTAATGATTATTCTGAAGAGGGGCGAATTGTCACATAAGTGGGGCGAGTCATACTGGTGCGAATCATCAGTTGGGCGATTGTTATTAATTTGTTAACAGGCCCTACAGACAGAGGGAATAATGGTAGGCTAAACTAGCTTACAAAAAAATTAACACATGAACATGATTAACCATGGAACATACATGACATATGATAATTTACCTGATAATGAGTGTCTACAGTAGCTGCAGTTGTAGATTTCGGAAAGGTATGTGTACCTGGCTCGCTAGTCGTTGCCATTTCAGCTAGTCACTATCTTTAATTGACTGCTACTTTTTTAACATACTTTCAAATAACTTTTTATGAAATATGTTCTTATAGAATTATCATAACAAATCTGAGTCATTGAGGTGCTCACGAGGAAATTACGACGA